CATGTGGAGACAAATATTATGCATATGCACATCAGCAAAAACATGGGCACACACAAATATAAAAGTCCTAACACCCTAATTTGGCCAGCGTGCCGTAAGCTACGGGGGAAATAAAACACAAACATGATCAGGGGTATGCCTGGTTGCCATGGGAATGATTTTCGGGCAGACAGTCGGCCCTGTGGTGTTGATATGAGAGGGGTTGGATCATAACAAGGACAAAGTTTCTGTGTCAACTCCACAGGGGGGGTTGGAGAGTTTGCGATTGGATAATCAGAAACCACAAAGGTTCCTGTTTGTGTCTCCTTGTTAGTCGCAGAGAGGAGTAAGTCTTCTTGGTGCATGCTGCTGACCACTGGCTTCCAATGAAGAATAATGACTGGTCACCTTTTGAAGATGTACAGTAGATGGAGCCATTAAGAAATGTCATGTTACTCGCCGGCAGCAGACCTTGTAACATTGAGTAATTAAAGTCGCCTTAATTTAGGTTATGTTCAGAGGAGCATGTTCTATTAATCAAACACACACCGAGGCTGTGCGATGCTGTGCTTTCCATTTGTCATGGGTGGCTGATGGCAAGCGTCCAAGGCTCACAACGAAATTCCAGCACTGCGAATGTATCTTTCAATCACAGATAAATTCTCTTTTTTTTTTTTTTTTAGATGCAGGATCTACAAACATTTTTATCATATTGCCCGGTCAGCATGGAAATACCTCAGAATCAAACAATAAGCCGGAAACACCCATTCAAGTCAGCAAAGATAACAGGCGAACAAAAGGGCATAATGAGAAGATTAGGCTGAAATCTGCTCAGCTGTTGACAGCCAGATCAATCTAAGCCAGGATCAGCCAACGCTTTTTCGAATAATCCTAAATTATATCAAACAAAATTATTGTTTGTGTGATCATACCGTGTATGCGTTTCACAACCCTCGTTTTTCAGACCTCGATCTCCACAAGCCTTGCTAAATGAATCTGCCAGAATCAGCCCGGAGGAAAAAAAAAGACATGTAAGAGGCGTGACAAGACTGACATGAAAGGATTTAATATGTAATGGGTATTTTTTCATCTCATGAAGCTGGTCTGAAGAGAAAGCTCACCTACTGCTGCACACCAAGTGGTCTACACATTAGAGCAAATGAAAATCCCTCACTATAAAGTTTCAATCTTCTTGACGGGTAAAATGTCCATCAAGTCTTTTTAATTTGCAGCTGCACAGCACAGAAAACACCTGTAAAAATGCAAAATACAGCAGATTTAAAGGTACTTTGCAAGATGATGGAAATAAAAAAAACATGACAGGAAAGGTGTTAGCAGTATTGATTCACAGAATAAAGGTTCCACTTTAATCTTATACTTTAAAAAAAAGCTGCTCTTACAGTGATGAGTTATAAGTCCAGCCATCTGAACACAGTCCACAATGTGTTCAGATCATTTGATCCACCTCCTCCTCTTTGCTAGAAGTCTCCAAAGGTATACCCCAAGGCTTAGTGGTAGGACCTAATCGTTTTTCCATCTATGTCAATAATTGGTGTGATAATTTCCCAAATGACTTGTATCATTTCCATACCGATGACGCCATTATTTATTGCTGTTCATCAATTTGTTCTGAGTCAGCTTTTAATGTTACACAGTCTCCTCTGAAGAAAACTGAAATTGGTTTTTATTGCAGACAAAACTAAGGTAATAATATTCTCCAATTCATGTGAGCTACCAGTGGGAAAACAGCGGCATTAACAACCAAAGATAAATCTATAGAATTTGTGAAAAACTGTAAGTTCTTGGGCTCTTATTGATCGAGAGCTAGCTTTTAAAGCGCATATTGCAAATCTGGTCTCCAAACTCAGGGTGAGGCTTTGCTTTTTATTTTAGAAATAGATCCTGTTTTTCTTTTGGAGCTAGGACACTTCTTTAAACGGCAACTTTTCTGCCTTTGCTAGATTATGATGATGTGCCGTACATGGGGGCTTCTACTAAATATCCAAATACTATTTATCACCATACCCTGAGGTTTGTCACTGGTTGTTCATGGCTCACTCATCACTGTGACCTACACGCTTAGTCTGACTGGCCATCCTTAAGCAGTCACAGGTACACACACTGGCTGAGTCCTATTTATAAAACTACTCTGAGCTTCACTTCCTCATATTCATGTTTATACCTGGCTATGCCTTGTGTTCATGTGATGATTCCTACCTCTATGTTCCTCATATACACACCAAGATGGGAAAAAGGGCTGCTCAGTTTCATTGCCCCATCAGCATGGAGTACACTTCAGTGATTTAAATCGGTCTGACCTCATTTCATTAGAATCCTCTTGCTCCATCTAATCAGATGGACAACATGAGACAATCTAACAGTGCCTGATTTTAATGGTCATTCATACCCAATTTTTTCTTTTGCTCTTGACTTGCCAACTACTTTTAAATTGTTTTTATCTTATCATCTGTATATGTTTTTTTATTTTTTTTTATTTAAGACACGGGCTGCTGATCTCTTGCCCTGGTCACTCTTGCATAACAGAACTCAATTTTGGGCTCTATTTTTGTGCCTCACCGGTGTCGTGGCGCAGGCACAGCCTGAGTCAGGTCCGCCAGGCCGACAAGGCATGCCAAAGCACATTTTGGTATTTTGGTGAGCGGCGCAGCCTGGCATAAGTATCCCCCCGCCCTAACTCAGCTCCTCCCAGCGGTGTAAGTCGTAGAGAGGGAGGAGAGAAGGCGTGGAGTGGGTTTGACACAGCCGAGATCTGTTTTCGCCAATCACTTCAGCTCCTCTCCTCACCTTTAAATTCGCCACTGGCGAGGTGTATTATAATTTTCATGAAGTAGTCGAAGAGATCAAGAGATGGCTGCAGACAGCAATGCCATACAATGGCGACAGAAGGCAGCACCTCAACAAGAGTTGCTATAGCTGCGGAGGGCGTCCTCCACACTGATATAAGCACAGATGGATTTGGTGTCTCAGTCTACGAAAATACCAAACTGACTGTGCGTCTGGCTCCACCAGACGAAAATACCACTGCGCGGGGTGTGCAACCCTCCGCCACGCCGCCGGCGGGCACGAAAATAGAACCCAAAGGGTAAATGTCTGACAGGTGAAGTGGAAACTACAAAGGACCAACATGTGCGTTTTTTTTCTATGGGTAAGTTTGACCTGTCTATAATTTTCCTTTCATTGTTACTACACTTATATTTGAGCAGGGACCTGAATAGAAAGAGGAAAAGAGGATAAATGGATGGATAAGCTTCAATCTGTGAGGCAGGGTACATTGAATAAGCCCGACTATGACCATAAGCAGCTCTTAGTTTTCTTGTTTCATTTTGTTTTTTTCTCATCTCTGTCTAAAACTTCATGTTGAGTGCTTCATCCAGTATCCAAACCTCAACATACATTCTGCAAAACTACTTTGTGACAACCATTATTGAAGCAGGTAGAAACTTTCACTCTTACAACAAGAGCTATTCAAGTCATAAAAGCTTTTATTGGTATTTCCCTCTCAACATTGAATCTTTGAACAGTCTGTCCTTGGGTTTTCAGTCTGTTTTAAATGCCTTCTTTCTTCATTGCGTTACATCTTCATTAAGAAACATTTACAGTGCGCGCTGTCTGATGCGAATGATTTGCATTAACACATGGTAATATCTTCCCCGTCCTTCAGCGGCACCTAAGAGTTTGCTGTGTTTATTGTTTGCTTTTATACGTCCTTGAGTAAGACTGGGATGTTTTTCTCTCCATTGCAGTGAAAGTGGTAATGTCAATGTATTTTTTTCTTTTTCCGTCTTTTTTCAAGAAAACACAAAAAGGAGTCATTCTTACTAGAAGTCTGACTCAGCTGTTTTGTAATGCTTTTATGAAAACTAAAATCATAACACACTCAAAGTTGCCTTCCGCCTGTTTGTCATGACTATGTTTCAAAGCTGTTTAATATTGATGTTAAACTCTGCTTTGTTATGCGTGATCTGGGAACACAGAGGCATTTACACTGTGTTATCAGTGTGGCCGCCATATGTGTACACGTCTCGGGTGAGTGGTTTTGTACTTCACGGCTGCATTTCCACGTCATTCTCAAAGCCTTTCAGCACATAAAGTAGGAAAATTCATATCGCATTTTGACACTGGGGGTAGAGCGGGCTTAATTCTTTTGGTAGCATTGCTTCGGTAATATATACAGGGCGAAAAATGTACAAAGAAAGGCATATTGAAGTCTGTGCTCATAAGTGAATCTGGATGAGTTACAAAAACATGAAGAATATGTGGCAGACCTAGGGGGCTGTATTAAATCCCAGTTATGTGAGCCTGATTCTTTTGGTGCTTTTTATGTAGCCGCCAAACAAATAAAAAGCTGCAATAATTAAATAAATGATCAAAAAAATAATTAAATAATGAGGACGACTCAGAGTAACAACTAATGGAAACCTTAATGGCATCTCTGAGGCGATGCCTGGGACTTATGTTCTCTTCAAAGCAACCTTGAGTGTGTCAATAAAAATAAGAAATGCATTACATGGTTGAGCTAACAAAATGATTGTGCGTGTCAACAGAACGAGGTATGAAATGCACGGTAACATATGTACATACATTGTCTAAAGCAGAGGCAGGCTGGCTCCTTTCATATTTTGATGTTAATAAATGCTGCGCTCCAGTGCTTCTATAAATATTAAATGTAATAGCATTGATTCACAGCCAATCTCTGCTAACGCTCATGCTGCACAGGTAGAGGCGTCAGGAGAAAACACATATTTCCTCTCATTCTTCCTGCTTATAAATGAGCCGGGGGATTGGTGGCAGATTAGTGTTTGCTTACAGCTGGATAATAATGCGGGATCATAAAGGTATATATGGTAATATTCTCCTTTAATTACTTTTGAGGTGATGGACCAGCAGTGTGGTGTTGTAAATGTCAAGTTTAATCAGTTAAATTTAATCAGAGAGGGTCATGGCCTCTTTTGATTAATAAGAAATATTTAATTTGTTTGTTTAAAACTGTTAATGTGTGCTCATTGAAATCCCTCCCACTCTGTGGGTTCGGATCTGGTCGAGGCTCGGTTTACTCTGGTGGCTCTCCTGGCTCGGAGTGACACCAGGTTCAGTAGTCTCTCCAGCTCGTCCCCTGAACCTGTCAGACTGCTGGATCCAAGCCCTCCATGGTCCTCTTGTGAATCCCTCCACTCCTCTCCTTGTAGGTCCCAGGCTCTAAGAGGGGGAAGGAGCTGAGCTGGGTGGAGGTTAACACCTGGTGGGCTAGCGGGGTATCCTTCGTAGGCTGCCCGGGTTGGGGGTAGAGTGTCATAGAGGCTCTCTGAGTCTTCACCTTCCTCCTGGTTGTGGCTAGATTCTTGATACTCCTCATAAACAGGCGAGTCTTCACAGCTGTCGTGGCTGTGTGACACCTGAAGGTCTCTGTGATCCTGGCCCGTGATCCCCATTTCACCTTCCTCGTTGGGCCTTTTTGTTTCATCTCTTTCCAAGAAGCGTTTCCTCTCCCACTCGCCCGACTGATTCCTCTCCCACTGGAAGGTCCTCTTTTCTGTCTCTCGTACCCTCTCCCTGCTCCGATCCCCGGTGAAGCCCATGACTGTATAGTCTAGCTGGAGGGAGCGTGTGCTGCCTCCTCGTCGGATGTTCTGCTGGGTGTCACTCAGGTTAAAGTTCGATCCAGACTCCTGCGGACGCAGACGCGAAGGCGACAACCAGCTTGAGGTCTGACTGGAAGACTCCCAGTGGTACGCTGAGAAAGAAACATAGAAATATATATTTTCTTGGTTTAAAATTGTCAAACAATGTTTTAGTTGAACAAGTAGAGCAGAGATGACCTACTTAAGAGATTTAAGGGGATTTAACTTCTCATACTGAGTCAGGAGCCTCAGGCTTTATTTCCTGGACTAACTAGTGCTTCTGAATCACTGGATGTTTGTCGCCCACCTTGAAATGGGAGCGTTAGATTACAAACACTATTCATCTAATAAGATCAGCCTGTTAAAAGTGCTTTATCAGTAGATCATTGTGCCTTTCAAACAGCGACAACTTTATCCACGGGGATGTTAGAAGTTGATTTTCTGCCTCCTTCTATACAATCAGCTGTTTTTAAAAGAAAAACAGCAGCTGATAGATCGGCTATGTATTGGCTTATTGTTGCTGGAATCTTCTTTTCATCTTTAGTGCTTATTATCTTCTTCCTTGATCTCTTTTTGGTATCATAGAAATGTACGCTGTGTTAGCTGTGTGTGTGAGACTGTTTCAATGTGCAGGTGCATGTTTTGAGGGAGTGTGTACATGTTTGTGTGAGCGTGAACGCGGGGGGTTTATGAGTTGCTTTGTTTCTTTATGTAGCACTGTGGGGTTTTACAATGTGCTCTGTGGGAATGTGTGTTTATGTTTCTTAATTGCTCCCAACTCTCATTTAGAATTAATTTATGTGAAAAATAAAATCAGAAAACAAAATCCTCTTCTTTCTTTTTTTTTTGTTCTACAATTGAGTTCATGCTGTTAGCGCCCCACTAATCTCCTACTTCCTACAAACTACGGCATGCAGGGTGCATAATTCATGGTTAGGGTTAATGAGCTGTGAGTGAAAAAATATCATATTGATGAGGCGGGGAAGCCGGAGGGGTCATCCTCTGTGTGGGATGTAAAGTTCCCTTCATTAGCAATGCCAACTCCTGCTATGTAATGCGTATCACGTGCAGACAGACATATCTAACAGGCTGCAGCGCCAACAAAGCACAAAGAAAGAGTGAGTGCATTCTGCATGCCATGCTCCTGAATAATCAATACTCTCTAGCTGTAGTACTTTTTATGAGAGGCTGGAGTGGAGAAAAGATTAATGCTCTTACAATCCACAATGTACTCTTTGATGAATTCTACACAAATTTCATCTTTGCTCTGCAGGTGACGACTCGCTGACAGTGAGGTGGGGGGAAAAAGACACACACACACACACACAAAAAAAAAATCTCATGGGACAGGAAGTCTTAGATGATGAAAAGCTCTTCTCATAGAAACAACTGAATGAGGACCGACACAATGAATTTTGACATGATAGAAAACACACTTGATAACAGACGAGGGAGGCTGGCAGGGAGCAATCCAGCAACAAACACATGTAAACAGACAGACACACACACAAGTATGACTCATAATACACATATGCAGTGAGATGCTGACAAACACTTGTGTCTCATGCAAGGGACATTCATCTTATGTCAAACTTCCCGTCTTATCAACAGAATAACAAAATTACTGCTGGTTATCTTATTATTATCAATCATATTGCCCTCTTATTCGACAAACTATTAAATGTAAGTTCGCACGTATCATATGAACACAAATTCACCTAATCCAAGCGGTTATTTGAAGTAAATCTACCATACAACAATTTCATTCATCATTTAATACTCCCTGTCTGGAATAAAGCTCCTTATGCTTCAGCAGCCTTCCACTGATGGAGGCGCAAACGCAGCCTCGCTCTGAGTTTGTAATGAAATGCTTTGTGGATCCAGAAAATTACATGCAACCGAGAACTAACAGACTTGGTAACCATGAGCCCATTATCATTGGATTCAAAAAAAGAGCTGGAAACAGTATAGGGATCTTCATAGGTGCAAGTGTTTCTTATCTTTGTTTTCAGCATTCAGTGTTCAGCCTACAGATGATGTCTCATTTAGGGTGCGAGAGGAAGTGTTTGAAGCTGCCGTCTCCTTTGCCTTTCCATGAGGATGTGAGGCTTGGCTCAAAGTGCCCCCTAAACCCACTGAGATGCTCTACAAGGCTGGGGTGAAAGCTTTGTTGTGCTTAGAGTGAGGGTGGCTGCACACAACTTGACCAAGCAATTGAATGTCAACGTTAATCAAAGTATGTTTACAATTTATTAATGGTCTATATGCTATTTATAAACGATGATTAAACGTTAATAAACTATCTGCTTACCATTTATAAATGGTCTATTTACCTTTTATAAGTTATGGTTATTGTAAAGTGTTACCAAATACTGTTTTCTGAAATAGAAAAGTGGGTATTGCCAACAATAATTCTAAAAAGTAGGGTATGTCAAAGTATGGAAATTCCAACTGTGTAGGAACCCTGAAAATACTGCCCAAAAAATGCTTCAAAGGCCGACTTTTTAACCTATTTGTAATTTGATGGATGCTACATATTATAATGAACACTGACTTGGGTTTGACAGCATTTAACAGATTCTTACTCCAGTATCAGATCCACCAATCTGATCCAGAACCTCTTAAATCTGCCATCATCCTTCTTCAGATTAGCCTTGTAATGTTTCAAGGTACAAACCAGTGCGCATGGAAAACTTGAAATCAAGAAAAAAGTTTTTAAGTCAACTTGAAGAATAACGGGGTGAAGCGGGTGAATTTATTGTGGATTATGTTTGTGTACAACTGGATACATAACTAGCTCACACTTTTGACCCTATCACTCAAGGTACTGATATAAAATTATCAGTACCTGCAAGGGTTGAGGTGGTTTATAAATAAGGAACGGGACGCTCTATCAACAAAACAAGACCCACCATTGAACAATGACGAAAAAAGGTCAAACTCCAAAACAAATGTACGTTTCTTACAGTAGAGTGTTAATAGTTTTAAGTAAACAAACAAAAGACAAGAGGACAGTGAGGTTAAGCCTTTGTAAATATTTGACTGGAATGCATTAAATCTCTACAGATGTGGAATGAATAACAACAGAAGCCATTAAAGTCAATTATTCTGGCTCATATTAAACGCAGTTTTTTTCCCCTTACTTTACGGAATAGTGCTTCAATATACAAACAAAACACGTGGAAAATGGACCATAAATTATTACCAGGGTGGAGATCCCAAGGTGACTTATAATATGATACAACACAATGTGGTGCAATACAGATAATGATCATATCCCATTATTGTGACACTGAAGTCCAATACAATTATATTATAATAACTTGTAAAAACTAATAAACTAAAGAAACTCAAATGCTCCTAACAGGTAAAACGCAGGATTGATGCCATAAGGGCCAAGCGAAGCACCACCACAAGGAGGGATGAGATGAGTCAAATTGAGTGAGAAATCTGTTAATAGACCTGTAATAGTTTAAATTAATTATATTAACATTTGGTGCAAACGATACAATAATCGGTCAGGCTGATGATACACTACTGTAAAAATGTTAACAGACTTAAAAATGTTTCAAGATAACAAATATGTCGTTTATCAGTCAGGTTTTTGTGATTATGAATGGATGCTACCATTTTTAAACGTTGATTTAACAAATCAAAAACGGATAAGAAGCCTGTAACTCATTTATTTGAACCTCAGTTCAATATTGAAAACTCATTTAGAGTCCCAACCCTGTTTAAAGTCAGGATGCATCACCAGAAGCAGGGAGCCAGCATTAACATTCAAGGTCTAAAAGTAAATGTAGAGAGGGAAAAGTGGCAGAAACAGAAATCTGTGCTGTATAAGGTTTGATAAAATATTCAGGGGGGAAAATACAAAGAACACAAAAGGTAAGGTTTGGGGATCACAGCCTGGGAAAATAAGCTGGAGGGATGGCAAGTTAATAAGATGTTTTTCAGTTGCTTTGCAGCTCACTCACCAGGGCTGCTCCGCCGCTGCTCTTTGTCCATGTTCGACACTACAAAGGGAGAGAGAGAGTGAATGTCAGAGAGAGACTGAGACAAACAACACAGAAACTAAAGGGGAGAAATTGAAACACGGAGAGATCCGGTGTTGGAAGCAGACAAAAAAATATTGGAAACCCAAGCAGGATGTCTTATTCTGAGAGGAGGAAAGGACAGTAGAGACTGAGCTGCATTCAAAACCATGTACATCAGTGCTTTACAAACACAAAAGACAGACACAAAAGAGATAGAAAAGTTAACAGAATATACCATTTCATACCTTCACTTTCAATATTGTCTACGGTGTCATTGACCAGACGTATGACAGTCACTATGGAGGCTGGGCGGGGACAAGAAAGAGAAAGAGAGGAACAAAAACAGTGTTAGCGCATAAGAAAAGAGTAAGGTTTCATGTATTGGGTGTGACTCTGTGTGTGTCTGTGTGTGTGTGTGTGCGCACGTGTGAAGTTCATAGAAGACATGTGGTCATATGTTTCATGTTTGTTTGTGTCACATGGGAGACTAGAAGAGAGACAAGTCTTTTCTTTGCAGCACCAGTCATAACCTTACACCAGCACACATGCACACGCACACACACACACACGGTCATTAGGGTGTTTGGCTTCCAACCTCTTTAAGATCAATGGTATTGAGTTATCTGAGAAAAAGAGACAAATACGATCCAAGAAAAGCATCAGAGGTATTGATCTATCTGGGAAAAAGTGACGCTGTAGAATTTCAAGAAAAGCGCTAAAACTCTGTGCTTAAAGGAGCTTAAATTGAGCTTAGCTTCATGTGTGTATGGATTTTGATGTATAGAGGTACCATATAGAAACATTTTTTTTTTTTAAAGTCTTCATGTTTTTTCATCAGTGAGCAGTACTTCAGAGTAATATTACACAACAGAAGATCTACCATTTTCCCACATGCAGAATAGCTAGATTTGGAACTCAAATAAGCAGCTCTGTGTGTGATTAGAGTTATTACCCAGACAGCAAAACAACAAGATCAAGAAGCGCGATAGTGTCTTACCATTGTCATCAAAGGACTCAGAAGTGTAGGAACTGATGGAGTGCTCCTCAGAGATGGAGTCTGAAAGGCATGTCACCTCATCCGCCAGCTGTGACATGTCTACCATGTGCAAACAAACAACAAACACTCTTGTTCAATCTCAAACATTTCAGAAAGCATTTTCAAAATCATGTTATTGCCCAACCCCGAAGAGATACTGTTACTGAACTAAGATTTACCTTAATTTTCAATGGGATTGCTCTCTTTTCAACCCTATGTTAATAAAATGATAATATGCTAGAATAAACATTCAAAGCTCTTCAATACTTAAATCTTTTTATGTTTCCAGACAGAGAAAATCTGTAACACTACTTTATTTCCAACCAGGGATGTTGCAAAAACAATAATTTCTTAGTTTTATGAAAATAAAGTTTGAGTTTGTGTAGTAACCAAAGACTGCATAAACTATGGACAACTTGGCTCCGCCTTCCGTCTTTATACGAATTTAAAGCCGAATTGCTCTCGGTATTTCCATGATTTTCTCCACTTCCTGGAACCACCACTTGCGCAGTAGCATTGCACGCATGTCAACATCACAACCAGCGGGAGAAAAATATATATTCTGTGTAATTAATTTCAAAAGTTTGTCCACAACTCTATTAAGTTTGCTTGAGAAGGCAGGATTAATGACCTATACTGCAGCCCATCACCAGAGGGTGTTGTTCTCACGAAGGCTTCATCCAGCGAGGAGGCAGACGACGTTCATTCTATATACAGTCTATGGTAGCAACTCAACTCAACTCATAGCAACTCATAATGTAATAATGGCTAATAATGTAATGAATTAAATGTAATAAAGTTCATAATGTAGTAATCAACTCATACTGTTACATTAGTACACGATGCGCAAAGACGTTATTATGTTATACGCTAATAGTTTTACTACATTATTAACTTGGTTATGCCTATCTCTATAACACATTATAAATATATGTACAATGTGTCATAATCATGTTTAACTATAGTTATAAACACTCATAGATGATCATAATGCTTTATAGCAAAAATCATAACACATTAAAAAGCATTTTATCATGACTTACAACGTCAGGTATTATAATGTGTTATGCTTATTGTTATAAAGCCTTATAATAATTAATAAGTGTTTATCATGATACTTATAAAAATTTATAAGCACATTACAACACTTCATAAATGTATGTATAATGCATTATCTATGTGGGCATTGTCAGTAAGTTGTTAACAGTTATAACACATTATAATACCTGACCTTGTATGGTATTATTGCTATAAAGCATTATGATCATTTATGAGTGTTTATAGTTATACAGTGCTATAACGTGATTATAACGTATTATACATGTATTTATAATGCGTTATAGAGATAGGCGCCCTGTAAAGTGTTCCCATCAACTTTTATCACATTTAAGTTATTGCAATATGAGCCATTAATACATCCTGAGTTGCTACAAGTTGATATTTTTGTTTGCTGTTTGTGTTCTTTGTGTTGTTGTTGTCATGTCTGTTTCTTGACTGGCATATTAGTGTGAGTGGGAGTAACCACTCTCTAGCACCCTCAATTACATATGCATCAATTTACTCCCCACTCGACTAAAGTAGGTAAAAGGAGACCCCCAGTCTGCTCACAAACACAGTAAAATAATAATTCACATTTTAAGGCACTTTCACTAGCTGTACACTCAAATTAAGTTGTCATCTGTTCCAAAAAGCTGACAAAGTTTGAAGCACAGAATTTTTTACCAAATCCCAGTACAACAACTACGACTCCAGGTGTGCTCATTTAACGCCTACAGCACCAGCTGGAGGAGTAAGTGCTCTAATGTGGTATATTACAGACAGATGTGAGACACAAACTGCTCAAAACAGCAGGTATATCAGCGAAATGAAAAAAGCCCAGGAACAGAAAATGAAAGTTCTATATTCTGTTACGGCCCACCTGCTTACCACCTCCAGTCCATCTGACATTTTGTCTGCACCGAAGACTCGGTTGTGATTTCATTTAGAGAAATGTGTTGGGTCTCAGGTTAGCCTTCACCTGCATTTCTTTAAGGGCAACTTTTGAAAAAATTAGCTGCTTGAAAGTCGGTGTAACTCCTGAAAGAGTTTCTCCTGCTGAGCTGTTATTAGAGAGGTCACAATTGTCCCTGAGCAGTTTTCAAACAACTCGCAGAGGTGCTTGGCAGGTTCTTATGCGTCTCAACAACTCCAGAGAGGGGCATGTTTTTTAGAGACAGAGGATAACATTGTTTGTTACAAGACCCACTGCCAAGTTCATGTGACTCCTTCAGGTGTTCCAATCTAGCAGCAATAAAACGCCTGGTTTGGCACTGGCGCTGAGAGCCATAAATGACAAATAGAGCAGAAAATTATCATACGGGCTTTAACCATAATCCAACAACTCTATTCGGAATATGAAACAGTTTGGAAATATGAGCCGGCTGATTTACTGATGTGAAAAACTAAAGGGGTTATGTTGAATGATAAACAGAGAAACAGATTACGAAGAGGAGAGGCGGTTAGCTTTTCACTGCCTTCCTGCTCAGTCTCAAACTATCAATGATTTTATTTAAAATTTAGTCTCATCAATTGATTCGCTATCTGCATCAGTTTCTTCACATATGTGGCAGATGAGACTCTGTGATCTTTGATTTTTATTAAAGAAAAACTAAAATCTAATACCTTTCCAATTTGATAAAGCAGTAAACTATTTATTGGGGTACACTGCAAACAGATTGTTTTCAGAATTGGCTAAACAGTTCAGTCTGTTTTAAAGCCATAACTGCACTAGCTCCGTCAATAACGGCTTGGATGTCTGAACATCATCTCCAGCTTTCTGAGGCCACGCTGGGTGGGTGTGGACTCGTGCCTACAAGGAACAAGTGAAAAGCTCCTGTGGGAATATGAGCAGTAAGGCAATACTACTGATCAAAATAAACAAGAAAAGCAACCTATAGCAGCCTCTGGTCTAATGTCATGTGGGAAGCTGACACTCTTTTACACAGCAGATTCTTTAAGAGAGTGTTCATTATGTTGAACGAAACTGGAGGTAGTATCATAATGTCTGAGCGTCACATAGTTGGTTGTCAGAGTTGATATTGATATATCTTACAGCAACTGATGTTTCTATTATCCATGTTATGCTGTGAAGAGGGGATCTTCATCTGAACATGTCAAGTCAACATGTCAGTGGTTGCTGTGGCTACCATGTTGAATCACTAGAAGACTCTACGCAGATGCAGCCTGGCAAAGTTTATTACACTGCCAAAATACACTTGTTGGATATGTTTTCAATAAAATAACTAAAGGCATTTGTCCAGGATGCACCAATCAACAGGGTCACGATTCATACAGAAACAACAGTGGTTTTTGTGGCTGCAAGCTATTAACGTTTACTGTATCCACCCTCAATTCGATCCAGTTTTGATTGCATGTAATTAACTGCTTAATGAAGTTTTTACTGTGTTTGGTTTCTGAAGAAGTTGGTTTCGAGCCCTGGTTACAACTTAATCACAGATGTAAGACAATTATGACTCAGTATGGAGAGAACAAGGGAAAGTCTGTTCACAGAAACAGAAGTCATGTTCACACTACATCAACGTCATCAGAGAAATAACAATGCTAGCTAGCAAACCAAAAGAGCTAATGGGGCAATAACAAAGGTTTAAAGGGGAGCTACTGAGCTGTGTATAAAGTAACACCCACAGACTGTTTCTGACTGTATATCATTGTTTTGGTTGTAGGTTTACAAGGTTAACTTTGTGTGCTCTTCTCCAATGGGTTTGGTTGCAAACGTCACATACGGGTAAAATTCACTCTCAGGAATGTTGCTTTGATTATCCTGACAGCTAGCATCACATTTTCCATCAGACTCATTCAGAAATCAGAGTCTCTTGTCTTTTAGTTGTCCATATTTCCACCACCTCAGCAACAGGTCAAACTCTGATCATCTCAGAGTTTGACCTGTTGCTGTCCACTTAACACTGAATATTTGTCCACTTTCTGATCTCTTATCTTCTGTAAAAGGTTCACTCTGAGTGAACACAAACAAAATTTTAGACTCAGGTGGTTATACACTAATTTTAACATCCTTATGAACACCATTTAACCAAGTCTGTATACTACCAACCATACATAATCGAAGCTCCAATCCTTAAACTAAGACAGACAGTACTCTAAATACAGCCTCCATTTAAAAAAAATCCTTTTCAAAATGTATTTTAAAAAAATGTAATGTAAAATGTATTTAGTTATTAATGTTTCTTTAAGGTAAAGTCACTTATTATAAACTCATAACTGTTTATTCTAAGCTCAAAATATAAATAATCATAACCACCAGTAGTCTAAAAAACACAGTCAAATGAAATTTGTTGCAACTAAGAATTTGCAGTTTGTTTTTTTATCAGAGTTTGTGGAGGAAACTGGTGTTCAACAGTCATCATTCAATCACTGATCTTTCATTATGACTAAGTTTCTTTAAAGGCAAGCATGGAGAGCAGTCAACTTATTTTGAGGTATCCAATCATTATTGCAAAACAATAATCACCCAGGGACCTTATTTCCAAGTGTTACATTATTCATAACATTTATTTATTCATAAGCAGCAGGTTCAACCAATATGTTTTCTTCATATATTGACCTGAGCCCATCCATTGCAATATTCATTCTCCGATAGACTCATTAGTTGTTTCTGTGGTATAAATGGTTAATTTAGCCCATCTTAAACAGTGTATCATTAACTATTCAAACTGATTAATTGAACTGGAAATTAATCATCAATCCAATAATCTCAGTATTAGTCCATTGTTGCACATTAATTAGTGGACGGTGATGTAACCGTGAACCCAAGAAGCATTCACTTTTCTTAACACACAGCGGGGGAGCGGTAAATAAACCAAGCATTTCCCATTCCCACAGGAAGGAATCAATAATTAGCAGGAAGTTCTGACTTCAAGCTTGATTATTCAAACAACAGGTTGGACAGAGAATCGAAATGTGTGACGTCTATCTTAGCACTGAGATGCAATGTGGTTATTTAATTGACAGAAAACAAACTGTGAAGGGTGTGATCAGGCTGCTGATGGCTAAATATAAGACTGAACTTTTTCTTGCCGCCCCTCGTTGTTTTTATATCTGTCCTTTCAGTAGATGAAGAAACTGGAGAAGCACTCTCCGATGTGAAAAATAGTCATACTTTATACCAGGGTTGAAAAATACACTTAATCGTCTGGCACATGTAATTACGGCGTGGGAATGTGCAACAGTCACCTCCCAAGATGTATGACGGTTAGTCATATGACCTGAAACATTTAATGGAGTCCAGTTTCTCATTTTCCATAAATAGAAATCCATCTTATAACACTCTAATGCAGGCCCTTACTTACATACACTAAGAACTGACCACTGTGCATCCAGAGTCAGCGACTGTCACATACAGTAACTACGGCTGTGTCCGAAATGGATCCCTAACCCCTATATAGGCGACTATATGGGAGTTGGTGCAATTTTGAGGGGTGTCCGAAACCTCCAGTGATTGAGCTCACTACATAGTCAACTATATAGTGAAACCCCATATGGGGGCTAGGGGTTAGGGATTGAGTGACTCATTTTGGACACAGCCTATAAAAGGCAAAAATGCACCTGACACTGTCACAAACACTTTAAGGGACAGACTGGAACTAACCATTACCAGTCACTTATCTTCCAGGTACTCCCATTGCTCTACACCTCTCCTTGTTAGTTTGTTAGGGATGTTTTACAGGACATATTTGTGCTCCACCTTTCCTGTTTTTGCCATGGCTGCATCTGTTCTTTCCTCTTCAGTTTGCTTGCTAATGGGCAATCGTTTCTCTCCATTTGAAAATCCACAGAGTTCATACTTGGCTCTCCTCAGGGCTTCCCCCACATGACGGGTTTTCTGATCATAAATGTTGAACGTGTTTACGGCTATGATTGCAAGTCAGGGTGACCTGATTGTCCTCTGCACAAATTGGGGTGAGAAGAATCACTCTCAGCACATCAGACTCTGCAGGATAAATCAACGCCAGAATCATGAATATCTTACATTGTGGTCCCTGCTTTACATGGCCATGGCATGTTTAAATGGCTATACCTGCAGTCTGCTTACAGTGTTGTGCTTCTAAAATCACAACCAGAAGAAGATGGTGAATTTTTGGATCATTAAAAGTTACTATCATGAGGTTTGAGATGCAGATTTAACATAGAACATTTTTGGCACTATAAGGTGCATCTGATTATACGTATGGCGCACCGGATTATAAAGCGCATTGAGCAAAACAAAACAGTCAGATAAGTCAAACTTTATTTAACTCATCCAATACCTCTGCGAAGCTACGGTAGCAGCAGTGCTTCAAAAAGGCAAAAGGATTTTAAGTGCGCCTTATAGTCCAAAAAATATGGTAATTTCAAAAAATTTAAAAATCATTGATGACCTGCAATTTGTCGTTGAAATAATCAACTGTATTGGTTATGTGTTTTCTATTGCATTATATCTTCTATGTAAAATAAAACTCTTTTTTCACTCATTTTAGGGGCATTTTTGCTTTTTTACTGTTTTCAAAATCATTTGACAGGTCAGCTCAAGCAACACAGCAAATACGGGGAACAGTGAGTGTGGGAGATCTGCAGGAAAGGGTCATGGTCAGGAGTTGAACTAGTGACCGACTAACCCCGGAGGGTTATGAGTTGAACCCTGACCCTATAGGGCAAGAGCCTTTCTAGGATTGTCTTCACTAACAGGAAATCAGTCTGTAGAGACTTTGCTTGGATTCTGTAGGGCTGCTGATCAAATCCCTGTATGGACTCAAGTGTAGATGCTGGGACTGGTCGCTAAAAAGATGCCAGTTTACTATCTGGGTAATGAAAGTCCTCATGTCTTTTAGGCTTGTGTGTGGAGCCTGTTTAACAAATACAAAAAAAGTTAAATTTCCCCTGAGATTTATCAAAGTACGTCCCCTACTCCTACTCTTTTTTTTTAGCGTAATGAGGCTCGGACCATCTGTTGTGGCTGATGATCCTGACCATTCAATCAAATTCTATGAGAGATATCTGCAGATACAAGAGAGCATGATTGCCCATTTTGCCATTTGAAAGATAAGCTAGTTATGTAATTATTATTGTTCCCTGGAAGTGGAGATTGAAACTGAAATTATAAGTAAAATTAAAATATAATTTCCTTCCCACTCTTGATGAGTTGGGGCCATTTTCCTGGATGTGTGTCAGTGAAAAAACATCAATCATTGTAAATCAAGCTCATTCAATGCTGATGAATGTATGGGTGTAACACAATGACTTCATGGCTTGTGTACTACAAACTGTGTGTGGGTTTGTGTTGTGTGTGCACGCATGAACACAGTCACACTCTTACCTTGTGGGCTGTTACTATTCTGCGTTCTCTCAAGCTGAAAAGCTCTCTGCCCCCACTCATTCTCTCTCTCATCCCTCATTCTATCCAGCCCGTCATCCCTGGTCTCCTCTCCGTCCCAGGATACTTTGTGGGCTGGACTGTGCTCTGTAAGGCAGGAAGATGCCAATGGAAGATTGGGCGCCACGCTGCACACTGCCACACCCCTTCTATTGGCAATGCCCCGAACAGTGGACAGGTCTGAGAGGAAGCTGCTAAACTGTAGGGACAAAAGAAAACAGAGATATATGAACAATTCAACACTTTTTACTCTGAGATTTGATATATGAGCACAAATTTCACATACTATGATAAAATGACCGTAAGAGCTCTGAGTCAATCACAGTAAAGTTCTCTTAGTTGACATTTTTTTCTGTCTTGTTTTACTCTTTAATTTGCCCCTTTTTTCTTGATGCTGTCTATTGTGCTAATTGTTGTTTGATCTTGAATGTTCAGTCTTTTCTCCTTTTGTGTCGACAACAGAAAGGGTATTTTTCTCACTGTTGTAATAACTAATGGAGAACCAAAGACTTCTAGTGTACCCCAGGCATCTTTTCAGTTCACGGCAAGTGTAAACACCAAAAAACGTAAAGTTGCTTTGCTTAATTTGGTAAATGTCATGCCTGATTTAATATATATATATATATATATATATATATATATATATATATATATGTATTGTTTTTTAATTTCTTTATGTATTTATGGTGCAAGCTGTTATTTTATAGAAAAATGATACTAAACCAATCAAAAAGAAGAGCAGGTCATTATTTTTTCAGCTCATTCATTCAATTTTCCAATGATGAGCATCTATGATGTAACCATTTTTTGAACATATTTTTTTTTTTACTGTAAAAAATGTTACTTTTTTCTATTCAGATTTAATGTTTTCTGTGTTTTTTTTTATTTTATTAATTTTTTTATTTTACAGTATGTCAAAATGACAGAATACCTGTAAATCCACACATGTAAGGCATGTAAGGTTGTGCTGAAAAAAAAATTATGTCAAGCAAGTTTAGGTAAACAGTTTTTAAGGTGAAATATCGAGGTAAAATCAACAGTAGTTTTAAACAGCCAGTTATAGAGCCCAGAGGGTTCACAGTGCCATCAGAGTACGTTAGAGTGAATGTGAGTTTTAGCTTAGTCCAAGCTAATTAACTGTATCATACAGTGCTTTTCACATGTTTGAGAGGATCATTTATGAGACTGAGAAAAATTTGATTGCTGTGTTTTGTGTGTATCGTCATAATTTTATCGGGTTTTAGCCTGAGGACTTGGACAGTCTGTCCCACAGCTGTCTGCACGTATGAATAAAACACCATTGCTCAAGTTTCTGTCAAAGATAAGAGGGTTAAAACTGAATTAAAGAAACACAGAATCATCAAAACCCTGAGCTGGAGGATGTGCTGATACAGATATTGATGTCAGGATATAAAACTGCTGTTCCCTTGGTTTTTCATTTCATTTCATTTTATTATGTGAAACTATCAATATTGAGTAATTCCCCTTTGATTACTTTGTAAATAAAGCTGCAACAACAAAATCGTCTCATCTAGAAGGGTGGTTGTTTTGTCATGAAACAGAAAAACGGTTATAAATTCATATCTTTAACAGACCTGACTGCTTTCACTGGAGGTGGTCTTGTCGCCATCTCTACTCCTCAATCCCTGGTTTATGATCCCCCCAGGCAGAGGGGAGTGGGTCGTTGGGCGCACCATGACCTGTGGAGGACCCCCAGTGCAGCCTCCAACCTCACCATAGGTGCTGGTAGCGCCAGGTGAACCCGACACACGCACAGCTTTGAACTCAATCCCTTCTGCGCCAACACGTGTTTTGTGCAGCATGTAGCTGGTCTCTGTGGATATAGCCGACACACCCATTACAGTCCCTGGTCCTGAGTCAGAATCCTTCCTAAACTTGATTTTCTTTCTAAAGGCCATGAAGAGTATCAGTAGGAGGAGGATGACAAAAGCGAGGACGCCAATGCCAATTATCTCTCCTGGTCCAATGTATGACAGGGGTTCAGCCTGGGCAATGGGAAGAAAACAAACAAAACACATTGAAAGGTCTTCGCTCTGAACATGGCAACTCAAACTTTTAGGTCATTTTAGGAATTCAGTTTTTGTTTTGATAAAGGACAATGACATTTTTGCTACAGAGGAAACTCTGCGACTGTTGGCATAACAAAAAAATATTGTTTTTCAAGGTGGAAAATTATCCATCACCTCAGCCCTCCCCTACACAGATTCCTTTAAAGTGATTTAAGCGGCAATAAGGCAGATGAAGTCAACTTTTACATTAGATACTGATAGAAAAATACAATTTACAATCACCTCCTGAGTGGAGAGTAATGTAATTTAAGACATCACAGTTAAAAAAAAAAGGCAGCTGCATTACAAACTTTGCATAAACAAAATCATCTTTACATTGTGAACATCACTTTCATTGGTGTAAATGTTTGTGTCACACTATGTTGCCCACCTTTCCAATTTACATCTGCTCCCCACGACAGAAGAATACTAAAATCAGTTTCAGTTTTTCGCCATTTGCTCTAAATAATTATTTTCACTCATTGTTGCGTAACCAGAATACAAGACGAGTACACTCCGGGGGAAACACTGAAGTTTTTTTTCAGAAATCATGCCTTTGAATGCACTTACAAATAAACAAACATAACTTACATTTCTAATGGTTGTATGAAGTGGCCTAATAGTTTTTGTCACCCATGTTTACATCTCTACTCATTACGTTCTTCGAGGGAGTAATAAATAAAGCCTTTTCTTTCAACAATGCATAACATTAATTGCAGTCTCAATATGAGGTCTACAGCGCACAACAAAAGTCAAGAGCGTGACAACTTGTAATGGAAACTATGATTTATCCATTACAGCGGTTTCATTCATCTGCTGCAGAGACAAACATTTCAAGCTGGTGAATAAACCTTCCCGGGAGGCCAGTGCACACTCAGAATCCTCAACAGCTGCACTGGATATGCCAAGTCCTATTAGAAGCAAGCTGAGTGTGCAAAAAAGCAAGCCCAAAAAGCCAGGACTTTTTGGATTAAGATTTGGTATCCTGTGAGATTACCTCCTGCATGAATTCCCCTTCAAGTGCTGATCATACTCTACCTGCATGTCATCCCCCAGATTACCAGGCATCTGATCGTCACAAATCTGACCCTCGTAGCCCTCGGAGCAGTTACAGTAGAACGACCCGAATGTGTTGACACACTCTCCTCCATTCCTGCAGCCGTCCTGCTCGCACTCATTCACATCCTCGTCACATCTGCAGGAGCATGGACAAATACATTACTATGCACGGGAGCGGTGGAGATGATTTGTATCAAAGTGAACTGGAAGAATAAAAGATGAAAGAGGTGACAGTGAGTTTAAAGACAGAGGGAAAATAAATACTTTGGAGATCATCTTTTCAGAGGGCCTTTCTTCTGCTAAATCAAGGGATTATCTTCACAGATTCCCCTATCATCCTCATTTACATGCCTCTGATTTACACAACTGTGCCTCCTTGCTCAAACTTCCTCACACACAGACACAAACACAGACAAACACACACATATGCACACACAACCACTTACTCTAGATAAAAGCATGGGCCACAAATGTAATTCTACTGCCTGCACATGTTCTTAGCTTGCCATTTTCAACATGGTGTCCTGCTGTGAGGGAGATGGAAAATGTTGTATTTTCTCAATAGGAGTTTGAGATCACAAAAGTGGGTCCGATGTGAGAAGAAAAAACACAGAGTTTTGCAAGAAGCTTTTGTTTAAGTCATTCAAGTCTAACTAAGTGACATTAAGCACGTTTAGTTCATTTAGCCCCACCTTTATAGATTGGCCACTTGTCTTCACCCATTAGTATTTTCAGAAATCTATACTCTAATTAAGCTCCGACTTTGCTTTGAGAGAGACATTTTCACAATCTAATGGACATTTTCTATCTTAATCAAGTTTATTTCCGTTATTTAAATGCAAATGTTTAAATGTATCTATAACATATATCCAATTTACTGAGGAAAAATTACACTCATTAGACTACATTAAAAAGTTTTGGCTTTTGTTTTGGATATGACTTATGTGTATTAAAAACTAACTGAAAAATACTCTTAAATTCTAGAATCTGACAAAAACACATCTAAATGTTCATCACTGTCATTATTTACTTTAATATAATTTATCTAAACCTCATTAAAAACAATGTTTAAACTTTCATTGGAATTACAAAGAGCTGAATCTTTTTATTATGTGAGGAAAAACTGCTCTCTAGTGGTAGGTCCATGAAACAACAACAGCAGGAGCAGAGAGGTTATTTCAAAGGCAATTACTAAACTGTAATTAAGAAGGAAGCAGGGAGAATGATTATAGGCTTTTCAACCGAAATTATACCGAATTCAATTTTGAACACTAATTTATCTCTCTCAATAACAACCAAAACAACGCATTGGCTGCTGAGGTGCTAATGTGGGCTAATGAATGCATGTGTGTCTTCTTCTTCGAACATGTTCCCACATGGTTATTGTGTATGAGAGCTGGGAGGCAGATGTTACAGCGTCTGAATCATCGCTTGCGTGGCTGTTATTGTGCGCGCACTGTGTTAACAGGGCGCGCTATTCATCAACACTGCTCTACAATCAGTAATTAAAGCTTTAAAGAGTGTGTTCGTGCATGCTGTGGTAATTTTTTCCTTACACAAGTCCCCCGAGTCCTCTTGGACAGCCACACAGGAAAGCACTGCCTACAGGCTTACAGTCCCCTCCGTTCTGGCAGGGGTTTGGCATGCAGGATGTCAATTCAATGTCACAGCGCCCCCCAGTGAAGCCAGCGTTGCAACTGCAGAGGAAGCCTGGCAGAGAGAGATAAAAAAACATGTATGATTATTAAAATTTAAAATGACAGTAGACTCTTTTTGAAGAAAAAGTGAGATAAAATAAGGCCAACAATTACATGCAACATCATATTCTTCAAGGACGACACAAAGGGGCAGTAACAGGAGAAGAGTGACTAATGAAAAAATCACAATCACATTGCTGAGGCATAGACTCATAATGACACTCAAGCTGTTAAAACTGAGTGATGTGGTTTCATGTGGAAGTGTTAGTTATGACCATCAAAATGACCAACAACCGCGCACATTCACACTGTTATCCAAACAGACCTCCAGAGGGAATACTGCTGCAGATGGCTCCATTGAGACAGGGCTGACTGACACACGGATCTGGAAAGAGCACGCAGCCCAGCTTGACCTCATTCAGCCCAGCTATCTCAGCATATCGGCTCCTCTTATTCTGAAGTGGCAGCTCATTGCCGTTCAGCATCAGTGAGCCCAGGCAGCCCTGGAAACCATCCTGGGCTCTTGGTGGGCCCCTCATTCCACGATCCCCCAGTGCTGTCACGCCTTGATTCCGCCCTGGCCCCAGGCTTGGCCTCTCAATTTGCCCGCTAAGAGGCCTCACTTGGGCTCCGAAGAAAAAGGATGAATCTGGCGCCAGAGGCCATAGACGAACAGGGGCTCTAGCAGCTCGGCGGCGCTCCACATAGCTGTCATCCAGTGACAGGAGGGTGTAGTTCCTAGTCAGCTCCAAGGCAACTGCATGCCAGAGGCCATCATTTATCGGTCTACCAGAGATACCCATAATGCCGAGGGTGTTGTCGCAGTCCAGTTGGAACCAGAGTCGACCATTTTCAATCTGAAAAGGAGCAAATTCTTCCTTTAAAAGAAAAACCAGCAGCTCATGCACTAAAAATAATAAAGTGTAACTTAAATGTTTGTACTTTGAGCATGGTACAGGGGTTGACACGTGTGAACATGATGACTCCTCTTCTCTGAAGTGTCCTGATCCTCAGACCGAGCTTCATCTCTCCACTCTGGCCGCTCTCTGTCACTCTGTATTTGATATAACTGTTCCCTGAGAAACTCAGAGAGGTCTGTCCTACACATCAACAAAACAGACAAATAACTTGAAGAAAATGATTTTTAGAGTTAATTTTGTTTTTAAAAAGTGTAAAAAAAAACACCCAACAAAACCAACATAAATACCATACCTGCACAATCATCCAGCTTCTCTATCTTACACTGGCAGACAGATGGCGCTGTTGGACCAGAACGGACACACTGCATGTCTGCTGGACAGGTCTGACCCTCACAAAGCTCCACAGGAGCTGGGCATATCCCTCCTGTTTGGGTAGATACAGAGAAAAATACCATCAATATGTTAAATAACCAGTGTTCATATGAAATACTTTACTGTGTGTACTTTTTGTGTGCATCTTTGGTTAATAGTTCAGTACTTTTCTGTGATCTGGTCTTAGATTGTGAGTACTCACCGGGGCAGGTGCAGGTCTCTGTGCGGCTGAACGTTGGTACCACCGTGCTGATCCTCTCTGTGCTGTAAGCCGCCTGTGAGCTGCTCTCCATAACCAGAGTCTGCTCACACACTTTCTCCCCACAATCCAGCTGCCCAGAACAAACATTGCTCACCACCGCCGCCCCGGCTAAGATGCCTCGGATCTGACCTCGATCTCCCGCTTCCTCCAGTTTTGCAGACAACTCTTTTCGGGAATAGAAGCCACCCATGCGTCTGCTCCCGGATGTCTCCGGCCTCTCCATGGCCAGAAGCAAATCCACCCCTGATGTCCCTGTCACTGGCTGTACACTGAGAATATGAAGAGGGTCCTGTTGTCCTGGTGACCATTTCCAACCTGCTAGCCCTCGTAACAAAAGTTTAATTTGGTTTAAGTAGCGACTGAGCAAATCTTCTGGGGACAGAGAGCTGAAGCGTAAGTTCAGAGCACTACGCAACAGCACGTCTGTTACTTGCTCCACCTGGACTGAGACATCGGCTATCACAGCAAAACGTCCATCACTCACTGTGGCATTCATCTGGTACCTAAAAGAGAACAGAGAAATGTATTAAAATCAGGTCTTGGATTCTGTGTGAACACTGGAGAGTGTGTTTGTGTGTTGAAGTGTGTACCTGCCAGGTTCAAGGCCTGGCAGAGCCACGATAGTGCCATCTTGTCTGTTTATCTTAAACATGCTCTTGGGCTGAGGCTTCTGGGTGAACGACAGCACGTCATTCGGGTCACGGTCGGTTGCGTAGATCCGACCAATCGGGCCACCGGAGAAGGTATCGGTTACCATCACAACAAAAATTTCTTGGGGGGAGACGACAGGTTTATACTGACTGTTCCCGATGACCCTCAGAAATATCCAGGAAGAAGAGCTGAGGCTTGGTTTCCCAGAATCACTTGCCTGAAAGCCCAAAACAAAGTCACAATATTACACTAAAAAACTTTCTGAAAAATCACAGAAACATGCGTCAACTGCTACTGGGGTGGGTCTTTCAGGATTAATTCATAGAGATGTCTATAAGAAGGTGACATGTTAAGATTGTGTTTACCTTAATTTCCTCTAACTTCTACTGACAAGAAATATGGACCGCCATAAAGCTGGAACTGAATTAAGTAGTTTTGTTAACAGCTCCTCCATTACAGAAATGTGTATAAGTGTGGCTACATTTTAAAACCCAAGACTCTAATGGCCTGACTGAGCTGCTAAGAGGGAGAAACTGCATGAAAAATGTGCAGCCACTTATGCTGACTGTGTCTAACCAAGCTAACACAATGCGATGTTTCTTGAATATATAGTGTTTGAAGAACCTGGATTTCAAGAGTGAACTCTCTTGGGGCATCAGGACCAAAGCCCCGGTTGGACTTCACAGTTCCAGTGGGGTCCAGGGAGAAGAAATTTCCCTCATTTCCTGACACGATGCGAAACTCAAAGGGTGGGCCGTTTCTGGGAGAGTCTTTGTCGCTGACTGACAGCTTCAGCAGGGTGATATCGGCAGCTTGGTTTAGCTGGAAGTAAGGAGAAAGAGAAGTTAAGATGACGCAAGGATAAAAAAAAAACATGCTAACAAAAGCAAAAACACACAAGCTGTTACCTGTATGATGGCTGTGGAGTTAGGAGGGGTGAAGACAGGGGGGTTGTCGTTCACATCTGAGACGTCAATGTTAAGGGTGACAGTGGAGGACATGGCTGGAGAGCCACTGTCGAACGCCTGCACTGTCAGAGAGTACCTGGATACCTAAATGCAGCAGGGAGACAAAGGTGTCGTATCATTTGTATGTATCATGCATACAGTGGGCTCTGTTGTGTTTGCATATTGTGAGACTTCATTGAGTGTTGACCTTGAGCTGGGAGGGTATTTTCTGTCTTGGCTGCGCTCATGAACCAGAAAATTACTATTGATTGTGTATAAGATATTGTACTTTAAGATGCATCCTTACTAGTTCTCTGTCGAGCCGCTTATTGACTTTGAGCACCCCTGTCACGGGGTCAATCCAGAAGTGGTTGCTACGGTCACCCTTTAGGATAGAGTAAGTGATTCGCCCGTTCACCTGACTGTCCAAGTCTTCTGCCAATACCTGAAAAACACAGAAATACAGTGAAAAACACATGAAGGATGGTAAGAATAGACAGTAGATGGAGAGGAAATCAATCAAGACGAGGTGAATTGTAGTTGAGGATTTCATTTAAAAATACAAAGACCTAGGTTACATTTAATATTGATTAGAAGCTATACCTTTCTTACAAAAAGTTTCTGTACAAATAGCTTTGCCAAAGTTTGAGCAGAATACAGATACAACTAGAACAACGTAACTTACAGTAAGTTTCCAGAAGTTGTGCAAACAATAACGCAAGAGTCATACAAGAATTCATGAAGCATTATTAGAAAAATGGACGTTAAAAAAGTAATATGGATTATCCTTATTATATTTGAACAGCTGTACAAAATATTACATTTTTCGAGATGAAAAAAACAAACAAACTCAACAACACAAACGATACCCTTGTAATCGACTGTCCAACAGACGCATCCTCGCTGATCAGAACGTTGTAGATGTCCTGATTGAAGGCTGGAGCGTTGTCGTTGACGTCCATAAGTTCGATGGTAACCATAGTAGCAGTGCTAAGAGGAGGGTCTCCATTATCCCAGGCTTCAACAGTGAGGTAGTAGTCTTTACACACTTCAAAGTCCAAATCATCAGCCACAGAAATAGACCCTACAGCATACACATAGTATATTCATTTTAAGATTATTGACATATGTCTTGATATCACATTTATTCTTAAAACGGAGTGCTTATTTACATGGATTTTAACTCACCTAAATTTATGTCTATAGAAAACTTCCCTAACTCATTGCCGGACCGGATGTTGTAGGTGATCTCAGCATTAGGGCCAATATCAGCACTCGTTGCCAACACTCGCAGCACCTCTGTTCCCACAGCCACATCCTCAGGGACGGTAACACTGTAGTCCCTCCTTTGGAAGACAGGAGCATTGTCATTCACATCCAGCACCAGAATGGTCAAATCCACCTGTGGGAAATAAAAAAAAAAGATGGTTAAAAAAAGAAACCTCTCAATTCATTAGTGATGCTGCTGGCCCTGAGTATTCCTTTTTCAGCACCACGGACAGTGGGCACACATACATCAATAAGAGCAGAGATACTAAAGGCTTTACTAACAAGAAATAGGACTGAGGCAAAAATCAATTGAAGTCTGTGTCCGAAAAAGCCCATGAGAGACCTTCCTGACTGCTGGATAAATGTTGCACATTTGTTGCATTACTGAGTCAGACAAATGCTGTTTTTGCTCAGTAGATCTGAAAGGGACACTTCCCCTTTGATTGTAGTGTTCGTTTACTTTGTTTGAAATACAGTCGAAAAGCAAACAGTCTACTTTGTTAGCTTATTTCAGATGCTACTAGTGTGTTCCTTCAGTATTTGTTTTAGTGTGCCAGTTTGGAGTTTGACTTTCTGGAGATTTGTGACAAACAAAAAAAACAAAACTTTAAATTTATTGTATTTCAGGCGTTGGTTAATGCAGTGGTTTTCAACCTAGGGTCAAGGCCCCCCAAGCTGGATACCAGAGATTTCAGGGGGGAGAGGAAGTTTAAGATGCTGCGAGATTTATGCATATTTATCTAAATTATTCGAGCACACTTTCCCAATAGTTCGTATAGCTCTGGTCAAAGAAACTGCATAGCAATAGCTGCAATCTGTATTACTGCTACGAGTCATAAATTTAAGATTCAGCACCATGGTCAGCAACCTCTAAACACAACCCAAAACTCAAGCGTTCAACATTGCCACTCCTGACCTCACTTTTGCCTGGGGCTTGTTTTCAATTTGTGCTCATGGTTTTTAACAGACTCAAAAGAACCTGATATGGAGAAGACCCCGTGGGTTTGAAACAATCAACACTTTCTCAACTTGTCTCGTGGTGTTTTCTCGCATTTTCCTGCTCCTCCTGTCTCCAAACTATCACCTTCCCTGTCATTCCCAGCCTATCCTCTGCATAATTCAATGAAGACTTAGTCTGATTAAATCTATCAGGCTCTTTATCTGATCTTTTTAGTAAACATCATGTTGCTATTCATTGGTTTCCCTTATCCAGAGTATGGACAGAAATACAGATGACATACAAGTCAGTTAATCCGTGAGAGAGTATTCTAGAACTAAATATGTGGTTTATGAACTCTGATATTCCTGTGAAAAGGTTAAATTATGTGAGTAAATCTGCTCAACGTTTCTCTAAATAATTAATCTTGAAAGCTCAGAAATAACTTAATTTTGTTTGTGCGATTTAACCACAGCTGTATCACCTCATAACAAACTGTGAACACTGTGTTTTTTAATAATATTACATCTATTTATGTATCACAATGTTAGAGTTTCCAAGAAAAATGAGCATAACAAAAGTGCAATGGCTTCTGGTGTCACTCAAACCAACCTGTGAGGACAGCGCCCCCTGTTGCCCAGCTTGATCTGTGGCTTGGATTCGAACACGGTAGGAGTCTTGACTCTCTCTATCCAGAGATCTTTCGAGAGTTACCATCCCAGACACTGGGTTGATGGAGAACATCCCACCAGCTGAATCCACCAGAGAATAGACCACGGTACGGTTCAGACCTGAGATAATAGAGGACACATTTATAGACTCTCATTCTCCAAACTACGACCAAAATGTTCCCATTTCTGTTTGTAGGTTTCTTTTTATTTTGTTGAAGGACGCTTTGAAATTCACAAACATGGGTCAAACCTGCACTGAGTGTCACCCATGCTTGAAATATGAGACTTACAACATGAAGGAGTATAACATCTTACTACTTTACCTTCATCAGGGTCACTGGCCTGCAGCCGGGTAAGCAAAGCCTTGGGGGCAGCATTTTCAAACACACTAGCTAGGTAATAAGGTGAGGAGAAAGTGGGGGCATTATCATTCACATCCAACACTTTGAGAGAAATGTCAGAGCGGCAGAACAACCCTCCTCCATCAGTTGCCTGGGCAATTAGTTTGTAGGTGGGTGTCATTTCTCGGTCCATGGCCGTAGCTGTGCGCAGCTCACCTTGAAACACAATTGAGAGGGTGATAAAGCTGTAGAAGTTGTTCATTCTGGGGAGTGTATTTATGGTTTGATCGCACAAAACGACAAGGGAGGGAAAAAAAATGAATGTACCAGTATTTGCATCCATATAGAAATCTTCGACCCCAATCCCAAACAGGGAATATTGGATTTCAGCGCTGGAGCCTGAGTCAGCATCTGTTGCACCCACAGTCAGGATGCCCTTGTTAGTGGGAATGTCCTCAGGAAAAGAGGCGCTGTACACCGCCTGACACACACACACACAGAAGAGAACGAAGTGAATCCACGCATCCAGAAAACAAAAACCTCTCCTGCTCATTCAAAAAGTCAAGAAACTACTGAGCCTTCCATTCACCCCTTTGTTTTCTCCTGATAGATCAAACTGAGTGCCTTTTTTGTCCTTCTTACATTCCTGCAAGACTGACTATAGAAATGAACTATGGGACCTTACTGTATCATTGAACACGGACTAAGAAAGAGAGGGGAAAAAAATGACTGAGTATGCCCACATATTATTTAACATGCCGCTTTGGCTCTAAACCAAAGACTTACCCTGGCTTGTAAACTTATAACACGATTCCTAGAGCTTAAATATTAGAAAAAGAAAAAAGAATATCTGTCTCAAGCTGATCAAGACTGAGTGTATTCTCTTTTTTACTTCTGCCTATTACAAGCTATTACAATCATCCCAGTTTTTGATGAATTAAATAATTTCACAAATTATTTGATCAATCAAAAGAAAAAGGATTAATCTGTAATTAACATGATTGTGTGCTCAATTCCTATTGTTATCCAAACTTGATAATTAGCATTTAGCCCTGAAATTATGAACAATACAGCCTAAAACTAATCAACCAGATCTGTCTCGCACTAGGGTTGCACTTATGCAAATACTTTCTTTACTTTACTACTCTTTAAATACCAGCTCTTCATATAGTTGTACTTTAGTCTAAGTTACTCCGGTGAGAACCTAGTCACACACATTTCCTATTAAATCCAGTTGCAAGAAGGGCAGTGACATAATGCACCGCTTCTATGTTGACATCAAGGCAAATAAATTAGAGTCTGTTAGGATTATAAACTTGAAAACACTGTGGAAAAAGTTAGTGTGGCATTTTTTTTTTCTTTGAAATAAATAAGATTATTTTTTAATCAATATTTTGTATCTACTTGTCTGTACCTTTAGTTAATTTGTTGTTACTGTAGTGGAATACTGCTAAATACTGATCACTTAAATTAACATTTCATGCATTGTACCAAAGCTCACTGCTTTATTTCTCATCTGCAGTATTTTGTCTTGAATGCATATAATGCTACAAGGATGTTATAAGAGATATCACAGCCCCGGCTTGTATGAGAACACACATAAGAACAGAAATAAAGAAAAAACGAGAATTGATTTCAAAGAGGGTATGAGTCTAGAAGGAGAGTGAAAGTTTCTCCACTAATTATATGAAATTGAAGAACTGCAGAATAGGAGTAAATGAAAATGGCTGTTCCCAGAAGACTGCACAGCCCATTTATCTTTGCTTTTCACAGTGATTTCCTGTCATAGATCAGCCTTTGCCCCAGCAGGAACACTAATGTTAGGAATAGTGTTTGAGTAATGAGATAGGATTTGTCACACTGAGCTCAAGTTTATAAATGTTTCATTCCATTTGTTTGTTTAAACGTCGTCGATTGTATAGTTTCCATGGATCACCAGTTTCTCTGGACTCAACACTATCACACCGTATACGATATTAAAGCAGTATGCAAATTCAGTGTATTCAAAGATCACAACACATTCCCTGATATATGGAGAAAATCAATTTTGTTAGAATTCCTGCTAAGATTACGGCACTATAAAACAAAGAATCAATATTTCGATTAGCATTTATACTTATGTTGACATTTTCCATGTTACACATATAGACACATATTTTGAGCTTAACCATTTTTTAAATTACCTAAAGGGAGGTTCATTATTGTGGGCGTTTGAACCTCAGTTATAGTTCTTTTCAACGTAATACTGCATGTTGTTATCAGGTATTGTGAAGCTGGACGACAACAATACTTAAAACGTGAATATATAATAGATTATTAAAAAGCCAATTATAGATATATAAATAGTTCATTCATCCCTACAAATGTAGGAATATTATAAGTTATTAAAACAGCTAAGATAACTCAGAATTACATTTAAATATACTTCCTCTCTCTGCAGTCAATTACCTTCAGTGTCACGAATATGTCATATTTCTCTGGACATTGTGACCATTCTTAAGTGTGGTTACATGTGTAGTTCATATATATATACTCTGTTACATAAAAAAATGCATTCAGACCACGTCGTCTGTGAGTGTAATTTAAAAAGATCAACATTTGTTCACATGTGCCTCGCCTTGAGACAAACAGAAGATTAATTTTCCCCAAAACATTCTGGGAGTTTCTCTCTGTGTATTTGTAGAAGATATACAGTCTGTGGTTTCAACCTGCTCCCTGCTTGTTTGCTTTGCATGTTTTCATTTCATCCACTTCCATTCACCCATATCCCTGACCTGGTTGCAAATGGGACTGTTGTCGTTGGCATCCATGACGGTAACCTCCACTGCCGCGCGAGCCACATACAGGCCATCACTGGCTGTGATGTTGAGCAAATACCAATCCTGTTGCTCACGATCCAGCAGACCACTTACGTAAACCTTCCACTCCCCCTGCACAAGGGCCAGGCCGAACACGCCCCGTGGATTTCCCCCTGCAGATCACACAAGAGAGGATTGAAACCCTGACACAACACAGCGGTGAGTTTAGTGAGGATGCATTAAAACAGGCATGAGAATAAGCTGCATTTGTTATTCAGTTAAACAATGAATATGAATTACACATACAAACACACACGCATTCACACAGGATGCAGGTACCCTTTGGCACAATCAATACACATCTATCAACATAGCAAACCTCGTTGATGTGCAGAAGCAATGGCCTTTCAAAGTTTAAAAATCTGACCTTTTATTACAGCGCTTCCATTAGGCCGATCAGTATCTTTAAATGCCAGAACATGAGGCCAAAATATATCATCCTGAGTGATTATCAGACAGTGTTATACGAATTAAAAGCATTGGGCTGAGTGTGAAGGTGAGAGTTCCGCTGAAGAGTCCTCACAAAGATTTTTTATGACGCCCATAAAAAAGGAACGACAACACAAAGTCACGTGCCGGTCTGTGAAAGTCAAGACGTTCCAGGGTGACTGCGTCGACTGAGAATGATAGGATATAAATTACTGAGTGTTGCTCATCTTCTCTCATTCATGCTGTATCCTTTTCCGAATCAGAAATGTTAATATGCAGGGTCTGACTTCCTAACTAAGTTGTGTAATGTATGCCTCAAGACGTGGAGAAAAAAGAAAAGTTAATACGAAAAATAAAAGGTAAGTTGCGTTTGACATTTGAGTTCAAACTCATTTAAAATATGACCTTTGATAATGGCACCCCCATTAGGCTTAATGAATAATTGTTATGCAACTCTCACTGCATTGCACGAGGGACAATTGCTGCTGCTCAGAATCTGTTCAACTACATTATGTCAGCACTTTGTTTTCGCTCCTCACCGGTGATGAAAAAACTGATGAGGCGGTTTTGATCGGTGCCATCTTGATCTTTGGTTTTCAGCACAGCCACCACTTCGCCCAGGGGGTCGCTCTCCTTCACGGCCCCTCGGTACAGATCCCTCTCAAAGCGAGGTGGGTTGTCGTTAACATCTGACACAGTGATAGTCACCACAGTAGTGGAAGAGAGAGACTGTGACTCCCCCAGATCAGAGGCGACGACTTCAAAGCTGTAGCTGGAGCAGGACTCGTGGTCCATCTGGCTCACTGTGGTGACCCAGCCTGTTTTACTGTCTATGGCGAAGAAAGAGCCCGTAGTTATGGGGCCGCTAGGGGTGAGGGACTGAGCATTTTTGGTCAAATCCAGGTTATAGGTGAGTAGAGGCCCAAGGTTATAGGCGACCTGCAGAAAAAAAAAGAAGAAAAAAAAAAGCCTTTGTAACAAACTTAAAGCTCAGAGTTTCACAAAGAGCATGATATAGAGCTAAATTAGATGTCACGCACTTGTCCATTAGAGCCCCAGTCTGGATCAAGCGCACGGACTTGGACCACCCTTGTCCCCACCGGCATCCCCTCCATCACTGTGGCTACATAGGTGTTCGTCTCAAACACTGGTTTGTTGTCATTCACATCCAGGATCTGAAGAAAAAGGAGAATTCCTCCGTAAATCACATATTCAGCTTTATCTTCACACTGTACTGTTGGTCCTTTTTCACCTTCTTTTGTTCGTGGACCTGCAAGATGATGTGGTGGTTCAGTTCAATGCACCTGGTAATGGAACCATGCTCAAAAGCTCCAGTGTTGACATTAAAGAGAAAAAGGAGTAGGGGGGGACTCTTGTTTCACTGTCTCTGAGTCAAAGATTTTCTTTTTGTTTTTGTTCTAGTTTTTTCCTTAGTTGGGATTTATTTATTGATTTTTCTCTTTGGTTGAAGCTCATGGATTTTGACTTTTAAAGGTATCGTCTGTGATGGGCTTAGGACAATTTGTGGATTGCTGTTTGCATATAAAGCTGTGTTATGGTGGGGTGTAACATCAGTCTGTGGGAGTCAAAAAGATAATGCAAGAAAAAACGCACATTTAAATTGCATTAGTTAAGAATGATGTCTGATTGTATTTCAAATATCTGCAGCAACATCAACAAAATTTAATTTTTTTTCTTTTTTGTTTCAGTCACTGACAATAACTTTTGAATGTTACTTGCTTTCACATATTTAGAAATATGATTTCCTTTTGATTTAAATTGATTTTTAACGCTATTTTCAGCGTGTAAAAAAAAGCACTGTCCTTCAAACTCTGCGATTATCAGCAGGTTTAGCAAATGAAAAAAACAGAAAACATATTTGTAAAATGTGAAAGCATGTAACATCTTAGAGTTAATGTTCATTGACTGAAACAAAAAAGAAAAAAAAAGTTAAATTCATTTGATATTGCTGCAGATATTTAAAATACAATCAGATATCATTATTACTAATGCAAAGAAATGTGATGCAATTTAACTTTTTTCTTTTTTGTTTCAGTCACTGAACATTAACTCTAAGATGTTACTTGCTTTCACATTTTAGAAATATGTTTCCTAACTTTTTTAATTGCTAAACCAGCTAATAATCTTTTTTATATATAACGGTAATAAAAGAACATTACTTATATACTTTTACAAGCTGAAAATGAAGCTAAAAGTCAATTTAAATCAGACTTATTTTTAGTTTATTTTACTGACCTTAACCTCCACGTCTACAGTAGAGACAGATTCGATCAGGTCTCTTCTTGTTGTTGCAGCAACCTTAAAGCGGAAGATGCTGACTTCTTCATAGTCCAGAGGTTTGATCAGACGGATCAGACCCGAATCCCTCTCCACCAGGAAGGTCCCTCCCTGGTTGCTGTCGGCAGTCTCTCCTGCAACTGTGGTAAAGAAGCCAGTCTGCCCGGGGCCCATGTACACAGACCCGAGGGCTGTTCCAACTGTTGTGTCCTCGGGGATGGTGAAAGAGTACTGAGGCTGGCTGAAGGAGGGCACGTATGCATCTGGTGGGACGACGTGGATGAAGGCCGACACCAGAGAGTGTTTGGCTGGAGAACCGCAATCTGTTGCTTTGACAAAGAAGGACAGCACAGTCCCCTGGAGGTGATCCACTGTGCTTTTAGTCATCATCCAACCGCTGTCTGGTTCCACCTGAACACCAGTAAAGTTAAAAAAGTCATAAAATCAAAGTCAGAGACAATCATTCTGCTAACTGCCCATATATCTTTAAACTGGAGTCTGCGCTTAGTTGAGTTAGCAGCTCTGATTGATTTAGCCTCTTAATTACTCTTGTTGGCCTTTGCCTTGATTAAAACTGGATTTTATTTCTTTTTTGTCCTTGCATTTAAAAAAAAAAATGAGGAAGGTTAATACTATCTCGAGTTCTCTATGTACCTGTTAATATTTAACAGAACAACTTTTTTTTCATCCTAAATTACTAATTAATGGTTTATTAATACGATATTTTACAGAGTTTGAGCTCTCATTTAAAGTCAAAACTTTCATTTGTGCGGTACATAATTAAACATCTAATGTGAACAGCAAAAACTGACCCAAAAATCAATCTTAATTTAAAATAATTTCAATCTGATGAGGAAAAAACCATTACTACAGATAACAGATGGCTGCTAATCCACAGATATGGGAAGAGGGGCATCAGTTGAGAATATCCCTTAATTGATAATCAGGCTCTAGCATATATAATGAGCTTTAATATGCTCCACTTTCATTAAATAAATGTGTTGAGGTTAGATCTGGTAAGATTTTAGCATCCTTCCTTGGGGAACTGAGAAGATTTGTGCAGCTGTGTAAGTCATACTGAGCATGCAGCTGTATGGTGCAGCAGGAAAGTGCAGCAGTCTGAAGCAGAAAGTTACAGAGCAGAACGTACTGACCTCTAGCACATCAACCAGTGACAGGCGAGCCTCACTGTAAAGGGAGTAGGTGATCCTCCCATTAGACCCGGCGTCAGGGTCAGTGGCTTGGATCTGTGTGACCAGGGAACCTTTGGCAACATTTGCTTTGATGCTCATGCGGTACTCCACAGCTCTGAACCGAGGGGCGTTGTCATTCTCATCAGCAAGCACCACTCGCACCGTGCAAAAAGATGCACGACCTGGAAACATGGAACATTCATGTGAATATGTATGACACGTATTTAGATTGAGATACTGAGCTGCCTTAACTTACTGCTGCTTTTACCTGAACACATTCTGAGTCAAGAATACTAGTACGGTACATATTTAATGGACATACTACATTATTCTTCATCTGGAAACAAACTAACAGCACTTCCCTGATCTTTATTATTATTTTTACTGTCAGCAAAATGGTCTGCTCATATTTAGAGAGTGGCGTACGTCTTTACTGGCTGATTTGTAAATGGGAAGTTTATAAGGTAATAAGTTTTCAACTCATGTGGTCAGTTTTAAAATGAATACCTCCACCATCCAAGGCCATCACAGTCAGCACCATATCCTTGTTTACAGGATCCTCTCTGTCTAATTTCTGCAGAGTGGATATGACCCCATCCGCATCAATGCTGAACTGAGTTTTCCCCAGATCATTGATGAAGGAGTATGTGATCTGGCCAAACAGCCCAGAGTCCTCATCTGTTGCACGAACCTGAATGAGAAAAAAAGAAAGAAAAAAGAAAAACACACATACAAAAGAAAAAAACATGTTGATTACTAAAAGATTACTAAAGTTCAGGCTCGATATAAACATAACTGAATAAGGGCTAAAAAGATGACTGGCATGACAGCCCCCTAAAAGTGAAGCCAAAAACAGTCAGAGTTCTCTCTACTGATTGGCTACAATATTGGTCTTAAAGCCTTCTTGATGTAAACACATGGGAAATTGGTCAAACTGTAACAGAGTTAAAAATCTTTTTGCGTACTGATATATTTGTCCCATGGGTTTTTTGAGACTCTGCTTACTTTTTTGGTACCGAATATATATTAAAGTGCATTTAATTTTAAGGTAGTTTGCTATTGCTGTAAATGGGTATAAAAACATGGCTGTTAGCTCTGTACACATATACAGATCTTGCAGCCCTGTTTTTGTCAGACTGGCAGAGAAGAGGAGGGACAGGGAGAGTACACTTAACAACACTGAAGGCTTTGAACTTTCTATAACAGCAGATCGATGCCTGCTTCACACAGACTTGATAAGCTGTTTTGCTGTAGGGCTACTTTGGTTTTATTTTTTTATGTACAAAGCAAACTTACTTGAATGACCTTTGACCCTGGAGGGGCGTTTTCCTTAACCTCAGCGAGGTAGAACCTCTGGCTGAACACCGGGCTGTACAGGTTAGCTCCCAGCACACGTACAATCACCTGGGGATTACAACCATCATCATTATAATCTTCATGCCGTCATCATCTTCATGCCTGCTGACATTTTCTTGATGCTATTGTAATTATCATCTGAGGCTGATTTGTCAAACATGATCACATCAGTAGGGCATGCAGAACAGCAGTGAACGCATCAGGCAAGTGACAAAATGGTGATTGACACAGCTTAAAGGGATATTGCGGCGTACAATTAATTTAAGGTCAAACACACTTTAACAGCGTGTTAGACACCCCCTCCGGAGATGAATGTTGCCAACTGCTTGCTTCTCTAGTTATACCAACTTTAGTAAAAACTGCAGGATAGCAATACTGAGGAGCCAAACACAAACCTGAACCAAAAAGCCACTCTATAGCCACAAATAATGCTCAGAACAGCACCTAACTTCATCAACAGTACATATAGGGTCGTAGCCATAGCACTAGCCACCGAACATCTTTTTAACTTTGCTTGATTTCTTTAGCAAAGAGACTAAATTGAACTCACCTACTCTCTTACTCTCAGTCCATTATGGACTGGTGACACAGCTCAAGGAAGAACATTTATGATTATTACTTTATCATTTCCTTGACGTAATAATCACCATATTAATCATTTTGCACTGCAGACGCGGTAGTTCTTCTGCCTTAGCGTCTCGGTCTGATTGCATTCCATGAAAAAATAAAGATAAATGTTCTTCCTTGAGCTGCGTCACCCCGAAACAGTGTGTAATGAACTAGCCTGAAGTCTTGCTACAAACAAGCAGCTGCTGGAAGAGAGTAGGTGAGTTGTATTTAGTCTCTTTGCTAAAGAAATTAGGCAAAGTTAGAAAGATGTTTAGTGGATAGTAATGTGGCTGGGACCCTATATGTACTGTTGATGAAGTTAGGTGCTGTTCTGAGCATTATTTGTGGCTATAGAGTTGTGTTTTGGTTGAGGTTTGTGTGTGACTCCACAGTATCGCTACTGGAGTTGCCACTAAAGTTGGTATAACTAAAGAAGCAAGCAGTCAGCAACATTCATCTCTCGAGGGGGTGTCTAACTCGGTGTTACGGTGTGTTTGACCCTAAATTAATTTTACACCGCAATATCCCTTTAAAGCATTGCGTTAACATCTTGTCAGGAAAAAACAACATACTTTATGATGTGCATTTCCAGAGATGAAGGATATTAGCGTCCCACTCATAATTATCAGTATGAGACAGATATCAACAATTTTTTTTCTAGTTGGCAGCTCTCCCTTATCATAAATCTGATTTGATGTGAACACACATTAGAAACCGGCTGGCATACTGTACTGGACAGCTTCAAATGTCTGTAACAAATTTGAAGCGCAGGGTTGCTAAAGAAGGTCAGTCGGCTTGAAGCGCGTAAACACAGCAAAGGTTACAAAAGAGCAAATCAGTTGACAGAAGTAAATTATAACCGCCAGGAAATTGTCTCACCTGAGCAGTGTTGGTGAAGACTCCATCTGACACGGACACATTGAGCTGATACGAGAGTTTCATGCCTTGTCTCCTCTTGTTAGACAAGCTGAGTACCCCTGTATCTGGCTCCAATAGAAAAGTCATTCTGTCATTTCCAGAGACAAGACTGTACCTGAGAGCAAAAAAAAAGATGTTGATAAAGTTATTGGATTATAAAAACTGCAGCAAGAACAAGTATTCAAGTATATGTTTGAATCACTAGAACAAAAAGAGAGATTAACTTTCTATTCTGACAAAAAAGTGCTTTGCTACACACAATGAACTCAAAGTTTACACAAAAGATTCACCGGGGTTCAACTGGGAACCAGAGAAGAGGCAGCATGTACAAAACTTTCTTTCATCTCACCTCAGCCTTTGAGCATCACAGATGTCAGCATCTAACGCCTGAACACAAGTCACAAAGTGTCCTCTGGGAGCCAACTCGCTGACAAAGGCCTCGTACAGCGTTTGGCTGAAATTGGGTGGGTTGTCGTTCATGTCGGTGACAAAAACGGTGACACTGACATCACTGCTGAGGGCCGGGTCGCCACTGTCTGTCGCTCTGACAATGAAGTTGTAGCGCTGGGTGAGCTCGTAGTCGAGCAGGCGTGCGGTGAAGATTAGCCCACTGGTGCTGTCAATGAGGAAGTAGTCGGTGCTGTTGTAGATGTCAGATAGGATCTGGTAACTTACGATGGCATTCTTCTCTGAGTCTTGGTCCTGGGTGAACACCTGCAAAGATGGAAACATTAAACTCTGCTCTTTCTCATACATAATTCAAGAGAAGCCTTGATTTGTTTACCCTCGCCCTCTCCGGCTACAGTAGCCTCACTGCTTCCAAAAGAAAAGAAGAAATGAAACTCCAGGTTTCACAGGAATTCATTGTGGTATACACCACCAAAAAAAATGATAAGATTCTGATGTGATCCCTTTTTTGAGCACATCCTGAAGGTCCCAATTTGCAGAAAAAATGGCCAAGAGTGGAATTCCAGTAAGATGAATGTTTTGATTGTTTTATTGGTAACAGGTTATAATTAATTATCCATTATAACTAGTTTATAAACTGTTAATTAATGAGTTATTAACGACTTGTTAAGTGTTTGTTAAAGTTTGTTCAGTATTAAAAATGATGCCTTATCGATAGTTAATATATCATTAATAAACAGTTAATGAGTTATAAATGACTTGTTAAATGTATGTTAATGATTTATAACTTTACCTTATAAATTAGTAATAGATCATGAACAAGCTATTAGTAAATAACTTTCTAATCACTTGTTAAGTATCAGTTAATAGTTTATATATGTTATGGGACATTATTCTAAAGTTGCAACTATTCCTTATTTACTAACAGTTAATATTTGAGGAATATTTGCAACTTGTTCAACAGCTTGTTCATGATCTATTACTAATTTATAAGGTATAGTTTTAAATCATTAACATACAGTTAACAAGCCATTTATAACTCATTAACTAACAGTTAATCAATGATATAACTATCCATAGGCATCATTATAAATCCTTAAACTGTTAACAATTACTTAACAGGTCATTAATAACTCATTAATTAACAGTTTACAAATGATCTATTAAGTAGCTATAACAGATAATTATTATTCAGCGTTACTGTTTTATTTTAATGCAAAAAAAGAAGCGTCTGTCTCATGTTATGGAAAATAAATTTTAAGTGTTGAGCGCTATGGCAAAGTAAAAGCTGGGCTCTAGTTTCTAATTTTCATGAACGCCTAAAATTGGATGTGAACACTAAGACTATTGTGAAGCAAAGAGAGACAGACAGAGAATTACTTGTCTTTGTGAATGAAAATCTTTTTCTGTCAGTCTCGTAATCCTCTGTCATTCTTATCAGTCTTTTATCCACAGTCTGTCAAGTTTTTCTTTTTATTGCTGGTATCAAAGACAAAAGGCAGAGTCTGAACAGTATTGTTAAACTCTAATCTAAGGTCACAGGATTGAAATAAAGGAATGAACTATTCTCTGAAATGATTAATCCTCCAAAAAACTTGCCAGTTTGGACTCATCCTTAAAAAATTTTCACACCATTTGTGGGAATTGATGGTCATATTGATAACTTTAGGAACAAATTGCTGATTAAAACTTGCTTATCTCATTTCTAATCAAACTATTAAACTCTTAAATGCACACAACATGCATTAGGACAAAAAAAAGTCAAGATAAAGATCCCTGCAGAAGTCTTGTTCACCTTTTCTGAAGTTACTTTCAGTGGAAATGTTCAGTTTAATGTGAATAATAATAATAATAATAATAATAATAATAATAATAATAATAATAATAATAACAAAACAAAAAAAATCAGTGCTACTGTTGTAACTTGAACTTCAATTGAAGTGTTCTCTGTGATGTTAATTTGTCTGGCAAAAAGTCTGTTAGTCCATTGCTGTGAAAGGAGTACCAACCCTGGAATTAATAGGGCTATTATCTTAATGTAAATTAATTGGTTTAAATTACTCTCCAAATTAATATTTATATGTGTCAATTTATATTCATTTTGACTTGGTAGTCTTGCCAGGGTGAGACAAGAACCCGGCCTGCTCACCCTGTCTTGTGTTGATTGGAAAACCACCTGTTCACTGTACACTATCCCTTAAACATTTTAATGATCTGACATTATTATATTTTCCCCCTGATTTTGATTAATTTAATGTCATAGGGCAGCAGGACCAAGAACAAGACCAATTACCTATTTTAATGTCAATCTAAAAATATATATGTTAAGAGAAATCACTGATTTTAATAATTTGGTGTCTCCATATTATCTTGAGCAAACATGTTTTACAGTGCAGCAGCAGCTAAGGTCTATTATTCACTAAAGGTCAAGAGCTTCCACTTGGGAGTTTCTGGGAAATATCACACTGTCCCCTCATAAATAAATTATTTGCCATCTAATATTCATCCGGAATACGACTGTGAGTGTCCGAAGTGCAAACAATCATTCAGTCAGAGTATACAGCAGAGTGACTCATCAAAGAGCGCCACAACACACCTGTAGCACAGTCGTTCCAATCATGGAGTTCTCAGTAACCACAGAAGAGTACGAGGTGTTTTGAAACAGTGGCGGGTTATCATTCACATCCAGCACAACGATGTCTACATCGACCTCTGACTTTGCCCCGGTCAGTGTGTCTGTAGCTTTCACTGTCAATCGGTAATACTGCGTGGTCTCGTAGTCCAGCGGATAAATCACGCTTATGATTCCTGAGTCGAAGCCGATGTCAAACTGAAGGGAAGGGTCTCCGTCAGAGATGGTGAAGATGATGCTCTGGCCTTCAGGACTTGTGGCGTTGATGCACAGAACGGAGGTGGAGACGGATACATCCTCTCTGACAGTGACTCCATAGAAGGGTTTGTCAAACACTGGCATGGCTTTATTTACAACGGTGACGGGCAGCTCCACCTCGCTGGACAGAGGGGGATAGCCTCCGTCAGTGGCCACAAGGACCACCTTGTACTCTGCGTTGGATAAGTCCACCTCAAAAGCTCTCTTTAAGGTCAGCTCTCCTGTCACTGGGTTCACCTGTAAGGTATATGTGACATTTTTTTTATGTATGCATAAAACATAAGGACCTATAAAACTAGAGAACATTTAAGAGCAGGATTTTGTAGTTCTCACCTGGAAGTTCCTGTGCTGCTCTTTAAGGCTGTAAGTTACCTCACCATTCAGCCCATAGTCTTGATCGATGGCTGTTGCAGTAAAAACCGATGATGCTGGCTCTGCTTCCACCTGCACCAAAGCGTAGTATGGGAGGTTTACAAACTTTGGAGCGTTGTCGTTTGCATCCTCTACCTGCAGAAACAATACACACTTAGATACACTGTACACTGTTAGAAATAATCAACAACAAGAGTAATACAGTTACTGTCCCATCATAGCTAACAGGCTTAATGTTTATCTTCTCAATAATTTTATTAATCTCATATTCTGTAATTGTTTCTTCTTCTTATTGGCCTCAAATATTAAAATTCTGCACCTTACAACATGCATTTACACCTCCAACAAATTTCAGCACCCACCTCAACTTGGACAGTCACTCTGGCCACCCTCAGTATCTCATCCTCCCTGCTGACCTCCACCACCAGATCGTAACTCTTCTTCTCCTCTCGGTCAAAAGGCACACCGGTGGTAAGCACCACTCCGCAGGTTGGCCGGATGGTGAACCGACCGCCAGGGTTCAGCAGAGTGTACTTTAGCGGCTCGTTGAGGCGGTGGCCGACTGTATTTACAACAGTTACGAGAGTGACGTTTGGTACGTTCTCTGGGATGGAGGCGGTGTAGAAAGGGGCAGTGAAGAGGAGGCCGCTGTCGATAGCTTCTCGAACAAGCACTATCACCGATGCTATGCTGGCGAAACGGCCGTCCCATACCTAACAACAAACAGAAACAGAAGGTTAAGAGTGTCTTTTATGGCACTCGAGGGAAAGTGGAAAAGTGTTCTTTGCATTTAGATAGCGCTGGTTATTAAACAGAGGGCGAGGACAATCTGCAATCTTGTTGGTGTTTTCAGTCAAACTTTTCATGACTCTGTACTTTCTTGATAAAAATACCGGGGTGAAAAAGACATCCAAAAGGTGTTCTATAAAATTAGCTTGATTAAGTTCTGCTTTTTTTATGTTGGCTGGCATGATTAAACCAAAAGCCCAAAACAGGGATAGTTTCTGGCTCTGTGCAGTTTTCCATTAAAGAGGGCATTTGAGGTGTCACTTGACTTTTCTGTGGCACAGAAAAGATCAATAGAAGGACTTTTCTCTGCAGTCAGGTGGTTTTAAAAGGATGAGACCAGCATAATTCCTTGAACCAGAACTACAGAAAACAACAAGGTCGCCACATGTGAAGAAAGAGGGAGCTGTATACAGTGTTATTTCCGTGGATTTGCACATTCAGGTATTAATTTCACAACTTTCTGCACTTCCTTATATATTATAAAGTTGTCTCATAAATCGTTGTTTCACAAATCACAGGTGAATTCTACCAATTGATAAACAGAGAGTAGTTGTTTTTTTGTTTGTTTTTTCAACCTGCAATGCCAGCCTTACTGATACTTGCTGCAATACCATTAATATAAAATGAACTTGGCAATTTTAATATTGCATATAAGAGAATATAAGAAAAGGAGGAGAAGATGGAGGCTTAGTATTGAACGCATTAATGATTCTGTGGTACAAAAACTGCTATATAATACATCCAGTTTTACGCTTATGCAATCGCACTGTGTCATTCTGTTGTGTTACTTACGGTCGTCCAAGTTTGTATATCTAGAACTTACATATTCTTATGGTCATAGACAATATCTATTTATACACTGCAAAAAATGAATTTCAAGAAAGGAAAAAAGTCTTATTTTTTTGTACAAAAAGAATATTAATCTTGTCAAGCATGTTTGCATTAGAAAATTTACCTAATTTGAAGAGAAAATGGCTAACTTTTTTATAAGATATTCCAGCTAATATTGAGAAAAAATGAACCGGAAATAGAGTCAAAAAATGTTTTACAATAAAATCCAGTGGAGTAACGAGATCATTCGTCTCATTTTATGAGTAAGACATATGTATTTATTAAATGAAGATTTCCATTGTAGGTCATCTGAACCTGACAGAATCTGCTGCCTCCTACATTATCTGACATATAAAGGTGTCAGTAGGCTAGTCTGTACAACAGCCAACATAACACAATGACCAGATGAAAACTGCAAAACAACAAAGAACAACAAAGAACATGCTTGCTTGTGGAATAAAAAAATATATATTTAATAAGAATGTTTTGGTATCTTGATTTAAGACAACATCACTTATATTTGCTCTGCTGTTTTAAGAAATTATGTCTTATTTGAACTACTGTCATGCTCATTAATAATCCTGGATTAAGGTGTATTTTCTTGAAGTTCATTTATTTAAGAGACTAAAATTCTAATTGTAACTTCATCTTCAGTTTGTATTGCTTGCTGTAGAAAAAATTAGATTAATAGAAGATTTTCTGTCTGGTTTAAGTTTCATTTGAGTCTGTCAGGGCCAAGAAATTTGTTCTTAATTTGAGAATTCTTGTCAAGCAAAAAAAGCTAAGCCAATTGGCAGATTATTAAATTGAATGTAAGAATATTTTGCTTCTTTCTAGTAGGGCTATTTTTGCAGTGTATTCTAGATTTCTACAAGAGGACGATATACGATGGCTTACCTTCACACTGAAGCGATACCGGTCTTTACTGAGGTTCTCATTGATGACGGTCACTACTCCAGTGTAGCGCTCCACAGAGAAGTACTCCACACTGCTGTCTACCAAAGAGTAAATCAATTGGGGGGTGATTGACGTGTCCAGGTTCGGAGTGAGGTCAGGGGCAATGTCCGGGTCAAAGGCCTCAACTTTAAGAACCTCGACTCCCACATAGGTCGGCAGGAGGAGTATCGTCTCATATGTATCCTGTGATAACTTTGGAGGCGAGTCATTGACGTTGATCACCTAAGACGGGGTCAACACAGAGGGGAGAATGTCTAAAAATGTAACCTAAAGAATAAAACTGAGTCAGGAAGGATTCACGAGGCAGTGAATTCTGATTCATATATCATATTGTTACCTTAATAATGACATCTGCTGGGCTGTCAGCACTCCTTGGGGGCTGACCGCTGTCTCTAACATGAACCCGGAAGACGAATTCAGAGAAAGTCTCATAGTCCAAGCTGGCAATTGTTCTAGGATTAAAGAATCATTCATAAAAATTCATATTAGTAGATTTTAAAGATGAATATTATGAACCAGAATTTTTCAAAAGTGAGGGCGTTCGTTTTCAAAAATGTGACCCACCGGATTGATCCTGTTCCAGAGTCCACACTAAAAAACATTCGAGCTGTCTCATCCAGGATTTGAAACACTAACAGGGCATTGTGATTGCGATCCCTATCAGCTGCCTGAATGACCAGAGGGTTCCCATCCACTCCCATGACCACACTGTTCACTGGAGCAGCCTCACTTATCACACCAATATACCTGTTAGAGCCGAGAGAAACAACAGGACACTGCTGTAGAAGAGAAAAGGTTCAAAGACTCCAGAAAATAATTATTCCGGCTCAGCAAACATCACAGAAGCATGAAATCTTCTCTTTTGGCGGCAGCTGATACCTGATTTGTTGGAAGACAGGTGGGCAATCATTGACATCCCCCACCTGGATGATAACCGTTGTACTGGCCTCCACTCCAGCCATGCTCAGAGCGTGCACCACCAGGAAGTAAGAGGTTGTTTGCTGCCACCACAAAGAAATCCAGTGAGATCATGCGCATTCAGACACGTTAATTTTATCATGTCACAGCAGAGACGGTATTAATTTACTCTTTTACCTCTTTAAAATGCATGCACTTACAAACCTCAAAGTCAAGTAGCTTGCGCGTGCTGATTACACCAGTGTGATGGTTGATGAAGAAGCAGTGCTCATCGTTGCCTCTGGTAATATCGTAGAACAGTGCGGAGCGGCTGAGAGCACTTACAGTGGTCACATGTGTACCTATAGTGCTGTTTTCCATTATCTGTTGATGAAAAGATTAAGTCACAACCACTGATGAAAATTAACTGTAATATTTAGCTTCTTCAAATTTCCTTTCTATTATTTCTCTTCAGAAACTCTCTGTCATCCATGTCTCTTTTACCTCCGCCTGATACTCCTTCTGTGTGAATTTAGGTTTGGAGAAGTCAGAGAGGATTAAGGATATGCGAGCTGTGGCTGTGGCCATTAAGGGAGGAAACCCACTGTCTGTGACACGCACGGTAAGTGTGTAAAAGCCCAGGGAGTTGGCGTCCAAATCCCTGGCAATGTAGATAAGGCCAGTGGCATTATCGATGCCAAACACACCGCCACTGTTACCTGAAAGAAGCGGAAAGGTTACAGACATCATTACTGGTAAATACCAATCCCAATTAGCTCTCCTCTGAGGAAGCATTAAAAAGCCATTCACAGTTCAAACCAGAGTTTTTAACTGTAGAAAAACAACATAATTAAAACAAGCTTCTTTATTATCTGATTGCATCCCACCTGCTTCAATACTGTAGGTGAGTTGCCCATTTATTCCATTGTCTTTGTCTAAGGCTGTCACTTGAAGCACAGAGGTGTCTATAGGAGAAGACTCATACGCCACTGCATCATATACGGTGCTGGTGAAGTAGGGGATGTTGTCATTAGAGTCCTCCACTGCCACGAGGATACGAGCCAGGTCACGATTAAATGGAAACTCCTGATCCTTGACCTAAGGTGAAATTATAGATGAATATGGATAAAACTGTAGGAGGTGATTAATGAAAGAAATCAGATTAAATTAAGGAAGTCAGGTGCAGCTGCCAAGAGGGGCACTTGAAAGAGAGCACAGATGCATACATAAATCAGGACTATACAATGAAGGTAGCCTTCATCACCTCTTTTTTGTTTTGTCCAGAGTCTTTTATAAGCCTAGTGGCTAATCCTTGGCTGGCCAACCAAATTGTAATCCAAGCTAAAGAGTATGCCCATGGCGAGTTGACTGACACAGAGTGACATTTTGTTTTTATGTGGGTGATGACTGCAGCTGCTGTTTTCTTTGTTTGATCACAGACGAGACAAGTTTGTGTGGAGCCTCGATCGCCCCTGTTTCCTGTGAGAAAAACTCAAGAGATGGCTAACGGCATCAACCTGTCCAATTAATATTATTTTTCTGTAATTATGCTGTATGACAATTTAAAGGGACATTCTGGAGTAAAATTAATTTAGGGTCAAAAACAGGTCGTAACACGGAGTTAGAAACCCCCTCTAGAAATGAATGTTGCCGACCGCTTGCTTCTCTAGTTATACCAACTTTAGTAACGACCGCACAATAGCAATACACAGCGGTCTATGGAGCCAAACACAAACCTCAATCAAAACGCCACTCTATAGGCACAAATAATGCTGAGAACAGCACCTAACTACATCAACAGTACATATAGGGTCCTAGCCACAGCGCTCGCCACCAAACATCTTTTTAACTTTGCCTGATTTCTTTAGCAAAGAGACTAAACACAACTCACCTACTCTCTTCCAGAGACCTCGGGCCAGTCCATTACGGACGACAGCGGGGTGACGCAGCTCAAGGACGAATATCTATGATTATTACTTCATGGAAATGCAATCAGACCAAGACGCTAAGGCAGAAGAACTACTGCGTCTGCAGTGCAAAATGATTAATATGACGATTATTACTTCGAGGAAATGATAAAGAAATGACCTCTGTGTATTACTATCGTGCGGTTGTTACTAAAGTTGGTAACATTCATCTCTCGAGGGGGTGTCTAACTCGCTGTTTCGGTGTGTTTGACCCTAAATTAATTTTATGCCGGAATATTCCTTTAACTACATCAACTTGTATGAAAAAGAGGAATAATTCAAAAAGGCAATACTGTGTTTTACTCAAGTCAGGCATTTGATATGGGGCCAAACTGAGATTCCCTACCAGCCACTCAAAGAAATTTAGTTTTTCGCCCTTTCACACTGGCTTCATTTCATAGCCCTGAAGGCTGCTTCTTGATTAACACACACTTATTCTAAAAGCCAACCAAGCACATTAAATTAACACACTGTTATCGTGTCTCCATTCTGACCATTATAGTGAGGATGTGCTGCGTTCTGGCCTCGTAGTCCAGCCTGTCCGCTGTGTAGACGACTCCTGTGCCAGGGTTCACACGGAACAGTCTCATACTGGCCGGGTCCACGCTGCTGTAGATGGAGAAGCTCAGACGGGAACGCTCATCCATGTCCGTGGCTCTCACCCTCACGAGTTCCATGTCAACGGGTACATCCTCTGAGACACTGACATCATAGGCTGGCTGCGAAAAGATGGGCGGGTTGTCGTTGCTGTCTTGTATTCGAATGAACACCTAAGCAAAGACACAGAAGTGGAAAAGTCAACAGTGGGTTGAGAGCAGAAATATACTCGGTGTATTGTCCTTCAAGATAAGAGTCCTTGTATAGAGTCACTTTTTACTGATTATCTTGAGCACACTTGGGTGAAGTTATTTCTTCATTTTTTGAATGCAGAGTAGAGTAACTAGTATTTACACTTAATCCCTACAGCAAGGGCAATTTTTCCAAACTGGACAGTCTTTTCTTAGCAGGATATTGGCAAGGTTTTTTTTTTTGCATTTTAACAAATACTTGCCCTTTATTTGCCAAGGCTAATCTCATTAATCCATTCTATGAAGAATTTTCCTTACAAAGCAGACCTAGTAGGGCCAGCCAAAACAGCAGTGGCACCCAAAATGTCAAAAACAGAGCAACAAAAAACAAATTACATAGTCAGCAGGAGATAATTTCCGAAAAAGGGAGTGCAGGCTTTGGAAGGAGGAAAGCTGAGAGTAAACAGCTCCCCCAGGAAGAGGTAACAATAATTTAATTCGATGTGGATATTGAGTGTGTAAGAGGCAGTGCCAGAACACAACAAATCAAAAAGTGTGTGTACCTGTGCTGTGGCAAAGTTGGTCCCATCTGTCACCTGTATGGTCATGTTGTACACAGACTGCATTTCTGCATCCAGGGGCTTGGCCACGACTAGAGTCCCCACCCCGACTTGAAGGTCAAACTGCATGTCAAAGCTCCCTAGGATCACACACACACACGCGTATACTTAGGGTGCTTCGGTCATTTGGTATTCACTCTGCGTTTTAAACTCAGGTGCTCTAAGTTATTACTGTGTAATTGTTTTGGCCAGGTGCCTGCGTCTGGAGCTGGAGGGTCTGTGAAATAAAATGAACTGCAATGCAATGCAATGTAGCACCCAACCCACTTGGCAGCCTGAGAGCTGTTAAGAGCCACACAAACATCTGTCTTATCACTCCAAAACACAACCCATCTCGGAGATCAAAAAACCTGCAGCTGGGTGTTTTCCGCTGGCGGTGAGAGTACAGTTTAGGAGCTTAATGTTTGATTAAAGTGAGGTAGAGAGGATTGATGCGTGTTCGGTATTCTGTGCCATCCTTCGTCTCATTCCAGCGTCTCTCTCGAGATATCTGGCGCTTGAGCTCCACTCAGCATATGAATACTGATTGGACATTTTTCACAGGACCACTGAGGCGTGTTGAGTAGAAGCACACCACAGGGATTCACTTTTTTTGTTGTTTTTTTTCTGGAGGAGAGGTCAGTCAATATTACATGACAATCACACAGAAACCGCAGTCTGTAGTCTCTGAAGAAAACTAAATTGCTCTTTATATTTCCTATCACATCGTATTTTAGGAAAAGTTTTATTGTTTTTGGGAGCGTTTGTGTGCACAGTATTAAAACTTTCAGTATATGGAAATCATTTTGACTGAGATTTGCAAATGACTATTTGAAAAGCTGTTGTTTTCAGTAGCTAATAGTTTTCCCCTTTTCTACTATCTGACCTTGTTTGCTCCTTAGCTGTTTTAAAAGACTCAACTGGAGTTAGACTGTTACAAGTAAAGCTCAAAGTACCCTATGGAGTACCCTATGGTCAGTCTTAGTGGATCACAAGACCGATAATAACCAATATTTGAAACCAACATGACAGTAAAAGTGAAAAACTTTTCTGTCAAATAAATTTGTATTGACAAGGTGTGACAAAAGATAGTCCAAAGTGGTGCAAGAAAACAGACTAAAAAGGAAAGACACACCAGAACTGGAGCCAAAGTAGCACAGATTTTTTTTCATGATCTTATTGACTGTTTGCAAAATAAAAAAAAAAAAAAAGTTGATACAGATAATCAGCCAACAGTGACACCAATAATCTACCAATGCAGATAATCAGTCTATCTTTACTGTGAATAGCTTTATTATAAGCATATCCTTGACTGACTTCATTAGGTATCCTTGTGGACCTAAGTAACACACATCAAATTGAAGCCAAGAATTGCTGCTACCCACTTGATTGCATTGGTCAACCTTTCCAATTGCTATTCATAGCCAATAGTGTTTCCTGTAGAATGTTAAAGGCTAATGAGGCTATTTCTGTAAATAAAAAAATATATAAGACAGAAAGCCTGACTCTGAATTAATAATGGCATAATGAATGCTAAAATAAAATAATATAGGTTAAAAGCACGACTATCGACAGGAAGGAAGTAATACCACAAAACGATCTCTGTCTGTGTTTTTCTGCAGAGCGTGAGATCGTCAGTAACCCGCTCCTGCATCTGCCAAACAAACAAGCACCCAAGGGTTCAAGTGAGGAGAACTGTGCACACATAAATCTTAAATGATATAGTTTTCTCTGAAGGAGGGAAAACAACAATAAACCAGATGTATTAAAAACGCCCGCTTTTCTGAGATAAGGACAGATGTGAGATCATAGTGAACTTTGACCTTTCAACAGCCAAATCTAATCAGTTTATTTTTCAGTCTAAGCAAAACTTTCATTTACAAGACTGGGTCACTCCGTGGATGTGGAGTCTTCAAACTTTAGGATTATTAGCTTGGTAACATTCATGTCAATCAAGGATCTACTGATCTACTCTACGTTTTCTGGGCCCCTGGTGTTACCAGCTTTCAGCATTACAGAGCTCTTGCCAAGTGAGTTGTTGCCACTAGCAATAGGAGACGTGCAAATGAAGTTGAAGTGGAAAGACGACATCAAGCATCATGCACTCTACATGGACTGTGTGTTCATGAATATCGAGTGCCTGGTAAAACAGTCGTGGATAATTCTCATCCCACTCTGATTAGAAACTAAAATGCTTCAAACTTCGACAGATTCTGCTTTTTTTATGCATTTAAAAACATAATTTGGTTTTTAGAGATTACATATATCTCAATAAGAAACACTGAAGACAATTTGATTAAGCTATTCTCATGATTTGTAGCTATTTATGTTTAAGTTAGTCATTCTGAAGTACTAACACAGAGACTTATTCATACTGTATTCCTGTTTACTTTCCAAAGAAGCACACAATGATTGAACCAAAGCCATGAGCTGTCCCGTCTGGCTGAGACAGTTTGTGAAGAGATGTATGAGAGTCTTTATATAATCCTTATTTATTTGGGCTCTTCAGATCAATCAATGCAGCCTTTGGCTAAATAAGACACTCAAACTGAGTGCAGCCTTTCTTAAACTTCTTTGGATCTTGAGTAAACAAGAAAAAAAGAGAAGCGAAATTAATTTTGACCGGACCTGTATCGAGTGAGCAGTTCCTTCCACACGCATTCTGCGGGATATAAAACATCTCTCTGGCCAGCCGTCCGCCTTGACCGCGCAGAGGAGAGAGAAAAAGTGGTAGAGGTGATTAATATTTAGGAAGTCAAGGATATTCTTCAAAGGTCTGTATCATCTACAGTATGTCTACAGCACTCTGCAAAGTCGACTTCTTGACGTGTTTCACATTTATATGTTTTATTGAGTAATGTAAGTGAACTTTTCAGCAAAGTGCAGCAAGTATAATTCAATCATAGATGGGTTTTTAAAGCCCAGCTCTCAAATATCAGACAGTGAATAATAAGCTTGACTTCATTTTTGTTAAAAAAATGGGTAAAATATTAATGAACTTTTGCTGCACAATTACCCCACTGTTATCAACAGTAAAAGTGGAACAGTAAAAACACACCAGGCCTGCATTTTCTCTATTTGATGTGGGTGAGTGCAAAAGAAAGAGAAAGCTCCCTCTCAAATTAACATCCAAGTGAGGGAGTCTCTGGGTCTCTGCAAAGAATTTGCAATCAGAACAGTAGTGCAGCAATCAATAATGAGCTCTTCACTGATAATTCTATCAAAGACTCGAATCAAGGGGCAAAACAGAGCTTCAATTTTTTGAGAAGGCAGACAGGCATAGAACAATCTGCTCCTGAGACGATTCATTGCCTCGATCAGGGCTGAAACAGCAGCAGAGAACCTCTCTTTTGTCTTTAGTTTTCCAGCTCATTTTTAGAGAAATACACCACATAAAGTACTTTTTTTCATTTCCTTGTTTACATTAATTTGCAACAACATGACATGTCAGTGGCACTTTGATTTTTATGAGCTAATTTTAACTGTGAGGAATATTTACTAAAGGCGAGGCTGTGATGAGTGACAGCAGTATGAGATAAGTAAACATAAGTAAAAAAAAAATAAGTAAACTTAAAATATCTCCAAGTCACAGAAAAGTTGTTGTGGAGGTCTTTGAAGAAGTCTGCAATTTATATCAAGAGACTTAACACTATGCTAACTCTGATATTGCACGGTGTGAAACACATTGCTTCCAGGGTGTCAGTTCAAGCTCGTGCAATAAGATCTGACCCAAAAAGCCAAATAACATCTCTCAGAAGCAGCACCGTAACACTGCACCATGCAGATAGAAAGATCAAGTCAGCAAGAGTCAAAACACTTTACGAATCCCTCAGAGGGCAATTTAAGGTAAACTGACCATATCTGTTTTTTTAGGCATCCATGACTTTCATTGGATATGAGGAAGATGTAGAGAACGAGTTTCCTATTCAATGCATCACATATGTCAAGAATCACTTGTTCTGTCTTGTTAACCCAGAGCAGTTCATTTGGAATACAGTTACAGCAGAACTTACTTGATATACTGTATGTACGGTACAGCTCCCTTGCTGACCCGCATGTACTTACCAATGATGTTGAACCAAAGAGGCGTACTTGACTGGCTGACAGCGACTACTCCCACCGGCTGAGCTACAGCAGCTGTCTCCACAATGGAAAAATTGTAGTATCTCTGAGTGAATTGTAGAGGCATAGGAGAGGGGACAGGTTTGCGAATCCACTCTACGTGAAGTTTGACAGTCGACCATAAGGGGGGATCACCGCTGTCTTCTGCTTTAATCTGTGAAAAAGAAGGATACTGAGAATAAATTGAACATCGATCGGTTTAATTTAGTTGCTGCAAATGAATACACTAAGCTAGAGCCTTAAAGATTTATATCAAACAACTTGCATTCATGATTTGATGAGTATATATGAAAAGGGATGGGAATCGAGAAACGGTTCAATCCATCGACATCGTTTACATTTCATTTTAATGATTCCCTTTACGATCCCTTTCTCCTGGGTGCTTTGGAAAAATGGTCTTGTGAGAGGCAGTCTATGCAAAGGAGAACAGAGACTTTGAGGAAAGAAATGGTGGATGGTATGAAAAGTAGGCAAAAACGATCTAAAGCGTGGCTTCATTTTATTAAGAAAGACGACGAGTCTTGTATGGAAGTTTTGAGTTTGTGTAGTGTGGACTATCTGAGTTAGAAGCGTGTAAAAAAACACTCAACCCAACCAGAAAAACCCTAAAAAATTTGCGTATGACTCCATCCCTTGTAGCCGTATCTACTTTTTAGGGATCCAGAGTATGGTCACCCTGATTCGACTTAATACCGACCAAGTAAATGTTGTACAAATAGTTTGTCGTTTAATTATTTTTAGACTACATCTTTTTCTGTTATCAAAGACTCAACAAAATTTTGAGTTAACATTGAAAAAAGAAAGGCATTGATAAGTGAATCGTTATAGAATTGAATTGATAAGCAGGATCTTTAATAGCAACAATATCGATGAAATCGTATCAATTCCTATCCCTATATATGAATCTATGCAAGATACAGTACAGACCAAAAGTTTGGACACACCTTCTCATTCAATGTCTTTTCTTTATTTTTTATATGACTATTTACATTGTAGATTATTACTGAAGGCATTAAAACTATGAATGAACACATGTAGAATTTTGTGCTTATAAAATAAGTGTGAAATAACCGAAAACATGTTTTATATTCTAGTTTCTTTAAAATAGCCACTCTTTGCTCTTGATGACAGAAGTACCTTGTCAGGGTTACTTCAGGCACTCCTGTGAAGTAAAAACCATTTCAGGTGACTACCTCATGAAGCTCATTGAGAGAACAGCTAAAGTTTGCAGCGCTACCAAAAAAGCAAAGTGTGGCTACTTTGAGGAATCTAAAATATAAAACATGTTTTCAGTTATTTCACACTTTTTTCTTAAGCACATGATTCCACATGTGTTCATTCATAGTTTTGAGAATCTACAGTTTAAATAGTAATGAAAACAAAGAAAATGCATTGAATGAGAAGGTGTGTCCAAACTTTTGGCCTGTACTGTATATAAAAAAATTCAAGAGTTTAGTCTCTCTTCTTCACGTAAACCTTGAAAAACACAACTTAAATCCCATTTGTGTAACGTGTTGATAAAAACTAATTCTGATGAGCTGCAAATCAGTGAAACCCTATATTTAACTGAAAAGATGACAAAGACAACATATCAGACACTGAAACTGAAAGAAGTAATTTTACTTTAAATCTACGCTTATTTTCATTTCAATACCAACAAAATATTTCAATGTAGTTGATGTGGAGACACTAAAAAATGAAAAATATTATGTGAGATACAAAAAAAACCCAGAGGAACATCTCCAAACTAGCCAGGTCTAAACTCTACGAAGCAAAGCTGGGCAGAGATTCACCATTCTGTCCTTCACTGCCTGAACAGATAGTTCGACAACGTCAGAATAATGTTCTTTAGCATAAAAATGCATAGAATTTAGATATTTCAGCACTAAAGAGCATGATATAAATAAAAGATTCAGAAGATCTGTAGATATTTCTGTTAAAAAAAGAGAAAGTCCAGAATCCAGTACTACTGGGTTGCTGTGATCTTTGAGCCCTCAGGCAGCAATGCAATAAAAACAGACATGGCATTGTAGTGGATAATACTGCATGGACACAAGTCACGTCCAAAAACCACTGTCTCTAAACACAGCTTGTCACTGCTTCCACAAATGCAGGTTCAAATTGTGCCATTCTAAGAGGAAATGATACAAAACACGATCCGGAAAAGCCAGGGACTTCTCTGAGCTTCAGTTGATTCAAAATGGACTGAGACAAAGTGGAAAACTGTGGTCTGATGAATCAAGTTTGACATTTTTACACTGCATCCCCAGATCTAAAAAAGAAGTAGTAGTGTGAACCTCAGATACCCTGCCACACAGTGTATTCCTGCTCACCCTGGTGCATGTTTACATCGTGGGCACACATACAGACTGCTAATGGACCCAGCGAGTCTCAACCCTTGATCTGTAGTGCATGTAGTATTGTGATGAGAAAGATTGGAAGTTTTCATTATGTTAAAAGGAATATCATGGGGCTATTGACCTGAATCCTACATAACTTTAAACTAATTAATCAATGAAATAATATGTCACTTCTGCTCTGCCTCCTCTTGTCTCTCTGTCAGAGGGCTGAACATTGTGCAGTAAAGTAAGAGGGGTAGCCTTTGTAATTTGAGATAGGCTTTGAAATCCACATGACAACAAGAAGTTGATATTTTTTAAATAGGTATGTACAAACACACTGGATTTAATTAGTAAATAAACTAAATTATTGTCCTATCCCACTGAGCAATACACGGCTATTAGACATCTAGTTTTTTTTTTAGACCTAATTTGAACCGTCTAGATTGAATTTAGATGTTGCATTTTAACCAATTATTCGATAACTGTTTGTTTCAAAAAGCAGCTGTGAGTTGCAAAACTGATCTCCAAGTACCTAACCAAATAAATTATGATAGCCGCTGAGTAATATACAGTGTAAAACCTCTGTTAGCCGGCTAGTCTAAACTTGGTCTAAATTTAGACGTCTAAAAAACTTTCATTTTTAGACCTGTGGTAGCCTGATTTTAGACCAGTCGTCTTGGCTACATTTAGACGTCTATTAGACCTCTGTTAGACCAAAAAATGCTCTGTGGGATATTTTTCAAATCCCAATATATATTGTACAATGAAAGTTACAGTAGGATAATTTTTTCAAATAACCTGCAATTCTTATTTGGCTCACCTTGAAATAAAAAATAAAACAAAGGAGACCCTAAACTGTTGAGCGGCCTATGTCTAATATCAAGCAAAGACAACAATTCATGACACTTTTGAAATACCAAAAATCGGTCTCCTCTGCTAAAATAATGTCTATGGGAACATGTCCCTATCCCAAATTTTTTTAGACATGTTACTGACATCAAATTTAAAAGTAGCATAGATTTTCTATAAAACGCTAAAATATAAATGTTGTGTTGAAGTGATTTCAGCGTCTGTTTGTATAAAAGTTTTAAACAACATCCAAACTTTTGGGGGGATTGAGGCTGTATATTGATAAGATATAGACTCCTCTACACCTCATCTCCCTAAGATCGCAAATTGGATAAGAGATACAGATAATGAACGGATGGATGCTCCACTTCAGTCTACACCTCAGTGACAACGCTCCATACATAATATTTTTGCTATCCTAAAAATTGATCTTAGCAATTACATTTTAATGGTACGCCCTATCTCTGACTGACTTTAAATGTCTTGCTCCACTTTTCTCGCACCACATAGGAAAAGCATTAAGCAGAATAAATCAGCTAAACCTTTGGAGGGACCGTATATGAAAGGTAATTATAAAAAATGGAGCTATAAGTGGTGCTCACTGAAGAGCTGAACCTGTGAGCGAAATACATTATTTGAAGCATTATTTGCCCTGCGAACAGCGTCACCCCCGAAAATCAAGAAAGATGGTTGCAGAGGGAGAAGACTGGGGTGTTTGTCGTGCGTGTCTGCAGCTTCTACACTTCAACTGCGAGCTCTTTACCACTTCAGCTGAGCATGGGCACAGGAACAGACTCCAAGGGCACACAGGCATGACAAGCTAATCAGTAAATGAAATGCACAAGACAAAATCAAGTGTCTGCAGCGCATATGTAAGAGGGCTTGAGAAGGATGAATATATTGTTCGTGTGAGGAAAAGGGAGCCATGCAAATGGCAATTTATGCTGGTGTTTGGGATAAGACCGAGTCTAACATGGTGTGAAATAAAAATGACATTTCATGCACGAGTTATCAAGAATGCACCTTGTGTGGCTACACAAAACTTCAGCTGTGCTTGTCCAGCCACCTTGCTGTATTTAAGTTTGTTGGCCATGGGAGGAGTAAAAAATGCACCGATGTTTCTTTCAAAGATTAACCGGTGAAACAGGAGTAGCTGAGCTGTGACAAGAAGTAGAAATTGGAAAAGAAACAACTAGGGAGTGACAATAGAGAAGCGCTGTGCTTGAAAGGAGTCACAGTCTGATCCAAAGTAAGAGCATCCGTGGTGTGTAACTCAGGCTATAGATTTATTGTCACGTTCTCCTTGTTGCTAATGAGTGCTGTAATCTCCTTCACAACATCTAATTGGCAAGCTCTCGATAGCCAAGCTTACACCACACAGGGCTTAAATAGAAATCGGGACACTGAAAAAGAATTGAAAGACTCGTTCTAAAACCCGATATATGACACTCACAGTGAGGATATCGTAGCTTCCTGCTGTCACCATCTTCTTGGATGACACCATAGCCGTCCTGGGGTCGATACTGAACTTTTCATCCTCATTACCATCGATGATGCTGTAGGTGATGTTGCCATTGGCTCCAAGGTCTCTGTCATAAGCGAATACACGGTAGACCGGTTCACCGCGTTTGTTGCGGTCTCGTTCGGTCAGGCTGATGCGGTAAGTGACCTCAGGGAAGGTTGGCGGGTTGTCATTCTCATCCTCAATGTGAACTATGACCCAAACGGTGGACTGGCGGGTGGTTACTGGGCCGTCTATAACCGTAACCTGAGAAAAAACACACCAACTGTAAGAGCACAAATACAGAGTTTTCGCTGTAAAGATGCGTCATCGTCTTTCACGCCTATTTAATCACATTGAAGGATTTTTTCAGTCATTGTATGCGTTACTATCATAAGAGTTTGCTCCATGCGTGTGGCTGTGAATGTTGAATGTAGGACCACATGGAGCTGGTTTCCCAGGAAATCACTTTGTATTATTGATCCCCTGGAGGCAGAGGCAGAGGTCTGATCACTGATCAATCAGATCAGATCAGGGTGGACACCACTGCTGCCAGCCTGACTGCTCACTTGACTATTAATTACAAACAGGCGCAGTGACTGGCAGGAGGAGCGGTGGGTGGCATGCGTGGACTGGCATTCCTATTGAAATCTCAGAGAAAGGACATGACAGAATGAAGCAACAACAATGACCTCTCTGCCCCCAATTTTAAACTCCTTTCAGGTGTTAAGTATGTGACGCTGTTAGATGCCAGCCTCCCTCAACATCTTGTGCTACATTCATTGTTCAGTGCTTTGTCATACGGAAGTTCTTATTAAGTGTAGAAGTAAAAGCAGCGCAAAGAGTAATTGAGTCTTGACAAGTCAAGTGGCGTTACAGAAGCAAAAAGAAAACAAACCACAACATTGGGGGTCAACTTTGGGTTATTCCATTTCATTATGAAGACAGATGAAGTGCTTGTAGACTCAGATTGTTTTAATAAGTTGTAGGGAAAGTCCAGAGAAGCAGAAGTTTGCTCAAGAATCTTTGATTATCGGGTTCATCTGCATGCAGAGCAGCAGGAGCTAAAGGAATGGTAATCACAGAGCTATCTGTATGCCCAGTGTCTGCGCTTATCAAATGCCGGGCAGAGCAACTCCTCTCCTCCCTGTTCCCATCCTGAGTAGAGAAGATAACCAATGATGAATGATTACATTTAGAAAATCCTAAACCTGGGGCCCAAAACTACAGCCATTCATCACAGTTTATGGAGCCTTGAGGGCCTGCCAGGGTTGTCCTCCAGCCTGTCTCTGTTAATAGTGGGCTGTGGCAAGTGGCAGAGCTGGATAAATAATAACACTATGAACCCATAAAAATAGTTCAGGTTAGTCCCTGTACCTCTAAAAAGTGCTCTGCCTGTTGTTCTCGGTCCAGTTTTCTCGCCGTTGTCGTGATCAGGCCTAAAAATGACAAAAGAGAAGCTTCAGATGACACAAACACAGAGACAAGATTTGTAGATTTGAACAAAAAGAATCAGACGGCAAAATATTTGTAGAGCCAGAATACTTTCCAACTTGATCTTCCTTCTCCCAAGGAATGAGCGGCTGCATGCATGCTCACAAAAAAACAAAGCCTGCAGCTTTGGCAGGGACAATATCATTTGGCACATGTACATATGGCACTGCAAAGTTGAGGGTCATTCAGTTGGCCAGCGTGCCACCAGGACAGGAGTGTAAGGAGCCAACAGTATTGATAAAAGTGATGATCGAACCAGTTTGTTCAGATGATGGTTTCAGGGTTTGACAAACGTGAGCAGACTGCTCTGGAGATCACAGGCAGCGACAGCTGCATTCCCCACCGACACCGCCTGTTCCCTCCTTTCATTTTGGTGTTTTCTTATTTTGTCACTTTCTCGCTAGCTCTCTGTCATTTCGCATCTACAAAGGCGCCCCACAGGCATATGCACACACACTGAAACAATCTCAGGCACACTCTGTCATCAATCAATAATTGGTTTAGACAGTAAAAACTTTTAGAGTTAGGCAAATCAAAAGTTCCCTTGACACTATTCTGGCTAGCAGGGAAACAAGTAAGTGGAGAAGGCATTGATCCGTGAATAGATTCAGTCAAATATATGACACTTCTATGAATTTCACTCAACTTTTGTTTTCAAGAATCAAAAGAATAATGATTACAATCCATTTATGTATTTTAACATTTTATGAGATGTTGACATGCACTCAGAGACACATCTGTCACAGCCTGAATCTGTTTTATCCACAAGCACACATAAAACAATGCACTGATAAAAGTGTGGAAATTCTTCTTTCTCTATTTCTTAAAAAGAGCGAATGCCGTGGCTTTCATATTTTCATGTACTATTAGGTTAAGGTTGACAGTGAAATACCATCCCGCCGCAAATAAATACATCCACACACATGGGTCAATGCACAAATGATCACAAACAAACAAACATACACGTTAAGAACATCCTGATATTACCTCTGTGTGGACTGCTGTGCAGAGTGATTGATTGACTGAGTGACGCTGATGTTTTTGTTTCAGTGTAATGAAGCGTCTCAGTGAAGTGGGATTATTTTTGGGTGCTTAAAATATTCCTGCTCGAGGATAAACTCAAACTCGTACCACAGTGCACACCCTCACTCGTGCTCACACACTCGCGCTCGCACATATCACAGTGTCACCTTGAGCTTGCTACGCTGGCTAACTTCAATTAAGCAAATTAGGAGTGAATGTAGAGCAGCGGTCACAAGCTGCAGGAAAGAGACTGGAGGCGGGGGGGTCGAGGGGGCTTGTTCAGCAGAACTGAGTGAGAGTAACAACTCTGATACTAATCAATGATCTATACCTTGCAGCAAATCTGTGGTTTGATAATTCTTGGTTTAATTGGACAAAAGAGAAAATAATGTATTAAATCCCCACATGCACTCTCATAAATGCAGCACACTATGTTCAGAGTCCAGTGGTTTGTTTAAAACATTAGGCTTCTTCTCCTTTGAATGAAACAAACCCAGTAATATCACTATATAACCTGCCATGCTGTTTATTTTCTAAATGGGGAACAACAACAAAATAAACTTGAGGTTATTTGAATATTTTATTTAAACCAAACATTCGAAATAAAACTGTACACCATCTAACTGTGGTTAATACTAGTGCTGCAACTAGCGATTATTTTTTTGTCGACTAATCTATCGACTAGTCGTCCGATTAATCACGATTAATCACTATCTTCTTTATTTATAAACACCTATTTCCGGGGTGTCGGCGTTTCAGGCGCTCATGCATCGCCGTGGTGCTGCCATGGTAGGAAAGCTGAGCTTTGATCAACGTGTTTTTTTGGTTTGTTCTCAGTAAAATGTTCCCAAACTTTTGAAGTTTTGGGTCGGAGTTTGGGAGCGTCTTTTTCAGTTTGTTCTGCCATAACGTGTGCACTCTTCTTCTGTGTTTGCTCGCGGGATGTAAACAGCGAGCGCTACTGCCCCCAGCACATCCTGTAGTGCACTGCAGTTATAGATGAGCATGAGGCGCCGGCATGTGATTCTTAACAACAATAACACGACGCGTCCACGCTTCATTTTCGTGTCGATGAATTTGTCGTGTCGACGTAATCGAATACGTCGACTAATCGTTGCAGCCCTAGTCAATACAACAGAACAAAATGAGCCTTTATGACTCTGTGGTGGCACCAAGCAAATCATAATGAGACGCACTCATTCAAGCAACCTGTGTCAACATTCCTTATTCTGATGGTTTCACTTTCACACCACAGGACCAACAGACACAACTATAAGCTGTCACAGCACATTTACACACTTTGCACTCATTCAAAGTTCTGCATAAATACAGTTTGGGAATTGTTGCGGAACCTCAAACCCATCAAACTGACACTTCCAGAGTGAACCTGAAAAATGTATAACTTTGAACCACCCCAAAACCAAGTTTTGACAAACAATCTGAAGCTTGAAGGATGAGGGTTGCCGGCAGCTCAGTTCTTAGTGTGGATGACAGCTGTTTTATGAAAGAAAATCAATCGGCTGGGTTTTGTTTATTCATTTACCAAATGAAGTCAGTCTAGCACATGGAAAGTTTGGGACTTGGTAAACAACACGTAGGAATGCATCTCTCGTTCATCCGTGTCTCATTACAAATAGATTAGCTCTGTTAGTCACCGTGGTGTTGAGTTAGAAAAGGATGTAGAGAAAATTATATTTAATTTGATCTCAGGTTGTTTCAATAATCATCCCAGTATAGATTCTTCTGATATAGAATATATGCTGATTCTATTCGACCATTATTTCAATTTTTATAATAGGCATAATTTACAACAACGACCTGATCATATTTCACATGAAGAAAAAAAAAACTAACCTGACCATCTGCCTCATTTTGATGAAGTGTCCAGTGACAAACCCTTGCTCTAGGATGGTGGTAACATCAATTAATTAACAGTTACATTTAATCATTACAGACAAGTTGCCTTGGCAGAGACAATTTTATACATATTAATTAAAGCTCCTGGGAGGCATTTTTTTGACATTTATGAAATAATTCATATTAATGTCTTGTCATGACATCCAAAAGACAACCATCAGGAGCAAGACAGGACATCTGTATACTGCAAAATTTTAATGCCTGAAACCAATGCAAGCAGATGTGTAATAACTCTCTAATAGCTCCACTGCTGTAATGGTGGCAAGTTAACTTCAAGTAATTTATCAGATTAGCGTATAGAACAGGCCCCAACATTGTCTAGATTACTGGACAGTAGGCTTTATGTCAACACACCAATATGAAGCCTTAACAAAATCTAATTTTCTGTCTTAGAGTAAGGGGTTAGGGTTACTGCTATAGACTGTATATTCTATGGACAACTTGGTTCCGCCTCCTGCCAGTATACGGATTTGAAGCTGAAAAGCGCTTGGTATTTCCACGATTTTTCTCCATTTCCTGAAACCAACATTTTGCCATAGCGTTGTACACACTCCACCACTTGCGCTGTAGCATTGTACGCATTTGGCGGGAGAGTTGCAGAGTCACTGTGACGGCTCAGACAGCGTATCCCCTGGGTGAGCTATGCAATCTTCAAACGCCAATAGGCTGTATCAGGTGTCAATCATAGAAAAATATGAACCCCTTATTAACTTTTAAAAATGGAGCTGTACAGAAAAAAGAGGACTTGAGCCCAAACCAGTCTTACAATAACTACATGTCAACATTTCTAAAGTTTGTCCACAGCCCCATAAGGATGGCTAGTGGAAGCAGGATTTATGACCTCTACTGCAGCCCGTCACCAGATGGTGCTGTTCTCAGAGAGGCTTCACCCAGCGAGAAGGCAGACGGCGTCCATTTTATGGTTACTGCTAATCAGTAACTTACACAGCAGTAACAAACAACTAGTCCTCTGCAGTGTCCAGCTTGTAAAGAATAAAATGCTGGGTAAAGCCAACACGATATCAACAATCTAAAGCAACCGTGTAAAGGTAATATTCTTTTAACATGATACAAATACTTAAAACAAAATGTACTTAATGAAAAAAAAAAACTATTCTTTGGCAACCTTTGGCAAACAAGATGTCAAGAAACACTGTGGACTACTTCACTCGTTCAAGGTGGTGGGTTTGTGTTCATGTGAATGAAGAGAGCAACAATGATAGCAACAATAACACACCACAGCTGTAAAAAACAACCAAAAAAACATCCTGGAGAAAAAAATCTAAATCCTATTGAGAGGTATCCAAGAGCAACAAGGAAGTATTTGAATATCTTTAACATGAATGTTTTATTTATTAGCAGCCCTGACATCAGAGAGAAAAGACGCTTCAAACTTTTAAAAGCCATCTGTTCAGCATTGCACGGAAAGTTCATTGATCACGGTTCAAACAGGGGCAGTCATCAGTTACAGTCCCCATGTAGACAATTAATGACTAGTAAATAACAAACTACTGTGGCTCTGTGACAGAGACAGACAGCAGGGCTCAGATGGCTAAAAAATCTCCCCTGTGACACACAAACACAACACAGCACTCCCTCATTCATACACACATATACAACTGCCCTCTTAAACACACAAGGCAAAAACAAATAATATGCAGCTGTTCTGTCTGTCTCTTGGCTCACGTAGGTTCACATGTGGACTCTGAGTAATGCGGGCTTATACAGTAAAACCATCTTCATCAACTCAGTGCAAGAGAGCTGTCCTCTCCAACACACTGCTGCAGCCAATTCATCAATTGATTAAAATGACATACTAACTCTTTTTCTTCCTCACACCCACACACACAAACACACACACACCATAGTTGGATGTATTAACGGTGCTCATGAAGTTGATGGGATTTTTTTTCTAATTATTGGTTTTCACATGCATCAACACAGGCACAGTGACTCAATATAACACATAGGTATATGCAAGACCTGAGCTATATTTCATCCTCGAGGATTTTAAAGCTTCGAGAAAAAGTCAGACTAAGTGAGAGTTCAGTTAAAAGGTGTGCAGAGGTAGTACATCAACGGGGATCAATTTTAGCCTTTTCAATATGGTTCCCCACATAGTCTCAATTTTGAACGGTGCATTTATGATTTCCAAAAGAGTATTTATAGAGGAATGAAACGAGGGACGTGAATATCCACTACAAAGTGAGCATGCAACAGTGCACCATTAGGGAAACCCTTCCAACTACCTTGACATTTCTTTGTATCAAGATAGAAATCCTTTTGTTGTTTACTGAAACCCTCATCACTAAATCTAGGGCAGAGAAAGAATTAGACATCACAACTTTTTTATCTCAGGATTTGAATAAAACATTTCACCTCTTCAATAATTCTTTAATGGAAGCTTCAAGGAAAGCTTGTACTGAAGATGCAGAGGGACCTCCCTCCACTTCAAACTCAAAAGCATAAACACACATCTGAACTGATCTCCCTTTTTTACGTTTGTATTGTGTTCACATAAAATGGTAAGCCTTTTGATTTTCAAACATTTTGTCAATAAATCAGGATTGCTTAAAAGAAGCTTTACTGTGAGAAGCAAGGAGGAGACAGGCGCTGATAGAAACTTGGCTTTTAGGCTTATTTTTAAAGAGTAAGCTGGGCATTAAGTTGTAAGATGATATCCAGTTTCACAAGCTGCAGTAGTAAATCATCTTTTTTAAACTCTCGAGTATTGCATGTGGGAATGCTTCAAAAAGGTTTGCAAGCACGTAGAATTCGTTGATAAGCAGAGAAGGTTAGTGGTTGTAGAAACACTGAGAGTTTATAAATAAATTATGCACACAAAGCATCTCAACAGCAGGGTTACACAACATTTATATAACTAAAATGATGGGAATATTTAGCTTGTACTTGAAAGTTGTATGTACATTTTAAACCCCTGGGCATGAATCCATGTGAAAGCATATCTATGGGTAACATGGAGAACTACTTTTTATCATATTTTTTAATCAACTTTTTTTTAAATTCTGTAGGGTTTAGCAAATTTAAACAACTACCTCAAGTCGCTTTTGCCAAAAGAGAGCCCAGGAAATTTTGTCTTTGACATGATAAATTCAATCTTAACACCAGAATGGAAAATCTTGAAGAAGTTGAAGTTTAAGAGCTGGCTCTGTGTGCTTTCAGCTGGTGCCTCTACCACTATCATCTGCTGCTACCAATTCTGCCTCTGCCATTTGCAGTTTGCTGCTGCAGTTTTCAAAGTCCTTGAACACTACCTGCAGGTCAGACTGTAACTGCTTCAGAGTTGGTTGGTTGGTCAGCATCCTAATCCATAAAATTCAGCTGGAATTGGCCACCAAAAAAAAAAAAAAAAAAACTGCCCTAAATAGTTTTAATTTTAGCTACAGAGTGGTGCTGTTGACACTATGCTTGCATATATCGCACACATGCACACAGAGAACTTGATCACATGTAGATTATAAATGAACCACATTAAAGAAATTGGCCAAGACTGGAATCGAACCCAGGGCTGAAAAAGTTTGCGATGACAAATCAGCTGAATTGTCATCAAGTGTTCAAATCAGGTGCTGCTGTTTAAATATGAAGAAAGTTTTATGATAAATGAATGCTTTCTTAGATTATGTTGGAAAAGATTATCTTGTTACTTCGTATTTTGAGCCAGAATATTTCATTAATAACAAAAAAGCAAACGTAATGAGGGCTTTTCTTCGATTTTAGAAATCACCTCCAACACACAGAATAATGGACTTGATTATGTACTTTCTATGGTATCCATCCACCCATCCATCATCTAAATGGTCACAGGCAACTGGAGCCAACCCAAGCTGTCACTGGGCAAGAATAGGGTACACCCTGGACAGGTAACCAGTCTGTCACAGGGCTAAAATAAAGACAAATACACTCATACCTATGAAAATTAAAGGTCTCCAGTTCATGAGTATGTCTTAACACAGAGTGAAGAGCTGGTGTAACCACACATGCACAGGGAGACTGCAAACTCTACATAGAAAGACCCCTGCTGGGTTAGACAAAGAGAACCACACATCAACCAGGACTTGAACCTACAACCATTTTGTTCTAAGGCATACACCAATATCACGTCCTGAGAGCACACACGTTTGTTTATTGAAGTGTCGAGTACATGCTGATTGAAAATATGGTCATGACTCCTGAGGAAGAGAGCCACCAAATGTTTGCTCCATGCAGAAATACGTCAGAGGGATTAAAACCCACGACTATGTCCCTCATCTACTTTTCACGCCCATTATATTAAATCAAAATCATGCTCAGAACTGCAAATGGAAGAGGAACAGTAATAGTCTGCTTACATTGATTTCAATTATTTTCAATAATCCATGATCAGCAGTGTTAGTGAAAAATTTAATCAGCATTAATTATAATGAAAATATACGGTTAGAAGTTCTGGTCCCGCCCTTTTAGCCCAATCCAACAAGCAAATGCAAATTACTCATTGACTATAAGAGAGATCGGTTGTGAAGTTTTCCAACCAGATGAGGCCAGATTCACAGTCACACAGTGGGGTAAAATAGGTCAGAACCAGAAGAATAAATTTGCAAATTTTCATCTCTTTGTTTAAATATTTCTCACATTCTCGAGCTTTAATTTTTTATGCCCTATTTCCCTAAAGGCTCAGGGAGATGAAGTACAACCCAAGGCTGGCTGTACATCTTTTCAAAAGGTAAGACTCTGTAATACCTTTTCTTGATCCCACAGGGTTCATGGAGAGCCCGTACGAAAGTTGCAAGCATGTTTTGAATGAAAAAAAAATCATAATTGCAGATCCAAGGAAATTCTCCTAAAACCTTTTACAACCTCACCCACACACAAGGCTTACTAAAACAGATGACAGAGACACTGATTTTCTCAAGTACGTTGAAGAGCTTTCGCCCATAAAGAAGACTGGAAGCAATGTTCAGTAAGAGTGCAGGGTAGATTGTCTGGGCGGCTCATCAGTGTCCTAGATGTTTAATTGTGTGGGCACATAAGTCTTTTTTATGTTTTCTGTGTAGGAGTCAATGAACATGAAGTAGTAAAGAAACATTTCAGCAGTGGGTAAACATAAAAACAAAACGAGTCTAATTATTTGTTACCTTTTAGTGTAAGTCAATAACTACACTGTAAGTCTTTACTGTAATTCTTTTGAGCGGGCCACTAAAATATCTCAGCCGTTTTGAATTATGAGACTGTCTGAGCGTCTCACCTGTTTTGGGGTTGATAGAGAAGAAGTTCTGCGGGTTGCCAGCACTGATGCGATAACTCAGGCGGCTGGGCGTGGCGGTGAGGTCAGGGTCCTGCGCCTGGATACGGATGACTGACACATCCTTCGGAGAGTTCTCCATGACGACTGGATGGTAGATAGGATCCGAGGTGAGGGGAGCATTGTCGTTGACGTCTTCTACCTGAGAGAGGGGAAAAAAAAGGGGGAGAGGTGAAAGAAGAAAGAGAAGGAGAGAAACGGGAGTGAAAACAACTGAGCACATGAGAGAAATAAGGAGTATTTTCTCTGAGTGGGCTATGAACTGGCAATTGAAATGTTAATAAAACCTAACCTTTAAAATCTCCATGCATTTTAATATCAACTATTATCGTCATAAAGAAACTCTGTCTGTAGATAATGGTGTCCTTTTTAATCAACACCCAATGAAATGCTGGAAACATTGAATCCGGGCTATAGATCACAAATTTTATTCACCAGAAATGTCATAGATGTCACATATTAAATGCTGAGTAGATTAATTTCTCTTCTTACCCATAGATCTAGAATATTTATAGCAAACAGAGCCTTGATTGAGTGTTTGCTGGAAGGCACACAGAGCCATGACGGTTCAGCTGCGCGAGGAGCACCTGTGCCTGATTAATCTACCAATTTTTGTCTGTGATGAAGAGGCTGAGAGTAAAGCACCCGATCACATCCCCACACCTGGATATCCTCAAGCCAGAAAAAAGCTGTTTGTTTTTTTTATACACCACTGAACTCTCCCCCAAAGGGTGAGCAGTGCTGTAGCAGTGATGTGTGTGCTCCAGTGTTTAGACAGTGGATTAGTTACTGCCAAACACAACAGAAACTGAAGCAGAGAATTCCCTCCAGTGCGTATCACTTGCTTACAGACAGAGCATTGCTAGGGTTATCCGCAGCACTGAGCACCATTATTATTTCAGACAGTAACACAGTGATAGCTTAGCTTTAAACTGTTATTTTGGATGTAAGACTAAAAGAGAGGAAACTAGCCCGCGGTTAAATGTTTGCAAAATGTAAGAATGTTGAAATGGCAGATACAGACAGAGCGGCTCATTCAGCAAAAACAAACAAACAAAAAAAAAGATATTAGAATTTTCTTGCAGAGACATGCCAGTAGTTTTATTTCTACGAATGATGTGACACGAGGAATACTTTAACAGCACTTCCCATCTCTACCCCAAATCTCATGTTTGAACAGACTGTAGCTAAATATACATTTTTTCTGTTTTTTTGTCTGGGATGCAAGTTCCACTGAGGTTCTGCTGCATGTCCTTCAGTCTTAAAAGCAAAATGTGCTTTTCTCTGTGTGAGGCCTCTTGTGCATGCTTTGTATATTTTAGTATCTGCAACAGAATAGGGACACCAGAATGTGAGAAAACTAGACTGCAGCTGCATGTCTGCAAGAAGTTATATTAGTGATGAATACAGGCAAGGAGGCTCATTTACTTTTCATACAATGTCAAAAATCTTACAACAGTGTGGCATACAATATGTAACATGTACAAAAAACATGACAAAAATGCTTGGCACTTATAGGTTACTCCCCAAAAGACAGAAAAAGTAGGTCTGTCTCAAAATTCAGATACATTAAAGTTCCTCTAATGAGATTTTACTGGACTAACTATTGTTTCATGCAATGTTCTTTTTCCTCTATTAAAGGGCCTCTTATTCCTATGCATGCTTAGTAAGTCTGGAGAATTTGTAGTAAAATGAGGGTACCTGAATGAAGACTTCAACTGAAGCTGACAGGGGTGTGACCCCTCTGTCTGTGGCGTAAACTGTGAGCCAATAAGAGTCTTTGGTCTCACAGTCGAGGATACCGGCGGTGTAAATCACCCCTGTTGAAGCAGAGGACAAAGATTAATGCAGTAGTTACTGGGTCTTGAGAATACATACTTATTAGTTGTGTGTGTGTGTGTGGAGAGAGGCAGTGTGTCATCAGCAGAACACATCTCTAAGAGATCTCATAAGCAAAGTCTTTGAATACCAAGTTTCCAGAGGCAAAGACACAAATTTGGAGTAAACTTTTGTGTCCTGGATTCAGTGACATTCACAGGCATTAGCGGTGCCGCTGTAGTCACCTTCAATGTTTCAGCTCCTCTACAGCTAATCACAGCTGACCAAACTGCTCCCGCTGCAATTCGGTTGGTGCTAAACGTACCCTGAGCTGCCCTGCACCAATAAAGACGCAGACACTCAGACACTCACACACACTGACTGGCGGGCGTTTAGTGGCCCTAAGGAAGATGAGTAGCTGACAGCTTTGGTGACCTCTTGGGGGACAAAGAGAACATTCACAATGGATGACACACATATCAGCCGTGGTGGACCCAGAAAAATGCCTGAGAAATGATACCCATGCACAGATTGGAGCTCTAATTTGTTTGGCTTATTTGTATTATTTTTTGAGCACCGCCAGGGACACTGAATCACAGAAGTGCAAGGTCATTAGTGGTTGCTTTTATTATAATAAGTAAGTAGAGTTATTTCAGTAATGCTGTGTTGAAAAAGCAATTTTGCCATGGAAAATAACAACTGAAAACCAGTAATAATTGCAACTGGGGAAAGAAGGAGGAGGAGAAGAAGAAGGGAAGATTTAGAAGAAAAAGACACACTGTAGACCCTGCCAGCACTGCTATGAGATCTTCTTGTGAAGTAAAGAAACACAGTGAGGATTTTGTATGTAAAAGCAGGGTCTTAAAATGCAGAAATCTTGGCATTTAAGGCCTTTGAGATAGATAGTTCGAGGGCAGTTTACAAAGGCAGGTTATAATCAGTACTCGAGTTAAGGGGGGATAAGGGGAATGGCATCCCCTTAAATGAAAATGGTCAAAATCATCCCCCTTCTAAAACGGCCATCCCAACTTTTTATCCTTGTGCCATTTTTGTCAATGAGTATGGAAATATTCCCACTATTATAACATTAGAAATATTACCGCAATTTTAATGTTTAGCATGTGTGACGGAGCGGCGTCCTCACCGACTGCGGGAAGCGCTAAGAGCCACGCACATATCCACAACCACGTCAAACATTTCCCTCCCCGCCAGCGTCGCTAATTCCCCACTAAACAGCGCTACTTTTCCTTCCCCCTTCTCTGTTGGATAGGGTAACCAAAGTTGCACATTTGGAGCTCTATCAGTTAACTTTAACATACATTCACATAGACATTCATCCCTTCACTTACTTGCCGGGCGTCCACTTATTCACGCCATCATGCCGACTCATGATTCAAAAAGAGAAACAGAGCGCGTGATTTCCGGGTGTAAAATAGGTGGGTATGGAGGGTCAAAGTGGTCACATGATGCAAGAAAAATTAATTCCCTTGTTGTTTGCCACGAATCCCTAAAATTTATTGCTCCATCAATTTGTCTAAAAACTTTGTTAAAATGGCAAAAACTTACAGAAAAGGGTCTGAAAGTTAAAAATGGTTAAAATGGTTTAAATGTGAATAAATTAGTTTTTTCCAAACTTATGTAACTGATAACGCCCACTGGGAGGGGCTACAGGTGTTTAAAATAAGGCTTCCTGGGCCTTTCTTTCCTAAAGACTGGAGTTTGTTGCATTTTCCTAAATACCAAACTGACTTTTGTTGTGCTGATGTGTTTCTGTTTTTTTCTCTTGAGTGAGAATCTTGAGTTATAGTGGAATTCTTGCCTTGTTGGCATTTTCTTTTTTTGCCTTGAACATTTTGTAAATAGTATTTGACCTTTTTTATTTGCACTTTTGTTAAAATTTTTGGAAGGCCAGCTGTAAATTCTATCACCATCACCGTGTTTTTCTGCAACACCTGTGTTATTCCACTTTATTGTGATTGTTTGAGCGAGAACTTCATGACAGGATTTTTCCTTTTTTTTTTTTTTTAGATATATCAGTGAGTGGCGCTGGTGACGCTGTTGTAATTTCAGTATCATGGCATGAACAGCTCGATCTGAGGGAAAATCTAATATTATAATTATCTTTGTACTTTAGTAACAATAAAATGGGCATTCAGTTGGTTTCCCACCATGTGAACTGTCATCAGAACAAAGTATCTGTCCCAAACAATAAAATGCACCATCCCCCCTGTTTTTTTTTTTTTTTCACAACTTGACTACAGGTTATAATCAAACAATGAGCGCGGTCTAGACCTGCTCCTTTTAGGAAAGCGTCTTGGGATAAAGGCTGTTAATAAAATTTCATTGACTGATTGATGATTGATAAGGGATCATAGTAGTCAAAATGAGACAACAAAACCTTAAAACATCATATCTTATTCAGCTTGTGAGACAACAAACCTAGTTGGAAGATTGTCTCTTAAAATAGAGACATAAAATAGTCAGTGGTTTATATAATTATCAAGGAAATGTCACATGAACACCAAGGTTTTTAAGGTTGAACTTTACAGCTGGGAAAACACTCAGTAGGTATCCCTAGCCTGCACGCTATTCTATTTCTATTGCAGGTACGACCACAATCCTTTCAGGAATTATATATTTGGAAATATCAAATGACCCAGGACTAATCTCTCAGGCACAACACAGGAAATAGCAAAAGTTCCATACTGTATAACTAGTTGCATGGTTTTCATCATAGACTGTACATTAAAATTGACGCCATTAGTGTTCACAGACTGGGAAATTTAGAGCACCCCTCACTGACTGACAGCTGTAAAGGTCATAAAACCCGCCTCCCTTTTTGTTAGGTGAAACTATAAAATTTAAATAACTATCGGAATGTTTTTTTAAATATGGTGTCTGTCGTATCAAGGTGATTTAGGTGCATGATTTTTATTCTGTGAACTTAAGTTTTTATTAATCGCTAGATTTTATGATGATGATTAACTCATGCAGGCTTTTCCACATTTCTATACCAGATCAGCAAGTCAGAGAAGGGAAAGCACAAGAAAACATAACTAACACCAACACTTTGACAACTTTTGAAAGACCATGTGTCTACTTAAAACCAACACAGGATTATTCTCCAGTGGACGGCTCTGACCTGAGGGATAACTGACATTTTGGCGGGAGGGGTGTGAAGTCAGTCTTGGCTCAACCAATAAAAGCAGTATTTTGGCTCCCATCAGGGGGAGCATGGAGGCACAAATCAATATCAGTAACTTTAAAGTAGTGGTTTCAACCAATATGAAATAACACCACTCAGCTTGGTGTAAAAAGACTGGACTCATCAAAAGGGCAAAGCAAACAATGGGTGAAGTCCTGCTTTCTGCATAAACACTTTGATCCAACTCCAGTTTTGCAACAGATCATGATCATGTCAAGTCTGTGTCTTCAACTCACTGAAATGGAACTCAGCTGAATTTAACACCAAGCAGTATATGCTGGTTTATGTGCGTCTGTGCTTTGGTATGCACTCAGTTGTTCCTAAAATTGCCTGACAGAGCTGGGATTAGATATGAAACTTGATGCTTTTATCTGCACCAAAACTTTCTGTCTGACTTTTCTATTCAACGGCTGGTTGATGTCTCTTATTTTATAAAGTTTTTTTTTTTTTTTTAAATTTTGAGCATCAAACACTTAATTCCCTGCATTCTTGTGAATATTTATGAAACATTTTGTGGTGGCAACTTAATTATGTAAAACAAAAAAACAGAATTGTCCATACATAATTTACAAAAATTAAATCTTACTTCCTGCTTGAAGCTCATACTTGAATAAGAATTAATCTGCTACTTACCAAATGATGAGTGAAAAGGAAGCGTAATGTAACACTCACACATAATCAAATTAGATTTAGCACTTTAAAAACTTCACAGAGTACTAAACTAAAGCCAAAACCATAAGCAACAACCACACATGAATTATAATATCATATTATCAATGGGGCAAATTTCTATTTGATCCACTGGAAGGGCACTTAAGAAGCCACAATACTGCGTTGTATCCACTGGAGGGGCACTTGAGAGGGTATTTCATCTACCACAAATGCACCCAACAGTGTACTTCTACTGCACTTTCATATGCATGAGGATAAACCCCATTGTCTCTTATTTTATAACATGACCACGCTGTTGTCATGGCAACTCAGCAGTTTTTTCGCACAAACAACGAGTAAGTAAAGGGGTGAACAAACATCGGTCTCTGCTCCGAGGAGTAGACATATTTGAGATTCCTTTAATTTTACCGAAATAAATGCCAATGATGTTTGTGACTTCAGGGAGGTAAAGAGAGCTTCGACGGTGCAGCCCAGACTCTAGACCCTTGGGATAAACATGCTTAATGCCAGTCTTGCTTGTTTTTCTGCCCTCAGGACCCCATTAAAATCCTTCTTTTGGAGGATATCATCAAATCATTTTCTTCGGAACAAAACTCTGATCAAAGAGAGAACTCCGTCAAACAAAAGTCTGTTTTTAAATCATTAAAATTCAGATTTAAGATTAAGATAAAAGTTTGTAGACAATCATGCAAGTTTTCTCCTTAAGATGAACATGGTTTACTGTCATACACTCAACGTCTGTTGGCCTTAAAGCCCACATACAGAGGCTAAAGTCACGCTGAAGAATACAAATCAGTCACTTGAGGTGTGACCATGGCCTTCTTTTAACGTACTCCAGTCAATCTTGCGGCAGCTTTCTCAGCAGGCTGGCGAGGGTGTTACCTTATCGCCAGGAAGTGTGTGTACATGTCAGATTATGACTCACAGCTGCCCATGGTGTGCACAATGCATAGTAAAAGTGTTTGCTGAAACACATCCTTGCTCTGTCGTCCTTGGCCATGTCCTTTTCAAACCACATCTCATCTCTGTCAGAGAGCTCGACAGAGAGAGACGAGGAAAAACAGAGCTGGCTGTTTCAAAAGCTCTTTGAACTCTAAGACCGACAGGCAGTACTCAGTGCGTTCAATATAAATCTGTCTTGACAGCATCCATTCCCACCATAAATAACACACTTCAAAGAGGGAACAAAAAAAATTTTTGAAGGGTCATGGAATATTTTCTAATTTAGACTTTCGCTGTGTGCTCGGGTTTACATCCATCTGTCATGTCATTTCAGTTTCTCCTGTCTGGAGAAGCAGGTCTTTAGGGTCCCGCCACTAAATCAATGCCACCCCTTCCAATAATCAATCCCAAGATTGACAGGGAAATACTGTGTTATCCTACACTTTGAGTCAAAACTGAATGGCTCTGTGTGTGGCAGAAAATAGGGGGAAAATCAGACAACACAGCCCCTTATTTTTTTTTTTCTTTTTACCAATCCAGAATAAATTACTTTTTTATAGTGTGTTTGCCTAAACCTGGACTGCTCTATCTTGACTGTGACAAATCCTGGGACTTGCAAATGCACTAATAGAGGAGTGGGGGCTTCTGACAGCTACCCAATGAGAAATTGCAGGGCTTGCTTTCACTTGAACCAATGACAAGAATACCAATTTTTTTGTTCAAAGTACAGCAGTGGTAAGAATTAAAGCCAGAGAAGAATTCAAGTCTTATTTTCTGATAGATGCCTCTTTCATTTTACATCCACATTGGAGAAAGCGGTCTTGAACATTTTAATTTCAAACATCAGGGGGAGGGGGCTGTCATAAGCAGGTAAAACAGGTTATCGATGCGGTGAGGGCAAAACAAGATATATCATAATGACAATTTGAAAAGCACAGTTGTGCGTGCGTGCATGAGTGTGTGTGAGAGAGAGTGTTTTGGGAGGCACAAGACTCTAAAAAGTAGTTTTCACGTACTTTTTCTCATTCCCTCTGTCACTTTGACTCCTCTTCACTGTCTGTCACTCTCTATCTTCACATACTAACTTTTGGCACTAAGAGCTACAGATTGACAAGCAGTCAAAGCAGAGCCACTCATTGTGACATGGGAGGACAGTGTGGGGCTTCTCTTACCATGCCTGACAAAACTCATTTGTACACAACAAGATAAAGAAGTAATAATGATAATAAAGCACTTGATTTGGTAAAATACGCCATGATGTGTTTACTGTAGATTGTGGTATAAAAAAGGGACTGGTCAAGACAGCTTCCACCTAAAATCTGACATAGGAAAAGTAACTTTTACAAACTTTCAAAGGAAAATGTGGGCATGGTAAGGCTCAGAGAAGCTGTATTTCTTCGAACACTTTGTTATTTCTATACTCCAGACTCCCCTGCATCCTCTTCCTTCCTCTCTCCGCTTCACATTCACTCCCCTCTTACTTCACTTTCTGCTCTAACAAGCACCCTGATTTCCCCTGGAAAATCTGCACTCAATAAACGTTCTCACTGGCTGTGATGCTCTTTGCTAAGGCTTTAACACCCAAGACTGTAGGGACCTGTCTAAGTTCTGTAACTCTGTTTTATCTATGAGTACAGTAGATTCAGTGTACAAACAGTGTGTAATGATGTGTACATAGCTTTATACATAAAGATGTACATGAACGGAGAGAGAGCGAGAGTCATTCCCTCCATTTGTTCATCAGTTTCTCTCTCAACTACAGTCAATACTAATTAGCCTAGTTAAAGGTCAGCAGAGGCCTCCAGTGTGAGTCATGTACAGTAGGAACCACTGTGCCAAAACGTAAGGAGAGATGCTACAAGAGGAGCACTGTCATGTATTGTACCGCAAACAATAAATACTTCAATAACAACCAGCAATAATGTCCATAACATTGCATTTTTTTTAGCTAACCTCAGGTTTCTACATCACAGATTGCTTATAATCATTGATTTTACCAGTTACTGTAAAATAGATTGCTGTTCTAATTATATAACTAGCTAGCTGGTGCAAATAAATGCCTCAGTGCTTTGCTGTTTGATTAAAAAGATACTTGTGGGATTTAAAATTTGATGATTTCAAGAGTGAAGAGGAAATGAAGTGTTCAAAGTACGTTAAAGTAGGTTAGATCTGAGGAAATTCATTAGTGGAAACATCACAAGTTTGAGCGTTATGACGACCAGCACTAATTTAATCATAAAAATTACTTCTCAGGTTTCTGTAAAGCAGTCTATCAAGTCAGATATACAAAGAAAACTTCAGGAAGAAAAGTGATAGACTAGAGACTGCTTACTTTTCAACAGTAAAACAGTGATTTCCATCTTAAGCCTTTCAAAACCCCATCAAATCTCACCTTTGAAACACTGCACCTGTCAGTGCTAACACTTCACTGCGTCAGGGGTGATTATGAAATGCTACTTACTATGGAGGACAGCATCACGCAGAGAAGGGAGGATAAAAGGTTGTGAGACCGAATTCAGAGGGAGATTTCGAGTGTTTCAGCACCACGGAGAGGGGCAAAAAGAAATCTGACTGGGTTTCAGTCAGGTTTATAGTTTCAGTACCACAAAGTGACACTTCAAAGATCCTAGATTATACTTATGACTAATTTCTTTGTGGAAAATTCAAGTATGCAAGCTTTGCTCAGTTTTAACTGTAGGGCTGTCAGAGCAAAATATACAAAATAGTCCTTTAAAACTGAAATCTTTTCAGAAGACCAACATGTCTTTGGGACCGTTTGCAATGTCACAAAAGAAAAACAGCACATCGCCTCGCCTTGTTAAACTATGCAATCTCTACTTTTAACGTTTATTAATAATGAGATAAGAAGTAACAAAATTCTTATATCCAGATTTATATTGTTCTTTATAGTTGCCAATAAAAATTTGTATTTAAACCAGTATTTATAAGTCAGTGATAAATGATCATTTTGATCATGTACTAACACAGATTTATATTTTGCTAGACTGAGACATTGAGAATATAGACAGACAGATCATAGATTAGTAATTTGCATACGTCAGTTAAAGTCTAATCTCTAGATTTCTATCTGGCAATCCTGCAGTAGAGAAAAGGTGGTATTTTAGCAGTTCATACCTTTCACTCCTTTTTAAATGTGCATCTCACTTTACATCATGACTTTCATATTTTCTGATTGTTTGTGCATGTGCAGGTTTTTTAACATTAGAATAATAAATGATCAAGTGTGTATTACAGTGTGTAGAAATAAGATTATTAAGCAACATCTAGCGGACAGGTTCCAAGCGAAAATGCTCCCTCACTCAATCCTCGAGTTGGTGACAGGGGGTGACAGTGGCCTTAAAGGACAAGAGGCTCCTGTGACGCACGATGAGTGTCATCCCCATTTTTAAAGTTTTAACTCTCAAAACCTTTGTGTGCACAGCAACAACCCTTATCTTTTAATTCTTCTTCATCATCCAATCAGCATCAAATCAGTCTTTTTCAAGCGAGGTGACTATGCATTAATTTAACCCTTGTGTAACCCTAAGATTTACGTCCTTTCTTAACGCTCAGTGGCTAAAAACAGCCACTGACATTGACTGCTGTAAAAACATATTGGATTCATATTTTTTCCAGATTTTTTTCACATATCTCTTAATTAACTTCTGCTCTATTCAAAACTAGTAAAGGTTTCATTAAGAATCCAAATTTTAACCCTTTAAGAACCCATTTAAAACATAAAGTCACTAATATTGGGGGGAAAAAAAGGGAGGAAAATTACTGATTTTTATTAGATTTATTTTCTACCATATCAGTGACATTATGTTTTGAATGGACCCTCAAAGGGTTAAAAAAAATTTTTCAGATGAAACATTTACTAGTTTTGATCAAAGCAGAAGTTAATTAAGAGATATATGAAAAAAAAATGAAAAAAAATATTAACCCAATATGTTTTTACAGCAGTCAAAGTTAGTGGCTGTTTTTAGCCACTGAGCGTTAACAACGGATGAAAATTTGCCCAGCGTGTATTTTTGATGACCAGGTGAAAATTTTGAAGTCATGTTCTCAAAGTGTCCATCAATATAAGCACCTGCACAAAAAAATTATCCCATTTGCTGCAGTAAAAAAAAAGTTACGTGGAAATTAGTGGCAAAATTTTGGTCTTAGTGGCTGATTTTAGCCACAGCATTACACAAACAAACATAAGAATATTATATTTCATTTCCACTTTGATTGTTCAACAATAAGCTGCTAAGTTCTACACACTGTACCCTTAAAATGCACATGCATCATTTGCATTTAATCTACATAAACCAATATGAACACTGTCCTATTTTTATACTTGATTCATCTTATCTCTGGATGAGTGAGTCTATGTGAATGCAAAAATTTTAAGCTAGAGTCTGACACCGCAGGACAGTTGGAGACTACTGTGCACTTTTTATTTTGGGTCAGGTCTTCTTGAATAAGTCACAGTGATTCACTCCTCTTGGAAAGGATGGTGGTGCTGAGCAGGAGTGCCTTGATCAATGTTATCCGCACAGCACTGGATCAGTTGTACTGAGTGGCCCGAGGCCCAGCCAGTGTAGCTGCCATGCTGCCCTCATTACAGTAATGATGTCCCAGTACACAGCTCCCACGTGAGGACCCATCAAAACTCTGACTCGGACTGTACATTATACCCTCTCCCCCCTGCCTGTGCTTATACGTGCATATACATTCAATTTTTAAATACCATGTGAAGCTGTGATGCTTTTTGTGAATCACTTCTGAAGCAAAACATGATGTGGAGCAGCACAAATAAAGAAAACAAAGTTGAGCCACAGCAGGACATACATGAAAGTCATTAAAAAATGGCACAGACATTACAATGCAGATGATAAATAATGCAGCAGTGTGTTAATATTCTACACATGGAACCGTTTGTTTGTTTGTGGAATTCCACTTCACATGAACAGACTTTCAATTGATCTTGTGTCAAACCTGTGTCTTCGTCGATGGTGAAAGTGCCCAGTCCGCTGCCTCCTCTGATGGAGTACCTCAGCACACCATCTCGCCCCCTGTCGTCGTCCTTTGCGCTGACTGTCAAGACGCTCGTGCCTGAACGAGAGTTCTCCTTCACTGAGCCTCTCATTGCAAAGTCAGGGAAGTAGGGTGCATACAAATTCTCATTGACATCCACCACCTGAAAAGATGTAATGATTCATGTTTATTTTGACCTGAAATTAGAAGAGCAGTGAGGGCAGATATGTGCAATCATCAAACAGCATTAGTGTGACTCAGATTACAACATCGCTGGCAGCTATAAATATCCACTGACAACATTATTCTCTTTCTGGGAATAGTTTTTTTTTCTTATAAATTATTTACTTTGCCCTGTCAACTAAACTCAACTGAATAAATTAGACTGAGTTTTACTGAGTTTATTTGACCTGAGTTGTGGAGCATCCTTCAACTTGTCTGTTTATAATCAAAATATTTGAATTATTTTTTTGTGTTTGTTTGTGATTCTAATCTTTAACAACAAGGGAGCATGACAAAAAATATTTACAATGTCAAGCTTTAAAAGGAACCAAAAAACTATCAGTTTTCAAGCTTCATGAAACTGATCTTTAAATTGTTTCTGGTTTAAAAAATTGTTTGTGTGGGTGTTGTTTTTTTTACGCACCTCCACCTCCACGAACGTCTGACTGATGAGGCTGGGTACTCCCCTGTCTTCAGCAAGCATTGTCAGGTTGAAAAACTGTTGTTTCTCGTAGTCCAGGTCCTTCCTAATCCTTAACACTCCACTCACAGAATCGACCTGAATCAAGCATCACAGGCCCATACATCATAAAGTGCCAATAAACAGAGGACTCGAATTTGCGACATTAAGGACAATAGAAATATTCGCATCACATACCTCAAAAGTGCCGTTGAAGTCATTAATCAAGGAGTATCGGACCTGTCCTCCGGGCCCGACGTCTGGGTCCTGAGCCTGCACCCATGTAATCACAGCCCCTGGTGGGAGGTCCTCAAGCACCCGAGCACTATAGCTACTAGGGATGAAAGCTGGAGCGCAATCATTGACATCCTCCACGATTATAGTCAGGGTAGCCACTGATGACCTTCTAGTGCCTCTCTCAGCTTTGTCTCTCACTTCAATCTTCAATATGAACATTGGAAAAGTTTCTCTGTCCAAGAGACTTGCGACAAATACACTCCCAGTTTCGCTGTCAACGCCAAACTGGGGGACACTGGTCAGCATTACGTAGGAGAGCTGTCCATTTTGACCAGTGTCTCTGTCAAATGCATTGACCGTTATGACTTCCATACCAATGGGGGAGTTTTCCACAACAATAGCAGAGGGGTTTTCGTCATAAAACTGGGGGTCATTGTCATTAGCGTCCTCAATAATCACAGTCAGTATTCTCCAATTGGACATCTGAGGAACGCCCTGATCATAGATGGTGATATTAAGAAAGTAACGATCCTCTTGTTCACGGTCCAGTGACAGTAATACAGTAATTAGCCCATTTTCCATGTTGATATTGAAGCAGTTTCCTTTGTTACCATCAGAAATGGAAAAGAGAACGCGGCCATTGAAGCCAGTGTCACCGTCTCGGGCCCTCACCTGAAATACACTGGCACCAGGAGGGAGGTCCTCTCTCACTAAAATACTTGTGGGCAAGGCCTCAAATTGCGGGGCCTGTTTGTTCATAGAGAAAACGTCTATAAATCTCTCATCTGTTCTTGGTCTAGACATGGCAGACACTTTTGCGAGCATTTTTTCAGCCAACAACTGGGCAACTCTTGTCTCCCTGCAGTTGAACCCCTTGGACGGCATCCTACCCCTTACCACAGAAACATTGACAAATGTAGGATCAGAGGACAGCTCTCCATCTGTTGCAACTATTTTTAAGTTGAATACCCCACTTTTTAGATTATCCACTGCTAAAGATCTTTTTAATGACAAGGCCCCAGAGTCTGGGCTCAACTCAAAATAATCTAATTCATTTCCGGACAGTATCTTGTACTTCACCATTCCCAGCTCATCCATGTCCACAGCTGACAGGGTGACAATATTCTCCCTGACTGGGAAATCCCTGCTTATCATCCCCCTGCAGGAAACCTTCTCAAAAAGAGGCTGGTTGTCATTTATATTTGTCAGTCGAATGGTGACATTAACTTCACTCTCTCTTCTGTAGGGTGAACCCCAATCGGAGGCCCGTACAGCAAAAGAATAGATATCCTCTGATGACTCAAAGTCCAGTTCTCTAGTTATCCTCACCTCCCCTGTGTCTTGGTCAATGCTAAATGGTAGAGACTGATCTCCACTGAGTGTCAGGGTAACAAATCCATTCTCCCCTTTGTCATCATCCACTGCAGACACAACAAGAACAACCGTTCCAACAGGTAGGCTCTCATTGACCGCAACATCGTAGAAGGGCCTACTGAACACAGGAGAGTTATCATTAGCATCCTCTATGGTGATCTGGATCCTTGCTTGCTTCTGACTATAAATATCAACCACCTCCATCTCCATGAAATCCTGTGATATCCTTGTCAGCTGCCTCGTGGTCATGATAACTCCAGTCAAAGGGTTTATATCAAAGTACATCGGATCTGAGAGGCTGCTGAAGCTGTAATTGACACTCAGAGGAGCTGGGGAGATTTTCACCACCTCTACAATAGTGCCCGGGGGAGCTATTTCACTCAGCTTGACTGCATAAACATCCTTCTCAAAATTCGCCAACACTGGCTCCGGCTTTGTGGCTAACAACTGAACAACTTGTGTATTGGAGAACTTAGGAGGTGAACCTCTGTCTTTGGCCTGCAAGGTTAGGTTACAGCCATAGGGGAATAAATCCCAGTCCACCATTTCTGATGATTTAACCCTGTATTCATTCCCAACAGGTGATCTGTCAACTACAAACTGTTCAAAAGGGTCACCCTCAATGATGGATACCCACTCTATATCCCCTGATATCCCGTCATCTTTATCTTCTACAGTCACTACAGCATAGATCGGGTCCTTGTCCAACCATGACGGGGCAACAGCAACTACACTGACTACTGGGGCAAATTCATTCACCTGGCCCACTGTTAGGTACAACTTGGCTGTGCTGCTGATGCCATTATTCCCATAGAGTTTCATCCCTCTGTCCACCACCTGCACTTCCAGCTCAAATTTGTCTTGTTTGTCCATTCTGGGCTGACCTGTCAGTGTTATAATCCCACTGGTCGGGTGAACCGCAAAGAGCTCAACTCTGTTTTTAAAGAAGTAGTAGAACTCCCCGTTGGAGCCCATGTCAGCATCTGTGGCTGTTACACGCCCTATGCTGGCACCCAGTGGTGCACTTTCAGGAACAACAAAGGAATAAGAAGTTGGGGAGAAGAGTGGTCGGAGATCATTGGTATCCAAGACTTTGATATAAACAGTTGCTAAGGCCTCGAGGCCTCCCTGGGCAGATGCCTTGACAGTCAGTGTGTAATTGTCCTGTACTTCCCGATTCAAAATAGCCCCACTGCCTCCATTAGTTCTTATACGGAGGAAACTAAAATCTCCCATGACAAATGCCTCAGCCTGGAAGATCCCCTCATTGTCTCCAGATTCAATGGAATATTTTATGTCTAAAGACCGGGGCGGTCCAAGGACAATGCCCATTTTGACCAGGCTCCTGACATAGGTTCTTGCGGCAGAGTTCTCAAATATAGTCGTATTATACGCAGGTTGGGTGAAGAGAAGCAGCCCTTGTCCTGCCCGCAGTTCTGGCAGGAACTGGGTATGGCTCGAAGGGAAGCAGAGGAGGAGGAAAAGGCAAATAAAACAGCAAAGAGGAGAGAAGCGTGGTAGAGGAAGCATATTTCCCCACCAATTAGGCTGCATCACTATTCCATCACCCAGTCACCCTAAATATGGAGGAAAGACAAGAAAAAACAGATCTTAGTTTAGTTGGTAGGTTTATGATACATGCACTCTTCAAACAAAGTTTCAAAGATCTTCGGGGTTATAATAGCATATTCAATGTTTGACTCAAACAGGTTGCATTAAACACTCAGTAGCTGAAAAAGACATCCCTTTAAACATACTACATCAAAGCACACTGCAATTTCACACCCTCGGTCGAGTAGTCATGTCCATTAAGTGGGATCACAGAAAATGGCCTATAGTATAAAATAGAATGACTAAAAAACATACTTTTAAAGCCAGTGACTAACATGTTTTCAATATCTTAAAAGCAAAGAACTCTGAAAAAACAGGACAGCCTAAAAAACATAAATGTGCACATCGAAACATTATGTACTCTTTATCATAGTACAGGTACTATCAGGTAAAGAGTCAAAGTTTGCAATCGGATTTGATGACAAAGCAAAGGAAGGGTGTCTAACTCTAGTCTAACTAAAACTGTTAATTGTTTCCCAGTGCCTTTAAGTATCTTGTGTAATAACATATAGGCCTACCAGATATTGTATGCTACACGTTTTAATAACTACTCAACTTCCAGGGAAAGTGGAATAATAAAAAAAACAATTCAACTCTTTAAATCCAGGGCCCACCTATAGCCCACTCTGTGCAGGACATATTGTATAGATTTATATCAGCACCAAAAGGGCTGTCAAATTTAACGACTCAGTCCAACATTTCCCCGAGGGAGACTGTCCCGGGAGATAGTGGGTGCATCTCCCGTGCTGATGCACATCCAGTGGATCTCGCCTCCGTGCAAAAAACCTACGAGTTTATGGGCTTGAGCCTGGAGCTACAGTCTGGACATTAATTAACGAGGCTGTAACCTATATTATACACAGACTCCTCTCACACATCGTGGCGTGTCCTACCTTTAGACGAAACAGCTGTGATCAGTAAAAGCAAATCATTCCCCATCCTTTCCTCAACAGTCATTCAAAAAAAGAAGAAAGAAAGAAAAGAAAACGCACAAAGCAGCCGCGCTGAAGTCGATGGTGATGCCCGAAATGGAAAATTCATGTGAACATATCCCGAGAGGCAGTTGTCTACTTGGCTGCAGCCATCCTCGTATAAAACTAAATAGCTATTGCCCCAGTTTCGTGCACCTGACTACTGTATCCCTGAGTGCAGTGGCTTACTTCGGGTCTATCTGGAATAGTTAACACAAAACTGTCGCGCAAACAGTTATGTGTTTGTTTGCTGGAAGGTTAAGATCCGAAACAAACGTGGTACGGAGAGCATGTCGCTCAGCGTCAAGTTTGGAAGCGGTCAGCATCAGTTGTCGCTTGTGTGGGACCACTGTGCGCTCGCAGGATGGAGGTAGCGGGTTGGGCATGCTCCGAACTGAGCCGAGTTTAGCCGAAAACATCCGGAAGTGAAACCAGCCTACCAGTGTACAGTTGTGTGAGGCAACCGTTGCTGCTCTGTATCCTACACTTACTAGCTTTAACACTCGTGAGGTACAAGTTGAACTCATTTCACTCGCCAGTATGTCCGTTTTGTGTTATAACAAAGGATGTGGACAGCGATTTGATCCGGACAATAACCCAGACGGTGAGTAGCAGCATAGTAGTCAACTCTAGCTGTATCCTGTGATAGTCTGTTAGCAAGCTAGCGTTAACCTTTGATGATCTGGAAATTTCTGTAGAGAGTAGGCCAGGAGAGCCCGTGTAAGTTAGCTACCACGATAGTAACAAACTTGAAGCTCAGTTTTATCTTAAATTGTGTCTAACATTGCGGAAAGTTAACGACACGTGGGCCTGCTGAGACCGAGTACGCGGTTGTCTTCACGTTAAGCTCTGTTATTAGCTTTAGCAGGTATAAAGGTAACGAGACTTGGCTGAACCATTGTCCCAGACCGGACATTGATACTGTGACCCATTCAAAGTTAGCTACAGTTTGAGGAACATAGGAACCAGCTCTTCAGATACCAGAGTACATTTATCAACGCTGTCCACGTGTGAAACCAGACAGATTAAACCTCCAACAAGAGAGCTATTATCTACAAATACAAATATGAGGCTAATAATGACTGTAATGAGGATAATTTTATCACATTTATTGTTTGAAAAGATTTACTATTGCGCTAGTTTGGGGGGGATGCTTTGAATATCATACACATCTCCACTTGCACATGGCTTGTCCATTTCAGTCAGCATGTGATTGATGCTACCTAAACGAGACATAACTTCAACGAAACTATCATGGTGAATAAAACTTGATCAGAGCAGTGACTGGTATCCTTGAAACTGATTGGCTGTTGTGGATATATGCTAAATGGAGAGCTACACAGCCCACCGTATTCCATTTAAAGTTCCTGTAAGGAACTTTCCATTTGTGTGTGTGTGTATCTTCTTTATCCCATGATAGTGTTGTTGTTTTTTTTCATGATTCAAGATTTGTTTATTTGTCATGTGCATGTTAAACAAGGTCAACAGTGCAATAAAATGCCCTGGATGAGAGGACTGCTCGACTCAAAGGGGTACAGATAAAACACACAATAGTACTGAAAGAATACAATAAAATAAGGATACAAAAAAAAGAAAAAAATGTATATACAGTACAGGCCAAAGGTTTGGACACACCTTTTCTTTCAATGTCTTTTTTTAATTTTTTATATGACTATTTACAGTGTAGATTATCACTGAAAGCATCAAAACTATGAATGAACACATGTGGAATTTTGTACTTATAAAAAAAGTGTGAAATAACTGAAAACATCTTTTATATTCTAGTTTCTTTAAAGTAGCCACCCTTTGCTCTTGATGACAGAAGTAACCCTGACAAGGCACAGCTGTGAAGTAAAAACCTTTTCAGGTGACTACCTCATGAAGCTCATTGAGAGAACAGCAAAAGTTTGCAGCGCTATCAAAAAAGCAAAGGGTGGCTACTTTGAGGAATCTGAAATATAAAACTTTCACTGAGAATCTACAATTTAAATAGTAGTGTGAATAAAGAAAATGCATTGAATGAGAAGATGTGTCCAAACTTTTGACCTGTACTGTACATATATATACATATATTAAAGATGAATTAAGGTATAAGAGAATTATTTACAAGTGAAAAAGGAGATATTTACAAGGTGAGGTGAACATAGTGGTGAAATGGAGGGTAAGCCGGTGGGATAAATGAGGTATGAAAATTGCTGTATTGCACATGATTAATAATGGTGTACAAATGCTGTATTGCACATCATTTGACAAAAAATGTCATCCTGCTGACCTTTGAAAGTCAAATGTATTCTATATAAAGACTTTTTTAAAAATAGGACTGTTTCTTCAGCTGCAGGATAGGATATAAAAATCATCAAACATTTTGCTGATGGTTTTGTTTGCTTTGGGAGATAATAAGAAGGCATCATTGTGAATCTCAGCCATTTCAAAAAAGTGACAAAACACCTCACAAAAATGTAGTTATATAGTTTGTGATAATGGACTTCATTTTAATGCCATCTTAAAAAGAACATATATCTTTTTATTTTTATTCCACTACCACTCTACCTCCAGAAAGTGCAATATTACTCATCACCATGCTGCTATTTTACCCTTAGTTTTTATTGTTTATCTGTATATTAAATTCAACACCATCATACTGTGATATGGAAGCCAAGCAACAACATTTCGTTGCAGAGAGAAATCACTGCTGAATGACAAATAAAGAAAGTCTAAGTCTAACTGGCTGGAGCATGTTTAGATGAAAATTGGCCTTATAAAACACCATTTTAAAAACCTGTTCAAAACATTGTTATAACTTTTTTATAACTTTTCTTGACTTTCAAAGTTAACCAGCGAAGAGTTTAGTCATCCTCCAAAAACACCACAGGCCTTGACAGATAAGGTCACAATGTGTTACAATGCATTTCCCTCACCAGAACAGCATACAAATCCTCGATATTGCATCATGTAATGAACAAAAATCCCTAGGGCACTTAAATATTTAATGTCACTCATCATCAGCTTGATTAAAAAAAAGAATCTCTTTCTCTTTTCAAAGCAGACATGATGTGGTATTTTAAGGCTTGGTTCACCGTTGACAGCATATATCATCAAGTAATTCGCTGATCACAAAATAACCAGTTAAATAGTTTTCTTTTTGTAGGTTCAAATACTTTTAGGATGACGGTACCTGAATGAGACCATGAGAATGTTCACTCATGCAAGGTTATGCAGGGATAAATTACTGCCATTATAAGTTTCCTTACTTAGAAAGTTTGCTCACGACACCCGTTGTTTATGAAGCCACTGATCTCTATATAATTGAACGTTCAAGGTGGTATTGTTGGCTTCATCCCGGCAGTAAAGGCTCACTGAGTCCTTTATTTCCCTTTCGTTTGAAATGTCTGCCCGTGTTTTCAAGGGAGTGTTGGGCAGTACACATAAAGTCGGGTTTGATTTCCATTTTAATCAGATGCCTCTTTTCATAACAGTGGAGTATATTAATGTTAACTTAGGAGTAGCTGAGAGGTGTGTCTAAGGCAATAGCAGAGAGGGGGCAAAGGTCAGAGGAGACTTTGAATAACATGCTTAATTTATGGTGTCATGGAGGCATTTCTATGTTGATTTTTCCTGATGTTTCTTTCAGGGCAAAGTCCTGGTAGAGGTCTTTTTAAAATACATTGTAATTGCAATTTAAGGCAAAGTTGAGCTCAAGTTTAAATAAATTGTCAGCCATTTTTTTCTTAACTTTAAGTCCCTGTTGTTTATACATTACAGTTGAATACCACTATAAGCATTTTGATACAGGTTTGACCCTTAACAGTCATCAAGTACTGCCTGAACAGTCCATTTACCAGCTGAGTGCACATACAAAAAAAAAGAATAACAATGCAGCCTTTTGCCGTTTAGTTTCTAAGGTGTTTTCACACTTTCTGCTTCATTTTGGAGTCCTTGCATGCTGTTTAGTTCAGTTCGCTCAAGGCCGTTTTTGCAGAAAGCACATGAAATCACCGCTGTTCCAAGTGAGAGATGTTCTGTACAAATAAAGAAGCAGGTACAAACTAAACGTCACCAGTTGTGAAGTCCAAGAGAGGGTTCAGCAAGACTTGGAAATCATTGAAGAATATTATTAGATGATGATTCCTGCAACTTTTTTTTAAGCTGCAAGTTTTCTAGTCAGTAAATGTTTTTTTACAAACATAAAAGTTTGCTCTGAAGGAATCAAATATCTCCTTTTTTCCTACAGAGGGCTGCACCTATCATCCAGGCGTCCCTGTATTCCATGATGCACTGAAGGTAGGAACCAAAATATGGATGTTTACTCTCTCTCTCTTTTCTGGTTAAACTCATTATCCTTCTGATTTTCTTCAGGGATGGTCCTGTTGCAAGAGGAGAACCACTGACTTCTCAGACTTCCTCAGCATTGTTGTAAGTTTTTAGTCATGATAGTCACTTTTTACTGCGACCATATTGGCCCGAGCACTGATTGTCTCTGAGTTGATACAGTGACTTTTTTTTCTTGTGTGTAGGGCTGTACAAAAGGTCCTCACAACAAAGAGAAGCCCCCTGAGCCGGTGAAACCAGACGTGACCTCATCGGGGGAAAAGAGGGAAACTGATGACCAAAAACCAAAGTTCAACGAATACATCATCTCTGCACCAAAACCTCAGGAGGCGATACACAGACCAAGGTTCCTGCTTTCTGTAATAATAGTTTGGTTTGTTTTTAGAACAAATGTGGCAAATCCAGCTGTCACTATGTAGCAAACCCTCACTTCATCATGGCAGTGTTATATGAAAATTATTTGGAGAATGTACAGTGATTTTAGAGTTTCTGCACTTTTCAAATCATTACTTTTTTTGTCTTAAATAGTGTTCATAAAACACTACTAAAGGATTAAGATATACCAAAAAGAACCACTTTTTCTCTATTCAGGTCACACAAAAAAACACTCACACTTTAAACTAGTCATCTGTTTTATCACCACCGATTTCATTGTGCCCAGTGTCCTTGGTTAAATGCCCTGTGAGGAGTGATCATTTTATGCTGATTCGGGACAAAATTTAGAAGTGCATCTTCAGGATGACGACTGCATTTCCCATCAGCGCCATCAACCACTTAGCTACAAATTTATGTGGTTCTTTCCAAAGCATTTAGTCTTGTAAGAACATAAATGAAACACAAATCTTCTTTTTAATACAAATTTTCTTTGTACCAGACTACTTATTTTCAATATCCAGGGTGTTGAGATGATGTCTAAATTCTTAGCTAAGTGAAATTTTTAACTGTGACAAGACAAAGAAAAAATTTTGTGAACTTTGACGTAGTACTGTTGGTTAGGTTTACTGATTTAACATAACCCGTCACAGTCCCGGTGTACCATTAAACACACATATGATATGAACATGCGCACAGCTGAACTCTTTTGCCCTCAAAGAGCAGTACAGCGCTGAAACACCAACATAACCTTTAAACCTTGTTCATCGTCGATTTAGTCTTTCACTTAGCAAGCCCTGGTTGTAGAGTTTCTTCCTCTAGAATAAAACATCAACACAACATGTCTGTTTGCTAGCCATGCACCAGTATCAGCCATTATGATACTGATCACAGAAAAAGGAAGAAACTCCATTATCACTGACAGAATTTTAACGAACCCAAACGCAGCATAAAAGTGCACCAATCCCCTTGCTAATAATCTCATTTTACTGCGTAGGTCAGAAAGAGGCATCAGTGGTCGAGTGAGACTTTTTTCAGACTCAGCTGACGTTCCCACAGTTCCCCAAGTATCGGATAGAAAATAGGAACAGTTTTTATTTCCAGAGGATCCATTCAGAATAGTCTGCGTACTTTAACGGCATGTTAGTGAAGAATTTTGACGAGTGACTGATAAGACAATAATTATGAATAAAAAGTGAAACTCCTTTCAAGTGGTGTAATGGTCTACGACTGTATCAGAGGCCCATTTTAAAGTGTTGTAAGTGATTATTAATTTATCAATTTTACATAAAAAACGCACAACCTTTTACAATCAGCATTGCCGAACTATTAAATCTGACACAGTCAATTTCTCCCTTTTTTAATCGTTTCTGTCTCTTTGCCGTTGTAGCCCTGATGAGCCGATGGTGAGGATGCAGCATAAAGTCTCATCCTCCCTGAAGCAGGCTCTGGAGAAACTCAAACTTTGTGAAAATGCGGCAGAAAAGAAAGGTGAGCTTACAACTTTATCTCCTCCTTCTTCGTCCTCTTTCCCTCTTTACTGTAGACTACAAACCATGCCCTGCTCTACTTGACAGGAAGGTCATGTTGACTGTGAAAGTTAATGGACAGCCTCGGGGGATTAGTCCTCACTTGTGTCGTTCACATCATGACTTTTGAGTGAAAGCAGACCGGACAACTCATCATAACTGCAGATGCATTTTTTTCAAGCTCTTTAAAGTATGGGTGTCAACTGTCTGTCTCTCTTCATTCATGTGTCCGCCTTTCTAGAGGAAGAAAGTGACGAAATCAAGATGGGAACATCGTGTAAAAATGGAGGATGTACCAAAGTAAGTGAATGTGTCAGTGGAATAAATCCCTTTATCATCTGTAAGGCTCTGAGAAACGCTTCCTGTTTTTAATATTTGGCTGCTTAATCATACAAATTAATTATTGTGGAATCAGCTAGTAGGTTTCCTCTGCCTCTCATTTTCTGAGCCAAATTAAATTCTGTGAACGGAGTTCATTAAACAAATACAAAAACAAATCATGATGATCAAAGCAAATCCCGGCCAAGAAATCTAAGTGTCCCAGAAGAGCGAACAGCTCTGGATAAGGGGGAAGTATTGTACATCCTATTCCTCATCCTCCTCCACGTTTGCTCACAGATAAATGCGCAGCAAAAATAAATTCTCTCGAGTTAATCCAACCTGTCAGAGCAGAAACCCCCAGATTAGAGAGTAAATTATGAGGAAGATTTGCATTGACTTGAGCTTGGGAGAAGCTTGAAGTTGGACTTGATGATTTACATAATTGGACTTTAACTGATTTGATTGAAAGCCATGAGATATTCTCTCAAGGGCTGCCTGCTTTTAGTAGATTAATTAGTTTGGTTTTACTTGAGAGAAAAGTTGTGCTTTTAGCAAGTTTTTTTATTAATTAACAGTCTGGAGATTAGTGATCGTCTGAACTAAAAAATACTTAAAAACGATTTCACAAGTAGTGGTTTATCTTTGCAGATAAATATGAAGGTATGATAAGATCTCCTCTCTGTGGAGTAGTTCGATTAGTTTAGTTTAGGACAATAACGCCTTGTTTGTATTTTTTAATGACGTCAAATCTGCTTCAGTGTTTTTAAACTCACTTTTTCATCATCCCCAGAGTTTTGATGGGCCTGCGAGTGATTCAGACGTTTGCTCATACCACCCTGGATTTCCTATTTTCCATGAAGGGTCAGTAAAGCTAACCTCTTTCTGTTATTCATGTGTATTTTTATATCTGACCTTAAAAAACCTTACACACTTTATTGACACACAGTCGTAGACAAACATGGAAACAGAAGAAAGTATTTCTCTGTTAGTCTTCCTGTTACTCTTGTTTACTGGCCCACTTGAGTGACAAGCTATTGACTTCTAAAAAAAAAAAAACAACCCAGCATCAACTCTTTCCTGCCTTTTCCAGGATGAAATACTGGAGCTGCTGTAAAAGGAAAACATCTGATTTCAACACCTTCCTGTCTCAAGAAGGCTGCACCAAAGGGACGCATTTATGGAGGAAAAAAGATGCGGTAGGTTTGACAGCGAATGATTGTGTGAATGAGAGAGCCTCAGCTGTGACTCCATCTAGTGGTGTATGAAAAACACTCACCGGCTAAAGGAGAGAATGTTTTCAGTGTTTGTCTTCTTGGACTCTCCCAGGGTACTAAAGTAGTCCCGTGCCGGTTTGACTGGCATCAGACCGGGTCGCAGGTCATCATTTCCATCTACGCCAAGAACGCCGTTCCAGAGCTGTGCTACGTGGATGCAAACAGTACAATGGTGAGGGTTACCTAAATCACTGAATATCTTTTCCAAACTTTTCTTCACAACCTTAATATTTTATTTTGTTCTTTCAGCTGAACATCCACGTCATATTTGAAGGAGAGAAGGAATTTGAGCAAAAAATCAGCTTGTGGGGAGTAAGTACGGTCCCACAGCATGACATCTAGTACACATATTTATGTCTTGACACGGTATAGACATAAATACAGCACTTTTGTGATTTCAGGCCTTTTGCATCCTTGACTACCTGTTTGTAAAGCCAAACTGAGTCACACTCCCTCTTTTTCTCTGGCAGGTAATAGATGTGAGTAAAAGTGTAGTGAACATGATGGCTGCCAAGATCGAGGTGGCCATGAAGAAGTCCGAGGCCATGTCATGGGCTCGTCTGGATCTCCCTCCTCCTGTCATCCCAACCAAGGAGAGCGAGAAGAAAAAGGAGGAGGCCGACAGTGAAGACGAAGATGAATGATGATAAACTACTGTACAGCCATAGTGTTTATTTCAATCTGAATCCGAGGCCGAGCAGTCCATTCCTTACCTCTTTGAAAAGTCACCTCTTTTGCTGTCATGGAACTTTTAGTGCTTTTACCCGTTCGTTCTAGGAAGTCATCCCTCTTAAATTTTGCCCATTTCCTCCGGTTTTGGCCTTTTTATTGGTCATTAAATGGGTTTGAATACTTAAGACTCAAAGTATTTTTTACAAGATTTTCACTCAAGTGCAGAATGCTAATAAGGGGAACACCGACTTTTAGTTCCTTTAAATCAAGTGAGATAATGAAAAACTTAATTGCACTGAAATTCCTCAGAAAAATAACGCACACAGTAGGACCAGAGTCAGGAATGACCTGACTTGATCTCAAACCCATTAAACCTCTCATCATCGAGTCTTTCTGATGGGCTCAGTTGGGTTAAAGCTTCATTCCAGCCTTCAGTTTCATTAATTAAATTTAATTGCATTAAAATTAATTGCACTGTTGATCATTAAAGGGATATTCTGGCATAAAATTAAGTAAGGGTCAAACACACCGTAACACCGAGTTAGACACCCCCTAGAGAGATGAATGTTGCCGACCTCTTGCTTCTCTAGTTATACCAACTTTAGTAACGACCGCACGATAGCGATACACAGTGGTCTGAGGAGCCATAAACAAACCTCAACCAAAACGCCACTTTATAGCCACAAATAATGTTCAGAACAGCACCTAACTTCATCAACACTACATGTAAGGTCCTAGCCACCAAACATCTTTTTAACTTTGTCTAATTTCTTTAGCAAAGAGACTAAACACAACTCACCTACTCTCCTCCAGCAGCCGCTTATTTGCACGGAGACCTCAGACGAGTCCAAACCGACTGCAGCGGGGTGACGCAGCTCAAGGAAAAACATTTATAATCATTACTTTATCATTTAATTATAATCACCATATTAATCATTTTGCACTGGAGGCACGGTAGTTCTTCTACCTTTGCGTCTCTGTCTGATTGCATTTCCATGAAGAAATTATCATAAATGTTCTTCCTTGAGCTGCGTCACCCCGCTGCCGTTGGTTTGGACTCGCCCTATATGTACTGTTGATTCAGTTAGGTGCTGTTCTGAGCATTATTTGTGGCTTTAGAGTGGCGTTTTGGTTGAGCGCGTGGCTCCCTAGTCCACTGTGTATTGCTATCGTGTGGTCATTACTAAAGTTGGTATAACTAGAGAAGCAAGCGGTCGGCAACATTCATCTCTCAATGGGGTGTCTAACTCGGTGTTACGGTGTGTTTGACCTCAATTCCAAGCCAGAATACCCCTTTAATACTGTTGTTACAGATATATTCCCTTGTCTGATAAAGCTGCTTTGTGTAGTTTGAGTAGAAAATATGGAAAATCTGAGGCGTCCACACAAGTAAAAAAAAATTCCGTTAATTCTGAATAAACTCTTATAATAAGAAGTGAAACATTTCCTTTCATACACTCTGCTGGTGTCTCTCACCTTTCACAGTCAGAATTGCAGAATTCAACTTTTTAAAGTTTTTTTTTGTATGTATATTTTGTACAAGATTTTGCATCCACCTGACTGACATTGTATTTATCTCATGTACTGTTCAACAGCATAGTGCAGTTTCAATTACGAGAATGTACTGTAATATCTGAGAATGCAATCTAAGTACAAGGTACAGTACTTACAAGGTAAGCATTGTATCAGTAAAACGCTATGCTGCCCAGCATGACTCAAGGCTGAGAATGTATGAGTATATTTGGCTGAATGGGGCCATGACATAAGGGTATAATGAACACGGAACCAATTTATCTTACCAAAAAATAAACTTTTGTGTTGAACTATTAATGAAGGGATGATGTGTGTGTATTTGTGATGGATTTATATTGTGCTGTGAGTATCCCTAGTGCATAGCCTGTTTAGTTTGAGTTGTATTCAAGCAAAACTTTTCCAAAAATTATGAACTAGTGGAGAGAAACATGAGCGTACACTTCAGAGCAAGGATTTTCGACCCTAAGCAACTTATTGAGTTTCTGTGACTTTAACTGAATGTCAAAGTTTGAAAACTATTACATAACTCCGATTTTGTTGAGATGTCTAAGACCTTGACATCTATGCAGTCCTAATCACAGTTCTGTCTTTCCCGAGCATGTCTTACAGCACAAACAAATCAATTAAGTGTTAGCCAAAAAGTGTGGTTCAGTCAACTCCCACACAAAGATAATAAAAGAAAAGTCCCTCAGGTCCTCTGAAAAACATAACGGAAGACTTGGTGTTACTGACTCTGGCAGCTGGATACATGGAGTGTATCATTTGCTCGCATACATGGCTGATGCAACAAACTGCAGAGCCTGATGTTGAAGCTAAACCACTTTAACCCTATAAAAATAAACATGAAAAGTCATAATGACGGGAATGATGAGAGCTGCACTGACCATATCTGAAGTTACCCAATTTGTAGAATTTGATAGGATATAAATTGTGGGTGGATTGTGCTTTTGATATAACCTATTTAAAAAGTTGTGAGATGCAGTTTTTTTATACACTTTTAATACAGTTTAAATACAGTGCCATTAACAAATATAATAGAGTAATTACAATCATTTCTTATAATGTATAATTCACAGTGCTCAGGATAGGCATATTTATATATATGTGTGTTGTTATACAGGGTTGTCTGTGTCTTCATATAGTTGTCTGGTAGTTGCGGTTGCCAGTTTCCTCCGTGACATTGTCCAGAATCAGTGGCTGTCTTTCCAGGATGCTGTCCAAGATAATTGGCTTTTTCTCTCGAATCCAGAAAATTTTTGAAAAGTACGCACTTAGGTGTGAGAAGGGGTTTTTCCAACTTCCCCATCGTTTCCAGGGCCAGTCTTGGTATCGCTGTTTTACTTTCAGGAGAGCAGCGACAAGAGACACCGCTAAAATCCCCCCCATGACCCCTGCAAACAGCAACCAGGGCCATACATTCTTCAGTTCATCCAGGTACGGACGCATGGCTTCTGCTATCCGCTGGTCTGGGGGAAAGAAAAACACAGCAGTTGTTTCAGTTTGAGACCTTTTTTGAAATTGAATGTATTGGTCAGTGATCATGCATTGATAGAATATTAAAAACATGGCCCAAGATGAATGAAAAAAAGCACCACTTACTAGAATTTAGCAGATTTGAATATTCATATCCCAGCTCTTTGGTTGAAATAAAGTATTCTCTGTTTCTACGGAGCGGCAAGAAGGGTACCATGTGATATCTGGCGTTGTGCCCGATGGGAGCATTGAATTCTGGGTACTGTGATGCAGATGGGTTATGCCTTCTGAGCCACTCCTCAAAGATACTTTCATGGAAAATAAATCAGAACAGTCATTACAAAGTGCTTGAATAGAAGCCCACTCGGATTTGACAAAGTTAGATTGAACATGTCTTACCTGTCAACATAAGCATGATGGAGGAGGAATATGGGGTCATTTGCCGAGCCCTGCACTGAGGACATTGATCCGTTCATGAAAATATGGAGAGCAGCATGCATGTTCAAACGAGGGCTGTTTCCAAACCCAGTCTGGGGATCCCCAAATCCTGTAAGATTCAAAGCATTTAGTTAACACTGCAGCATTTGGCTGTTGGGGAAACAAAGGAATTTGTTGTAACACAAGATAAAGTCACGCAAAGTTCAACAAAGGAAAATTACTGCAGAGTTGAGAGGAATTTTCAACTCAGCTGTGCAGATCTTGGTGGCACCGAGAGTTTTACTCAAAGATAAGACAGTTCATACAAACACATAATAAAGATTCACTTATAAAACCTTTAGAATTTTTGGACGCATTTGAATTACAATACCAGCAGTTTTTTATTTTTAATTAAGATTAGATTCAAACAGTTACAAAGAATATATATTTAAATGACAACTTGCACTAGCAACTAAAAGATTTTTATACATACTTTGAACTTTTGTATCATTATCATTTTTTTCTGGCTAATCTAATTAATCTAGCTCAATCATTTGAGGGGGCCCTTTAAAAAAAATTTGAACTACTTTTAAGGAAAACACAAAGATGGGCTTTAAAATTTATACCAAATCAAAGCAGGAGATTAATTTACAATTGAGTCTACACTTGTGTTTAGGTTGTAAAAAGCGTATCCAGTACATTTTAATCACAGACCTCTCCTCAAAATCTGGTGCCTAATGAATACTTTGGAGATAAACATAAGTAAAACGTTTAAATAGTATATCTAGTTGTGTCCACTCATCTAAAGGGTTCATTGTTTCAGACGTTCAAGAACTCACATTGATAACTACCTCAAATTTAAAGGTAATAAAGATGATATCTTTTAAAGCTATGATGAAGCTAAGAAAGTAATTCAGTATTCTTGAACAGTTTAACAGAATTTAGCAAGTATTTTGTCTTTTGTCTCATGTCTTCAGTCAGCTTCCCTTTATTGATAACAGTGATTATACCACGATTCTATTCTCCAGTTTTATTTGATTATTTTATATTTATTCCTTTTCTTTTTTAAAACCATGTGTTGGAAGGCAGATTTCCCAGCAAAAAGGACAAATTGGCAAAAACAAGAGCAGCAGCTGATGTTTACCAGATTTTATTATTGGAGGAGACATTGGTTTCTGAGTAGTTGTTAAAGAAGTCTTTTATCAACCACATGAAAATAAAACTCATTATGCTTTAGAGACTAGTCAAACAGCCTTTCTTCTTTACTAGGAAGTATGTAAACATGTCCAGATTTATTATAGACCACCAATTCAGATGTTTTAAAGTTTTTGGATTCTCTAATTCATTTTTATAGTTCTAGCAAATGGAAACAGCAAATTCGAACTACTATCAAGAGAAAAAGAGGTATAAAGAAGATGATCATTTACAGGCTAGAAAGCCACAAATTTGTGTAAACCTCAAACTTCCATTGAAGTCAACCTTCAAATAGATGTAAGACCTGTTTTTATTTGCAGGGACTCACATGAGGTGGAGCTGACGTATTTGGGATGCACAAAATGCCTTTAGTGAAATAGATTTCTCAACTGGACAACAGTAGTATTGTTTTGTGGCCTCGTTTTAATGAACATCGCTCTCAGTGCACACAGTGAGGGGATGACTGTTCAAGATTCTCATTTTAAGATCTGCTTTTAGACAAGGACAGTTTGGATAGGGGAGGCGGTTCTGAGCAAATCAGTTTGTCTAAAACCATAATGTCACACTGGTATGTTAGTTTGGGTGGATTCTGCCTCTCTGCTTGATGATCAGTCATTATTTGTACCCTTAGCATTCAACTGTGTTGTTCTAGTCCATTTTAATTCATTTGAGCCCATTTTCAATGACCTTATAAAGCTGTTTTAGACAGATAAAGATGAGGTTTTTAGAGTAAAAGCTCAAAATTCACATTGCAGGTCACTCATTAAGCAGCAAACTGACCAAATTAGGAGATTATTAGTAAATGTAATTGTGCATTCAGCTGTTAAACAGCCACATCCTCACAAGATACAAACCTACGACAGAGAGAATATTGAACTTACATTCATGTGTTGTCAGAAAATAGAACTGATCATATCTTTGTTTTGTTTCTGGATGTGCCATCAAGCACTGCTTTCAAGTTTGCTGCATCAATATGTAAATAAATGTCAGGCTAGTGTTTACAACTTGTTCCTGCTGCATGTCGGTGGCATGAAAACCAAATTCAATTTGTGAACATCAGAGTTTCTGACAGATCATGACATTTTGATTTTCTTTTTAAATGCTGCAGAATTAAACTGCAGCAGATAAGCGGGAGCCACTTAGTATGCTGGACTAAACAACAACAACAACAACAAAACTCAAACAGGAATCAAATTGTGTGGATTTAGAAGACATGGGTCCAAAAGTAAGCTTAGTTGTTACAATAGCACATGCAGAAACAATGGCATCTACCCTGTTTTGCGCTCATTTAAAGAAGAAGTTTATTATTTAAAGCTTGAAAAAATTAAACTCAATTTTTCTAACTATCTATTTCTCAACCCAAATGTCTGATTTCTGCTTCTCTTGGGTAATTTGGATTCTTTTGTTTAAATCTGCCCACTGTAAATAGTATATCATTCTGCTAATGCTAATTTGAATTTATATCAATTTTTAGCTCCAATTTAATATCTGATTCATGCCTTTTTGACTTACACACCCATCAATAAAGCATCAGAATTTATATTGACTAACAACCTATATCTATAAATGACATCTAACCTTCAAAACAAAGAATGAAAACCCCTGAACCACATTGATGTTACATTTACCAGCTTTTGACGGCAGATAAGATGCATTAGAAGCAGAAAGAGTTTGGTCTTTCCTGATTATGAGTTTGACAGTGTTGATGGGCATCAGAAAGTTTATGTGGTGAGCGTAAAGGAGCAGCCATGCAAACATGTAAGGGACAATAGTGTGTGTTTGTGACCATATGTACTTGCTGTCATGTTTGTCTTACCTTCTAGAGTGTTCCTGAAGCTCATGTTGGCGCTGCGGTCCATGGCTCCAGTGTCATAGTTGCTCAGGCTGAGAGTGAACGCCACCTCTGCTGAAGTTGGTAACCGTGGAACGATGCTACGGTTGTGGTTTCCAGGGTCACGCCGCAACGGCCCTTCATCGCTCACATCACATAACACACCTCTGAGACTGTACTCCTCTGCTCGAGAACAGAGTACCTGTTAATGGGGACACAGATGCAAACACTGAAGTGTACATCAGATACAGTGACATGAAATATAGACCTGCTTTAGCTTGCCTGTGCTGAGTCAATTACTGCCAAGATAAATCACCAGACAGCACGCCCATAATGTCTGTTTTTACAGGACTGCCGATAGTCTAAGTTGTCAATGACAACTTTGTTTATGTGCTACTTACTCTGATCTTATTCATGTCAGAAACTGTTTAAAAACTGTAGGTAACCATTTCAAAAACCCCAAAATGTTTTGTTGTATTCTAAATTCTAAGTGATTCAGAACTGAGCTGCATATGTGGTGAGATTTGATTATGAAATTTGGCTTTATAGTGTGTGACTAAGCGAAATATAAAATTCTCTTTTATATTCTGGACATAAACTCACAGTCTTTTCTTGGTACAAGTGTTTGAATGTGTAGGCTTAAGATCGGGCTTTTGACAACATTTTAGAACTAAATCCTATTTCAATATTCAAACTGGAACTGCAGAGTCAGTCCATTTACATAATAGGCCTACTGTAGGCCAGAGATGAAAAAAATGAACAGAGGAAAAGAAAAGGAAGTCCACCCAAGAGGCTGAAGAACTTCTTTTTGTGTTTTTACCTTCCAAGAGGAGAAGACTGAGCCTGGGCTGAGTAAACTGGGATCCTGCAGACTCCTGCCCCCCATCAGCTCATCTGTACACACGTCACATGCCTCGGCATCTCTCCAGTCCCAGTAAGGGATGGTAAATGTCATATCCCCGGTCAGCTTCCTGATCTCATGCTCCCATAGGAGCAGGTACAGACGGTGCCACGGGAGGAATGCAGGGGCCCAATGAGCAAAGTCCACATTACTCCATACATTTCCAGGCCCACCAAGCAGAGCTTCCCGGGACACGTAGTAATGCAACCACACAAAGACATCATACACAGACACATCAGCAAACAAGGGGTTAGAGCCATTTTCCATCTCCTGGTAGGTCCCTGTGGCTACTACATAGTCCCTGCTGACAGACTGCTTGGCCAAATTCAAGTAGGACACCAGTTTAATCTTCTCATCATGGGATAGGTGAAAAACATTCCTCCTCAGAGACGCCCTCCACTGAGTACAGTTCTCCCCGAAGTAGCCAAACTTACAGTCCGCACAGTTGAAACCCATGAAGTTCCCTTCACACTGGCAAGTCCGGTTGTAAAAAACCAAGGGCCACCTCTCCCTGTCGTCCAACCCCGTGAAGGGGTACTGCGGCCCATCTGGTTCATCTGACACCTCCACGTCCTGGCATGAGCCCCGGCCTGAGCTGACTCCACAGGGGGAGCCATCTCCTTCCCAAGCCGGGCAGCACTCCTTGGAGAGCAAAGATTCCCGGTTGGCACACTGACGAGGAAACTGTTGATAGGAAGGTGAAAAAAATGATATAAAACAAACAAGAATCAGGGGCCACATCATAGCCGGACAAGCTGTCCCCGACAAGCAAACCAAACACGCAGAGTGGGAGAGCCCATTTGAGTCACACTGGCTTAAATTCTTCAGGGGTTTTTTTTCCCGGCACCCCCTCCTCTTTGTTGAGCCAGTCACATGCTGCCTAACCTCAGGGTGAAGCTTACATCGTGAGGAGGGGCGATCAGCCTAGATGCACACAACCCCAAACTGCACCCAGACTTCCTTCAGAGAGTGAGAACATAACATCACTCAAATGAGAGTTAACTGAAGCACTTTCAAAAAGGAGATTTGTAGATCACCTGTGCTGCCAAGTGAAGCTTAATTAAAGTTTGCTCTTTTATTTCACCTTTATGAAAAGAAAACAGGATCCCTTAACTGTTTTCAGTGCAACTGTTTTATAGTCGGGATGGTTTTCTGCATGAACTGTGGTCTACTTTCTACTGAGGGTCAATGGATTAAAATAGGCACATGACCCCATGATCAGTCCCCCTGTGCACACACACACACACACACACACACACACACACACACACACACACACACACACACTCTCTCTCTCTCACACACACAGCAGACCACAACTAGGGCTTAAGTAAACTGTTTTTCCTGACATTATAGTGTGAAAATTGCAATTGAAGCCTATCAGACCACAGAGAGAGAACTTTCAAGGATGTATTTTCCAGCAGTCCCTAAACAGATATTATTTTTTAACCTTATAGATGTAATGTATACTCAGTATGAAGTAAAAAAAAAATGATTAGTTTAAAATTAGATTAAAAATGTGCTTTGAAAAAATATGTTTTATCATATCTTTCTTCATTGAGACTCTTTGGGTCTGACATTTTTGATTTTGGCTCATGTGGTATCACATTTCCTCATGCTCTCACACACAGAGTGAGCTGACACTGGAACTGAAAACAAAGGATCAGTTGAAGACCAGCTGATAGGAAGACCACAATAAAGGCCAGCTGCTGTTGCCAATGGGTATGAATATGTGATATCTACAGTCACACACTCCTTCCGGCCAGAGGGCACCAAGTTTTCTTTGCTCCAGTAAATAAACTTTGATATCTTTTGTCTTCCTCAGTATCACTACCTCATATGACTCTCTACACCTGGGGCTGCAAACACTGTGACCGCTGACCTTTAGTCTCATGATTGTGAGACTGTTTGCATGTGATGCGCTCAAAAAATGAAGCAGGCCACAAGAGCAAAAAAGTCCCCACCAGAGGGCGCAGTGTGACAACTTGAAGGACTGCTCTCCCTTGAAATCAGCTGCCTCCTCTTTCTCTCTGTCAAGGCAACCAACCAAAATACATCTTAGCAAGCAGATATTCACTGTGCCTTTCATTTGGCTCCTAATTACGACTCCCCCACATGGAAACATCTTCAGTCACATATTTGACCTCCATTTGTGTCCAAGTATTTGCTGAAAAGATTTTTGTTTGTGACTATGAGTCATGCATCCTAGCCCACAACAACATCCACATTTCACTAAATGCATTAGCTAAGCTAAGCATTCAGGTTCCAAACTCAGGAATTCATGGGCCATTTAAATTAGGCTTGTTCTTATTTCACTAACATCTGTACAAAAACAGTCATCCCCAAACAAAAAGACAACATTTTAGGCCACTGTTTTGCTAATTTAAATAACGAGTTTGATAGATGATACTAGATATTTCTGCGTCTCTTGTGTGATCCATAACAGAGCAGTTAGAATTCTGTATGTAATCAGCTTTTCAGTTGATTAATGTCTTAATTATGATGAACTGTTTCAACAAGAAAAGTGTAAAAGAGAGGGAAATGAGGCCACTGGATAAAGATGCCTAAGTCTTAGAGTGACATGCATCCATTGATGCTTGTTTTTCTGTTTTCTTACAAATATTGTCAGTCCTGAGTTGCATTTTTTTAGCTTTTTTTTGTGCTTTTTCGTAAAGTCTTGATGCCAATCCGGTTTTGCCAAGCTTCCTGAATGAACTAGTTTTGATTTATTGATACTTAAGTCTTAATACTTGAACCTTTTTAGGAACTTTTGGTGTGTGTCAGCTTTGATGCCAACTGTGGTCAAAGCAGTCTTTGCTTACCATGTCATTTACATGCTCAAGTACTGTCTTATGGCAAACAATATCTTTTCTTGCTGACTCCTGACAGTCCAAGTGTCATTTTTTTGTGAGTTTTGTAAATGAAAATTGTAAGAACAGGACTGACTCTTCAGCTGTTCTGCTGACACCTACCCCCTTGCACTGGTTTTAGGTATTGATATAGGTAATGATATACGATGGTCTCGTTTGCCTCTAAATAACATGAGAGGGCATCAGTATGAACTTTAGCCTATTCCATAAATGTAAAAAACTCCTAATATACTTAGAAGGTATTGATTTTGTATTGAGCATGTTTATCAATACCAAACAGGTACTTTACTTTTCAGTTGTTTTCTGAAGCTACTTTACTGAGCCAGCTGTTTACTTCATCACTTATATCGCCTGAAATTGGAGACCAATCAGATGTTAGAAACCAGAGCCCATTGCTCAGACACCCACCCACACAACACTTTCTCTTTATATCCAATCCTGGCATCAAGGCATAGTGTAAGTGCAGCCTTGTGTGAAGCCACTGTCAGTTACAGACAAAAATAATGCTAAATTGCATAGTTTGTGACACTACTGTCATTCATAGCTTTGTCAATCATCACTTCTTTTAACAACCCAAAGAACTTTACTTAAGGGTTACATAAAGACTGATTACAGAAAAAAGTTACTTCAATCACCTGCTATATCCCCACTGTACTTAATAATAGTCTGAAAGTTTGTAGAGAGGCTGAGTGTATTTGAGTACAGGTAGCACCACTGTCAGAGTGATGGGTTTAAGATATTTTCAGTGCACTTCAGTTTTATCCTATCACTTGCTACACCAAAGCCTATTATATTTTAGAGGGAAATATTGAAGGGAGAACTAAACTTCACTTAGCCTGTTTAAATACTTTGGTTCATTTTACTTTTTTGTTTGCACTGAGAATTAGTTAAATCTAGCTTCTTTAAGTATGAAATCCTCTTTGTGTGGGGCAATGCGCTTTTAAGTGTGTAAGCCTTTTTGTGTGATTGTTAAAAACATTTTTTTAAATTGCTTCTACACCAACACAGATAACAGTATCGTTATCAGTATTAACAAACTTGTAGCCTCCGATACACAGAGCTGTTGCCCTGGTTACTCCTGCTCCTCCCTTTCCTAACACAAGAGGTCGTCACTTCCAATGCCTGTCACATATCATTTTATTCTAACATTACAAACAGCAGCATAGGTTATCTGTTTCGGTTTATTAAAGTAAGTTTATTTCTTTCAAGGGTCAAATCACTTCAGTATGCCTTGTTTCAAAAGACCTGGTCGCTGTTTCTTTTTGGAGACCTAGCGGCACCTGTGTGCAAGGCCACCTTCATGCATGGGCTGACTTGGGCTGATGTCCAGGGGCCTACTAAGTTCAGGGCCCTATCAGTTAAATAGAATATAATGATGTTTTCGGGCTCAGAAAGGGAGAATATAATGTTGTATGTCTGGAGAGAATTCAGTGCATTTTGCGATGTAGATTGCCCAGATACTATGCTTTGTTTATGATGGGGGACCCATGAAACCTCTCAGCCCCAGGACCTACAGCAGGTTAAGGCAGCCCTGCCTTTGCGCCCCCTAGTGGTCAACCTTGAGTTACGTTGAATTTAAGTTTCCAATATGGCGACCCCCATGAATAGGCTGCAAATTTCATAGGTTTAGTCTGTTTTTGAACAATTTGTGGTATACACTAGGTTAAAGTTTACATGAGTGAGTTTTGTCGTTTCCATGGCAAATACAAGCTGTTTTTTTAAGCTGTTTTGTGTATTTCAGACAACAAAGCTCTTGTTATCACAGGATGGTTTGTTTCTTTCTCGATATCAAATGCCATATAGGCACACGACATGCTGCTACGCCCCCACACATAAGGACGGATAAACCTACTTCTATGTTTGCTCTGTGCTTTTGCAACTTTGGACAAGTTAAATGTAGATTAAGGTGTTATTGTGGGGGAAAAGAGTGAATTCATTAAGTGTTGATGTATCCGTTCAGGAAACCCAAACAGCGAGAGAAATATTAGATCCACATTTACAATAAACTTTAACGAAACAAGCTGCAGCGCCGTCGGTGCGAATCGGTTTACCTTTTATCCTGTTGTTTACATCTTTTCCTTTTCCCCTGTCAAATCTGTTTCTACCCGAAGCCTTCCATAGTTGTACCAATTTAGTCACTGGTGATGCTCCATGCTGTCCACTGTTTTCGAGTAGGAGTACGAGGAGGAGGAGGTGGAGGAGGAGGTGGCGGAGAAGGAGGGGGGGCCCCACCACCACCACAGCGTGCGTCAGTAAGTCAAACATGTTCCAATAACGGGCTATATTATCTGCTGCTATTTGCAGTTTGCTGTAGCCAGGCGTCAGAGTGAGCCTGGGCAGGAATCTGCAGCGCTTTTCTCCGTCTCTTTCAGTGATGGAAACGGTCTCTAAAGGAATGGCATCTGCAAGGCTACAGGCAGGGAAGAGGTAGGGTGAAGTTTCCTGTTACTTTTGATGTGTATGATTTTTTTTTTCTTTAATCTAGTCGAAATTATGTAGTCTTGCACAGGATATTGATTTTGAGCTTGAGCACCAGCCTTTATATTTCATAACCAGGGGCAGTAATTGATGATATTGTTGGGAGAAATATCACAATATGTGTTAAATTTTCTCATCTGTTTTAATTTTTTTCTCTCTCTCTTTACCTGCTAACTTGATGTAAAAGTGCAAGAAAAGTCCTCAGACAAACACCTGCTGAAGCACACTGTCATTTACAGCCTACCATAGTCACCTACCACGATATTTATAAATAGCTTTTACATTTAACTTGTATCTTCTTTTGTTTTCATTTCTTTTACTATCTTATGCTATCAATATGTTAATTGTTTAGCAACAAAACACAATCAGACTCTGATTCTGATCTGAATTTTTCTTGAAGGAATCTAATCTTTACGCCTGGAACTACAAGCACCACACAAAAAGACCACACATTTATCCATCCCTGAGCTCTGAGACAACAAAGGATGGCAGGGAGTGTGAGGATAAATACTGCAATGGGACACAGATCAGGGCCGTGGGCAGTGTGTGTCTTTCTTAGCTGGCTTGTCCTCGACCAGCTTGGGGTCAATGCCCAGAACAATGAGAGGAGGGTACTAGCTCATATCCCCGGGGACATTATCATAGGAGCTCTGTTCTCCGTTCACCATCAACCACCTGCAGACAAGGTATGTGTTATGTTTCTCTTTGTGCTCATTTGCTTCTTTATGTGATAAATGTTAGTTATTCAGCTTTGCAATGCTCGCTTAGGTTCATGAGCGAAAGTGTGGTGCCGTGCGAGAGCAGTATGGAATCCAGAGAGTCGAGGCCATGATGCACACTCTAGATCGAATCAACGCAGACTCCACTATCCTCCCAAATATCACCCTCGGCTGTGAGATAAGGTCAGAAACCATTACCAAGCTGTCTCATATTTTTCTGTTTTAATCGTTCGGATGATGAGTGGAGAATTCTGGTACATGTGCAACAATTTTGGCTCACCTGTTGGTCTGAGAGATAGACCTTAAGGACTACTTAGTACATATAAATGTTATTATACTTATACCTTAATGATTCAGTACATTACCAACATATTTGGTTGTATCTAAACGTTTCAGACAGTTTTTTACACAATCTGGGATGAGTTGAAATAGAAAAGGATCAATTTAGAAAGCAGAGTCATAAAAAACCATCGCAGGTGCCTGAATTTAGCAGGCACCTGTAAGCAGAGATGTTAAGTATCATCAGCAGTTAGGTAATGATCATAAATGGTGGGATGCTTTTTGAAGTCAGCTTTTATCGGATGCACTTAGGCAAGGATAGGAGGATCTATTGATGATGGTGTACTTTTTAAAATTCAAGCCATTCAAGGAGAGCAAGAGGCTTCACTAGCTGCTACAAACTACCAAAAAGCTTTCAGGTCTGCCATATCTGCCAACAACAAGTTGGGCAGAATTGAGTACATCCTAAATAACTATTAAAGGATTATATTTGAAGCAAAAGTCAAACCTCCTAAAAGGGGGTACCTGCATATAGGTGGATGGAGAAATTAGACCCTAAAAGAAGACTGATAGGTTACCTTATAGTGTGGCTAATGAAGTAAACCACACAGAGGCGGAAGTCTACTACCAATGACGTAGATTTCAAGCTTTTAGACTCACAGGCCACTCAGGCTGAGCAGTCTTACCCTCCAACAAAGGGTGGCAGAAGATATTGCCTGGACTAAAGCTATAGCAACTCTCAAATGACTAATGCTTGTTTGTGGTGTGAATCGATCTATTTCAAGCTCATCCACACTGTAAAACATGAGTGACAAAATGAATGGGATTCATGTCTTTCTGAATTTGCTGAAACACTGTCAAGGGGATCAAAAAAGGTACTTGATAAAGTTTGGAAGATACCAGCATGATTTGAGAGGCTGAAACTTCTGGAATCCCTAAAAAAAAAAACAACTTTGGCAGAACTGTTCATTACAGATTTTGAATTAAGTGTTTATTAGAGACTTTCATACCCAAGTGGCTACTTCAAACTATCATCCACTTAATCCTACACTGCTTTCCCAAATAAAAATAAGAACTCAATCCTTCACTCCCAGGGACTCGTGCTGGCACTCAGCTGTGGCACTGGAGCAGAGCATCGAGTTCATTCGGGACACGCTGGTGTCCAACGAGGAGGAGGAGAACCAGGGTAAGTGCACAGCGGAGCAGGGGAGCATGCTGCTGCAGGGGAAGAAGCCGATTGTGGGGCTGATTGGACCTGGATCCAGCTCTGTGGCCATCCAGGTGCAAAATCTCCTCCAGCTCTTCAATATCCCACAGATAGCTTACTCAGCCACGAGCATGGATCTCAGTGACAAGGTAAGGCCACATTACAAAAACAGTGGCATCAACAGTTGGCTTTTTACTTGAGTTAGTGTGGACAATAATAAGTCAGTGCAAACTTTACAATGTTACCAAACTTGGAACTGAAATATTTACCATAATGCAGCTTCTAACAAATAAAACGTGAGATTTTCTGATTAGTTTCTGCAGCACCTGTAGATGAAGCAGTACCTATAACACATGACATTAGTATTTTTTGACAGAAAACTCATGCATCTGCGTTTTTGTAACAGTTAAATGTGTCACTTGTTATTTGCTGAAGAAAAAGGGAAACAAAAAACAAGCTGTTTAAGTTGCTAAAAGTGTTACATTGAAGTGTCTGTCCAGGTTTGCCTTAGAAGGTCATGAAGAGATAATTGTGAATTTGAATCTGTTTTATAACCTGTCAAAAAACTCTCCACAGAGCCTTCAATGTAGAGTGACTTGTGGATTTATGTACGACAAGTATACAGGTTGTCATGTGAAAACGTATTCAGCCCAACTTTGACTGTCTAAATTTATTTCCACAGAGCCTGTATAAATATTTCATGAGGGTGGTGCCATCAGATATGCAACAGGCCAGAGCCATGGTGGACATAGTCAAAAGATACAACTGGAGCTACGTATCTGCTATACACACAGAGGGTAAGAGGGTGTGTGCTTATGCTCTGATGTTTTATAAAAGTCCACATTTGTTGTCTTTTTTTATGACATTATACCCTGATAAGATGTTAGTGGATCCAATGTAACATTTTTAGTTTAATACAAGAAGTACAAATTTCATGGAAGTATTAATTGATAACACTTATGTGCATTATTGTACAAGCTTCAATGTTAACATCCAGAGCGTGTTTCAATGCATTACACATTAAAGCATAATACTTGTACTCCAGACATTCTGACCATGCATTAACAAGCAAAAAAAGAGCCATTCATAGACTGTGTATCATTTTGGGTGTGAAAAATCTCCTGCAGTGAGAAAACCGGAGCTGGAAAAGTCTTTATTTAAACGTGTACTAAATCATCTTCCTCTAAAACTGCAGATTTAGTTGTCACATTGCTGTGGAGGCTGTAATTAATGAGATGAAATTGGAGTTGATATAAAACCAGCTCTTATTATTTATTCTCTGTAATGCTGTTCATCATTGGCAAAGCATCACAGGGAACATCTGGTTTGGCTGTGAACCCTCTGGGTGTGGTGGAGCTCTGTCCACTGCAAGCTTTAGCTACTGATAGTATTCTGGTGGCAGCAGCAGCTCATTATTCAGATTACCCTCGTACAACTTCACTTCTTTGTCCTGTCTTAACTTTCCTTAAGGGGTTATAGATTAAACTGAGCCAGAGAGATATGTCAGGTACTTCGAAAGATTTAAGATTCATTTATTTACAACCTCTGCTTATTTTTATTTATATGACTCTGTCATATTTATCACTGCAGAGTCGAGGCTAACTTCCATCTATTTTTTTTTCTTTTGGAGTAAATTCAAGTGAAGACATTTGTGAAATATTACCAAAACAGGGATTAACATTTCTTTAAATAATCCAGCCCGTAAATCAGCTTTGCCATCGCTCTGTAGAAACACATCAGAAAGGTTGAACATCATTCAGTCAGCCTAAGTATTCTATACAGCTGCCATAGATTTACTGTATGCTCTTCAAACCTATTAGTGGTTGATATCATATGTTTGTTATAAATCCTCCATGATAGGGAAAAGAGGCTTTTAAGTTTGTGTCCTTACCATTTTTTTCTTATATAAAAAGTCATGCCATGTCATGTGTAACTCTTTTAACTGAAAAGCCCTTTGTTTTAAGGTTTATGTTTTGTAACTATTAAGCTGTCGCTTTGGAAGTGAAGTTGGCGGATTTGCAAAAATGACTGCACTTTCTTGCTGTTTTTTGGTAATGCACTTAGAGTTGGTTTATTTCTCAATTGTAAGTATACACAGTACAAAACATTAATATTCTCAAGTTTTTATGCTGTTTTCATCAACCTCAGTGAGCAACTTCTATTGGAAAAAAGGTCTTTAAGTCATCAATGTCCATTGTTGAAGATGTTGATTTATAAGTAGATGCTTATTCTGTGTCTACCTGGAGACACTGATTGAATATCTACGCTCAGAATTCTCCTGGTAGTTCTGCTCTGTCACAAGAGCCACAATAACTTCAAACATACAATCAACAGATATTACAAGTTTTATCATGTCAGTGTTAAGGTCAAAATAAAAGCACTCATTTATAAAAAGTTCATGTTTCTGGACTTTAATCTGGGTGGTGAAATATTTGGACTCCCTGATCCCCGACATGCCAAACCCTTGTAAAAGACAGTCAGCCAGGAAACCCCTCAGTATTCAGGGGTCTTTCTGCCTTTATAGTCAAGGCTTTACAGCTGGAGGTGTTTGCAAAGGGCAGTTCCCTTTTCCTTCCTCTGCTGTGAGTATTTAAAAGTAATCACTGTAAAATGTGTCTAATTCATTATAACTTGTCTTTTATTTTTTATTTTTTTTCAACCCTGTTTTAAAAGTGACAGATTCTGTAGCCGGAAAAAAATATTGTAGAGAAATACCAAGAAATACTGGTTTAAAATGTCAAGAAATAGATCTTGGGTGTTTAGACCTGATAATACCCTGTTTTCAACAAAAGTTGAACATTGAAATCCTAGTTAAAGCTCACTGGCAATGCAGAGTTTGATGAAATATTATTCACTTCTCTATATCAAGAGCTACAAAAGAAAAATAGCAATTTTATATAAAAATGACAGCCAAAATATGCCTTTATGGGTGCAGAAGTACATAAGAAGTACTGTACTGCCTACTTGGAATTCATTTTACCCACATCTGCAGGCACAAACTTTTTCCACATTTAAATTCATCAATATAAAAAATGAAAAGGCCTTTTGAAAAGAAAGAAAAAAAGAATACCCAATTACTCAGAGTTGACTTAAGGTGAAAACACAGTTTAAAAATGCAAGACTGTGCTAACCGTTCAAGATGACATGCCACATATGGGAGTAAAACTCACACGTAGTAATGAAAAGATGCCTGAAGCAGTGTAATGCCCAGAGTGAGAGCACGCTTGCAAAGCAGCGAAAAGTAGGTGACCTAATTTCAGGCAAAAACAGGGAAGTCAAACCCCTGACAGCTCCCGTAATTGGGGACAAAATTACCTGATTCTCAAGTGTGAGCTGGCATTACTCCAGTGTATTTGCATCCAAACTGCCTTCATAAAGATTCCTGTTAAGATGAGTGTTTTGTCACAGTTCAAAATGCTTGTTTTGTTGGGTTTAATCGGGTTACAAGCCTGTGATACTGTGAATTTAGTATTGTGTTTATCACCATTCCCTTTGTGGTTTCACCTTTGTAGGTAATTATGGAGAGAGTGGTATGGAGGCATTCAAAGACATGGCAGCAAAAGAAGGAATCTGTATCGCCCACTCTGATAAGATATACAGCAACGCAGGGGAGCAGAGCTTTGATAAGCTGCTACAGAAGCTGCGAGCCCACCTACCCAAAGCCAGGGTGGTTGCCTGCTTCTGCGAGGGCATGACGGTTCGAGGGATACTGATGGCCATGAGAAGACAGCGCCTGGTGGGAGAGTTCCTGCTGGTTGGAAGGTGAGTGAGGGATTGTGAGACGTGGGATTCATGACTCAGTTTTTTCACCCATGGGCGCTTTGCTTTTTTTAAGAGGCTGAAAAAAGTGACTAACCAACTTGTGCTTCAGGTTTTTATGTGTTTTGCATTAATTTCCACTTCAGAGTGTCTCCAGATGTCCATCACCAGCAGACAAGATGTATGTGTTGTCCTCTCATCATCAGTGTTATCATCTTCATCATGTACATCAACTTCATGAAGGAAAATCAAGGTATTTCAAAGTAATTTCATGTGATAATAACTGTCATACAGACTAATTTCCTGTTTTCTTCATGTCGAATGAAACTTCTTGTGTTTAATTTTCTATACTGACATAGATTGAATCAGCCTTTAACACTTTTTTCCAGATATGACTTATTCAATCTCCTACTCGTTAAATTATAATTGGCTAGAAAAATACATTTTACAGCTTTTAAATGGGAAAAACGTGTAAGAAAAACAAAAAACTGGGCATTAGAAGCACATAAAACTTACGCAATCAAATGTAAAAGTAAAATGAGAATAAAAGCGGGAGAGAAGGGGTTGATTAAGCAGCTGGTTTCACTCTGTCTCTCTCATGTTCTGAGAATAACATGTCTTATTTTAAGGTTTAGCTCTCTGGCTCTCTCTTGTCCCTGGTGTTCTATAAATGCCGATCCTCATTAGGAGCCACATATGTAGGCTGTCGCTCAAATCTGATGGCAGGAAAAATAAAATAACCTTGAACTACATATTGCAAAAACACCAGGTCCAGTCAGCTATGGTGTCATGTTAGGTTTTCAGACGGTTGTGGTGTTGTTATATAGTCATTAGTAAAAGGTTTAAGTCTGTAGTTCTCATTGCTGCATATTGGAGGGTAATTTTAATTGACATGTTCTATCTTTATGCCTCTTTTGCTGCACATGTAGCAATGCAATTATGCATGAGCATGTGTCTGACCACGAGTTTGTCACCTCACTTCTCTTGACTTTATTATCTTTAAGTGATCCTGGATGTGTAACCCATATAGATGATTGGTTGCGTATGAGTGCAGTGCAAGCATAGTCACAGTCTTTTCATAGAAAAAGAGAGGGAAGGAGCAGATGATCAAGATTAGGTTTGGGTAGTGACCAGCATTGTCTTAGCTGGTTTTGGACTGCTGTTTTAAAGTGAATGTTACCCTTTAGCTAGTCTGTTTATTTGCAGCTAGAGAGTTGAAATATGTTTTTAAGAAAACTGTAAACCACAGGGAAGGATGTGTAGGCATTATCTAGAGTGTTGACATATTTTGACACCTTTGCCTTTTGAGTGAGATATCTATTGTGATTGAAATTCAGTTTTGCACATGAATCCATGTCACTCTTAAAATGACTTTCATGATTAGATGTTGGTGCATTTTTGGCTTTATTAGATAAGACAGCTGATGAGAAACAAGAAATGTGGGGAGTAGACAGTGGGGGAAGACATGCAGCAAAGGGTTAGGGCTGGGAGAGTCCAGCCTCTAAATGCGGGGTGCTTAGACCGCTGCCATTGGCGCCCGGTTTGATTACATCTCTTCCCTGTCATAGCTCAGCAAGCCTCCAACATTAATGAGTTTGGGGTGGCTGTGGCTCGGTGGTAAAGTTTGTTGTCCGTCTATTTAAAAGTTTTGGTCCTGCTGTCCACACGCCAAGGTGTCCTTGGGCAAGACATTGGGCCCTAGTGTGTCCGCTGGTTGCGCCGAGCTGAAGGGGATAAGTCAGAAAAACTGATGAAGCTGTAAGTTTCAGCCTCAGCCATCAGTGTATGAATGTGATGTGAAAAAGTGAATGTGACATGTAATGTGAAAGTGCTTTGAGTGGTCAGAGGACCTGAGACAGTGCTGTATAAACTGTAGTCTTGCTAGAGTACATGCAGCTTCTGTAAGCAGCTGCATGTTATGCTAATTTCAGCCACTGTTGGTTTCTTTGGTTGTCATGGTCACCAAATCGGTTTTTGATATGGAAGTAACAGACTGTGAATCACTGCATAGCTGACGTGCTCAGTAACTGGTTCAGCTAGCTTCACTGCTAAAGCACATAATCTAATCAACTATAATGATGTTAAAATCGATCAGTTTGAATATTTTTTGGGATTTTTTTACATATTTTTCTGCTTACTGTTAAATACTACGCTAATCACTGACAATCTTAGCCTCTGTAATATTTTCTGACCGTTTGCAAATGCAAGTTTGCTTTGTGATTCTGAGCACGAGAGCACTAGGATACAACAACTGACCCTTAGCAGAAAAAAAAATCATGATTTATATGTCTGACATTATCCTTCCTCCTGTGTTAGCTTTTACTATGCACCCACCATGTTAAGGGTTGGTTTCGACCTGTGTCTTAAATCAGCTGTAAATTACACTAAAAACAATTCTCTATCATCCAATTTTGTTCTCATCTCTAGTTTACCTTGTAAGGCTTCCTTATCCATGAAAATATTGCTTATAATAGTTTTAGTAGTGGGCTTCTGGGCCCCTCTTTGCCAGTGTACCCCTCACACAGACATACTGAGTTGATCTCACATGTCTGGACATGCCCAACATTGTTTTTTGTGCAGGGTAAACAAGGCAAAATGATAATTTCCTAAATCTCACATAATTGGAAGAGGATCTGACTGTCAATGTGGTGCCTGGCAGTACGCATATGATTTAGTTTTTGCTCTGATTATTAGATATTAATCTAACCGAGTCAACAGCGACCCTAACATGTCAAGTGCCATAATTTTAATGACAGCATTTTATACTTATGTCAATTTTTTTATTTTTTTTATTTTGATGAAATAGAGGTTCCTGACAAAGTCAAAAAGTCTTAATGCGAAAAAGCGAATTTAAGTGTTTCTTTTAAGCATTTAAAACCAAAAACGACAATAAAATAAAAGACAATAAATACCTATCGATGCACATTATAAATCAGAACTTAAAGGGGAAACAGTTTTTGTCAGAAAAAGTGAAATAATCATAATACCAATATGTCAAGTTTTATGGGTTATTTTAGACCGTCACATGATGTCCTTTCCCACCTGACTAACACTGGCTATCTGTGTTGCTACTAAAGCATCCTGATTCCCTCCTGGTTTTCCCACCTTCAAGTGCTGCCATTTGCTTTTTGGACCATCCGGCCAAATACAGCAGCTCATTCTTGCAGCTGTTCCACTTTTTTTCACGTCTTGTTTAGGCTCATTTCAGAGACTGAAATATTTCCAGCCTGAAGTTCCTGCCACTAGAGTTCTAGTGTGCACTCAGAAAAGATCTGGCTGGAAGTTGATCATTATTGTGTGCACGAGAGGGAGCACACACGCACACTTGTGCATGTCTTCGGGCTTGTAGGTGGTGCAGCAACATGCTGCAAACAGCATATTGACCTACCAGGTCGATGTGTGGGTTTAGAGCTCTCGTTCAAGAGTGATTCAAACTATCCAGAGTCAAAGCTCTCCATGCTTTTCATATCCATTCCTGTCATTTTTTTTATGCCAGTGTACAATTTCTGTGCTCACTTCTCTAAGGATGAGTTATAAAATGATCTCCTACCTCACCCAGAGAACCAGGCATCACACAAAAACCACCCACACTGCTGTTGTATAACTCCAGCTCTGTTGGCGAAGTTTTCAAAAATGACTTCTTTCCTTTTTTTTCTCGTCAGTTAGAAGGAGAGGAGTGTGTTTCTGTGAGTGTTTACATGTGTGCACATGTGTGGAGGTGTAATCAGGCTTCTGTTGATGATTGTAGAAGAGTGTCCAGAGGGAAAGATAATAATAGATGCTAGAAGAAACCTTCCCAAACAGCTCACTGATGAAAAAGCTTATTGAGTCAAAGCCCACAAGGTTTTTGAATAAACATCAGAACAGATGTGTCTGCAGACTGGTCTGGTTGTGTTTGTCTAATGTTTAATTCTCATTGAGCATAAGGAACGTTTTTGTGGTTACTCACAGAGGCTGTTGCACCGCCTTGACTCTGGAACAAAACAATTGTTATTTATTTGGCATTTTGAGGAACAAATCAATGTTAATCCTGACCTCCTCGGAGCTAAAAGAAAAAAAAAATACATTAACCGATAGGTTCACAGGAGAAGTGTATTTCTGTTATGAGGGGCTTGTATGTACACGGAAAAATCCATCCCTTAAGTGGTACAAGCCAAATGAATCAATATGCTCTTTATCACAAGTATGTCTCAGTGGACTGCACACAGTATAAGCCTTCAGAGATCCAATGATCTAAGCGGTTGAGCAAAAACTCTCCAAACAAAGTGAAGTGATTGTGAAAGTTATACCTACAGAAAAAAAACACACAACACCATGCAGGTATAACAGCTCTCTCTAGCCTGCTCATCCTCGCACCACTAACCTCTCATCCGTAGAGGTTATCTCAAATGATCACTGACTGTTATTACTTTCTCTTTGGTGCACCGGCTGGTCCTGCTATCACTGCATTGTTCCACTCCTGGCCATGACCCTTTCCTGCGTGTCCTCCCTTTACTCTCTACGCCTCGCATTTCTGTATCTCAAGCTGAAATGATGTATTTCACCTCCAAATTTTCATCTTGTATAGATATGTGAGAAAGTGCCTTTTCTTTTCATCACCCACTTAGTCTTGTGTTTGCAAGCCTGAGTCATCTTAATAAATATTTTATTCTACTGTAACTCTCTGCACCACCTGCCTCCTTTAATTGCTTTAATACTGCTCTGAAGTGGCACCGGATTATTATTATTATTATTATTATTTATTTCTTTATTCTTACAGCAGGCTTACAGCTTTAAAAACTCCCTCATTTGGTCATAAACTTTTTCTTAATACAATCAGTGCAAACTACTTACAGTAATCTGTTGCACCCTAATCTTGCATTGTGACTTAAAGCAGAGCTATTTAATGATATCAGTGAAAATCCCTCTCTTTTGTGAAGCCTGCTCCACTGAGTAAAATACTAACTCGGGTCCAAGACTAGGAGTAGAACCCCTGTGCAAAGCCCATTAGTCAGGCTGCAACTCTGTTCCCTCTTGCAGAGTTAATAATCCTCAGTAGTTTTTTATATCTGACATTTGATGCAAGATTTGTGTAAAAAGCAAAATAAAAAATCTGGTTTATCTGCAGGCCCTCTGAATAGTATTTTCTTGGTAGCAACACTGACAGATGTGAAACAGAGATTTCCTTTGTAACAGCAAATCAGTCAGTAAAATCGTAATGAATTATTTACTTGTCTGGCATTGTGTCAGGTTTTACGAGCTGCTACTGTCTATTTGTGTAGACAATTAAACACTGGTGTGGGTTGCAGTATTGAGCAACAGTTACCAAGAAACAAGGACGTACTGTATGGTTTCTGTGTAACAGTAAGAAAGCTGTTATGTAAGGAAAAGCTAATTGTTGAGTTATTTGGATGTATCTCAGAACTTCAGTTTAAGTACTAAAACAATCAAGAGCTGGAGAGAAAGTTAGGAATCTAAAAGTCAACAATCACTTAAGAATAAGTAACAAAAACGGTCTTTCCTCCAGCTTTCGTTTTACCTTCATTTTTCTCCTGTACAGTGATGGCTGGGCGGACAGGTACGATGTCACCGATGGTTTCCAGAAGGAGGCAGCAGGTGGAATCACTATAAAGCTGAAGTCGGCCTATGTGACCTGGTTTGATGATTATTACCTGAACCTGAAGCCTGACTCCAACCTGAGGAACCCTTGGTTCCCAGAGTTCTGGCAGCATCGCTTTCAGTGCAGACTGAGGGGACATCCACAAGAGAGCAACAAATACAACCGCACCTGCACCTGTTAGTAAAACACAGATCTTAATTTTCATATATCCTGTTACATTCTCCTTATGAGCATCTTTCTGTCTCTTCAGGGAGGGAGTCTCTTCGCCAACAGTACGCCCAAGACACCAAGATGGGTTTTGTAATCAACGCCATCTATTCCATGGCTTATGGCCTTCACGCCATGCAGCAAACCCTCTGTCCAGGATATAAGGTGAAATAACACATAGTAAGTATATTTATTTACTTTCACAAAGGGATTGATGATGATGACTGTGCTTGCCTTTACCCTGGTGCAGGGTTTATGTGAAGCCATGAGGCCCATTGATGGTCGCACGCTGCTGGAATTCCTGATGAAAACCAACTTTACCGGCGTGTCTGGAGAGGCCATCCTCTTTGACCAGAATGGAGACTCACCTGGCAGGTAAAGGTCACATTAATGGGCGTAAAGGAAAAGGAAGGAAGGAAGAAAATTAGGGAGAAAAAAATGCCAAAATGATAGCATTCATATGTCTGATACGGCAGGGGTGCAGCTAGCCCATAGACTGTATATACAATGGACAACTTGGTTCCGCCTTCCACCAGTATACAGATTTGAAGCCGAAAAGCTCTCGGTATTTCCACGATTTTTGTCCGTGTCCTGAAACCAACATTACGCAGTAGCATTGTACGCATTGGGTGGGAGAGTTGCTGAGAATCGCTGTTATGACGCTCGCCTCAAACAGCGTATCGCCGGGTGAGCTACGCAATCTTTGTACACCCATAGGCTGTATCAAGTGTCAATCATAGAAAACCCCTCAGTAACTTTTAAAAACAGAGCTGTACAGAAAAAAAGAGGACTTGAGCACAAACCAGTCTTACAGTAACTACATGTCAACATCGCAAGCAGGGGGGAGAAAAATTTATAGTCTGTAATAAATTTCTAAAGTTTGTCCACAGTTCCATAAGCTTTGCTGGCGGAGGCAGGATTTATGACCTATACTGCAGCCCGTCACCAGAGGGTGCTGTTCTCAGGGTGGCTGTACCCAGCGAGGAGGCAGACGCTGTCCATTCTTTATACAGTCTATGAGCTAACCTAGCAGTTGAAGGGTGTGTCGCATATACAGAAGTTGTGTCAAGGGTCCGATTTCTGTCTGGGGCCTCTTTTCTTTATGCCACCTCCTGCTCTCTCTCTCCGTTTTCTGCTCTATCCACCGTTCTGTCCTATCCAAGTAAAAGCTAAAGCCAAAAATAGAAAAAAAATAATCAATATGGTATCTGTGCCTCAGGTATGAAATCATGAACTTCAAGCACATTGGCGAGGAGGAGTACGCTTACATTCAAGTGGGAAGGTGGGATCAAGGCGGCCTGAAGATGAACGATGAAGAAATCTGGAGTAATGAGAGTGAAGTCATCACGTCAGTCTGCTCCGAGCCCTGCCAGAAAGCACAGATAAAGGTGCACAAAACTCAAACCGTTCTTGTACTTTCATGTTTACCCATGCAGCATAGCACATCAACCAACGTCTCCTAACATTAACATTTAAATTACTTCATAAATAATCACAATTCTTGCATTTATTGCTATGGTGATTACCTCCAACCAAAAGATATCGCTTCATACATTCATACTGCTCTTTAGTCTAGAGAACATTTCACAGCTACGGTGAAAAAAAAAAAAAACTGTTAAGAAAGACCCACACAGCAAGCTTGATTTGGTCCCACAAGTTTACAATCTAAAAAAAATGGTCCAATCAGATCATCGAGTACCCAACCAGGGACACAGTAAAGCCCTTTGTTCAAGCTTTAATCATGTCCCATCTGGGCCTCAGTAACTCCCTTCCAAATCAAGGAAAACATTGCTATCTGCCTCGTCTTTATCACCCCAGTGGTCTTAATATTAAACCGTCCTACACACTCTACACTGACTCCTTTAATCTGTTGCTATGAAGCTTTTTCAGGAATTCAAAATGCGCTACACACGTTCATAATGTTTGCAAACTGGTGCATACAATTAAATTTGTAGTATGTTTTTTTGCAACCCCATGGTCAGAGCCATTTTATCTTCCACATACTTGCATAGTTGTTATTCCCTCTCACTGTATGTGTATATTCCTCTTTATCAGTTTCCATAAATACTAACATGCATGTCCTCAGAGTGTAAAAAAAGCTGTGGTACCTCAGAAAACAAACTTAACCATTTTACCCTGATTATTTTCCAACTAATTTCCCCGCCGATGAAAAGAAGTTATGTTTAGTATCTTTTTTTCGTCTTCTTTGATTCCCTGATGAAGAAGTCTTCATTTCCCCGGTCTGCAGGGCAGTCAGAGTGTATCATTAGCCACAGTAAAAACCATCAGAGCTTTGAGACCTGTCTGCCCTTTCACAAAGCTGTGAATATGCATGTCTCCCCAGGTGATCCGTAAAGGAGAGGTGAGCTGCTGCTGGACGTGCACTCCCTGCAAAGAGAATGAGTTTGTGTTTGATGAGTACACCTGTCGAGCGTGTGTCCTCGGCACCTGGCCAACAGACGACCTCACCGGTAAACACATTTTCCCTGCATGTCTGTAACTTCTAACAAATACAAGATTTCCAAACACACAAGAAGATTTGGGTTGTGCATTTACGGTGCACCCAAAATCTCCTCACATGTTACCTAACATTTACACACCAATTTGTGGAAAGTGTTTCCAGCTTTGATATTTTTTGCTGCTGCAGAAAAAATAGTAATTTTCACCCAAACCAAGATGAATGAGATTCTTGCCAGAGTGAAAGATTTGGCTGAAAAAATTGGGCATTTTCCTACCTTCTGAAAACACTTATCTCCTAGAGTAATCCATTCATCGTGTAATAAGAAAAATGTCCATCAAGCTTTAACTCTGTTAAACCCCTCTTTTATTCTCATTTTCTCCCTTACAGATCCCCGTAATGTTCAAGAACATTTAGCCTCAGCTCTTAAGACCTAGTAGACTACAGATATTTCCATATGAAGCTATATACAAACACATTAATGCACATTCTTAAACCTCCTATAACGAATCAAACAAACCCTTCATATTTTGCCGTGTCTTGTCTCCTCACACTATATCCCTTTTTATCCCTCAGGTTGTGAGCCAATCACTGTGCAGTTTGTGCTTTGGGGGGATCCAGAGCCCATCGCTGCGGTGGTGTTTGCCTGTCTGGGCCTGCTGGCTACACTTTTCGTGACTTCAGTCTTCATCAAGTAATGATTGCTTACGAATGGATTAGTCACATCAATACACAAAATGATCACAGAGTCAAAACAGGCCTAATTTGGGGTAGCATTGCAATAACATGCAGTAATAGAAATAGTTCATCTTCGTCCTACAGGGCAAACTTTTTCAGTTTAGTCACTGTAACTCAATTTCACTGTGTGTTTTTTAACTTACAGTACATGAAACAACTTCTTCCTAAACTCTGCTAATACATGAATCCTTTGGTGTCATGAACAAAACCAACAGTGGGACCCAAATGCAGGACAGTAGCCACGTTTACACGGACAAAATTTCTTGATCTGGTTAGATAGATAGATAGACTTTAAGTTTTTCATTTGTGTGCAGTTTGCTCTTGTTTTGCAGCAGAGAGTAGAGATAAACTGTCAGCGTCTCTACTCTCTGTTTTCACGGCTCTGTCCACATACAGATGATGAGCTGGATGGGAAGGGGACATTTAGATATGGATCCAATTTCCAGCTTCCTCTCTGAAGCAAAGTAGCAAACAGCAGCTCTCCCAGTTTGATGAAAAACAAAAAGGAAAAACATGCATAAGTTTCTAACTTACTTACCATGTGTGAAAGAAATCTTTTGACTCATTAAACTATTTCTTTCATTTTTCTCAATCAATTCAATTGAATTTATTTGTAGATTTTGGGACACCCCTGTGGTCAAATCCTCCAGTCGTGAGCTCTGCTACATCATCCTGGCTGGAATATGTTTGAGCTACCTGTGCACCTTCAGCCTTATTGCCAAACCACACATAGTCTATTGCTACCTCCAGCGGCTGGGGATCGGCCTGTCGCCTGCCATGAGCTACTCTGCCTTGGTCACCAAGGTACATATTTACTCTCTTACATCGTTCAAGTGGCATCATTTTTTGTCATGTTTCACTTCTTGTCAGTTAAAGGGATATTCTGTCGTAGATTAAGTTAAGGTCAAACACACAACACTGAGTTAGACACCCCCTAGAGAGATGAATGTTGCCGACTGCTTGCTCCTCTAGTTATACCAACTTTAGTAACAACCGCACGATAGCAATACACAGTGGTCTAAAGAGCCATAAACAAACCTCAACCAAAACGCAACAAATAATGAGAGCGGCTAAACACAACTCACCTACTCTCTTCCAGCAGCCACTTGTTTGTAGGGAGAGCTCTGACCAATCCATCACCGACTGCAGCGAGGTGACACAGCTCAAGAAAGAAATTTGTCTCTTTGCTAAAGAAATTAGGCAAACTTAAAAAGATGTTTGGTGGCTAGTTTTATGGCTAGGACCCTATATGTGTTGTTGATGAAGTCAGGTGTTGTTCTGAGCATTATTTGTGGCTACAGAGTGGCATTTTGGTTGAGGTGTGCGCGTGGATTCATAGACCGCAGTATATTGCTATCGTACGTTCATTACTAAAGTTGGTATAACTAACTTAATTTTACGCCAATATCCCTTTAAGACTCAAATTTTCCATGTCTTTTTGTTATGTCTGACTTTTATATCAAACCCAGGACCTTTCTGAGTTTCTCCAGTGTCAAAACTAATATTTTTACCCTCTCATTGAAGGCCTTATTACATGACCTGAAGATCAGAAACATTCAGTTTTTCATAAATGTTGATATACTTTAGTATAAAGCAGGATGCTGGGGACAAACTGTGTTCAAATTAATCATTATGAAGTCAGGAGAACTAAACTGCCAAATTCCAGCTTAAAGTAGTTTTTAAAGAGCCCTCACTGCTGTCATTACACACTCTCACAGAGGGAGTGGAGGACAAACAGGAACATTATACAGTATGCGCTGAACGTAGGAGTCTTTGGCAGAAAAGAGGAGTCAGCCTTGTACAAGAGTTGCACATGAAGCTAAATTATATAGGATGGTTGTTTTTAGCAGTTTGATATGATCTGAGTGTTTGATATCTAAATAAGTACTTGCACATGGATGTAGCAAAGGTATTTTTAAGGGGTAACTTTAATATTTCAGTTTTATATTTCACATTTAATCAGACACCGTGTCTACTATCACGGTACAGTGTTTTGGAGTTCTTTTAGAGGGGTCATCTGAGGATACAGGAAAAGTAAAAGAGCTACCTCAAGAGTTTGGCTGAAGGCCAGTAGTCAGGGAGAGATGCTCGTGTGGGCTGAGGTTGTTGTTTGAGATCTGGGATCTGAAAAGGGGATTATTGTTATGAATCAGTCAGTGTGAGCAGTATTATCCACATTCGATGCAAGTGAAGCCTGCATTACCACTTGATCTATTTTTGATTCCAGACCAACCGAATAGCACGGATCCTGGCAGGCAGCAAGAAGAAGATCTGCACCAAGAAACCGCGCTTTATGTCCGCCTGCGCACAATTGGTCATCGCCTTCCTACTCATACTGCTGCAGCTAGGGATTATTGTGGCACTTCTCATCATCGAGCCACCACAGGTTTGTGTTTCAAAATGTGGGGGATGCTCGTTTGCATTTACTTAGACAGATAGACTGACCTCTGCCTGTCTCTCCTCTTAGGTGATCTATGACTACCCCAGTATACGAGAGGTGCACTTGATCTGCAATTTGACCACTCTGGGGGTGGTGGCGCCTCTGGGCTATAATGGCCTGCTTATCCTCAGCTGCACCTTTTACGCCTTCAAGGTACTTCAGCATGACAGCAATTAATAATACCCGTGTCACCTCACTTTACCTGTCTATATGTTTTTTTTTTCTTCTGCTTTAAAAGTTTTCTTTTCATTCTTCTCCTGCAGACTCGCAATGTCCCGGCTAACTTCAACGAGGCCAAGTATATTGCCTTTACCATGTACACCACTTGTATCATCTGGCTGGCCTTTGTTCCTATTTACTTTGGCTCCAACTACAAGATCATAACCATGTGCTTTAGCGTCAGCCTCAGTGCCACAGTAGCACTCTGCTGTATGTTTGTCCCAAAGGTAAAAACATGTTCCCTTTGCACAAACCAGCGAAAGTTTGAAAAATAACTTTGATCATCAAAAGAAAACTCTGATCTGGTTTTCTATCTTTAAACTGGCTGTTATTTTCTTTGCTGTTTTTTTCCTGTCAGGTCTATATCATGCTTGCCAAGCCTGAGAAAAATGTCCGGAGTGCTTTCACAACATCCACGGTGGTGCGCATGCATGTAGGCGACGCAAAGAAGGCTGCCAAGTCTGGCAAACCCTCCAGCAGCATGGCCAACTTCTTCAGACGCCGCGGGTCAACGCAGGAAGATATCAGGTACAAGGAGGAGCTTTGCGGATAATTGGCTATAAATAAATGTATGTTGAATTATTTACAACCCTGGTGCCCTGTTGCTTTATACGTCAGTCATGTGAATTGTGTTTTTAAAGCTGTGAAATGAGTGCGTTTTCATTCATTACATCTAAAAAGAGGGGAATACTTAAGGTACAATAAGGTCTTATTTTGTATCACTGACACTTGCAAAGGATCAAAACCCACACAGCTGTCTTTATTACACATCTGATTCATTAAGGTTGTTTTATCCGATATGCTCTGTGTGTTTCACTCCTATTATTGATGTTTGTTTTTGTTTTTATATATTGACACCAACCTGCTAATGGGACTGGGGATGGAAATAAGATGCTTGGCTGTAATCCCATGCATTTACATGTAAATGTTCTTTAATGTATATGGGTAGCACTTTAAAATAACCACAATTTATAAATGGTAAATAGATAGTTTATTAATGTTTAATCATCATTTAAAAAACAGCATAAAGACCAATTATGAATGGCAAATAGATAGTTTATTAGTGTAAGTTAATAGTTACGTTACCATTAACAAGCAATGAAATTATGATTAATAATTTTCATTGATTATTAATGGACTATTTATTAAAGGTTATATAGGGTTTAAATGTTGGTTGTAAAACATGTAGATGATTAAAATGTGTGTCAGTAGCACTTTGTAAATGGATAATATTTGGTTTAAAACCATCTATAAACATTACTCAGATGGTTTTTGTAAAGTTAGGTTAAGGTTTTGAAAATTGTCAAATTTACAATTTATTAATGGTCTATATGCTGTTTATAAATGATGATTAAACATTAATAAACTATCTGCTTACCATTTATAAATGGTCGTTTTACCATTTATAAGTTATGGTTATTGTAAAGTGTTACCTGTGTATTGTCCCATTTTTAAAAAATAAATAAATCCTAAATCGATTATCAATTACAAATGTACTGTGTAATACAATAATGTCATATTGTGCTATTTTCTCAAGTTCACTTTTTGCAGATTTTTGTCACATTAGCTAGTAACGCTACCAACTCAATCATGATTTCCATATAAGATACTCAGCACTCTATTTTTTCTAAGGACTGAGTCTGAGGAGGCAACCATGGCACGATCAAACCTCATTGACACTACCTTCCTCTCTTATTAATGAGCGATCTGAATTAATCCCCCTTAAAGCCACATACCTCAGCTGTTTTTGTTCACCAACCCTTGCACAGTCATCCCTGCTGAGATATTGCCCAGAAAGAAATTATCCTTGTTATCTCCTTAACTAGAAGTTGGAGCTGAACCCACCACAGTCCTGAGAAAAACTACTCTCTGAGCTGGAAAAAGCCTCTCTCATTTGGGTTACGTACTCCCAGTGGAGTTTCCAGTGCCTTTGAGGATTTTTCTTTCTAAGGAAGATAAAAGAAAATGTAGAGGGGTGAAAAATTACAGTGTGAAAGAAGGGGGGATGGTGGAAATAGTGAGGAGGAGAATGAAAAATAGACCTCAGAGAAGGTGGGAGAGGGTCTTCTCTTAATGAATAATGAAGATGTAACTTTATTTCTGCCAAAGACGTACTCATAGAGTCTTTATCCTACAGCTAGCTTCTTTAATACTTCATCAAATATAAGGGGGGCTGAGTGGGGCTCTGCCTTTTCAGAGGACTTTCCTGTACAGAGTGTAACTGTACTGATGAGCAGGAAGAATTGATATTTCTTCACTCACTTTTCAACCTTTTATTTTTCATCTGTATTTCTTGTTTTGCAGCTCCAATGGTAAATCTGTGAATTGGGCGCAGAATGAGCGGGGATACAGACCAAACCTTTGGAAGAGGATGTCGTTTCATGTGAAGAAAAAGGAAGCAGTGGAGGTGAATCAGACAGCCATAATAAAGCCTTTCTCTAAAGGAGGAGATACCCCCGGAGACACAGGTGCCAAAGAGCAGTACGAGGAGCCGCAGGCGTCTCAGCCCTCTTTCCAGGCCACAGAGGAAGGGGAGGAAGCTTTACCCACGTACATAGCTGAGAACTCTGCTGGAGTGAGGACAAGAGGTGGAGATAATGACCAGGATGCTGCTCTGCAGGACGGTGGAGACATCAGTGTCATAGGTGTCGGTGAAATCGGCATGGGGATGATTGGAAACCAACCTCAGGGCACCACCATCATGGACCAAATCAGCTGCGTAGTTAACCGTTTCACTGCCAACATCAGTGAACTTAACACCATGATGCTGCCGGGGGGAGCCACTGTCAGCACCACTGCCAACACCACTCTGCCCACAGCTACAGACCCCGCCAACTGCCCACCTCAGTACCTCGCATCCAGGGGCAGACAGGCCCCTTCCACTGTCACCACATACGCCGAGGTCGCCGCTGTCTCGAATTACTGCGAGAACAGACCAGCGGGGAAAATTTACGAGCACTTGAGTAGCAGGCGAGCAAAGGATATGGAGGAGTTGGTGGCTCTGACGCCTCCGTCACCATTTAGAGACTCATCTCTGAGCTCTGACGGCAGCTCAACCCACTCCATGTCACCGGCCTCCGAGGCTGAATATGACCAACTGCTGCTGAGACACTACAGTCAGAGCTCGTCCTCTCTGTAAACTGTCTTACTCTGCCGTTTTTTTCCTCCTTGATTTTCCTCCATTTGGATTATTTTACACACAAAAAAGCCTGAGACTGGACCAAACTCTTGGATGCCTTTCATGAAATGGATATCTTGAGTGTTTTAGCATTTTCTGAGACTAAATGTACCCACACGCATCTCCAGTTGGAAGGACTAAGAGATGAATACACGGCTGCAAACGGCTTAATGTTGAAATGAATCTGATCAAATATCCAAGCTTCATCTTTTGTCTCTGAAACTGAAACACTACACGGGCATTTTACACTCAAAATGACACAAATTTCTAACTCTGTCTTAAACTTTAAAGACCTCCAAAGAGATACTGATTAGCAGAACATGATAATTATTAAAAATAGTTAGCAGACATAAGTGAGGGTAATTTATATTTAGTATTTCTTTGTGTTTTGCCAAACATGGCTTTTATTTGAATCTCAGAATGGCATTGTCATTTTTTACATAAGGTATTAGAACTTCAAGGTTACTTTAATTTCATACTAACAGCCTTATCTTTTCGCATTAAGTGTGATTTCTTTTTATTACTCTTACTATTTCTTTTCTGTTGACTCTGTAAACAAGGTTTGTTGGTTTTTACTTTTTGGTGCAAACTGCCATATTTGATACCTTGAGAGTGGATCTATATCTATTCAGGATGAAACAACAACTCAAATACTTTTTACCTACAATTAAAGGTCAGTCACGAGTCACGACACTTCTTTCCTTCTCACTTGGCAAACATTTTGAATGGTTACTTAAAGGAGAAAGTGTAAAGAAGCTGCATTCTGTGTGGCAGTAGGCAGGACTCCTCAACAGTCTCTCTTTTTTTTGTTTTTACCTGAATCACAGCATTTACCGAAACCACTCAGATCCTAGGAGGACAGCATGTCTTAAGGGAATTTGAGGCGAAGTCTGCGAGGACAAAACTTCATCAGGTATCTAACCCACAAAGAGCTTACGGACTCCTTACATTATGTCGTTTCAACCCTTTATGATGTGACTTAGCTGAATGTACCATAAGTTGTCTTTTGAAGTGGACCAAACTACTCTCTGACGTCAGCTCCTACCTGCCGAACAAGCACCGCTCTCTGTTTCCAGTTTGCATGATGTCAAGAATTGTTTGCACTCTTAAAGCTGCATTTGTAATGAAATACTTTGAATAACCTACATGTCAGGCCTATCGAGATAAATAGATTCAGTAGCAAAGTTACGATACGATTAATAACATATTTGTGTTTTTCAGACCAGTGTTTCTTGGAGACAGTTGAAGTGGAAGGTTGTGGTTTTCTTTAGACATAAATGACCAGACATCTTGTTTTTTTAAGCCTGGCTTCTTTTTTTACCTTGACACTGTTTGTGCCAATGTCTTCCTGCTGTAATTACTGTACATTATATTCATGGGCAGAGAATCTCAGTGTAAGCCCATTTTATTTCAAAATGTTAAAACACTTCAGGCATTATTTTAAAAATATTTCATGACATTTAATCGTGCTTCGATGCATGGACATATTCACCATCTTTTCCTTTCCTCTGTGATTTATTTTTCTCCGTCTGCAATCTGGCCTTTCTGCAGATGTACATTAATGAAAGTGAGCATTCACAGGCTAGCCGATGTAATTGATGGTGTACATGTGGGGGCGTCTGTTTGTTTATCCGAGTCTTGCTTCAATCTTTTCTCTCTGTACTTAAACACGGGCTGTAATATGTTCCTGTTTAGACATACTTTGTATTTTTCACTGAATTTAGTGGTTTTGGTGTAAAAATGAACATAGACAGGCGCCTTATTTGCATGCAGGTTCGTGCTTCCTGAAATTCTTATCAGGTGCATATAGTATATTTGAAGCTATCACTTTTATGACTATCTTACAGAGGACATTTTTCTTGGTCTTATGTCTTCATTTGCCTTTCAGAAAGCCAGAATTTAGTATTTAGATGTTTGCTGCATTAAAGGTTTACATCACAAATACATTACCTTTTTTCCATGTCATTTGTAGTACTTTGCAAATGTTCTTTATGTGTAACGCTGGTCCACATTTAATTCAAATTATAAGTATCTGTAATAGAAATAGAATATATTTTCTGCAACCCATCAAAAAAAAAAAAAAAAAAATTACAACTGCTGCTCTAACAATTTAATTACATAGGTAGATAACTCATTTCTTATTATATGGATTATAATTAATACTCATTATACTTTTTAATGATATTTGAAGGTGTGAATTTGTTCATGTCATCATGGAGTCAAGCTTCAAGTTCATGCCAAGAACTTCACCGTGCACAGTGTTATTTTTACTCTTTATTTTGATGTTACTTATGAACCTTTCCTAAATAAGAACTTGTGTCAAATCACAGTGTGATAATTAATAAACCCATTGGGAAACAGGGTTTCTAGGGCACTCTAAATTAAATAACATGTGATGCAATTTCCTGCACTGTAAATTAGACCAAAAGAAGAGGAAAATTAATATTCAGAGGATGGTGGGCAAAGGTGCGAGCGTAATAGCTTTAGTGAGTCAAGGGACGGAGAAGTACTCCAATAGACCAGCTCACTGTTTATCCTTGAGATGTGATGATGGTATTATCTGCCCCCTCACTGAAATGAACACGGCAGCACAACAACAACCTCCAGCCACAAAATGACCATAAAGTTTAATTAACACCTACAGCTTACACTGAACATCAACCTGCATGAAGATGTGAATGTATTGTGAAACTTTGTCAAGTGTCAGCTCGTCTGAACTTGGGAAAAGTTGCTGCTCTGGACGTAAACTTTAATGCGAAAAGAAGCCACATTACTGTCTCTGGTTTGAGCACATTGGTGTTGTGCTAGCAGGAACATATGTATTATCATGGCCTTACTCATCACTGACTTGGCATGCGTGTATGCTTTATTTATGGCAAGAGAAAAATCTAGTTCAGGAGCAAGATGTCTGTGTAGGCTACACCTGCAAAGGTGAGGACATTAAGTGATCTAAACTCATTCATAACCATTTTGCATATACTTTAAATAGTAATTTTGGTGATTCTTCAAGCAAGAATATCAAACATTTACTGGGTCCAGTATCCAGACTGTTGTTCCTAAATCCAAAGGACAACCTAAGTGTAACAGGATGTCCTATATGTCTCTGTTACAAACTCCTTTTCAAACATAGTCATCCTTGTTCAAAGAAAGGAGAGCAAGACAACTGTGACCAAACAAAAGGCTGAAAATATAAATGAAACAAGACTGCACACATGGATGAAAATGCAGGTTTAGCGAGAACACTATCATCCTCTTGACTTCTCTGCCTGTGCTAATGCACTTCAATGTGGGCTCATTCAGCAAGCAGGTGTTCCTCCTAAATAATTTATCTTTGCTGAGTGTCATTGGCCTAAATCTGTGTTTCACATGAAACTTACCTGATTCAACCCAGAGGAATTATCCTGGTATAGTTATCGTGCTTCCTGTAACAGAGCCTTGTGTTTATTGCCATACAGGTAAAGTTTTTTGGTTTAATTTTGAATGTTTTGTATTTTTTAGCTCAACCTTTTTACACAGCCGTCTTGACAATGTAAACGTGTACAAAGCTACCTTGTTATGTAAAGCATGTACAAAGCCATAAAAGGCCCACTACTTTGTGCAGTAAACGGTGACGTGTACCTGAAACACTGGAATATTGATTGGTAGAGTAACTGAACATGTTGAAACAAGTAAAGCAACATATTAAATTGGAATCAGAATGACCATTTTTCACATATTTTTATGCCATAAGCAGGGGCGTGTACAGATGTGCCTTATTTCAAATGTCTTGGAATAAGGAACCATACAGTCAGTATAGCTTAAAGCACTAGGAGGAGCTTTTTTAAATTTATGGGATAGGATGAAGTTCACCCTGATGCCCTTTTATGACATTTAAAAGCAAACAAGACCACCAACAGCAAGACTGGTGATTTTTATATTGCGATTTTTGATGCCTGGAACTGGTAGTAGGGGGTAGGTGTCAGCTGAATAGCTATAAAAATAGCCCTGTTTGTACATTTCCACATGAAATATCCACAATTAATCACACATTTGTCTGTCAAAAGTCAGCAGAATGAACTCTTTTTGTCAAAATTCACTACTCTATCATGTGCAAGATATGCAAAGACTGCTTTGTCCACAGGGGGGAGTAGCTTTAAATTTTCATGAGATATTCTGACTGAAAATGGGACCAGTTCAATTTTTGCAGTGTACATATCGTCTAGGGAGCTGGCTGTCATGCAGCTGATGGAAAGCTTGTATGATTTTTACTTTATTTCTGCAGAAAAAAAATCCTTAAAAGTAAAAATACTGGTAACACTTTACAATAACCATAACTTATAAACGGTAAACACACCATGTATAAATGGTAAGCAGATAGTTTATTAATGTTTAATCATCATTTATAAATAGCATAAAGACCATTAATAAATTGTAAATTTTACAATTTTGAAAACCTAACCCTAACTTTACAATAACCATCTAAGTAATGTTTATAGGTGGTTTATAAACTACTTATTAATCATTTACAAAGTATTACAAACATCAGTTGCAACTTTACAATAACCATCTAAGTAATGTTTATAGATGGTTTAAAAAACAAATATTAACAATTTATTAAGTGCTACTGACACACATTTTAATTTAGATGTTTTACAACCAATATTTAAACCCTATATAAACCTTTAATAAATAGTCCATTAATAATTATTGAAAATTATTAATCATAATTTAACTGCTTGTTAATGGTAAAGTAACTATTAACTTACATGAATAAACTATCTATTTATCGTCTATAATTGGTCTTTATGCTGTTTTTAAATGATGATTAAACATTAATAAACTATCTATTTACCATTTATAAATTATGGTTATGGTTATTATGTTATTGTACATACATTACATATTAGTATTGCCCAATCCTGTAGGCTATATGTGACAAAAATGTAAGCTAACTGACAAGTTATCTACTGCAACTTTATTTCTAAGATGCGTTTATAGACAAGCAGTCGAGAGTCCAAATAAGGCATTTTGAAAGGACACTTCTCAAAAAGCAACAAGAAAAAGGTGAACTCATTGCATGATGCAGCAGGCCACTGCACTTTGAACATGCAGCCCTGAAACAGGAACTACTTCTCTGCAAAGCGCCCTCGGCACACACACAGATCCTCTCCTTAGGGTGTGTGAGGAGGTGAGGTCACAAGTTCCCGAACACTGCCTCTGCGTTATACCAACACCACTACACACTTCCCTACAAGGAGGGCGGGTCCTGAACGCACACGGAGAGGGGGAGACAGACAGGATCAGGGGAGGGTAAAGCCTGAAGCCCTCTCAAAGAAAGAGCGCGTCAAAGTTGATAAAAGTTGTCGGGATTGTGAAGAATGACCAACCACTCGACTTACTCTAACGGTATGCAGAACCTGCGGAGGGAGCACCTGTACAAGGTGTTGGTTATCGGGGACCTGGGGGTCGGGAAGACCTCCATCATCAGGCGGTACGTCCATCAGACTTACTCCACCAACTACAGGGCCACCATCGGAGTGGACTTCGCTCTGAAGGTGCTCAACTGGAACACCAAGACTATCAGACTCCAGCTGTGGGACATTGCAGGTGAAGTTGTCATTGTTGTTAAAGGGGGGCTGTCACATTTGAAACTTGCAGTATCCAGCTTATTGGACCCTTTAATTTACAAATGTGCACCATGTGGAGCTTAATTTTATTTATTTTATTTTTTGTGAAAATATGCCTGGAGACAAACAACCTTCTTTGGCAAAAAAAAAGTCTAAATATTGTGTTGCAAGGCTGGTTGTCATAGTAACAGATAAGCTGATGCTTTTTTGAGATACTACTAATTTTGAAATCGACAAGCATGTCTGTAGTCACTTGAAGGAAATTTCGAAACTTACAGATGCACTGTCACTGTGGTGTGCTGGCTTCCTACACACACACCCACACACACACATGCACACACACACACGCTAACACACACTTAATGCTGATGAAGGATGACCAGCAGCCAGTCTTTCAGTCATTCATTCAATGTATGGTACCATCATGTGGTTTTAGCTCATGTGAGGAAGATTTAAAGGCCAGTCACAGGAGTGTCATTGTAGTCTAAATAAAAACAAACATCATTAGCACACACACATGAAGCCACATGCTTCAGGAGTTTAATTTAACATCAAATGAGATTATATGTTTAAGTCTAGACTACCTGGTGGTGATGTGAGTTTGACACGCTGCACTTTGAAGCTGTTCGAGCTTTGCAGTTGCGCCATCAGTTTATTAAATGACAGCCTGTCAGCTGACATGAGTGACGTGCGTCTGTCTCAGACAGCTGTCATAAACTGCACATGAGGGTCCTGAGGAGGAAGTCCTGATTCCATGCGGTGTCAGATTTTCCATTTCCTCTTAAATCATGAGGCAAACAGCAGCATTTATCTTTATTTAAACAGATGGGTTTGGAGTTTTGTATCTGTCTACTATTCAGAAGAGGGTATTATAAGCTTCATGTTCTGTTTTGGATCAACAAACAGTCCTATTCGGAAGCAGAACACACATCCCCAGGTATAGTGACAACATTTGCATACCTGCGCAATGACATTTCACCTGCTTGTAGTTAAACAGGTATTGTTTAAATGCAGTTAAGTTGAGGTCAGTGTGTTTTCAGTCTTGTTTGGGCAAAGTACAGGTTTTAATTTAAGTAGGCCTATTACCAGCAAGAACAAGTAGCTGCATTGACTGTCTAGTTAAGTGCAACGTGACAGTAAGACTTCAGGAATTTGCTGTTTCATGGAAAAGAGGCAGGCGCTGCCAACTGCATAAGATGTTTGGCTGCAAAAATGCAAGGAAACAATGAAGACCTGTGGACAAACTGATGGCTGGGAACCACAATGTTGTTGAAACGATAATGACTTATGCTTGTGTTTGTGCATGTGTATGTGCGTGTGTGTGTGTGTTGGTTCAACACAGGTCAAGAACGTTTTGGGAACATGACCAGAGTCTACTACAGAGAAGCAATGGGAGCTTTCATAGTGTTTGATGTAACGCGACACACCACCTTCGAGGCTGTGGTCAAGTGGAAGGAGGACCTGGACTCAAAGCTGACGCTAGCCGATGGACAGAGCATCGCCACTGTGCTGCTGGCAAACAAGTGTGACCAGGGCCGGGAGTTGATCAGCAATGGTATCAAAATGGACCAGTTCTGCAAGGACCATGGCTTTGTCGGCTGGTTTGAGACTTCTGCTAAGGTATGGTGGTTAGTTTTATGGTTTATTTAACTACTAATGTTTGGAATTACACCTGACTGTTATGGGGCCTGCATGTAGTGATGGGCTCGGCGGTTCTTTTAGATGTACTGAATCACTAGAATCAGTTTACTAAAAGGATTCGTTCAAAAGATTCGTTCACCAGATAACAGAATCATTTAGCGGGGGAAGCCTGCGACTCATACATCCTGAACTGGTACACAGCTAAATAGTACAGGATTCAGTTCAATTCATAGCTTCTGGGACCGGGAGACAAGAGTGTTTGGCTGTGTTGCTTTGGCAAACAGGTTTGTAAAAATAAACTTGTTTATAAGTCATGATGTTGAGTGATAATAAGTGTAATGTCCTATGGTATGCTATTTATCAGGTCTGCTCGGTAAACTGGGGTCAGTGAGTGATTCGTTCACTGAACGTTTAGAAGAATTCACACTGAACATGCACCGTTCCCTCACAAACCGCTGCAATGATAGGATGCTGCAGGTTAAATGTACTACTTGTTACATGCTGTGTCCTATTGTATGCAAGTTGTGGTGACAATTTAGCAGTGAAAAAAAGGTAGTTTTGTCCGACAAAAATGATTCCAGAGAATGTAGTTTAATCGGTGAGTCGTTCACCAAGTGATTCAGGCGTCGCTGCAGGTGGTCCCTCATTCGCCGGCTGCTGGCCTGGCAGTGCTGTTTCTTACTTTAGCTCAAATGGAGTGAGAAACGAACGAATCACTTGAGGAAGTGATTCGGTTCAGTACGTTCACTTAAAAGATTCGGTTCTTTTGAATGAATCGTTCGCGAACGACACAACACTACCTGCATGGATGAACAAATGGTTTGTTATTTTAGTAAAATACTCTTTCTTTCTTTCCTGAAAACAAGAATTAAAAGCTTAATGCCACTCCCCCTCCTGCAGGGTAAATACAAGTCTGGGGCAAGAGGAGGATTAGCTTAGTTTGAGGCAACAAACTCAGTCTGTGTATGGAGGTATTTTTTCTGTATTATTCTCTGGCCTATTTCTCTTCTCTATTTTAGTATTTCAAGACTGAGCTAGATAGTTTAATTTAGCAGTCTCCATACTAGCTAAGATAACTGGCTCTTGGCAGTAGCTTCATATTTAGTTGAGAGACATCAGTGTTATTAATATTCTTTTGTAACTGTCAGCCAAGATACAAGTGAGTGCAGAGGTCCTGAAATGCTCAAGTTTGGCTTTAACCATCAACATAGTAATGAATGTGCAAAATGGGTCTTTGCAGCAAGTGGCTGATCCAGTAAGTGGAGATCTTCTCCCACTCAGGTCGCTTCAGTCAGAGAAACTCGTCCACACAGAGCCAACTGGAATTTCATATCCTCATGGAAAGTGGCTCTGCGAAATAAATTAAAAAGACAGGGACAGAAATATTTATTAAAAGGAAAAGTTTGAGTGTTAAAGTTTGTTGTTTCTGTATTCTTTTCCACAGAATGAATTTAATAAGATGGGGACTTTGTAATCAGTTTATGGGGGAGTATTTTAAGTATATAACAACTTTAAGTCCACAAAAGTGATTAGATCTTATTGATTTTACCTTTATTAACAGACACAACTCTGAAATTTGACAAACGTGTGTTTAACCATACCTCTTAAGTACTAGTGTCCTTCTTAAGTATAATGTACCTGACTAAAGAAAACAAAGGGGAACAAAAGTCAACACTTATTTTTTTTGAAACATCACCTTTTTTATCACTCACAGTACGTCACGTATCTTTGAATTCCTCATTTGTTTTATTCGCACGTCATCTATTGACACCAAAGTGCCGCTGCAGCATAAGCGTGCCGATGTTCTGGTGACATCAAGATGCAACATTCTGAAAGGTCAAAGGTCATAAGGTGCTAAGGTTTTAAAGGCGGGCTGTGAACTGACACGCATCCCTCTTCGGTAGCAATTAGAAAACAATGTGACAGCCCCTTAATGGAGTGGTTTTGAACACATTAAGGTGTAGTGTACACACATGGTGCTGTTCACGTGAAGGTGTTAATAGCCATACCAGAGATCAACTGATTCTGTTTTTCCAGGGCTAATTCTGATTATTAGTAGTTCATGAGACTCATAACCAATATTTAGGACTGATATGCATTTATAGTAAAAATGACAGTCTGTCTTTATGTGCAAGAGGTAACTGGTTTTGCATATTAGGTGAGACTGAATAACAAGTGACTACAAGCCCAGAGAGAGAGACCCATTAGCAGAGAGTTGCCCTCTTTTTTATTTATCTATTATATTGGTGGTCCGTACAAAAAACACTGATACAGGTAACAGTCCAAATGCCGAGTATTGAGTACTGAAACATTTTTCTGGGGGTAGTAGGCATCTTTTACGCTCTTTTGTGCAGCACCCTACAAACAGAGAAAATTCAGAGTTGAAATCTGGAGGTGTGAGTAACAGCTGTGTGTCTCTCTCTTTTATTTTTTCAGGACAATCTGAACATCGGTGAAGCGGCAAACTTCCTGGTCAAGCACATAATAGCCACAGAGAATGAAATCCTCAAAAGTGTGATACCTGACACCATCTCACCTCAGTACGACAACCACAGGCAGTCAAGCTGCTCCGGCTGCTTCAAATAATACCTGTGGAGAATCTAATAGATACTAAGTCGGACTAAGAGGGAGACGCACATCGCAGGACTTTCCAACAAAGTGAAAGTACCCATGAGACAGTCTGAGGGACTGAGGAGATTCATGTGGATATAGCAGACTTTAGTAACTTGACAAACCGTGAGTTTAAAGTCCTAAACTCTTCAGGCCACCATGGTATTTCTTCTGGATTATTTTTTTGCATAATTATTTAAGGTATCAAATATCAATCTTCCTTTTAGGAGTGTTCTTTCATCTGGTTAAGATAACATTCCTTCTTCTAATTATAGTTTAACTGGATTAAAGTCTGGAAACATGCGCTGGGATGGCCTCAACTCCACATACACAGTGCTTGTAGTCTGACAAGAAGCAGTATTGACAACTTTAGTAGGTCCTAACAAGATCAGCTAAATGTAATTATGTGAATTTGCACATTCATTGCTTATTTTTATTTTGATTTAACTTATATGCAGTTTCTGTGTTTATGAAATACTTTTCATGTAATGCTGGTGACTTTGTTATGGTAATCTGCTTTAATACACCCCACAAATGACTATTGTGTAAATCCTATTAAAGCAGACATATTAAAGTAACAATGCATTCTTATTAGTAGAAATTTGTTTGTGGCAAGCTGCTGCAGAGAACAACAGAGTTTAACCCTTTTAGTGGAAGAGAGAGAGAGAGAGAGAGAGAGAGAGAGAGAGAGAGAGAGAGAGTGGGTGTTCAATGTATGTACTGGTGTTTGGTTATTTTTTTTAATTCTAATAAGAAACAGAAGAAGAGCATTGATTGTCTGGATGTAAACCGCACATACTTATGAGTCCGCCTGCAAGAGCCGAACCCTCTGTATCCATGGTAACTGGCTCAAGTCTTTTTTATGGGTACCCTCAAACGTCTGTGTGAAGCTATTTCTTGCTGTACTTACCGCTCTACAGACACAAACACACATGCACACAGACTTTTCCACCGCCCGTGTCCTTGTTCAACTTTTTCCTCCTCGGTTCCTGATTTCTTTTTTTTTTTTCTTATCTGAAGATCCCTGTCCTCACTCAGCGTGGATGTCTTCTTTTTAAATGTCACCTGCTCGCCCTTTTCGCTACTTTCTCCTCTGATTCAGCATCTACTGCACATTACATAAATCTGCACAGGCTCAACTCCACACCCACATAGGCGGTTTGATTTATTGATCTTCCAGGGAGATGACACTGTTGCATTGATGCAACTGTTCCCCTGCTTTTGATGCATCTCTGTACAAAGCTGCTTGTCGGCGGTGTCCCCTGTAAAAGCCGGACGAGCTGTTGTCAAAGCTGTCTTTATTCGTCCTACTGCAACTTGTGGGCGATATAACTTTATGACCTCATATAAGACGATGTTTACTTAAGTCCATGGTTATAAAATGTGCTGAAGCCAACTCAGTTAATTTCATTATGTGGTCTTTCACCAGTTAAAGAAATGTCAGTAAATGTAGCCTATAGCCTCATACACATTGTAACTCCTCAGCACATTGCATTACAGAGATGCAGAAGCTGGATTAGCACAGTTTATAGACACATAGCAGACATACACTCAACATGCTTAAATGGGCGTTTTCTACCCTTCATTCCACCTCTGTTATGACCTCTGAGGGAGGATCAGAGGCGGGACAACTTTGCACCACCATTAGGCTATGGCTCTGTGTGTTACACATTGCAGACCAGGAGTCACAGGGGTTGTAAATATCCAGCCTTGAAACAACAGGATGTTAGGGTCATGACATTATCTGTTACCTGCAGTGTTCTGTTTTGTGGCAACTACAGATAAATAATCGGGCTCATTAATGGCATTATGACAAAATCTGTATCATATTGGTGAAAGTTGATGTTACCATTATCTGTCCTAAATAAAACCAGATCTTTCCCATCGCACATTTACAGCAACAGTCACTGGATAGTGCTTAAGTATAAATTCTGTTTTGATGTAGGTCTATAGAATAACACAGTTAAGTGTTGGGAGAAATATCAGACATGTTTTAAGTCTATAGCGTAAACCAGTAACTCCATCTTTCGAGTAATTCATAAAAAAATCCACTTTAACCATGTTACCAAATAAGGTTAGCATGTATATTTACACAGTATATGCATGGAATTTTACTGAGAGAAATACTTTCTGTCTACATTTATTTGCGAAGATATTCACTCAAGTTCAGTTTTTTTGTTTTTGTTTTAGAGGTTAGTCTGATTAGATTTTTGTATTAAAGACAAACAAACAGTCCTATCAGTATTAAATATCTGCCATCAGCTAACCTGCTCTCTCATAGTCGGTATCCGCATTGGCTCTTTAACAAATGTGATTGTTCAACCCCTTGTGGCAACCCTCCCACCTCTCAAAGAAATGTGATGGGCCATACTAGATACTGCCTCAAAATCCTAATCTAGGATTGGAAGTTTGCTATCAGCTATGTAAGCTTTCTGCATAAAGCTGCTACTAGCTACGCTGCCACTCATTTGTGTTATCTGTCAGAGTTAAAAATATACACTGGTATAAAAAATAACACCTATATAATACTTCCGTGGACGTGATCATTGGAGTCAGATAGGGTAAAGAACCTAAATTCACCTAAATTATGGATCTGACAAAGGAGGATTGTCTTATATTAAAAAAAAACAAGTCTAGACTTTTGAATGCCAGTATTCATTCATGAAAGCGGAGGGCACCACTCACCCAGAGAGCATGTGTACCCCTCATGACTGAGGTCGGATGTCACATACTGTGCAAAGGGGATGAGAGATGAGACAGAGTGATAATCTGGAACAGAGGAGCTCAAAAGCAGGCCGGATTCAGATGTGAACATCCTCTGTATGTGTCTACTCATCCTGCCTTTTTCTAACTATAAGCCGGATCACAATCATGCCACACAGTGTGTCATTGTGTCTTCATAGTAGTTTACAACACACACACACACACATTAGCACCTAATGAACCCACTCATTACCTTTCTCACAGGACTACATCCTCTCACTGTGAGTCTGGCTCATCAGGAGGTTGAGGGTAAGGATATAAATCATGTGACACCACCATAGTTCAACTCTGAAGATTTATGCACCGATCTGAACTTTAGAAAGAGCTGCATACTCAAAGCAAGAATCCACACGTAAGTCTCTTCACAGTACAATAACTCACTTCTCTTCTGACCCATGTGGTCAGCACGTCTTCAGCTGACCTGAGGAGAGTTCTTGTTCATCACTTACTGTAAAGACGTCAAAATAAATGACCCGATTTCACACATGCCCCTGGATTTGTTACACATTGACATTTTGACATGCTCGTGATCACTGAAGGGCTTTGTTTCCAAAATCCCAGCAGGAAGCAGTGAATCTGCCCACAGAATTGTGTGTATTTTAGGTGTGTATGTGTGTCCGTCCAGGTTCTCATTAAAACCACATGACTGAGTGGATTATTCTCTGCATGTGGGATAAGACTTGGTTGTCTGCTCTTGGCTCACAAGAAGGCATCACCAGCAACAATCACATTAAGTGATCCCAAAAAATTATATATAGAGCTGCTTTGGACAATTTGTGTCATCTGAAATTTATCAAGAAATATGAAAATGTCAAGATACGCGATGAAGCACATGGACGGAGGAATAAGAGAACTCCTGACTTCAGTAATGTCCACTGAGTTTAGAAAGCAGCTGGACTTGCTTCAGAAATCTAATCATTCTTAAAAAGAGTTAAATTATAATAATACTTAGAAACTTTAATTCAATAGGAGCAAAATCCTAAAGTTCTTGCCTTGTTAACTCTTTCAGTGACAACAGCTGGCACTCATGTAGATCTTCATTACTGGGATTTTAGGCCCAACATATTGTGCTGGCTGTAGTTCTCAAGCTGTGCCAGAGAACCACCTACAGAAAAAAAACACCCACATATTCTCTGAGAGAAAGAGAGAGAGAGAGAGAGAGAGAGAGAGTGAGGGGACATGGATAGAAGTGAGTGAGAGGAGATAAGGAGATGGAATGAAAGCCTTTCTATAGTCTTGTAGCAAGAAAAGGTTGTAGGTATCTCATGAGAAAACCATACAGGTAAACGGATGCCAAAATGAGGTCACATTTGGCTTGTTTGAATATAATTTTACGCAGAAATCAACCGACAGCCTCAATAGATTAAAAAAAAATTTCAACTCAGTAAGTTTAATCACAAACTGACCATCAGATTTTTGTTGAGAAAGGTTAATAAGTTCAAATCTGGAGACATCAAGTCCAAACCTGACGGTATCCAGCCGCTTTGACGCTTCACCATCCTGCAATATTTGCTCATGTGACGCCATCTGCTGGTGAATTAGGCACATAAAATGAAAAAACTTTTCTCCTTTGCGTTGCCATTTCTTTACTTTTCTTTTAATCTGAGTAAGACTAATTTACATTTTAACGTTGAATTATTTTCAAGACTAAAGTAATCATATTTCTTCACTAAAGCTATAAAATTAACACCGTTGGACGCACACACTGGATTACATGTGTAAGTGAAGTGCAGCCACTTGAGGATAACTGGATTTAATACTTAATTACAGCGTGTGAACACAGAGCAAATGACCTCCACTATTAGGGCAACTTTCTCATCTCTAAGCCCTGGGACCTCAGCCGCTCGCTGTTCCCACTCCCCTGTGCCAAAAACTATTTAGTCAAAGCTGAGCTTTCCTTAAATCCCTCTCAATGATAAAAGTATGAAAAAAAGCGGAAATATTTTGATCTGCAGACCTTAGTTTAGGGTTGGAACCATCTCAGAAGGCTTATGTTGTGTTAAATAAAGAAAAAGGGATAAAATAACAGTTTGGGGTAATTGAAATGTCCTCTGTGTGAGAGACAGAGAGGGAGGAGTGAGGACAGAAAGGAGGAGAAATTAAAAGTGGCCAACAGAGAAAGTGAGGAGGGAGAAACATGAAAGGCTAAGCAAGGTATTAAATCATTAATATATATCTGTCCAGTGTGAAAGATGAGTTCTCTGAAGACCCCGTGAGCTCCGTTATTCATCACTTGCACTGAACAATGACAGATTTTACATCTCATTAACCTTACTGATGGCTTTTCAATGACACTGCATCACACTAACTACCAACTTCCTAGGTGGATGATCATAACAGACGCCCCTGAATGTTCCGATTTTTTTAAAGTTTAATTTGATTTCTTCATTTCCATTTTTGCTTAAAAAAACACAGGGATCCATTTGGACATTGCAATAGATGGAAAGAAAAGTCATTTTTGTGGAATAAAAAATAATTATAAAAAAAAAAAACAGTAGAAAAACAATTTGTATAGCACATAAGACATCTGTACATCACCATGAACTTTGCATTACCTGCCACTAGAGGGCAATAAGCACCAGTGTTATGCATTACTCTTGACAGTTCAATAGAAAATGGGCAAATAAAATCACATTTTGAGGTTGTAAACTATTAAAAGATGATTTACCCTCTTAAAAAAACACCACTCTAAAAACTTAAGGCTGAATCTTCTTGTTAAAATTAATGTGTTTTTTTGTTTTGTTACATCTGTTATTGAGTTCAAAACACTCCAAAGACAGCTGCAAATCCAACAGTTGTACTGATTATTAAAATTGAAAATGAGTCTGTTAAAAAAATTGCATATTATACAGATAAACTTGATCATAAGGAGTTTGAGGAAGTGTGTAAAGGTTAGTGCTTACAAGCAAAAAAAGGAAACTGGGTGAAAGTTTAAAAAAGCTACAAAAATAGGAGTAGGAATTCAGCTTCACCAAACTATTAGTGCTGTTGATTATGCAAAAGACACAAAATACAAACAGAAATCAGCTCATACCGCGACCAACAATGAGTTATTGCTACATTATTCTCTTGACCCTTGACTGTAATTTAGATAAGAGTGTGAAAGATAATTAGCCCGTGGCTAACACACAGAGAACAGACACATCATGCTGTACTTCTCTGATGATATCCATGACTCACTGTGAGGCAGCGTTTCTATCAAAAGTCCCCTCGGTTCATGTGTAAAAGCCTGTAAAGATGTGGGCTTTTACACAGCACATTAACCATATTCAGGCTGATCTGTGAGGTCTGTTTTGGCGAGGGGAGTAAAGCTCTGAGGGTTGTGTGTGCAGCTGAAAAAGAGTTGCGTCACCGTGGTCAGGCAGCCACAATGACAGCCTGAAACATGACAGTCAGAAGGTAAATATCGCACGCTGTGTCAAGTCTATTTGTCGAGTTGTCTGGCTTTGGAGCAAAATGCTGTTCTGAGCTAAACACTGTTTACAAGAGGTAACGTGTGTGTGCTGTATTTCCTTGTTATGACCTGAGAAACTGGTTGTTCAAACTGTACCAAAATGTGTTTTCTTTGCAGTAAAAGTTTCAATGTACATCTGCATAGTGAGATCATACCCTGAGGTTACTGAGCAGAGAAGAACGTGCAGAGATCATTGTTTACGATGTGCGACTACAAGGCGCAACTTGTGAAGCTGCAAAGATACATAACAGGAAGTCATGATGACTCGTACTGTTTGGAAAAACAAAATGAATGGATTTGGATACCTGGAATGCATTTCTGTGTTGTTTTCTTAATTAAAAAGTAGATAAAAGATAATAAAAATTGTGCTGATTAAGACCGTTGTGTTTTAAATATATTGTCATTGCCTGTGCTCACTCTACAATCTGTGGTTATACCCTCAGGTACAGTATAATACAAGGAGGAAACTTAAGTTTGATGGCATCACCACAGACTCAACAATAATTATGCATTTGCATTATTTGTGCCTAATGTGGATCTACATCTCCTGTGAGTGTATCCCTGCTGGAGCTCGGCGAAGGCTCCTCTGACGCCGCGTACAGATGAGCGCTGACAGAAGAGGTCGAAGGTGAAGCCTGACGGTGAGGTGACTGTGAAAGGAGTGTGTCTATGTGAGGGAAGAAGGAGGACAGGGGGCAGTCATGGGAGGTGTATTTGGCCAACACTTGGAGCTGCTCCGGCTGCAGGTGGGCTTCGTTGCAGACCTTCTTGCACAAAGAGGAGACAATGTGGAATGTTTTCATCTTCTGCTGGCTCAGGTGGCTCCTCTCTGTGATCAGTTTCTCCCTCTCTGTCTTCTACAACGCACACATCAAGGAAACAGATTCTCATTTACATATCTGGGATTATATAAAAGCAGGATTAATAGATATGTACTAATTGGGAAAATGTGATATTTTACCAGCTTGTTGATTTCACACTGCAGGTTGAAAATGCAGTCCAGTTTTCTCTTGCGGCACCGCTGAGCTGCGAGGCGATTCTTGCTGCGGCGCCTCATATCATGGACAAACTCCAGCTGTTCCCGTGTTAACACCTGTTGTTTCAGGAGCTGCTGGAAGTCATTTCTGCTTAATTCTACAATCCAGTCCACAGAGAAAGGTAACTGCATCTGAAAAAAACACCCCAACAAAGAGCATAAGGTCAACATTTGCCTGATTTAGAGCAGCAAAGGGATTGCATTTACACATAGGAATAACAAGACCAATTCTTTTAATGTGAAATAAATGAGATTTAATTGTATTTTACAGTTTAAAAACAGCTTGGAGAGGTTGGAAAGTGAGTCAGAACTCTAATGGTTGCGTACCTTAAATAGCCAGTTATATTTCTACCCAGCTGTTAATCATTAAATCTCAAATACGAGGGGTTAATGTTTAAAAGAGGAGGTCAGGTACTGGGTAATTGCTGGTGCCAACGTGTGACACTTGTTTACTGGCAGAGTAAATGTTGTAAGGTGAATAAAAATAAGGTTTCTGCCCTTGAATGAACTTTATATTGTCTTCAACGTTTCAACTTCCACTTTGATGGAAATAGCTGGTCGTGACAGAAGCAGCAGTTCCTCATACTTGTTTGTGTTGCTCGTCGTCATTGGTAACTCAATAAGCTGAGCTGTCACTTTAGCTAAACTGGACTCTGGACTAATTAACTCGGCACACACTGTCATCTCTTTTTTTGAGCCTGTACCAAAGTCTCTTATCTAACACAAACAGTGAAGTAATCTACAGGTAGGCTGAGCTAACTAATGTTTATTTAAGCAGATTGAATTTAACACAAGATGAATCTGACACTTAGAAGTAGCGGCGAGACAGATATGAAGACTACGCAGTGTTTACATTCGTCCGAGCTGAACTTGCTCACCTGTCTGGCCCTCTCTCTTGTGTAAGCCTCGCTGTCTCCCTCCGTCTCCGTCTCTGAGTCTCCGTCCTCCCCAGAGTTAAAAGACGACACTCCTGACTGAGATGCCCCCTCACATTCAGACAGCTCCGCGCCCTTCCACAAACATTTGTTTCTGTCCAGATCCTGAAAAAAGGGGCAGCTAGTGCTTGCGGAGGTGCTGAGGTTGACGTTAGGCCACTCCGAAGATGAACTCTGTCCCCTTTGTCCGCTTACAGTTTCAGAGGAGCATCTTGCATCGAGGTCCTGGATGTGTGGCTCAGATGGGTGCAGGTCCGACCCAAGCTGCTTGGCGAGGTGCTCTGCCACCTCTCTCTCCACAGAGCTTCTTTCTTTCGCATCATTTAGAGACATGGCTTCTCCCTCCATGCTGCTTGTTTGTCCACTTTCTTTCCCATCATCCACTCTCTCCGGCTCTGCCTCTTTTTTTGCTTTAACCTCACGATGAATACAAAGTAGCTCACCAGACGCCCTCGTGTTTTTGTCCTCTGTGATGTCCATGCTTGTCCTCTCATGTGACGGTGACCCAGTGATCGCAAAACCATCACCAAGGGTCTTCAAGGGGCAATGGTGCAATATTAACCCTGACAACCCGGTTGTACTTGGCCCTGAGGTGACTGAGTCGGAATTGGATATGTCTGAGAAGCTGGTGTCCTCTTCTCTATCCATTTCTATCATTTTCTCCTTCCATTTTCTCTTTACGTCAACTATTTCCATCTTAATAATGCTAGCCTCAGCCCCCATTTTGTCACCATGTATTTCAGATTTCGTCACGTCAGCCCCGCCTTTGTTTTGTCTGGCGAGGTTAGAGGATACATTTCCAGAAAATCCAACTTGACTTTCAGTTTTACAGTTCATACTACTGCAGCATGGAGAGCAGGAGAGCTCGCAGTCATCCCTGATAGAAGTTACTGGACTGTTTGCGCTTTTCTCTGTGAAAGAAGGTTCCTTCTCACAAGCCAGCTGAAACTTGCGATACTTTGGACCCTGATTAAAAATGTAGTTTGTCCTTTCAGCCACAGGTGTAAGAGCGCTCACACTGCTCTGACTTCCCGTTTGGCTGTTGACAGATTTGTTACACAGCAGAGCCACTTCCTGCTGAAATGGTGAGTCAGCAACTGGTTTGACTTCTTTCTCTTCCAACAAAACGTCGTCAGAGTTGGTGGAGCTGTCATCCTTTGATGACCGCCGTTTGCATTTCTTCTTGCAGCACTTCTTTCTTGGGAAAGGAGCTGAGTCCTTGGTACTGGAGAAGAACTTAGGGAGGAGGAAATCAAAACAGGCGTCATCCAGGTCTCTGAAACCAAGGATGGTAGCTGAATTGCGCACGTCAAGGACGTCATCTTTCCCAAAGAGAAGTTTGGACGTGTAGGCGAACTTCAGCAAGGGTTCAAAGCCAGCAACTGTCACCTGTTAAAACAAAACAAAACAATACAAACATTATCTTTTTTTCCCCTCTTTATTTTTCTCTTAAGGAGGGAACTGGTTATTCAATCACCGTAAAATGGATTTCAGTACAGATTATGTTCAGCAAATTATAGCCTAAGAATGTAAATCTGCACTAGTGAAGGTTTAAAATTTAACAAAATCTGAAGTATGTAAGTGGTATTGCTTTGATTTGTGGGTGCGCCAAAATCAATCCAACCTGAAAGCTCAGTGGAGGAAGTTTGAAGATCTTGGTCTGGTTTTTGATTTATTGGATTTATTGTTGTTTAATTAAACCTCCTGTGGGGAACTTTTGGGTTCCTCAAAGGAACACTGACACCCACACTTCTAGGTTGGTTTTGGCACTCCCCTTGGACAACGCAGTACTTCTCATCTCTTTGCTGAACTTACACGTGTGTGCTTTATGACAAAAAAAAAATCTATCTGCTTTATTTGCTTAATTCCTGAATTGTTAAAGTGAAAAATGCAAAGACAAAATGAGGAAATCAAAACTTAAAAAGGAGATTTTTCCAGTGTGCTGTCACCACATCACCTTGTTTGACACCTACCCTACTGCAGCAGTTAAAGGGACTAACTTCTAATTATGATAGTCAACGAATGGACAGTCATGTTGCTTATAGTTCGGTATTCATTCAAGAATGTTTATAAGAAGGTGAAGCTCCTGTAAGGATCTCTCAGTTTTTGCTCATGTTTGCACCCTTTCGGAAAAAAACGTATTTTCTTATCTTATCCATGACATGCCAAAGTAATGTTTTCTAACAAAAAGAGAATCATCTTGCTGACTTTACAGCTGACTGTATCACTTTAGGTAACATTAAATATGGCTTTAACATTCAATTAGTAAAGCCCCACTGGAATCCCTTTGGGAGTTAAACTTTACAGTGTTTGGATTTCACTGTTTATAAACCTGAAACTACTAAAAACCTTTACATCAGATTTATTGATGATAGTGTAGTTTCCTTTACGTCCTCAGTTAAAACACAAATAGTGTGCAGAACATGGAATTATCATTTCAATAGATCCCATTCAGTTAGGCTTTTTCCACTGACGCAAGTTGAGGAAATCAAACTTGCATTACTTTTCTCACTTCACTTTCAGACAGATTTGTTGAGGGCAGAATGACTGTCTTCTTATATCTCAGTTCTTAACTATGTTTTCTCATATTTTAGCCAATATATGTGTCTTAATTTACTGTGTACGTCAATATCTAATTTGGATTGACCAAAAGTGCTGGTTGGCACTTTGAAGTTGTTCCTAAATATCCCTTACAGATAAAGTTGTGTACTTTTTTTTAATGTGTTTTTCACGATGAGGAGACACCTCACCTCCTGAGGCAGAGTGATTACTGCTCCGTGCTGTGAGAGCGAAGAAATCCTCTGTGTGAAATAGTCACTGCAGGAAGCGAGCACGGATCGGTGGGCTCTGAAACTCTGACCCTCCACCACCACGGTCACATCACACAGCGTGTCCTGACGACGCTGCTCGTCCAGACGGCGCAGCACATGGGAGGAATGCACCGTCGACTCGAATGTAAACACAGACGAGCGCGGCGGGGCTGACATGGCCATCAGGGACATCTACGCGTAAACACAAACACACACTCCTACTTTCCTTGATACACTCGAAATAAAGTGTTATAAATCATCAGAAGAAACTTGCCTACCTTTGGTGAATTTATATATCCGTGTCTAGAGCGTTACAGAGAGTCCCAGCTGTTGAGCCCACATGGTTATTTCTAACCGGAATGCCGTCCAACAGGCTACGTTTCCCAGAAAGCCTTATCTCAACTCGGCTACAAACTAAAAACTGAGCTTGACTCAGTCATATGGCCTGTGTGTGAATATGTGAGAGGGAGGGAAAGATAATAGAGGGAGAAAGACTGAGTCTGTGAGTGTGTGTGTGCGTGGGTGTTTGTGAGTGTGTCTGTGTCGCAACAACTCTGGGTGTAACAGAGCGAGTGCTGACTCATGCACTCCTGCTGATAGAGAGTGAGCAAGCACTTTTTTCCCCAACCAGACCAATCCCACCCTTGGATCTGTCTGGCGAAGAAGCAGACTTGTTCCCAGAAAGCTTTTGGATTGATTTACTTTCGACTCAACATAAGAGATTCAGTTAAAGTTTGTGGTTAAAATGAAGTGTCAGCCCACAAAGTAGAGTTTGTCAAAGTTTGTCGAGGATTGAAAGCTTAAAAACAAAACAAACAAAAATAACTATGGAAGTAAATCTGTGCCATCTGATTTTGAATTTGACTTCGTAAAGCTGATTTCTGACATTTTTTTACGATGAAATAAATTCAGTGTAAAAAAAAATTGGCCTCAAAATCTACGTTTAGTAAATTTGACTCAAAAAAAAAACCTTTGTAAAAAAAATTATCCTATACTTCAGCCCGCCACCAGAGGGTACTGTTCTCGGGGTGGCTTCACCCATCGAGTTGGTCTCTTTTACAATTAATTTTTTTACACTGATTTTTTTTTTTATATTGAATTTTTTAACATTATTTTTTCAAGTTAAATTTTTAGTAAACAAATATTTTGAGACCATTTTTTTCCCACTGAATTTATTTCATCTTTGTGAAAAAAATATAAGTATCAGAAATAAAAATGCATGTAGAGTCGGTCTCTTTTACACTGAATTGTTTTACATTGATTTTTTTTTAAGATAATTTTTTTTACCCAATTTTTTTTAAGTCAAATTTTTACTTAACAAATATTTTGAGACCATTTTTTTTACACTGAATTGATTTCATCTTTGTGAAAAAAATAAGTATCAGAAAGAAAAATGTGTGTTGAGTCGGTCTCTTTCACACTTTTTTTACACTGAATTTATTTTTTAAGTTGAAAATTTTTACACAATTTTTTTAAGTCAAAATTTTACTCAACAAATTTTTTAAGACCATTTTTTAAAACTGAATTTATTTAATCTTTGTGAAAAAAATAAGTGTCAGAAATAAAAACGTGTGCTTGAAATCTGACGGTTTTGAAAATAAAGTCTGATTCTGGTGCAAAAAAATTCAGCTTTAGAAATCCAAATTCAAACTCAGATGGCACAGATTTACTTCCATACAACTTGCCTGTTAAGACAAGTGAGACATTTCTGTGTCATATCTTTATATTGTTCAAGACAGCAGCATATCTTTGTGTGAGTTCAGTCTCTGGCATGTGCTTTCGTGTCTGTGAGCTGTAGCACTGCAACTATTGAAGTTTCCCTTTTCCTTAATATTTGTGGCCTTGGAGGTAACTGTTATCATCTATAGAAAAACACACTTGGCCAACCCTTAAAAAACGGGATAGTAGACTTTTGGTTTGTTTTTTTCCAATGAATTGCTTCAACATAAAAGCATCCGGAAGAGAAGAGTCAGAGGAAGAGTTGTCATCACAATAAAGCACTGTTGCCACTGTCACATGGTTTCAAGAGAGGAAGAGGGAGCCTTTTAGAGTCAAACTGGCCACTGGTGACAGTTTCATAATTCCAGGATGAGCTAATCTCCTCTTTAGCATAAAAAAACAGTTCCTTTTTCCATGTAAGTAATTCAACATGAACGTAAGGCACAAGACTAACACAAGCAGCACCCACATGTAGAAATGAAACTAAGGAACTGATGCTGAAGTTAAAATAAAATGTGTTTTATTCACAGACAAGGACAACAAGCAACACTTTTTCTGTTGTATGCTTCCTCTTCTGCAGGTGGATGAGACATCAGAAAAAAATGTACAGCTCCTACAGTGTTGTGTCGTAGCAGAGACTTATTGTGAAACAGACAATCACTCTTCTTCTTTTACTGTTCCTCATAAATGGCTTCAATTCCCCGATCCCTGACACTGCCTCAAAACGCTCATTTCCCTTTTACCATAACAGGAACCTGACAGGCAATAAGGGGGAAAAGGAGGGATGACACTCCTTAAAAAAAACAACATTTGGACCACAACATACCACCTTTGGCTCTTTTAAAAGACCCCGGGTAAAATATCTGAGTCTCCACAGGACCTGAGACAGATACCAGATTATCTGGCCACGTTCACAGCAGCTGGCACTTTTCATTACACTGTGAGGTAATAAGCAAAGCAACCAGGAAGGTTATGAATGATCGCAAAATAAGTAAACAGCACCTAGAAAGGAGGCTTTGTGTCCTAGCTTGGTAGAATCACTAAGAGCTTCATACTGATGATGACAGCGAGTCTGTGGCTTTAAGAGATGACTCAGACATAAATAAACACAGCACCTCTCTGTGTAATTAGCTGATTCACTGACTGTTGTTTGGTAGATTTAGTCTTCATTTTTGGATTGGTGTCCTGGTCTGAATGTCCAGCTGGATGTTCCAGAGGTCTCAGGTTCTGCGGAGGTCAGAGGTCACGAGGAGTCCTGCGTCATTCGACTGGTCAAGCAGAGCGTTTCCAGCTGCTGAGTGCGCTCGTTGTGGACATTTACCAAGGTGCGGTTTTCCTCCGTTAGACGCCGAAACTCTTCCTCGAGACGGGCAATCTCAGCGGCAACTTTCTCATCCTCTACCAGCTCTGCTAGCAACTTTCGCCTGGCAAGACAAGTGAAAGAAATATTTTAGCGTCAACAGATGGTGGCCAGAAACACCCCGAACAGGTTTTTAGCTTAATATTGGTCACACACATTCATAAATGTGACAAATTATGAATCTCCAGCTGTCCAAGATTGAGGAGAAAAACCAAGGAAGCCAAATAACGATGGAAAAAAAACTTTCTCAGCAGATCTGTGCACACACAGAGCAAATTGGTTCTTAGGTTAAGGTCTAATCACTTTACTTCAATAGTACACTGAAACACAATAAGAGTTAAACCAGAGTGCTCTACAGCCTCTGTAGGCAGTATGTAATTGGCCTCTGGTTAAAGGAGTAGTACACTAAAAAGGCAAATACAGCCAGAGTGATAAAGAGAAATAACATGTAACATGCAGTAGTTGTGATGACGCTCGGCTCAAACAGCGTATCTCCCAGGTGAGCTACGGAATCTTCCTACACCCATAGGCTGTATCAAGTGTCAAACATAGAAAACATGAACCCCCTAATAACTTTAAAAAACAGAGCTACACAGAAAAAAGAGGACCTGAGCACAAACCAGTCTGACAGTAACTACATGTCAACATCACAAGCAGGGGAGAGAAATATATATTCTGTGTATTAAAATTTCTAAATTTTGTCCACAGCTCCAAAAGCTTTGCTGGCGGAGGCGGGATTTATGACCTGTACTGCAGCCCACCAACAGAGGGTGCTGTTCTCAGAGTGGCTTCACCCAGCGAGGAGGTAGATGCTGTCTGTTCTATATACAGTCAATGGATTACATAGGGAAGAAATACAGAGAAACAATAGGGTACGAAGCAAAAAGACTTTTTGAAAGTGAGAGAAAACAGGTGGGTCATTAAATTGTAATTTGGCAGTACTAGAGCCTGGAAACAGCAACAGAATAAGAGACCAGTTGCCCTTGGGGTTTTTGGTGTGACTGAGGGAGTGTCTTCTGAAAAATACCTATGGGCAGAGTATGAATGAGTAGATTGGTAATGTGTTGTGTAGCTATATTTTCATAGATTTACAATTACAATTTTAAAACAATTCTGGTAGCTCATCTAACAAAGAGCTAATGTGTCGCCTTCTTGCTAGTATGGCATCTGTGTCCCAAAGTATTAGTGAAAATCAGAGTAAATATAATCATCAACTTGAGAAAGGCAGACAGGCCATTTCTCTAGACCTTCATAACTATTGAATTGTCTTTTAACAGGCTGAGGTAAACAGCTAATGAAAATTGCTCATTAATTTATGCCAAACTTTTGACCTTTTGTTCAAATATGAAACACAGGTCCACGTGTATTTCTCAAGGTGATGACAGAGCTAGGATGGCCAAAGGTAGTTAATCAAATTTTATTTTGATTCTTGAAATAGTTCTTGAATTATCCAACATTTGATGGGGAAAAAATCAGCTGGTGGGAACTGCTGGGTAAAACCAGAAGATAAAATTATGTGTCATCAGCAAAGTAGCAGAACAAGGGGTTATATCTTTTTAGAAGAGACCCAAGGCAGACTACAGTATGTTTAACAGAAGAAATAAAGGGCCTAAAGTTGAGCCTTGAGGAACACCACATTTCATAATACTTATATCATAACTTATTCTTCCAACAATAGACTATGCGTACATTGTTTACCAGAATGCATCCACTACTGATCTATAGCCGCTCAATAAATTATGTAGATTTATTTTAGGTGGGTTATTTTACACAACATTGTATAATGTGTGGCACACTTGGGTGGCTTTCTTTAGAGAAAAGACAGCAATTTAATTGGTTCCAGTTTATTTTCAAATGCATTCATTTTGACTTCCCATTTTGTTTGAAACAATTTTTTGTTCCCTTTTCATCAAATTATACTTTAAGAAGTTCATAACAGTTCCTCTTTAGTGTTCCTTTTGTCTCCAAGGAAGTAGGTAAAAAAAGCCTTCAGATTTTTGGCTCCTTCTGATCATATTTGTATATTTAAAAATAACTTGTTTACACATTTAAAACCTGACTATCAATGTTTTCAATAATGTGATACACTATGTCACTACCCATTTTGTAATGTAAATATGTGTCGTTGATTTCTTTTCTTCTCTTGAGTTTCTTTGTGGAGATGAAGGCTGTTATTTGTTGTCCTTGTTACGTGATGTTATTGTTTTGTTAGTGTTGTACATGTGATATTTCTATTTGTCTTGTGGACTGTATTCGTGTTTTGTGTGGGACCCCCTCGAAAACCAGATGGGACATCTCAAGGGATTTATCCCAAAAACCCCTTCTGTTAAATTTCAAATAATAGAAGGTCACAGAGAGTCGTTCTGATGTAAAAACAATTGCACAATTATCACTACTTGAAGGCGGGCCCTGAAGACCAACTCAGTTCTCGGGACCTTTTTTTTTAGACAGTCATGGTGAATTGCGTCAAATGCTGCACTCAGATCAAGAAGTGCTAATATGATACAGCATTATGAGATGAGCTACGTCTGGATTAAATATAACTCTGAAGCTAAAAAAACAAACTGTTATGGGGTGATGATTTGACTCAGTCGGTAAAGGAGGGGCCACACATGGAGGCATAACTCCTCATCTTATTGGTAGTAACTGGGAACTGGAGTCATGGTAAAGGAAGCATGAATTGAATTGACCTGGCCAACAGTAATTTTACAGGGAAGAGAAAATTCAGACTCTGTGAGACAGTATAAGGCACTTCTGTCTATAATGTGTGCACCATGGCCTCATGCTTCAGAGTATGTGATTACAGGTGTTGTGTTACACTCAGGAAGTGCCCTGTCATACAACAGCAGCAGAACAAAGAAGAGGAGGAAAGAGGTCTAGAGTCTGTGGCTTAAGTGGCCGAATGTAAGAAGAATAAGGTTTTGATCAATTTTGTATATTTAAGGATGACATGATATCCTTAATTTAAACAATTACAAAACAAATGCAGATGACTAATTTTAAAAAGCTCATTTAAAAAACAACAACACTTCATGAACCCAAAAGTTGGGTGGGAATTGTGGTTTGAGTATTATGTTTTTTTTTATTTTTGATCATACACATGAGCAGTCCCACATGAATGTGTTTTTGACACAAGAGTAAACACCAAACATCACATGTCTGCCTGCATGTGACATTGTGTGTCACATCAGAGTCTGAAAAAGGGGAAAGATTTCCTTTCGTCTGAGAGAATTCATTGAGAAACTGGAAGACTAATTCTGATGTTAACTTCAACTTTTTTTTCTTGATTTAATAGATAGTCTGCAACATTTCTACACACAAAGGCAAACTTTTTATAAAAAATGTATGTGCTGCCCCTTTGAAAGATATACCAACTCAATTACAAAACCCAGTGCACCAAAATAAGCTTCAAACTTTTAACATGAAAAATAACGTCTTTCTCACAATGGGGCCGTCTTTGTCAAATTCAGACCTAGTTTTGAAGTCTGAGTCAGTCTTTCTGCAGAAGAGAATCACTGTTTCAGCTGATGATGAATGTTAAAAAACTGAATTCATTGGTATTATATCCTGATGAAGTGACAAACCAGACAGTCATTCTTAGTATACATTAATGCTAGTTTGTGCTTGTTTGAAACTGACCAAAGGAAGAGTGAGTGACTTTGGAAAACCCCCTGCATAATGTGTAAAAGTGTTGTTCCTGTTGTCATTGTTTCAACAATACAATGAATGTCTGAAAGTCCTCTGTCTTCCTCTAATATTCCCCAGATGTGAGGTGACATAACATTTATTGTCATGTGCAGCTCTGGCTTTATTGAATAACCAGTGTTAGAAAATATGAAACCATTCACCCATTGGTTGCACCCCTTCATTTCTGCCTATAGTTGTTTGCATTATGCTGTAATTCAGACTATGTGTGTAAACTTGACGGTAGATGTCGACATAAGCCACCGCATGAAAAAGAGAAACAAGAGTTCCTTCCAGCTTGACTCATCCTGTTCTTATATAAACTCAAGACTATACTCATCCCAGCAGTACCTACTGTTTTCTATTTAAGAACTGCCTGTGTGTGTCTGTGTGTTTGTGTGTGTGTACATATCTGTGAGCGGGAATCTTTGTGTGTCTGCGTAGATGTGGTGGTGATGGAGGGTAAGAGCAAGGGCCTTGAAAATCCTTCTGCTAAGACTACCCACAGCTGCAAAGGGCACAGGGGACAGTGGGCACTGTTTGTGTGTGTATGAATTACACTCACCAAGAGTACATACAGTAATTCAAGCGTACAGCGAGGCTCGTCCAAACAACAATGATCATAGCGCTGATGAGAGTCATCCATGCTTTTACGAAAGTCCTCAGAGACTAGATTTAGTTTGCTCTTATGTCCTGAACGGTTACACTTGTTGGGAAATAAGTGCAAAATCTGAACTATGGACAAAATTCGACAAACTATTGGAAGTTAAAAAGCCGCCATAAGTGTGGTATCATCTCAGTGAAGCATCTGCATGTTCTTTGGCGTTCTCAGTTGCTCTATCAGTCATGAAAAACTTTATTTGTATTCCCGTTAAACAACACTAGCTTTGACTTCATGAAGAGTACTACATTTATACGAGTGGAAACATCCATCCACAGGTTGCACACACAGGGAACTAAGATGATCTTTCGAAGTAGATCAAGAAGATAACTGTGTACACGTCTGAGCAACCTGTTTGTTGTACGTCATCAGGCGATGCTTTTTAACTCTTTCTACAAGCCAGCAAGCTAATCAAGAAGCTGCATGAAATCATTATGGTCGACTCCAGTGAATGAAAACAGTGTGTGAAGATGTGTCGAGTTTATTTCTTCACAATGTAGAAGCACGCTGTCGTCGTAAATAATGTAAAATATAAAAACTTTATGCAATGCTAAGATCCTCTGGTTAAGGTACCTTCATCAGCAGCTATCAAGTGTTTTTACTCCGACTATCTATGCTGCTGTCACAGGCACCGAGCAGTAGCAGACACTGAGTTGCAACCACAATAATGGCAAATATGAAAGAACGTGATATACACAAACTGTTTTACAGAGGGACACTCTGTCTCAAGATCTCCTATTTTGCTTTGCTCTTAAGAAAAAAGCATTGCAGAGACTCACTTGCGGTCCTCAAGCACAGCGATGTCGTGTTTGACCTGGTGGAACTCCCTGGCCATCCTACAGTGCTCCTTGTACACCTGAACACTCTCTCTCAGAGACCTACAGGGGGGCACAGGCTGTAAAAGCACACAAACAAACAAACAAACACTATTTGTTAAAGATTGATACAACATCACACACGTAGCAATATATGAAGCTTGATCTGTTATTCTGAAGAGCACTTCTGAAATTTGTCAACTTATTTTTTCCCTCGGTACTGAAAAATTGCTGTGGAAGTCATCCATTATGACTTGGTTACCCTTTAATCTTTCTGCAGTCACAATGTGATTTACTTCAGGTGAAATATGTGAATTCTGTGATGAAGAAAGCATGAGACCTCATTTGACCCATCTCAAGTGAACTTGAAATGATATTTTTTAGCACAGAGCTCAGCCTTGCAGTGACGGAGAAATCAAGTATTTGTTATGTCCCCGCTTCCAGATCAGTTAGGATGATTTTTATAAATTACAAATAAAGACCAAAACAACAAAACAGAAGCCTTGCCGCCTCTGTTAGCCTGCGCTTCAGTGGGTGGATGCGATCATTCAATGGCATGCTACTACTGTTCTCATTTGACACTCTAAACCAACATGCACTTTTTCTGACCCTGGCCTTGGCACTCGTTGAAGGATAATTCAATGACAACACTAAAAGCAGAGTGAGCTCACACAGTGAAAACATTGATTTAAAAGGTTGATAACCCAAACCACAGCTCGCTGTAATGCAGAAATTCAGGGTCAAAAATAGAGAAGACCTTTGGAGATAAATTTAACCGCTTTTAAAATATCAGTCTGTGAGATGAAACATTGAAAAGAGAAAATGTTCTTTAATTCCCCCAAATATACTACTGATAATTCAAGTATTCAAAGCCTGATCTAGGTTGCGAAACAAAAACAGGCACGAAATGCAAGATGCATTTTGGATGCCTCGTCTTTTTGGCTCTGCCTGTCTTCACTTGTACGACTCTGACGACAATACAACGTGTGTGTTCTGTGTAATGTGATGCTTCTGCATGCACGGCATACCTGTAATCGCTGCTCAAGATCTGGGAAAGTCTGAGGGACATCCTCCGCATCTTTTACATCTGTTAAAACAGAACGCATAATTCAGTCACAGATGATTATTGTAGAAACATATATTTGATATGTCAACATTAAATGTTGAGCTCATATATAATACAAGCAGCTACACACTGATGAGGAGTACAGCCTTTAACATAGAATGCAGTGTTATGTATTTGGGTGGATGTAGAAACAATTTTTCTATTTTGGTGCTTCACATGGCCACAAACTGAACTCATCTTAATGATAATTGTTGTCTATTTAAATTGTTTGTGTGTTAACATTCAGCTCCTACGCTTTGGTAAAAATAGAATTTTACCAAAATTTTAAAAAAAGTCCTACATTATACTGTATTTTAGACTTTTCATTTTAATGAAAGTAAATTTGAAATATTAGCAAAAACAAGATGGAGGGTTAGGTATTTACATTAACCACAAACATCCATCTTCTTCTTTTTAGAACATTAAAGCAAATATGTGTTTCTCTTGCCACATATATGTATTCCATTCAAGTTATTATCAGGGGCAGATCCAGAGGACTGATCAGGGGGTAGTCTGGGGCTCTTCTTTGATTGGCCACCCGAAGTGCCACCCCAAAATTTATCCTCTTACGGGGTGGGGCTTAAGATGAAAGGACTAAACTGTTTACATTACATCAGACTGTTGGTCATTTCCTTTGCTTTCTATGTGCCTTCCACTCTGTTGTTCTAGTGTTTGGAGTAGAAAAAATGTACACAGTAAACTAACATCTTTTAGATATGTTGATGATATAAGGTAAAGTAGATTGAATTTTTGAAGATAGAAAAAGTAAAATTGATGTATTAATTTGTGTGGACACCCATTCTTCATCTCACAACTACACAGTCTGGCCCATCATTAAGGCCGTTTCCTAAAAATATTTGAATCTACTCCTGAATATAATACTTCCCTCTCACATGTCCAGTGGTGGATGGCTCTACAGCACTTACAGAAAAGTACTAATTTTTTTTCACTTTCACATATTTACACAAAGTGGAGTAGGAGTATACTGACATCTAGTGGTAAGAAGGCAGACTGCAGCTAGCTCATAAACCTGCCCCTGACCATTTCACCTCTAAAGGGATGAGGAAAGCTTACAGAAGCTGCTAAACTCCTAAACCAATCAATCAACTGGAATTTATTTTGACTACATTTTCTATATGATGAAATGTCGCACAGAGTACATTGCAGGAACAGAAACTAATTTAAAATAATAAAATAACAAAGGAGTTAAAAAATATGAACTGAGGGACTGTGGACATGTCATCATGATGTATGATTACAAATGTTAAAATTCAAGATAGCAAAGAACAAAAATGAAAGAAAAGGTATTAAATAGAGTAATAAAAAACTAAAAACTTACCAAAATAAATAAACCATACAATAAAAGTAGAAAGGACCTGTGTTCGGCTTGTTTACCCTGGGCTATTGTAGTAACATTTGGAATTTTATTGCATTTCTGCAAACAGAAGCCCTAAATCCTACATGAGCCTTTAAAATTTTAGTATCAAGATAGAACCGACTGAGACGTTAAGTGGGATTGATCACTTTGTCAAATTTGGCTTTAATTTGTCCTATATTTCAGAGATTGTTTTCATCGGTGCATGCAGGGACCGTCTTAAAAATGTCTGAGTCATTGCCAAGAGCTGGCATTTGTTATTGACGACACAAGAAAGTGCAGCAGTCATGGGTAATGGTTTTTAAAAAAGAGGGAGACGACAAACAATTCATCCTTTTTGCCTGAAACCATTGAAGGACAGAGTGAGTTCTAAATGATGTTTTTGATAAAAACACTTTTTATTTATATTGCTTGCTGTGTGTCCTTCATCGTCAGCCAAGTGACTTGTCCCAGGGGCAGTTGCTTTGATATCTTTCTTCGCCTCATAAAAAGGCTCAAAATGAAACACTATAGGGGCCTCTAATATGACACCACAACATGGCAACACAGTGCTAAACTTATGAATGAGCCATGTCCTCTTACTGTCCAGAAGTAATGAGCTGTCGGACTGAAAGACTCACAGAACACAGAGGGACAACTATGTGTGCAGACAGACAAACACAGACAGACCAGGTGTATGAGCAGACTGCGATTCAGGCAGACAGACAAAAACAGACAGGTTGTCTGCACCAGCCTCTGCCTCGCCAGTAATGTCCCCCTGGAGTTGTGGAACACATGTGGAGAATCCTGGGATGATGCAACCGTCTAAAAGCAGCAGTATTAGCCTGCAGCCATGGGGCCAATTATGATGTGGAATAAATACAGTTCTCATGCTCAGGATTGACACAGCATGGGGTTATAACTATGCGTGGCATGAAGTCATGAAGGGCCTAGAGGATGATCCCCCGGACGGAGCGCAGGTCTTAGTCCCCCTGCTGAGAAACATGAGTTCAAAGAGACGATAACATGGTCGTCAGGGGAATATCTGATTTTGGAGGTGAGGGTTAGAGTGTGTACAAGCAGCTCTGGAGCTTCAAGTACATCTAAAGAAAGTCGGGTTATACTGCTGCCAAGTAAAGGAGACGTCTACGGTCACTCTGGTCCTCAGGAATTATCTTGAAGTGCAGCAGCTATCGAAAGCAAAATGGATGGAATCAACCTGACCCTGGTTTGGGTTAGTAATGCCAAATAGGCCACTAGAAACAAACATTTATGGATTCAGTAAAAGGTGAGCTGCTGTGTGCAAACAATGAGCAGACTGTCACGGTTTGAATCTGAGTGGGATTTGAGTGTGTGGTTACCACTGCAGCCTTTCATCTCACTTCCTAAGAGAAAGACAAGGGGGGATCAGAGATGGGTGGAGCAGGACTGGAAGTGTTAACTGCTTATAAATATAGGCCAGTGTTCTAAAAGTTGAACAGTGAATCAGGCAGCAGGACACTGTTAGTATTAGAGGGGAAACCTGACTCTGCCATTGCATGGCTGCAGCTGCTGTCCCAGTGCCGGGCCCCACTGCAGTAAAACATCCTGAGTGACAGCACCTCAAACTGTAGGTAGACCTACAGGTACATGTGTGTAAGGCAGTGACAAAGAGAAGTGTACACCTTCAACTTTAGACTAAATGTATCCAGTGATACTAGTAGATTCAAAGCCACAAAAAAATGTGCTATTTGCAGTCGGAGCACATGCATGTCTGGTTGTTTTTTAATATGCTCTCCTACAGAAATAGAGAGAGCACCTGTCTCAGCTACAGCGCAGAAGAATGAACTCTGTTAAAGTGATAGGGTGTGAGGGGGGATGCAGCTCAGGGCGGACTGTGCCTGGTCTGTTTTGGTGGGAAGAATGTTGTGCATGGGTTCCACACATATTGGAAATGTAGTGAGAGTAGAGCCAAAAGCTCGGGTGCCAAATGATCAATTGAGTAATACATGCGGCTTAACTGAAAATAAGTAGCAGGATCTGTTTGGGATAGAAGAGGAAAGCAGGTGTATCGAGGTACAGCTAGTGTGTAGGTGTGTGTATTTACCTGATGTGTCATCAAGGCTGAAGGCAATTCTAACTTCAGATTTATCAGGAGACACTCGTCTGGTTGAGGTGATCATTTATCCCTTCACGCGGCCACGCACACAACACAGAGCTGTTAGCACATCAGAGAGGTCTCATCAAAGATGTGAAAGCAACATCACTTTTAGTCATCAATTACTAATCTTTTAAGATTTAGCATTAAAAATCTCAACACTGTAACTGTGGTGACTTTTCCCCAATTCACTCTGTAGGTTTGAACCTGCTGCATGAACAAAACACAATAACTGAAGGCTTCCACCTGTTTACATGCGTACTATTGATTATAGTTAAACCCATATTTTCAATCTGCCATTTAAAAGCATGAGAAAACTTCATTAAACCAGGGTACATTGTATGATTGTGACTAGAAAATAAACTTGGCAGGTGCATTGTTCACTTGAAACGATCCTTAAATAAAGCTGGCTGTAAAAGCTCACCTAGAAAAGTATGAAGCCATCATAACACACACACACAGCAGCCGGTTTCATCATGCATTTAGAGTGGTGTTGGGATTAAATAATTAGGGAGCTCTGACAGACTGACTCTGAGGTCTGGGTTTTGCATGCCCCCCTCCAGTGAATGTACAGGCTTTTTATATCAGGGCATTTCGCCTGCTTTAACCCTGTTAAACCCTCTGCCTCACACAACATGCCTATATGACCTTCTGCACCAGCAAATAAGCACTTTTTATTTATGTCATCCTGGGTTATCGGAAAAGATCTGAAAGGTCAAACAATAACTAAAGCATGTTTCTTTAACATTAGAGTTGTAGTGCTTGGAGAGTATAGAGTAGACAGAGTATCTCTACACTATGATTGAGACGTATATTTTACACACATCATAACTTCAGCATGTTATGAGTAGCTGATAGGGTCCAACAGGTTATTTTACCTGAAGCAGCACCAAGTCTACAGCATGGATGGTTGTTGTTGTTCCTCCTCGGACCACTTTTCAGCTCTCTACATAAAGACAGGTCTCCTTTTAGCCGCTGCTCCTCTCTAAATTCAGCGAAACTCTGACCTCCGCTGCTTCCTTGAGACTCCCACTTGTTTTATTTTCTCGTAGTCAAAGTCAAAGCGTCCAGCACACTGTTGTCACTCACGGGTTGTCTATAAGTTCAGCTCAGCGTGGGTCTCAAACATGTTATCCACAGACGGCAGCCACGCGGCGAAGAGCAACACAACAGGGCGCAGGCAGAGCAGGAATGTCGTCCGCTGTCCCCCCGTGGCGGCCCAGCTCCAATTAAATGTCTCAGATGACATGACAGTAGCCCGCAAAAATGCTCATTGCTCCGGCTCTGCTTTGAGTGACACGGTCAGACCGCTGGGACGCTGCTTGGCTTTGCAATCGCTGTGCAATGAGGCAGTTGTCCAAAATGAACTTCTCAGGCTATAAAAGCAACTGAGGAAGAAAAAAATAGAGCATGCAGGTTTGTGTTTCTTGTGAATGCCTATGCGTGTCTCTGTGTGTTAGGCTTTGCAGCAAAATAAATCTGAGGTCACTTTAAAATCATGCTGAATCATTTTTTTTAAAGGGATATTCTGTAAAATTAATTAAGGGTCAAACACACCTCGTGAGATGAATGTTGCAGACTGCTTGCTTCTCTAGTTATACCAACTTTAGTAATGACCGCACGATAGCAATACACAGCGGTCTGAGAAGCCTTCAACAAATCTCGTAAAGGTTGAATTGATTAGTCTTTTGCCCCTATACCCAGGTCGGACAACCGATTTGCACATCAGGGCCGCTGTGGGCCTCCACCAGAGTTTCCTCTGGCTTCGCCCTGCCCAGGCATAGTTCACCATCTTCACGGTCCTTTGGCTTTTTGGTTGAGCGCGTGGCTCTCTGTATGTATTGCTATATGCGGTCGTTACTAAAGTTGGTAAAACTAGAGAAGCAAGCGGTCTGCAACATTCATCTGTCAACGGGGAGTCTAAACTCGGTGTTTTGTGTGTTTGACCCTAATTTAATTTTACGCCGGAATATCCCTTCAACTTTCATTCTTGAGGAATAATAAGGGCCTTAAACCAACAGAAACCTTTCCTTAGCTTAACTAGAGGCCCACAGATGAAAATTCTATGATATGCAGAACATTTGGTATTATGGATATGAGAACAACGAGAAAACTCAAAGAAAGTCCGAATTGAAAGAAAATGCAACAACTCTAACGTGTAAATGAGATTTTTCGCAACGTACGTAAGTAATTGTGAGGTGAGTTTAGCTGTCGCAATACTTGCCAACTGCGTGAAAATGTGAGTTCCCCAAACAGGCTGCAGAATTGTTTTACGACTTATTTTGTATAGCTAGCCACTTAATTTTGTTTTTTGGTGGGAAAAAAAAGTGAATTCAAACTCGTGAAATTCTTTATCATCAGGGAATTGATAAACCAGATAACCTTGGAAGTGCCCGAAAGTTCGCATTATCTTAAATCTCTAATGTGTAAATAAGATATTTCGTAATGTACGTAAGCAACCGTGGGATAAGTTTAGCTATCGCAATATTTGCAAGTTGTGTTAACATGTGAGTTCCCCAAACACACAAGCTGCAGAGTTGCTTTTCGCGTTCTTATGTATAACTAGCCACTTAATTTTGTTTTTGTTGAAAAAAAAAGTGAATTTAAACTCGTGAAATTCTCTATCATTACGAGATTAATGAACCAGATAACCTATGAAGTGTCCAAAAGTGTGCATTATCGTAATCTAAAAAAACATCTATTTTTCTTTTATTTCACTTTAATGCTGTAAAATGACATACAATTTACTGTTAACCCTAGGTATCCTGCATGACATATCACGTAGTCTCAAATTATAGGCTATCCTCTGGGTTTAGCCAACAGTCTGCATTAGAACTTTCTTTATTAAGTGAATAATGATCAGAAACCGTAATAGGTCTAATCAATATGGTCACAAGCCTTTGAGAGAGGGTCTGTAAGAAATATATCAACCGAACTGTCACCTGTGTTTTTCTCTAAGAAGTTTTGAAACTCTCCTAATGTTTTGATTTGTGGTTATACTTTGAAGCTGTAACCATGAAGTCACTTCACCCAAACACCAGCAGATGAGAGCATTGCCCCTGAAATATTTACTGTCAGGCTCTCAGGCGCTCGGAGAAAGAGACAGACACTCACAGAGACAAACAGAGAGAGATAAATGATGCTCTGCACCTCCAGCAGTTGTCCTCCTCCTCGTTTGTCTTCATTGACAGGCTGTTGACACAGACCTGCCTTATCAGCCCCAGAGACTGCTTGTCTCATTGTGATGGATGGGACGCACTCAAATGTCTGCCACTCTTTTTTGTTGAAATCAGAGTTGAGGTTTGATTCTTCTGTACTCATATGTACAGCTGGGAGCCTGGTTTAGATGGAGAGGCAGATTTGACAGGTTTGAAGGATCTAAATGTGAGGTTTAAGTGTGGTTGAGAGGAAGACAATCTCCATGAAGCGCTTTGGGATAAGGCATTTGTTATTTTTTTCAGAGTGGTTGAAATATTTTTATCTGTCTTTTTCCTTGAGATGTCTCTTTGAGCTGCCTTGCTATCTTGCTTTCTCCAGACATTTTATCTCAATCTCTTTCTCTTCATCTGTCCAAGAGGTATAGAAGAACGGATTATAATCTCTAACCTTCTTACTGACGGCACACGCAGACAGATGCCACCATCCCTTTATCTCTCCCCATTTCTCTCTCTCACCTTTCCACCACAAACACCAAGGTTGCCCTCCCTTTGCCTCAGGATCATTGAGACAAATAGTTTCTGTGGGTGAAGCAAACAGGGACATAGAGGTGAGGACAAAAACAATGTCCAAAAGAAGGGCATAGTTCAGGAGAGGTCATTTAAGCGGAGGGGGGTCCTACTCAACCGTGCAGAATGCCAAGGTCAGAGTTGTAATCCATGGCCTCATTCATGACGGATTAGGTAATGATAAAAAAGAAATACTGACTTTGGTTTTGATTAAGAATTATGGGGTTAGGAGATTAGAGGCAAGCAAACACTATTGCATTGGACTGAGCCCAATCCCAGAATTAATCTCAATACCAAAAAAAAAAGAGAAAACTCATTACATGAAGAGATTAAGAAAAGCTTGGTCCAATTCTCTCAGGATGCACACAAGCCAGTGCACACCATGCACCACCGGGAGAAATGTCACAACAAAACCTCCGACTTGTGCGATTTATTAAGAGTTTATATCAGTTTATCAAGCTTTGAAATGTTCTGTTTGAAATGTCATCGCACGAGCTGGCGAAACAGGAGACGCAGGACTCAGCGGTGTAAATCTTGACATCTTAGATTACAAACGATAAAAAGATTAAATGCTTCCTTTGCTTCATTGACAGTTTGTTTTCTTTTTCTTCAGTTTGTTTTCAAGCATTAGTTGTTCAATCGGGAATACTCTATCTGTTTGCATTTGTTCTGTGTTGACTGCAATGTGTAATCTGGAATATCTGAAAAATGACAGGAATAGACTCTGATCGGTCCACAGCTTGCGGTAAGACTTACAGAGATGAGTAAGAATGGGGGTGTAGGTGTGGATGAAAAGAAGATGATCAAAGGTTAGGGCAAAAGGTGACAAAGACAGAGCATTAGCGAACAGTTAATCCACAAAACAGAGGATAGTTGCTATCATAAGGATATGAGGAATCTCCTAGTGTAGCTCAAAGAGAGGAAGATTTGTCCGTGCAAATGTGAATAAATGTAAATGAATTGGATCTCTCTGTATTCATGCTGCATAAAAGGTAACAGTGCTGCAGCTGCTCAGCATATTCCGCATGCACTACTGTCAGCCTGAAGACCTTCCTACTTAAATGTAATGTTTGTTTGGGCAGTAATTACAAGAAAATTGAATTTCTGTGCAAGAAAAACAAATTAATTTTCTATTAAAGTGACCGTCTGTATTCAGCTGCGTTTGTATATATCAAAGAAATGTAAATAGTGCAGAAGAATCCTGCTGTCATTGCAAATGTCCTCTGTGGTTGTATTTCCTCTGGCATAAGCACAGGCACCTGACATGTAAAGTAATGTTACTGGTTGCTAGAAAGAGTCAGCTTGGATTTTTTTATTTTGTCTTTGTTTTAAATAAAAAATTAGCTTTAAAATTTTGGCGTGAACAAGTAAAATAAAGCCAAAATGTACAGCCAAAAACTTCAGCAGAGCAAGGCTGTAAAGTTACACTGGATCCTGGCACTTGGCATCCACAACAAGGACTCAAATATCGGTCCAAAAAGAGGAAACACTAAATAATGCATGGCTTATATTTACATTAATCACCGATTAAACAACCTTGTGAAATGGGGCCAAGATACCCTTCTTTGACAAGACTATTGACCTGTGTGCCTCCTTTAATAAAACAAAACATTTTATGATAGACATTTTGTTGGGCTGACTTCCTAACCCCAAATAAAGGTTTTATGTTAATTTTATGGTTCTGGCTCTGGATCATAATCCCACACCCCCCAGTAAATTTCAGTGTGCCTTGAATCTACTGGTGGGTAAGGTTTATAAAATGTTCGGCAACCTCGTAGAAGACTTTTGGAGAATCTTTACTCTTTTATAAATGCACACATCCACTGAGATCCACTGTCACAACTGGGAGACAAGCGCTCCCCTCAGGCTTTCAAATTTGACAATTGCAAACAGAAAAGGGTTTTACTCCTCAGGGGAAAAGAAATTGTGCTTTGTTTTTGACCTCCTGAGAATTTCCTGCGCACAAAAAACAGTTTCTTATTTTACCCTTTCCTCTGCTCCGTATCGTTTTCTTTCTCTGGTGCACAGACAGCTATATTTCCTCCGATCACAAACGTTGTGAGTCTGTGTGTGTGTCTGTGATGTCGGGGCTTGAAGGGTATAAAACAGCAGGTGTGCTCCTGACTTTCCTCAGAGGTCCTTATCTCTTTTCTCTGGCCAGGGTTGGCTCAGCAATCCACTCTGAAGCTACTTTGCCACCTGCCAGTGGGCACACACAGAAACGTGCCCAACAACCATGAACAACAACAAGTCAGACAGTGGTTTAAAAAATGCAAAAATCTTTTACTCTGAAAATCAGTGAAGTTTTCGCACACCTACACAGCCAGTGTATCTATAAAGTGTGCAGATTCAACTCTGCATACTGCTCAGGACAGTGCATTGTGAGGGAACATTAATGATATAAGAGAGCTTTCATTCAGTAGTCATCATCTGTCTGAACATTAGATATGTTGATACAAGGCGAAGACTTTGTAAACTACATCTACAGTATAATGCGTGATCTTTTATCCATACACATACAGTATAAAGACAGGGATGAGAGGAGTAAAACTGTGTCATATCGTCCAGTTTTCCCACAAAAAAAAAAAATAAAATCTGAGGAGTGGAAAGCAACCAAACATCAGTCTCTGGTCTACGCTCCAACAGTTTATAGATCCAAGGCTCACGTGCTGGAGTCTCGTCTCCCTCCCTCCCGCTTTGAGGGGCGTTTGGGTTGACAGAAGATACAAGCTGACTTCGCTACACTGTGGGGTCGAGACCTTCGCCGGACACCTTTGTAACACTGCAGAGAGATGCCCAACTCCTCCATCATGGCACTAAAGGACACACACTGCCAAAAGAGAAAACAATAAAAGCCTGGTTTAAGATCTCAATCAAGTTCATTTCATTTAATGTGATTATCAGCTTTATAAACTCTTGCCGGAGTGAACAGATTGCATGAATGTGCCATTATATAAAAAGTGCTACTTATTGCATCCAGCATAAGTTTGGTTAAGAGCTACGGTAATGACAGTTAATCCATCCAGATTGCAAGTTAGCTCAAAAGTCAGACCAGACAAATCCCAAGACTGACAAAACACACATAAATTACATAAAAGAGTTGTAAAAGTCTGCTGTCTCATTACGAAAAATCCAATTACTCATTAAAAAAAATTAACAGCCTCTGCTGTGCCACATGCTAATGCAGGAGGTTGCAAATTTATACTTTAATTATCTGTAATGATCATAGAGAGGGCCAGCTAAAATTTATCTCACTAAAAACACCACTCCACATTCTTTTCATCGATCTTCAATCATATTTGTTCATCTTTCATTTTTTTTTCTTCTGAGGAGGTTGCAAATAATTGTATTTATTGAATTACCATTCATGACACAGAGTCATCACCCTTTATCTGCTGGTTTTAGCACCCAAGGACCTTGGAAGGTCTCCTTCTTTCATCCTCAGGCTTCGCCCAAGGCTTCTCGATTGAATTCGGCTTCCTGCAGGGTTTCCCACGAATGCTAGTAAAGCTGAGAATCAGTGAGCAAACCTACCTCATACTGAACCGGGGTCTTTAAGCTTGAGATAAAGGAGCAAACTGAGGACATAATGCATGTATTTTACAAATTTGGTACAACACTGAAACTTCTGACAATACAAATTAAGTAAAGAATCAATTCCTGATTGTTTTCTTCAATATTTAACTATTGGTAGTTTTCTAAAGAATGCAGTTTCAGATTTATCTTTGGACAAATAAATGCAAAGAATTAAAGACATCCCATTTAAAAACACTGTTGACTTCAACTTAATGAAGTTAAGCATCTAATTTGTTTAATACCCATGTACTGGTTTATGAATAGTAGCATCAATGACTCCTTTTTGCAAAATCAATTCTTAATGTTTCTTACATACTTTTTAGAGAGTTTGATTTTGCAGCTACAGCTAACAAGGTCATTCAAGGGGAGCAGTAAGAGTCTGTAACCTCATCCATCATGGCTGCAGTTCTCATCCTGCACTCACCAGAGGGTCTGCAAGAAATCCCAACTTTACTTCAACCCTGGATCTGTTGTCAGGGGACGTCTGAGCCTAACACGTTATGTTGTTCCATCAACGTTATCCAAATTTCAGCGAACCAAACCAGTCTGCTAACGAGCTTAATGAGGAGGAAAATATTCAAATAACTACGCCTGTCTTTTGATTTCCCACAAGGCATTCAAAGTCTGCTTCTAAAGTGTACTCCGGCGCCTTCTGAGACAGACTTATCGAATAAAGCAAAACTTGTGGGCTGGTACTGGAGGGCTGCGAGCAAGAAAACAGCAGGGCAGCACTGTGGAGCTCTCTGCTGAACTGAAATTCCACATTTGTATTCATGATCCTGAATATCAATATTTCTTGGCTGAAAATATTGCAAACAGGTGACTCAGATTACATTAAATAATTTACAAGTTTTAAGAAAATTTTAAGGTTGTCAATAACTAGAATGGTTTTCTGCGGGTATAAGGAGGTGAAGCTTCAGTGCCTGCCTATAGAAAAAAGGCCCTATTCAAAAGATCTTAAAAGCATTGGGTAAAATGCTGGCACAAAAGATTAGGAAATGTTTGATCCCTATTCGCTATTTAAAGGATGTATAGTCTGGGCTCAAAGTGAGGGAGTGGAGAGCTTGTACAGACTCCCTTATGCTTTGGTGGGCAAAGCATGAATAAAATCAATCAGTGTGTTTGCTCTCATCCCCTTCAGGATTCAGGTACATCTGTAGATGGGAATATTACACAACAGATTTGAGCCTTTTTACATTGATAGACTGGACCCAGGCCAGCATATTTAACCCTCCTCCCTCTACTGTGCCCCTAAAACATGCCATGTCACTGTTCTAACTACTTAATTGTATGAACTGACTGGCCAGATTCCTGTCATCTGTTTTGCACCTGACCACAAAACCCACAGGCTGGCACAAGCTCACTAAGCGTGGGTACTGGGTGCAAAAATGACGACTGATTTGTGTTGAAATGAACAATGACGCTTGTGCTGCATGCAGAAACTCTTATTGTTTTAAGTCTGGCACTTCCTGTGACATTATAGTCTGTGTATCCTGCTGCTTAAAATATTATTAATAAGAAAAAGACATTTTGGAGGAAACAGTGTGAGGCAGGGGTGATAGGAGCTGGTACAAGAGGAGTATTTTCATCATCAGCAGAGACATGAATACCCAATTACAAACCTATTATCTAGAGTATGTTAATGTTGTAAATGTGCTGCCATGACTAGTCTGTGTCATCTCCCAGTAGCCTGCCGCTCTCCAGATCAGTGGATAAGGAGGTGCCAGATGAAGAAGTGGAGCCCCTTCGCTGGAACTGACGGGACTGCACCCCATAAAAGAAACAAAAAGCCTGACAGGAGCATGCAAAGAAAGAATAGGGAAGAGGACAAATGACAAAAAAGGGATGGAAACACATATTTGAAGAGGTTAAAACTAAAAGAAAAACAAATTAACATACAAAAGCAAGAGCAAAGAAATTGATCACGTGCACTGGATTGTTTTTCACAGAATAGAGAGCAAGAGTTCAAGCTTGTTTCTACTCTAATGAACCATCAGTGACACCTTACACCAAAATGAGAAAAAAATAAGGTTAAAAAATAAAAGTGAGTAAGCTGTCTAGTTGTCTGTCCCCTTGAGCTGCTTACTAACCCCATCTTTGCTATGATTAAAACCAGCCCTTGTAGTCCGACACTGTCAGGAACAGATTCGTGCCATAAAAATTCATCTAATCTTGTTACAATTTGAGACAGCAAGCATAAACATTACCAACAATGTTTTATTGAATTAATTTCATTACATCAAATAACATCTGAAAAGCACTTTAATTAAAAAATTAATTAGCAAAAAACAAAGTTATGGATGATGGAATAAATTAGCATATATTTTCTGATTTGGGGTTTTAAACAGTCTCTCATAGATGAAGATAAATTCTACATTTTATGCTGGATCAAAAAATAGATTTCATTTCCCTCTGAAGGAGATCAGCAGCTTTACATCTTTACTCACCTCTTCTATGTCTGCGTTTCTGCGGGCCTTGTAGATGAACTCCCCGATGGCCACAAACACAGAAAGAACCAGACCAGCAGCCAGGACAATGAAGATACCGCCAATGTTCTCCACACCCAGAGCATTAGCCTCCTTGTTGTCTTCCTCTGGACAGCCGTTGCCTCTCCACCACTTCTCCTTCATCATGTGCAGCTTCCCCTCCTCCTGTAGCTGGAGGATGGCTATGGTCACTTTATCCCTGTATGGAGAACCTGGCAGGACAGAATGCAAAATAAGAGACATTAGAACAATTACATGCTCCTGCTTGTTCAACATTTTTTCACACAAATAATTACAAATTCCATGGCCATAAAATAAAGGACATCAGCCATGCTGGAGAAACTCCCACTATGTCCTCTTTTTAACAAACATGATTTTTTAACTCAGAAATTTCAAGTGTTTACTTTAAGAACAGAGTTGACATGGGTGACAAAATGCATGACTGTACATGCATTTGAGAATATCTCAACTGCGAATTCTAATTTCATCTCATCTAAATTTACATTTTTATTTCCCATTGCTACTCAGAATGCAAGCATGACTGCATATTTGTACACTTGCTGTCTTCTCCTTGATAAATAGTAAGAATTCTTAAAGTTAGCTACAATATAATGCAGTGCAATACAATATAATGTGATCCAACAGGGTCTGACAAAGTCCTGAATAATTGAATGCAGTGCGGCATGACGTAATAGTATCATCACAATTACTTGTTAAGAAATAATACAACGCAATACCAATTGGATACAATACAATACCTTACAACACAATATGATTCGATACGATAAAATATGATATATGATTAGGTATGATACGATAAAATACAATACGACACGATCTGATACGATACGATACGATACGATACAATACAATACGATACAATACAATACGATACGGTGTGATACGATACAAAACAATAGGATACGATGTAATACAATACAATACAATATGATACAATACTTTACGATACAATAGAATACGATGTAATAAGATACAATACAAAATGATACAATACTTTATGATACGGTGTGATACGATGTGATACGATACGATACCATACAATACCATACAATAGGATACGATGTGTAAGATACGATAGGATACGATAGGATACGACACAATAAAATATGATTCGACATGATACGAAAAGGTGGGATACTATATGATGCAATATGCTATAGTATATTACCATACAGAATGATATGATGTGATGTGTGATATGAGGAGTGAGAAGGATACAAGAAGATAGAATATGATTGGATAGGAAAGAATAGGATAGGATGCATCATGATATATGATATATGATGATATAATATAATTTGATAGCACACAACAGGATATGATAAAAGGTAAGGCATGATAACACAATATGATATGTTACAATACAGTACAGGATGATACTGTAGGCGTGATACCATAATATACAGTACAGTAGGACAAGAAACAATACAATACAATGTAATATGATGTGATACAGTATGATTTTGTATGATACGCTAAGCTACAGTATGATATGATTTGATATTTTACAATTGTACAACTTTCCCAAAAGGAGCGTTATGTTGCATTTAGCTGTGATCACATCTTGACAAATAAACACAGAAAAAGGAAAAGAAAAAAAAAAAGAACAACCTACATATGAAAAGAGAGTGCACATCTTCACTACAGACTATATGTACTTTACCCATAATGCACAATTTGTTCAAAAGCCTTTACTCTCGTCTGTATCTACCTGATGCTGCACAATAACCATGTCCATCCAATCTTTCGGCTGTTACCTTTTAGGTTTTTATTTTCATCTGAATCAGGGATAGAGAAAAATATAGAGTCCTTTTGAGGAAAATGTGTAATTTGTTGCAATATGACTAGAAGGAACAGACTTAATACAATATACAAGCCAGGATGTCCTTATATCTGAATGGAGTGATGTTTCCTTTTGTAGAAGCAGCTACCTCAGCCTAGCTTAGATTAGTGAAGCAGAACTAAGCCTTATATGAATAAGCTTTAGCCACAGTCTGTGAGAACTGTGAGGAGGTGGTCACAGCAGAATGATGAGACTGTTCTAAGGTGATAGACTGGGACCTGAGATGCTGCATTAGAGGGAAAAAGCCTGCAGGAAGGAGGACAGGATGGAGATGAAGCAGATTACAGATACATCTGTCAGTAGTGGGTGCTCAGGGGAAAGACACGGGAAGAGGAAACAACTGCAGAACAAGACAAGGCAGGAATATCAACACTGGTAAAAAAAGCACATCAGAAATCAGGTGATTGCAGGAGACAAGGTAGGGTCAAAGACATTAAGGAATTAAACCGTTTTTATCAGGTTTGACAAAAGGAGAAATTCCCCTTTATTTTTCACAGTATCCTCCAGCATACTCTTTAGTATTTAGGTTGTCAGCACAGCCAAAGCACGGCTGCATTTTTCTTGAGGGTACACCTCAGGGTGCTTCAGAGGTTTCTCTTAAGCTGTGTTTAGTTTTGAAACATGTCTTTAACCCGAACATGAACCTTTGCTGAGGAGAGCAACTCAAGAAAAACAAGAGAGAAAAGAAATGATTATTTGGAGGGAAAGGTTCTGACCACACAGTCTATGGTTCTGACACAGGGCAGCTTCCCAGCAAAGTCATGACTGGACCTTGCAGTCTAGCTTTGGATCAAGCTTGCTAGTTTTTTGCTGTTTGCACCAGGCTGAATCAAGACAAATGGTGTCGGTGAAACCACCCATAGCTCTGTATCAGACTGGGCTGGATTAGCAGCACCAATGCCCACAACAAGAGGGGGCAGAGCCAGCTGAATTTCCTGAGGAGGATCTGCTTATTTTCCATCTGCTGGGCTGTAACAAAGACATTCTTATATCCTGTGTTGGCCGTCATTAAACCTTACACTCTGATGTGTATGCATAAGTAGCTCTTTGTACAACATTTTTCCTTAAGGAGGAAATAGATATTGAACTAACATGTAAAGCACATAAGAGGCCAAATGTTCATGAGCTAATTTAGGATATAGTAACTATATTATAGCAGGTTGATATGTCATGGTATCCATATATATTAACTGCATGGGCACATCATTTTTATTGTTTGTCATAACCCTTTAAAGAATAAATGGATGGGGACTCATTAATAAAAGGTGGAGGGTGTTTGAGGAAAAGTTGTGCTCAGCCCAGTTATCCTACTTTCAAAAATGAGAAAAATACTATTTCTACACTGAGTCAGACATCTGAGGAGGAAAACATTTTAAGATAAACAAAAAAAAGACCGAAGAACACTTTGAGAGAGGAGAGTAAACACACGAGGGATATAAGATGTTAAGCACAGCTTAAGTAAACATCCAACAGTACAGCCTGCGGTCCAGCGAGTTGACTTGCTTCCAGTTGAAGTTTTTCAGGCCAACGAACTGGCCTGAAATCTTACTTGAACATTTGCTCTGAACAGCTGGCAGAGTTTTTTAATGGCAGGATTTTTGCATGTTTGAGCACAACTGCTCTGGACTGAAACTCCTCACGAATGAAAATACAAAATGTGAATATATGAAGTTTGTGTCTTTGGTTGCAGAGGTTCTATCAGAAATCCTTCAGAGCATTTTACCACTCACTGAAAAACTTGTGTGACTGCGACTTATGTAAGGCCTGTTTTTCAAAGTCTCAGCGGCAAAATGTTTGCAGCTTACTGCAGGAAACAGGCGATGAATGCTAAAAAACTCTGTGGAGGTTACAAAGAAAACTCTACTTTTTTATGTCAATGTCAGTGATTATCTTCAACAAAACGTTTTGGATATGTGTGGAATATAGAGTTCTTGAAAGAGGCAAGAGACTCCTCAAAAGTTGTCCTTAAACTTAACATCTCTACAGCAATAGAGTCCATTCTATTCCAGTGTTTGCTGTATTTTAACAAACGCTAACCTTATTCAAGTGAATGAGTTACTGGTGATCACCTAAAAACAGCGTTAGCTCAGGGTTTGAATTTTTGTGTCAGTGTAGACTGTTAGGGAACATGTCAAAATATATAAAAGCTTAATTAGTCATGAGATTAATTAAATTGGCCAAATATTAGTTTTTGACTCTTAAGTTATAAAATAGTTTAAAAAGAATACAAGTATTTTTGCAGAGTCTGAAAATACCAATTTACATCTTGACCAGTTGTCTTTTTTGTTCATTTTATTCCAACACAAACCTGGAAATAGAGGGACCAGAGAAAAACATTATTTATTCTACCTGCATCAACTTCCTAGAGAGCGATGAAGCTTTCCTTGCTTTCAAATGTACATGATATCGTCTCTGAGAAGTTCCTGATTAATTTGGTGTATTGGATTCTGTTGTGGATTAGTTATGTCCTTATTCCAGGATTTGTTTACAATAATGCCTTTGTTAGACCAGAAATAGTTGATTTACTTTGAGGTTTGGAATAAAATATCCTTTTTACCCCTTTTCTTTTTCAAGATAAACCACTTAAGATTTCATTGAACAGTAAACCATTTCAGTGGAATTCACCGCCTTTGCTCATCTGCTTAGATTGACTGCCTATTGAGTTGGGCCAAATCCCAGATTAGCGAATACTGAAACTATAGTCAAAGCAGCATCCCTTAGACCCAAATGACTTCTAATGAATCCTGTGGTTCCCTATGGTATAGTCATTACAGTGTGTCCGTATTTGATCTCTTACCGATGGGGGTTCCCACTCCGTAGCCCTTGGAGTCTATCAGACCTCCAATCTGAGTGAGGTTGCAGTTTCTCTGACTGATGTACTCGATGCTCGTGGACTCCATCAGCATGGCGTAGTCTGTTGTCAGAACCCTCGTGATGCCTTCTCTGTTGTTCTTGACAAGAGCGGTGTTCTTCCTACTGCTCATGAACGCCCACATCTTCTCATAGGTGGAGATCTTTGATTTCTGACGAGATGATTAGAAGTGTTAAACATTTCAAACTCACATTGTTTATCTGCAAGTTTTTGGCTGTGCCCATACACAACATACATGAAACTTTATTTCAAATGCTTTTGAAAACATGTGTTTTTCGAGCAGGATGTTTGGGACTCTTCAATCTTTCTTATAGTGTGTGTCTTGCAGTATACACATGTGTCCCCACTTGCTCAGTCAGAAAAAATGGGACAGCTGTGTTCTTAATCTCCTCCAGCTGATTCAATTTGTTCAAGCCATCAACACAGCCTGCTTCTTCCTATCCAGGCAGCCGTAATCACTGGCTGCAATCTGGGAGGATAAAGCCCTCCATGGATCACCCCCGCTGAGCCACCAGGATGCAGGGTGAGTGGGTGGCAGTAGGGGGGAAGGAAGCGACAGCTCTGCCAGAGGACATTAACGTAGTGATACATTATGAGAAACAAACTAAAAAGTTAACCTATGTTTAACCGCCAAATGTTACCATCAATGCTCTTGATATGAATCCTTCAAGCTTCCTGTCTTATTTACTTCCTATACTCAACTCTTGGTGCATCTATGCTCCCCTTAATTAAAATAAACACAAATGTTTTCTTCGCCTACATCCTTAGGTTTTCATCTTTCATGTGAAAATCCAGGATGATGGGGCAGATACAGCAACTCTGATTTTATGTAAGTGAAGGCACTGACTCAGACCCATTAAAGTTAAGTGAGACAAAGATGACAGAACTGGGGTAAACCACAATTAGAGGACTTTTTTTTGACACTCATACACTTGATGTCTTAATATCATATACTTGAAGCTCCAGTTAGGAGGTTTTAGACGGTTATAAAATAGTCTGACATTTTTACTGATGCCTTAATCTGACATAAAAAGGCAAAGAAGACCATCAGTATTAAGACTGATTATGTTTTTATATTGATTTTAAATGTCTAGAGCTGCCAGCACTAGGGAGGTGTCAGAATTGGCTCATTTAAAAGTTCCTCTCAGATGCCAGAATTTAATACACACTTCTTTTCTTTTTTAGATGTATGTTAGGGTTTTCTGGTATTAAATGAAAGAGAGAGGGCAGCGGATAAAGCAGGGAACAGGGTAGGGGGCAGGAAATGACATACAGGAAAGAGGCCGCAGGGTGGAACTGAACCTGACCGTCTGCGTATGTGGGACGCTGATGAACTGCTTGGCTATATGGGCCTCAATACTCAGTTCATCTAAGCCAAGCTGGGACACCACTGGCCTCGCAGTCTGAGCAGACCCCAAACACACTGGCAGTGTGTTTCCAGCATATCACTCCCTGCTGCCAATTGACCTGTACTCTCTAAATAAAGCCCAAAAATGTTTTAGACATTGATCGCTTTACAAGGAATTGATGTATTTACTATCAGAATTCAATCATGGACCTCACTTCCAGGGCTGCACTTAGGATATCCAAGTGTGTGCAACATAATTTGACAAGATTTACAACTAAAAACGTCTTTGATTGACTGTTTTTAGATTTCGGCAACCCCACTGAAATAAGCAATAAAGTATCTCTACGAAAGACAAAAGCAAATGAAACCATCAGTGTCAAGATTGACAGTTTCTTTATAACTTTCAACGTCTTTAACTACTGTGAGTAGATAGGTATGCTAAAAAGAAAAACACTTTATCACTTTTCACACTGCAAACATTCATGTCGATTAATACAGATTTTTTGCAATTAACACCACTTTACAAGGACCAGAAAAAATCAGCCGCAATATTAGGGTTAAAGCTTTGTCCACAGGGGGCGCTGAAGTCAACACAGACAGAAAGTTCTTCATAGGGGCTTTAAAGTGTAACCTGCAATCTCTGTGCCAATCTTGTCCAATACATACATGATAAGAGTCTACGGACAAAGCAAATCGTATCTTGCTTTTTTAATTGTCAGATGAATCCGAATGAACAATCTCTAACTATCGTTTCCCCCTTGATAGGTTGTACAGAGGCTGCAGTATAGATTTCTGTATTCTTTCCATAACCAGTTAAAACTCCCAACCGGAACTTTAATGTTTTAAAACAATTTGAAATCTTCAGCAGTCCATCACCTTTATCGTGACTTCAAGTATAAAGCTTTTTCAGCCCCTCCACTGTTTTTACCTTGAAGAAGGTCATGGTGGATCCATCCCTCACTGCCCCGTATTCAATCCTTGTCTGCTTGGCCAGGTCGTCTGCTGAGTCGATGGGCGCATCCATTCGCTCCACAGTGAGGAAGGCAGCCAAGTTGGCCGTGTAGGAGGAAATGATGATTAAGGTAAAGAACCACCAGATACCCCCGACTATTCGAGTGGACAGAGCTTTCGGCATCAGCTCTGAACCTGGAAATATAGTCGTGAGGTGAAGGTTAAAAATGGCCAGTGTATAGTATATCACAACCAAAAATGGAAACATTTATTGCTGGTTTGTGTACTTAAAAGTGTCCTCCTCAAACACAACACAATAAAGTATAAAAGATTTATACTCTCTCAGAGGAAAGTCAAGGGCCCAAGTTTTAAAGGGGTTATCTTTATAGCTGAAATCACATAGGAGTCCCTATTGGATTTCTACTCCTGACCAAAATGATGAATTGTGCAGTTCTTCATCATAGTTTGTGTATTTTCCTCCCTCTGAGTTTCTTTCTTTGAGCACAGCAAGTTGCAAAAAATATAGACTGGTGCAGAACAGCAGACAGAACAAAAACTAACATCTTGAAAGACATACCAGACGAAATAAATTTGAACATGAGGGAAATAAGTGCAAACATCATGCCAGGAAAGACATAACTAAAAGAACAATGTGCCCTTTTCTTCCAGTTTTCCTAACTGAAGAAGAAATGATGAAAGATTAGTTTAACTGAAGACTACAATAACCATATTCGATGTGCCGTCAAGCGTTGTTTAAATAAGGTTCAGTCTCTCTCAGCTACAACACCTCACATAAAGATCAAGGACACCAAACAGGTGAGTTATACACACCGCACACACATGCACATGCCTTTAAAGCCTGCATTACCATCCCTTTAAAACCTGTCTGAGCCTGTCTGTGATAAGACTATGGGATGGATAATATAAATACTGCTTCTATCAGCGGGACACAGAGCTTTGAAGCCTTATCAGTAATCTGGTCCACAGATCAGGAAAAAAAAAGGTCTTCATGCTGTTCACCTAAATTTGACAAAATGTTACTTGTTGTCAGCACAAGTTTTCATCTGAATCACTATTTTTTGCTGTGGATTGGTGTTGTCAGTGGGTTTGTTGTTCGTCCAATCAGACATGAGGGACTTATCCCGCTCAAATCTCTTGCCATAGGGGAGGTCAAGTCCCCGAGAATTGCTACATAATTCTTATGACAGTATCTGGTTGCAATTCATGAGAACTGGATCCAGGCTACATGGGAGGAAAATTTGCCGAAAATAGGAGACGAGGATTGATGTTGTAATATAAACAGCTTAGAGCCGAGTGGTACAGACTTTATTAGAAGAACGGTACAGTGCTCTGAAGAAAGAAAGCAAGTGGTCTTTGCTGTTGTTGTTTGTTGTAACCCCCAAAACCTGACAAAATCTAAACCTTTACCAAAGTCCAAGATTTATCATCATATTAGTTCTGATGTGGTGACTGCTCTAACCCACAGGATATCCTGGTTGCCAATAGCTATTGCTCAGTTGAAGCACTCTCAAGTTTTGTGTCTGTCACTCATTATCAGCTGAGTTTATTTATTTTTTTGTCATTTTAAACCAAGTCTCAGCTTTTTTCATGCAAAACCATCGATGAAGAATAACTTTCTAGGATCTTTCCTTACACCTGACCTGTGTTTTGGGCAAAGCCTAACCAGGTGTGGAGTTGACATTTCATTAAGCAGATGTATTTTTAATAATAATCTTAATCCCTTTTGATGGCATTGGAAAGACATCTAGGGAGATTTTGGATCAGAAGTTCCTTCTACAATAACATTGTCCAAACAATATTTTTCCATTTATTTTACTAGTCGTTACTTGATTCGACTGCCAGATGGTGGCTAAAAGATGTTTGCTGACTCTTATTACACAAAAACAAAATGAAAAGGGAAGCATCAATGCCAGCTGCCAGTAAAACAGGCAGATTCAAAATCAGAAACAACAGATACTTCTACGATAACTATGCACACAGGGTTAGGCACCCTGCAGAAGTGGAAAGATAATCATATTACTCTATTGCAAAAAAGTATCTATTCAATTCACAAATATTTGATAAATTCTGATCAGAATCACTAATTACCTTGTCGCATGAGGGCCCCAATGCCAAACCAGAAACTGTTGAGTAAAGTGAAATTGTTCTGAATGAGAGTGGAGGACGGGTTGCATGGATGAGGGTTGTACCACTCATATGGAGTAAACCTGCAAATCAATATAGACAGAGAAAAAAAGCAGATGAAAATTACATGTCAAACCCAGATGGAAACATGCAAATTCTTAAAAGCACAGTCTGATCTATGAGTAACAGCGAAGCTCGACTTGTAGCATGACAGCAGAATGCCTCTTCACTTATCCGGCACACTCCACACTTTAATTTCACAATTGTAAATCTCAGTTATGGGTCTCTGGCTGCAACCTGCTGGTAGAGCTTTTACACACTACCTGAGAGGGAGTGAAGAGCGAACTTACAATTACTCCCAGCTACTTCACGACCGCACTGAAAGCCAATCTGGCAGCTGAAAGCGTAATTTTGTTATTTTAGAATAGCCACGCAACATTTCAAATTCGTTGAGGTACAATCATGCCAATTAGACCAAGCTATTTGGGATTCCTGTCACATGAATTTGGTACATCAAGGCTCAGAGCAGGCATCCTTCTGACTTTTCCTGGAAAAAAAAACACAAAAAAAAAACACCTTGCTTGAATATTTCAGTCCAACCTCTTACCGAGCAATCACAAAGAGCACACAGCTCACTCCTGTGCAGGCTAGCAGGACATACATCCAAATGTCTGGAGACAGGGGATTCAGGAATGAGAACACGCCCGGGTTTGTGCCGTTAGGTTTGCGGTACAGGATGCTGATTCCTAAAGTCATGAAGGGCTTGGAGAAGTCGATGACTTTCTCTCGAACATAGGTGATAGTCAAGGGAGCCACAGCCAGATCTGCAACCTTAAAAAAGCATAAGAACAAACCGATTCATCAGTTTCAGGGTAAATCTACTCCAAATGAATAGGAAATATAGGATTATTTATGTCACACAAAGAAGTAAGTGGATAAAACGCAATATAACACAACAGAATTGATTATATTGCGCTGGTAGAGTAAGGGAGCAAGAGGTAACTCTAAACTAATTAATGTAAAAAGCCTCTGGGCCAATTTAAACTATTAATATGTAGAAGTAAAAATCGCACATAATTTCTGACTATAACCTGCCTTTAGAAAGCTGTGTTTAAATTGCCAGGGGGAGATAGTGCCAATACACTGTATCTACCAAATGAATAAAACATCATTCCCCTGGTCTGTGGGTCTGTGAACACATCACTCTGCTAACAGACGATGCTGCCACGGGCTGCTTTCTGAACTTAATGATACACTTATTTCCCTTTTCCACATTAGCCTGGAATAATTAACAAGAAAATCTATCCCTGCACATTATTTTCAGGAGCGCATCAAGAGGTGGATCTTCATCTGACTTAGCTTAACTTGTGATATTCTGGAAATATATTTGGTTTTAGTTTTGGTTTGCATTGTAGAAAATCTAATCGAATCTAAAAATAAATCTAATCACACACTGCACTGACATGTACAAATCCTGAGTTCTTGAAATTGACTGTGTTGTGTTCTTAATATGTGTACTTAAGGTGTTTCTCTGCTTTAAGGTTAGGATCAGACTTCATGTTTAGTTGAAGTTAGATGTTTTCCAGCTGTTTCACAAACAAGACGTGGAAAACAAACTTATTTACTGATACAAAAAGACATAAAATACGAAAACTTGTGCGGTTGATTTTCATCCTTTTTCCTACCTAACTATCATCTCTCCAGACCTCAAATCTTTATGAGCATGCCTGACTAACCATTCGGAGACCATTAAAATAACTTGCTGAGTAGCCAAAAGTTTCTCCATTTCAAGCTGTAATAAAGTAAAATATGTATGTGTAAGTGTGACACGACAGAAATAGTAAATCTGACTTTTGCAGGAGGAATCTTCTAGTTTATCATCTACAGTAAGTGTAATGACCATTCACGTAAAAGCTGGCTTTTGTGTGTGCAGAAAAAGCAGACTGTGCAGTCAGAACACACAGATTACTATGGGTTTTATATTATTTTGGTTTATACCACTGAAACAAGCCAGAGTGAAGTGAATTAGTGTCTACTCACTGTTGAACTGAGACCTACCCAGGGGATTGAAAGGTCCAATAAATATTAAAATTTAAACTGCAGACGTAAACACAGCACAGAAAAATAAAGTCCTGACTGCAAGCAGTTGAACGCTATTCTGGCTTTATAGGAATTACAGACAAGTTGGCATCTGTTTTAAGATTTTCAAATGAAGATTACAGACGGACTGTGGGATTATATCAGAAATGAATGAAGGGTTAATTCTGATACCAAGGTTTATCTAGTAATACTTCTACTTACATTTTGTTTCTGGAGGATTTTGTGTTCAAAACTTTTACACAGAGTTGGTAAGTTTACAAAAGCTCTTATTTCATATATCACTTCTTTTTCCCTGAAAAGTTACCATTGAACCCATTTAACATACCATTTAAAATTCATTATGGGTATTCTATTTAAGTTTTCATGTGTATATATTGTTTATGTCTTGTTTTTCCATTATCTTTTCAGTGTTTTTCTATCGATCTATCTATCAATCTATCTATCAATCTATCTATCTATCTATCTATCTATCTATCTATCTATCTATCTATCTATCTATCTATCTATCTATCTATCTATCTATCTATCTATCTATCTATCTATCTATCTATCTATCTATCTATCTATCTATCTATCCATCCATCCATCCATCCATCCATCCATCCATCCATCCATCCATCCATCCATCCATCCATCCATCCATCCATCCATCCATCCATCCATCCATCCTGATATCCTTCCATTCTATCTGATATAACAGTGATCAGTCACCCTGCCATTACTCACATGGTCAATAAGCTCCCGCACCATCCCGTTCCACTCTCCTTTGTCATTCTGGGCTCCATATTTCCCATCACCAACCAGTCTGACTTCATACGTAAAACCCAAGATGTTGGAGAGCTCTTTCAGGAGGTCCAGGCAGTAACCCTCGAAACGGTCATTTCCAGACAGCTCCTTATCTGACTTTTTGTACATCACATATGGGTTTTCCTGCAAAACCAAGATAAAAATCATCTTCTTTTTGTGCTCGAATTTCAACATCTTGATGCTTTTGCAGTTAATGGTAAACTAAGCGGAGTTATCAGATCTGAGTAAGCTTGAATGGAGAATCAAACAAATCCAGTGTCTTTGAATCTGAGTTTTTGAATATTTTAAAAATGAATTTAAAACCTACAATGGAGTTAAACTTTTTTTTTTTGTGCAAAATGAGACAAAATTTTGAAAATCCTTATTTCCACCATCTAAACTCTCCAGTTCAGAGTCCTCTTATTCTCTTGTGCTTCCCTCTTACATGCACTCTTCACATCTCACATGCCCATTTCCTCCTTTTTATGCTCTCCTCTGTTTAACCTTCCTTCTCACCAGAATCGTAGTGACAATAAGAGTCCTGTTGGCCAGAGAGTCTGTCACATTGTTATTCTTGTCTCGGTGGGACTCCGTCAGGTTCATCCCTTTGTATGAGTTCCACACAGCAATCTGGAAAGGCAAACAGGGTGTCAGATTTATCACACCAAATCTTGTGAAGCAGTCATTCGACACTTGCTGTTCAAGTCAGGACATGCACAGTTCAGCTAAAACCTTAAATAAACCCGTATTTGAATAATAAACACTTCCATGAGAATTTAAGTGCAGAAGTTGATGGATTGTTCTTATTACTCATTGTAACAAACAAACAGACTCTAATGTAGTCCCGAAGTCGTCACAAGACCCCGAACTGCTCTGATACGCCGCATATTAATCACATTTTCTGATTCAGCGAACAGAAAAATGAAATAGAAGTGTAAAGGTTTAAAGACCCGACACTCCTGGCTCGTCCTCAGCTCTCTGCTCCATTCACTACTCTACAACATTTCCCTACTGCTCAGCTCTGCTCTGATGATTCTGGGCAAAGTGCCGAAAAACTTCACTTTATGTACAGTGAATATGAAAATGAAGAAGCGCCTCATAAAAAAAAACGTCAGGTAAAAGTTAACAGCTATATAGGCGTGAGCCAGTATCACTCCCCTGGTGCATAGAGATTTCTCTGGGGTATTGAGCATATTGTGAAGTCTAAGCAATGAAGGGTTTTTCACAAGGAGTATCCAGAAACAATGAGTAATTACAGCTAGAGATTAACATGGTACTTCACCCAGTGAATCCTACTAACAGAAGGGAAAATCCCTATTCAAACACTATGAGCTGACATTTTCAGAAACACCTGAATAAATCAGTTGATTATACGGCTAATAAATCAGTTTAAGGCTGTGTAAATGTGAAATGACTAACTTGGGCTTTTGAAAATAGGTCTGAATACTCCATCGTATGTTAAAGGTCAAAGGTTACAATGTAAAACAATCCAGGGAGTAATTAATGGAATAAATATGCTCTACTTTTAATGGATGTTGAGGTAAGAGGAAATACACCAGCAGGGACAGTATGAGTGAAAAAAGGAAGGGATCAAATGGGGTAAAGACGTATGGAGAACAGCTATAGACTGTCTAACTGGAGGACAGCTCACTGTTTGCTTTCCATACTGTCACACTAACAGTGGGTGAAAGTATCTGGTTTATCAGAGCAGACGGCATAATCCAGACAGTTATCAGATTAGAAGAGGCGTCTGGCCGCTGGAGTTTGACCCTTTCAAATCCCCTCACTCATTAAGAGCTGAGTAAAGGTCGTGGGACGCGATACAGTTAAGTGCATTAAGCGATCAAGCTTCATTGTAGATAAGAATTGAAAGTGAGTGATACAGACGAGCTCTTCTATTGTTATTCAATCGGTGAAGAAAAAAGCATTAAATGTGGGTGTTTTCATTAAGAAACGACGGCCTGTATGCACAAGAGGATGAGTAGTAGCGAACACATCAGTACCTCGTATTAACCTGAGCTCCCCAGCTTTATTTTTCGTGGCTTATTCTTCAGAGAGGGGCTATGTGGGATTACCTTTTCAAAAAGATAACATGCTCTTCACTCTTCATTACTTTCTATCTTTCTGGCCGAGTCACACAGACAGAAAATGTGCGTGCTTATAACCTTGCTAAAAGCACTCTATATCTGCAACGTGGTACTTTTGCAAAGGGTCCGCTCAGTGCAGGAGTCCATAAATCTGTCTTATCTCTGGACACTGCAGATGAAGAACACAGTGACTGAGGTTGGGTTTAATTAATTGTATTGTCCTCCATCTCCGAAGATAAACGGACAGAGTGAGAACAATATTTTTTGAAGGGTGTGGAGGGTATTTTGTTCTCAGATGGTGAAGTTGCACATGCACAAGTTGTGTAACAGTGTTATTTTGGTTTATACAACCCCCATGAAACATCAACAGCAAGCTTAGTTAGTTTGAAGTTGAAGTCATAAATTAATCTGACCAAACCAACAAAGTCAAAGCTAAAAAATTATAGCCTTGGACAACCGCACAGTGAACAGTCATCATCATTTTTAAGCCCTAAGTCATGGATTTACTGTGTACAGCCTTGCAAATTTATCATGCAAACCAGAGAAGCCTCCAACTACAAAGTGTGCTATAAAAACTGACAGGAATTCTCTCTAAAATGCTGGAAGTGAAATATTATCGTTGCATCCTCAAGCTCATCTTCATCCAGAACCAAATCAGACTGGAAAACCATTACCACAAAGCTGGAGACGTACTGAGCAAGGCCAAGACAGCCGAGCAGAAAAAAAAAAAATCTTATTTCCAATAAGTCAACATTTAGAGGAAATACATTAATTCCCAGGAGACTTTAACTTTGTCTAGTCCCATCCTATTCTTGAGAGCATATTTAACACTCCACTGCCTGAGAACTAACACCACTGCAATGGACTGATAATTCATTTTTCATGACCATGAAGTCAAGCATTTTATGCGATGTGCTTTCCATGTTGGGGAATTTCCTCTGAGGCTAGGCTTTTGAGGGCTGACAGTACTGAATGAAATTAAAATATCAGTGCTGTTATAAATCTCAGCTTCACAAACTCGACAGATGCTGCCTGCCCACATACCTGTCTGATAAGTAAGCCAATTGAAGAGGAAAAACATTGCCAGCATCATACAAAAACCTGTCTTTGAGGTACTGAATTAATTCCAAGTTTGTCCTTCCAATCTCCAGATTGGTTTCAAGGTGATAGGCACAGGAGGCCGTTAAGTGAATAATAGCACAGTGTAGTAGAGACTAAATGGTGGAAGTTAAAATGATAAAAACAGAGCTATGATTTTTTGTTTCTTTTCCCCCCAGCAGAAACCATTGATTAGAGGCTGCAATAGCCTTTAAAAGTCCTTTTGAGAAACTTAAAGGCTGTGTTGATTTTGGCGCCCTCTCTGGACAAAGTAGTTTATCTCATTTATTTACTTGTTCTTGAACACAAACATCTTTTTTTTTCATCATGCTATCAGTGACTACGTCTGTTTCTACCCCCCTTCCCCAACAACATTAAAAATTACAACATTAAGACATCAAACGGTTGAGATATCAATGTAATCTTGTTCAACAAGTAACTTACAGTGGTTTTAAGCCAACTTGAAGCGAAGGCAAAAAAGCACTCTGGACACTATGTTTTTGTTTCATAATATTTTGGGGGATTTAGCATCATAATTCACTTTGTTTATAAGGTATTTTCATAAAATCACTTCAGCTATAGAAGTACATGATCAGGTGAGTAATCTGACTTTACCATGGACTGTATTTGCTCAAATTAAACTAGCCAGAGGAAGACAGCAAGCTACGACAGAACGACACTGCATAGTTGTTATTAAGCAGTATAAAGAGTTGTCTGAAAACTGCAAGTTAGTTAACTACTCGCCAAAAAGCCCTTGTAGCTTTAACAAGCTCAAATGATTTAGCATCCTTTGTATGTTTTGAGTATCTTAAGAAAGTATATGTAAGAGCAGCACTGACGTATTGAAGCACAGAACTACAAGTGAATAGGATGAATCCAGTCACAATCATAAGATCTACAAAGCTTATTGCTGAAAAGCTCATGATCTCACAAAGCGATTGCATTCTACTGCAAGTTGCTTCATCCAACAGTTCTATTTTTAGAGCTGATACTGTAAGCACAACAATATTATGTCTTAGACAACAGCCTCAGCCCTAAAGAGTTTAAATGCTAAACCCTCAATACAAGCCGGATGTCACCATGTGACAATGCCCATCACCGAATTTTTTGGTTCATTTTTTTTCCAATTGGAGAAGATAGAGGCATGTTATCCATATTTATGCAGTCTATGAGTCATCTCCAGAGACTGTTTTAGCTTCACTAATTAAAAAGCATTTCTGCTGGATTATCAAAATTAAGATGGTTCCAGTAAATAGAGACTGTAATTTTCTCCTGATACCACTTAACTCCCCTTCGCTTTATAAAAAAAAAAGGTTATATGAAACATTTGTGTGTGTGTTTCATGTGTTGTGGCATCAGGGCTCCATCTACGCCTTACTTCGCTTTTATGTATATCCAACATTCTTCCAATTTACACCTAAAAAACGCAGTTGTCTCATTTTAAGTGTAAGATGATAACAGAACACTAGCTAACTTGTTTTATACACAAATAGTAAAATACATAAATTTTTTCACTTAGTTCTTTTTATTATCGCTACAGATAGAGAGTTTGCTTCAAATTGTCTCCAACAATCTCATTAGACTGAGAATTAAACATTTGTGCTGTCTCTGCGGAAGTGAAACCATCTCGATCCTCCTCTTGGAGAAAGTCATCATGCCTGGCTCAAGCTGTCCTGTCCTCTGCTAATTGGATCCCTCCAGGCTGCCATTGAGTCATGCTAGCTTGTATGTTTCCCATGACAGTATGAAAGCAGTCTAATCGCCAAGTAAAGTACAAGTAGTGAACTGGCAAGTGGGGAAAAGTGAAGGAAGGATGAATTAAATCTTTTACTTTCATACTTTCTACCCACAGTGGAAGTTTACAGACTCACTTCTTCCTCTACGTCAAAGTGTTGTTATATCGACATAAACAGAAGAATAGCCCCTGATTTTTTTTCTACCACTGCTGACAAAGTTTTGACAAGTGTCAGAGCGATACCTCAGCCCAAACACAGGGTAAACTGAAATGTCAAATACATTGGCACTGCTGTACACAAAATCAGTGAAGAGAAACAAGGTTGACGAGGCAAGGAGCAGGGAGGTGTGAGGCATACAGAGTGGGTAACAGGGGGGAGGGTGGGTGAAAAACAAACCATTGAGCAAACACGGCACTGGCACAAACCTTGATCCACCTTTTCGTGAGCCGACTTCCACCCTCCACAACACCCTTTTGAAAATGTTGAGAAGGCGAGATGAAGCAGTGTGGAAAAAAATAATAAGTTGTTGCAGCATAATTGATATTCATGGCTGGACATCTGAGCCAAATAATAAAGGTGTGCATGAACTGTAGGAAACAAAATCTCTACAGTACTGTCCCTCTATCTCTCTCACACACACAAACACACACACACATACACCTTAATGGAATGAATCAGCTAGCGAGGAAGCAGCATGGGAGTGGTGTAATTGGCTGTTCCCGGCCTGTGTGCTCACCCTGGTAGTACCATCCTCTTTGAGGCTGATGATGTCCAAATCAAAGTCTCTCCTCAGGCCATCTGTCTTATTAAGAACAATGTGCCCTGTCAGTCCTTCCCACTGTGCCTGCAGAGAAAAAGAGATGCACAGAGAGGGAAGTGGGAGAAAGTCTCGAATGCCGTCTGAGTTCAGTGAGTGAGAGGAGCCTCGTTGAAGCTCCGCAGCAGAGTCCCAGGAGGGCAAGTGAAGGGGATCGAGGCAGCGAGGAGAAGTCAGTGTTGACAGACGGCTGAAAGACTTAGGTGAAGACTGAAAGGTTTCTCTGCCGTACAGCTTCAATATGTATGAAGGTTAATATTCTTGACAGTAATAGCAGCAACTTTGATTTAAGATCTTGTTCTATAACCAGTTTATCGCCATTGACTGTTTGTACAAAGAATTGTCCTTTTTTGCGTGTGCTGTTATGCTGTTTATGAGGGAATGTTTTTTGTGGCTTAAATAAAGGATTGACTGAACATTCAAGCCATCTCACTGTAAACATACACTATATTTGTGGGTCTAATGTGCTTAAATTTCTGCAAATCAGCAGCGGCGAGGTGGCTGTCTAACATGAGTCTGGTCCTACCCAAGGTTTCTGCCTGTTAAAAGGAAGTTTTTCATTGCCACTGTCACTCATGTTAGATGAGATGGGTCAAATTTGTCCCGTCTTAAGGTTGGGTCTTGGTAATCCATCAAACAATGAGCGCGGTCTAGACCTGCTCTCTTTTTTTGGAAAGCATCTTGGGATAACGACTGTTGTGATTCGGCGCAATATAAATGAAATCTGATTTGATGTGATCGATTGAAATTGAGAATATGACACTGGTAAGGCTGCCATACTCCATCAAGTCAACAAAAGCAATCTTTTCATTTACGCACCTTTCATCTTGTCACTCTCTGTTTTATTTTGGATTTACCCTCGTCTCTGTTTTCTAGATCCTGCTCCTTCAGCCAATCCTTAATAAATCCACCCATGTCTTGTTAACCCTTGCTGTACATGTATGTTAATATTGCCCATGTACCGTCCCTCTTGGTGCTGGTTTGTTGAGAAGTCTCTTAGGCTGGGACATACCTGCTGTTTAACTTGGCCAAGCAGACCAACCAACATATCTGACAAGTTTCCCCCATTCATCATGAATTGTAAACGAATGCCTCGCTGCTCAAACTTACTCAGGCAGGAACCTCCTTGTTGTTCCCACCTCAAACTTTAAAACAAAAGGTGACAGAGCATTTGCTAGTGGGGCGCCTCGGCTTTAGAGCGACCTGCCTGAGGATCTCAGATGAGCTACATCAGTGTCTTCTTCTAAATGCCTTTTAAAATATATCTTTGTGAGAAAGCCGTCTTGGGAACTGTGTTTTATTTGTGATCCCCTGTCTATTTGATAGTTTTTCCATTGGTCAAGGTTTTCAATATTCCATCAATTTTTTCATTTCTTTTATTCTTCTTTCTAGTCTGTCAAACCTGTTGCCACTACTAAGTGTATTCTTTTATTTTGATCAAAATCATTTTTTTATTACATGTTTTACTGGTGAAATTTGCACTTTGTGTGGTTGTGATAATTGCTATGTGAATAAACATCATTATTATTATTCTTATTAACCTCCACGGGATTCCTGCCTGCACAGCTTTGACCTGCGGTGCCAATCCTGAGCAAACTTTCTCCCTCCTCACGTCATAATTGTGCATTTAAAACAAACAGTAACGGGCACCTTGTTATTATTTCTGTCTTGGTGTTATGATCATTGCGTGTATTTTAAACTCTTTTTACCTGATCTCCTCTGCATTATTAGCTCTTTTCAGGCTAATTATCTGTGTACAGACTAAGTGTTATGATTGATTGTCAAGGTGTCAGTATTTCCCATATGATCTCTCGTATGTAATGATGTGTGTCGAAAACAAATCAGTGCACAGTTGTCCGAGACACAATACTGTTAATTTTGTCCATACAGATACCGAATGTTTGGTATCACTATCGCCAGAGGAAAGAGGGAAAGAACACAAAGGTTGTATTGCCCAGCATTTCATTCAGTTTTTTGAAATGAAAGATGTGCCCTCATATTCTGCTCTCTCTTGTCGGAAATGGTTTTTAATTGAGTGCTGTGTGAGACATATTACTAGTACGTGCAATCAAAGAGGCTCTTATCTGGTGATGAATGGCACAGGAGGACAGATAATTCAAAGGACGTGAAGGGGCAAACAAAATGAAAAGCTGAAGAGAAGAGAGACACTGTGCTTCAAAGAGAAAGAAAAAGACAGGGAAAGAGGGAACAGAAATAGGAAGTATGAGTAAGGGGATTGAATGGTAATGTTTCCTCTCCATGGCAGGCAATGGTTCTCTACTGGATTTAAGACTTAGCAGATCAAAACGCTCATGTATCAAAGGCCTCATTTCTGTCTGCAGGCATCCAGCCTGACCAACAGGCAGAGCTGCATGAGCCTGAAAGTACATAAACACCATATATACTTGTTGTTTATTTTTATGTTGTGTATCTCAAGAGCAAAGCACAGCTAGGATAGGCCTTCTGAGGTTTTGAGGTTTTCACTTTTGCAATAGAGCCGTCACATTGTGGATGTTGTGTTTACTGAGCCCTTGTCAAAGCACTAACAGCATTATCAAAGGGCACGGTGGTCAAGCAAAAAGCAATAGGAGGTCTTTTTGGGGTCACACTGGTGGTGTAACAGGAGTTTTAGTATTTCTGAGATCACTTACCTCTTTGAAGAGGTTCATAAAGCGTGGTCCGAAGCGCCAGGGTTTGTGGCGGTGACACTGCAGGGAGCTGACGGTCATCTGAGTGGCCCGCTGCGACGCAACAGCAACCATGAACACGGCGTCGTACATCAAGGCCGCGTCTGTCTGCAGGGGGGAGGAAGTAAGAGGAGGAACCTGATATTGTTTATTCTCTCACACAACAGGCACACATGCAAACATCAGTAGTAAACAGCCGACAGATCACGCCTTCAAAAGGGAGAATGATTGGTTACATTCAACTCCTAAACAGGGTAGAGTATAGATAAAATGAGGGAACAAAAGTAACACTAAAAACCATGTAGAAATACAGCTCTCACAAAGATTTACAGGATAGCAGATGCTTGCAGTTCACAACTGGTATTCAAACATGCGTGCAGCATACAGATAAGCATCATTTGTTACCAGCAGAGCAGGTGTTTGTGTTGTTGTTGCTCTGTAACGTGAAAAAAAAAAATGCATAGAGGTTTTCTTACAGTCATGATTCCATCCATCAGGCCGCTCTCTTGTTTGGGGCCTTGCAGTCTTTCCATCGCCCACCTGTCCATGGTGGAGGCCACATATGGGTCATCGACGTTTAACAGTCGGAAGCCGGTCATGTTGACCCCGCTGTACCGGTACGGCTCCAAGTCCAAGGCAAACAAATCCTGCGAGGAGAGGGAGATGAGGAGTTTTGACTTTGACTGTTTTCTCCTGCAGTAGAGTTTCAGTCGTACATTTTTCTAACTCACCAAAGTCGTAAAGAAGAAATGGTAGTACTCTGTCATCATTCCCATGGATGAAAGCTGCAAATTGGAAAAGAAGAAATCGAGTAATGGATAAAACTCTGGGCCATATTGCTTATTTTAAATGTGATGAGTTCTCTTGTGCTGCAGCTACAGTGTCACATCTTCAATAATAAAGTAATTCAACAGGTCATACCTATTTTTGCATGGTCGGACGAATATGCTATAGAGAGCAATAAGAGCAATAAACATATGCTCTAATGTTGATTTCATTTTACAGTGGAGGACGCCAAAAAAAAGGCATAAGATGATGAATAAATTTCACTCCACTGAAGTTACTAAATGACCGTGACAAAATTAAGTAAAGTTTTTCCCTTTGTCATAAAATGCAGATTCTGAAAAAATAGAAGTATCAGGACAGCATAAGTGGATGAGACAATCTATGAGGCAGACAAGGATAAACACGAATATGTTTGTCAGCATGTTAGTTCATTTTATAAATCATCACCTAGCTTTCATTCCTCACCTTCAAACTTCAACAGTTTTTTCACCTAAAATAGTATTAGACCCATGTGATAGAGAAATAAGTTCTGGACCATTTAAAATTATGACTTGGAAATAAGATGGGCTGTTTCTTCCTAAAGAGGCAACTTGAAAACTTTTCTCTTTCCTATCTTTTAATAGGTGTCATATATACAGTATATTGTTATGTGAGCCGCAGCAAACAAGGAAATGGGTTTCATGTGGCATTTCAGCGCTTTAAAATTGTGTTGACAACAATCACCAAGGTTGTTGGCCCCAAGGGAAAGATAAATGTGTATTGTAAGATCAGTGAAACATCCGAACAAACAGAGAGATTAATCCCTGGACAAACCTGCTTAAGGAGCTCTGCAGCCATGCGATAGGAGCAGTCGAAGACAATGAAGAACTCTTTGTCTTTCTTTAGTTCCTTCAGCAGTGGTCGGGCATCTTGGTTACCCGGAGTCAGCTGGCGGATCTTGATCTTTAGGTTAAACTTGGCCGGAGCTTTGATCAGTTCCTGCATCCGCATCAGACCTTTAAAATAAATCACATCATGTACAGCTTCTTCATGAACCTTCCTGAGTGGTCAAAGGTCAGGGAAAGACATAAAACATGACTAAAGTTTAGGGTCTTGTTGTCTTGGAAACTTAGACCCGTGTCCAGTAACTGAGGGATGTCATTTGTATTCAGCGCACCTTTACTCAGATTCTTCTGTTTTGTTTTTGTGCACATCAAAAGGCAGACACACACTGAAGTCCCCCCCCAGAAAACAAACACACTTCCTTCTTGCCTTACTCCACATCTGTGTGAACAACAACTCGCAATTCTGCAAGTCTGCATCTGAGTGACATTTCAGGAAAATAAAATCTTGATTTAGGATAAAAAAAAACACTTAAAAAAATTAAACTTTGGCATTTCAACAGCGGCATTTCCTATCGTCTGGGTCGTTGGCAGGGGATCTATACGGGACATGGCTGGATTTGAGGCCATTGTTGTTGTGGTTTGGCTCTCCTCAGTGTGAAGTCAGAGGGCAGGAATACTGGCAGCTGCCTGATACGAGGCTCTCGTGCCCTCGACACAGATTGGGTTCACTAGCTGGTTCGGGGAAGGTGACTGCAGCTGACGGTAGGATTATTTTGTTTTGTATATAATTATAACCGTGGCATATGAATATATTGTGAGGTCCAGAAAACACAAGCCAGGAGTACTGACCTCTTCTTCCTCTCAGCTTTTTCCCTGGAAATGTCATGCAGTGTTGTGGATGATATGATGCAGTAGGAAGAAAAAAATCAATTTCTATCACATTATATAGTTTTTAGACCTAAAAATACATACCCAGGTGGTTGTTTTAGTATTTCAATATATATAAAACTATAAGATATTGTTTTAGTTTGAAGATGTGAATTGGTCATCAAATTCATACTGTGCTTTGTAGGGCTGGGCGATAAACTGAAAATTTACCAATTCCGAAATTTATGACAATAACCATTGTCATTTTGCCCGTATCGGTATACTCAGTGTCAAAATAAATAAATAAATAAATAAATAAATAAATAAGAATTTGTTTTGGATGTGTGTAGGTAGGCTTTGGTCTCATATCCCTTTATGTCTTTCGAGACATGACTGACAAAGACGTGACTCCACCCCATCCAGTCCGTAACAAAAAGGGAAAGACAGGTGAGGAAATGGAGGACGGTTCAAGAGTTGTAGCAGCGGCTGAAGTTGACGAAGTTAATGTGGGAGGGGTTGAGAATATTGTGGAGTAGTTATCGTTGATTTATCATTATCAAGGTGGACTGCTTAATATATTGTGATATTGATTTGAGGCCATATCGCCCAGCCCTAGTGCTATCCCTTTTTTTTACAATGATATCACAGAAATAGAGATAATCGAGCTGATATCTTTGTTGTTGTTGCAGGGAAATTTTTATTCTAAATCAGCTTCATTCTGTTTGAGTATCATATCCAAGTTAGTTATCTTTTTTCTTTTCTTTAAAAATACCTTCTCAAACTCAGTTACCACTTCCACATCTGCTCCTGTAAAAGAGACAGATTGGGATCGCAGTCTGACTAAATAAAGTGCTTTTCACTTTCATTTTGTCTCTTTGGCAGAAGGAAGAAGATTATCTGCGACTCAATTTTCAAAGTTACAGTGGAAAACTGTACGGAAGAAACAATGTACCCTACCAGTGCTGTCCTCGTAGACCACTGTTAACTTCCTCCATTTGAAGAATGTGACCACATCCAGGATGGCCCTGGCAATGGCCGTGTACTCGGGAAACAAGTTGATGAAGAAGGTGTCTTTGTTGTCCACTGATGGATGTTTCCAGCGGGTCTGTATGTGGGGGACCTCCAGGGCATTACAGATGGACTGAACGGCGCTGACAGAGGAGCTGTGAGAGGGGCCGAACACCGCCACCACCCCAAGAGCCAACTGGTCACACACTGGAGGCGAAGAGGAACACAGAGCTGATGCTTAGTGAAGTTTATTTTTTCAAAGAGGAGGATCTGAGAGTGTTTTGAAACCTATTCAAGCGCAAACAAGATTCACTGTCTGTGGAAATAAGATAAGGAGACAAATATTTTGTTCTGGTTAAAAATGGCATACTGTGTGCCAAACCGCAGCATTCGTCAAACCTTACTTAATTTACATGATAAGCAGTCACCTTAGTTGTAGAAAAAAACCCTTTTCCATATAGTGTACTTGTTTTGTTAGAGCTACAAAATGATTTGCTTTCAGAAAAATTATTCACACATCATTAAAATGCAAATTTGATCTACCTCTGAGAAATAATATATTTCCTTTTCCTCCAGTAATTAAGCAGGGAAAATTTATTCACACTACATACAGTACATCATCAAAAAGCTGCATGTAGGGACATGAAAGTCTTGCACAAAATGGATTAAAAGATTTTTAACGACTTGAAGATCAAAATATTATCACAAATTTAAGTAATAATAACAGGCTGCAAAGCGTAGCACTTGTCTTACCTCTCCGTGACGCCTCAAAGCCATCAAACAGGTTGATCCGCTGAATGTCATACGTGAGAGTGGTGTTTGGCATCAGGGTTTTGTTGCGGTTGATGTTGTTTACGGCAAACTTAAAGGCCAGTTCATCCATACTCACTAACTCACTCTCCCGGGTCTCAAAAATGCCACCTGCAAAAAAGAGATGGAGAACCAAGACACTATAACTGCAGGAAAAATAAAAATGTAGTTTGATTTATTCTGTGCAGTCTTAAAAAATCCATGATTCAAATTAAACAAAGTAAGCTGGTCGATGTTAAGAGCCAGACATAAAAGGACACAAAGCTCTATTAGCCTGCAGTAACAGGTCAAGCTACAGTATTCATATTTTAACGGTCGGCACCACCTAAAAGTCACTTGATGCCCCTATCAGTCTTATTTAATGAGGGTCATTTTATTTCAGATCAGTTCTCCTCATGAAGACTGAATCTCTCTGTTATAAACAAAGCCATAAATATGTTACACCCATAGTTAAAGATAATATTTGAAGCCCCAAAGCACCCAGCTTCAATTTTTAACAAGCAGAGAATTAATTTGGAAATTTCACAGAAGCATACAAATGAAGATGAATATTAAGTGCTGAAAGAAAAACAATTAGCTGTTCATTCTGAGGCATTAATAATTTTCTTAACACTTAATTCTCAAAGTGAGAGCTTGTCATTTGGATACTGTTGCTGCTTTTTTCACCATTTTTATTTTTTCATCGGGGCCAAATGCTGTGTAGCGCACGGACTAGCTGTCAGCAGACTTTTAAGAAACAATGCTGTTCAGACAGACTCCTGGTACAGCCCCAAACTCCTCATCAGCATCCTGTTATCTTGGGTGCAGGAGAAGTGAAGTGCGGACTCAAAGGCTGGATGAAATGGATGTAGCACAATCAGTTCTTCAGTACAAGAGGCTTTTAGAGCTTCTTGTGGAGATACAAAAATTGGCTTTTATAAAGACGAGTGAAGTCATATCTGTGGAGACGGTCGTGAGCATTGGACAACTTATTTTCAGTCTTGTAAATGCAGTATACAGTATCTCTCAGATTGACACAGACACTTTGTGCTCATTTACTGATGCAGCAGATGTTTGCCCCGACTGAATCTAATTATGAACAATTCTCTCTTTTTGTCCCTATCTGTTCTGGTCTAATTGTTTTCTGTCTTCTGCTCCTGATAAGTGCGGAAAAGATTAAAATGTAGACTTCGTCAGCTTATTCTTGTTTTAAAATATATTACAGTTTTACAAGCACTGAGAAGTTATCCACTGGAACAGAGACAATGATGCAGATATTAGAGTGAAAGCACTGGAAGTTTGTCGTCGGGCTTCACAGGAAATAACAATTTCATTAAATTCTCCACGTAAGTATTAGCAATAAAATATCAATACAGTCTTAATGTATTGCAATGAATCAGAAAAAGAAGTGCTTTCTCATTATGCGTGTGAATATTCTCTGCACAGAATGAGGTCTGTGGATACCATCTGCATTTTTTAGAACTTTGATGCAGATTAGACTCAAGCATCCCCCGTGTAAGGTGCAAACTTCATGATGAAATTAAATTTTTTTTTTAAGAAGGATTTAGCAGACAGATAAAAACTGTACAGGTACAGCAAGCATGCACTCATAAAAGGGCTGGGCGATATGGCCTCAAGTCAATATCACGATATATTGATAACGATAAATGGACGATAACTACTCCACAAGCGGCTCACCCCCTCCCATATTAACTTTGTCTACTTCAGCCGCCGCTCCAGCTGCTACAACTTTTAAACCGTCCTCCATCTCCTCACCTGTCTTTCCCTCTTTGTTACGGATTGGAAGGGGAGGAGTCATGTCTCCGACGTAGGACAGTGTCTTAAAAGGGACATGAGACCATAGCCTACCTACACACATACAAAACCAACTTTATTTATTGATTTATTTGATCTCAAATACATTAAAATTGGAAAAATGACATTGGTTATTTCTGTAAATCTCAGTATTGGTAAATTTTCAGTTTATCGCTCAGCCCTACACTCAAACACAAACAGACAGAATGACAGCCTCTGTCTTACACCTAGTCAAGGCCCATAACCTGCGGTCTGATCACCCAGGTCCAATGATAATGCGAGGCATAAACAGAATAAGAAGTTCGACACGGAACAAAGGTTTGATATCAAAACTGGAGCCTGTAAATGTTTTTACTGGATCTGTACTGCTTTTTATAAGATCATGCCCCTAAACACAGTCTGAGGTCATTTCAGTTTTGTACCACTGTAATTTTTTCTTATAAATCAGCACACTCTAGCTTCACATTTCCATGAGCAGACAGTGATTAAAGTTCAGTGGAGTCTGTGAAGCATCCTCGGTTGTTTGGGGACTCACAACAGGTGGACATTTCATTTCGGTCTGGTGTGTCGTTGTTCTGTTGCTCACAGATAAAAAGAAACTATTACAGTGAGGTAGGGGGGAAAAACACCAGGACTGGGTTTACACTTGCTGATCAGGAAAAGCATATTTATTTGAGCCTCAGGGGCGCCGTGTGTTTATCAAGATTCGTGGGATTCGGAAAGTCAGGACACAGGGCATGTGCGATGTAAATTACTAACCTCATCCGACGTCTGGCTGTGTAAATCTGCAATCATGATCAATTGCTGGTTCACTTGAATTCCTTATCATCAACGATCCAATTTTCTATGCATACCTAATGACTCTGCAGTTTTCATGCAGTCACACGGTCAAACACTTGCAAAGGTTTAAAAACACAGACACAGGTACTAAAAAGATAAGCTGTCACACATAAATCTTTGTAAATGCAACCAAAGCCAATTAGTAATTATCGTCAAGACCCATTAAACCATTAACATAAAAACGTCACTTCTGCTGCAATTACAGTGATTACCAGGTACACTGCTGTATTGGAAGAATAAAAACGTGGATACGGTTCGGTACGACAGACTGGTGAGAGATTTAGCTGCCTGCTGCGGTGAGAGGAAAACATAAAACAAAGCTGCAGAACCACAGAGCTTTGTGCCAACCTGTCATGCAGAATTGATCAATCTCTTCAACATCCCACGGGGAGACAAATCTGTGTGTGTGTGTGTGTGTGTGTGTATGCCTGTGTGTGTGTATGTGTGTGTAAAATCTCACACCATCCATCACCTCTCTGTTTAATTACAAATAATTATGTCTCACGTTTGTCATGTGTCATCCCCTCTTGCAGAGCTTGAACTCTACAGTGAGTTGAGACTGCTGCAGTCATAAAAAAGCATTTTTTTTTTCAAACAAGGTGTTTTTTTTTTTCTTTTGCAAATGAATTAATGTAGCTCAGAGCACTAAAAGCATTCATTCAGCTCCCAAATATAATGAGGAATAATTTGCCTCAGGAATACACATCCATCTGGCCTACAAGGCAGCATAAATGAGTGTTAAAAGTTTCAGAGGAACCACGGGACTTCATAAAGGCTTTTTAAACATGCATCCTGGTTTGCAGGTACGATTTTATCTGCATAAAATAGGAGTACACTTGAGATGCGCGACTCGAACTAAAACACAATGTGGCTCATTAGTGCCGCATTGAGGATGAGTGAAAACAAAATCTAAAAGTTCTTTAAGCTAGTTATTGGTTTTCCTGTAAAAGTTGTGTAATTTTACAGCTTTTTTTATCGTTGGAAACAAGAGAGACGTAGTGAGGAGAACAAATCACAGTTGAGACACAAACTGAGGATTGTGCAGTTTTGTTCTAGTGAAAACACTTGCTAACCTGACATTTGCATAGAGATAACAGAGGCATTTTTAATACCCGGGCACAATCCTCATAAAGGATGTATATTTATGCGGAGGACTTTAAAGAGATGTGTCCAAATATCACCATTTTCCATCAATAAAACCATTAGTGAGTCCAACTACCAGGAAACACAGACTTACACATGATTGATTGAAAATGGAAATAAATAAAGAGCCTCCATAAGCAGAGTTTCAGACCTGATTATTGTACCAACACATGCCTCTGATTCTTACTTGATTTAACAAGGGGTTTTGAGACGAAAAGGTCAAAACAATTCTTTCTTTTTCATGTTGCTCTCTTTTTGTACCTCGAGATGATGGGCTCCAAAAAGGCACACTTGAGTTGAATCATCTTTTTTTCACCGCCACATTACGGCAGAAGGCAGTTTCACATCAAATGGCCACTCAAATGGCGCCTGAGATAGAAAAAATGTGGATCTTCGGAACGAGGATAAAAACCACTGAGTTGAAGAAGTAAGAGAGTTGGCCTTTCTGCTGACAGTTATAAAAACCACTACCATCTGTGTCTGTGTGAAAACCACTTTGGAGAGGCGATGGAGCTGCAGGCAGGTGGAAATGCATCTGGTTGGGGGGGGGGGGTTAAAAAAAAGTGTGCGAAGGGGGGTGGGCGAGGGGGGTCTCAGGTGTCAGACTGAGTGACAGACATTTCGCACACACATCCTGAGCGTGAAAACACAAGGGGAAGCATTTCGTTTCACTGACAACAAATCAAGGGAAACGAGGCAAAAATGCAATCAGGGATTTCAGGGGAGAAGACACAGAAACAGGGGCAGACAGAAATGACTGCGGCGAGGGCACTTAAAGGATGATGATCTGAGACTGAGAGCCATAAAAGACAATCAGTGAACAAGTGAGAGTGAATGGCAAGTTTCACAAAATTCAAGATATAAAATGTTTTAGGTCTCGAAATGAGAGGGCTTTTTTGACAATAATTAGAAACGATAATAAACTAATGAGGCCCAAGTGAAGCGTTACTCAAAATAACACCACTGTTTTCTTCAATCTTCATACTTTCAGTCGTTCTTGCAGAATAACAGCAAACAAAGCCGCCTCTACAGTTGACTTGTTTTGTTTTTCACAAGTTAAAAGACACAAGTGCCATAAATCAGACAAAAGAAAGGTGCTTAAAAGTAATGTTTAACTCACCACCACAAAGCCAGCCTGCATATCACAAGAAAAGCCTCATGAGACAACACGATCGATACACACAAATGAGTACCAATGTGATCCTTGCAATTCAATGACAGAGTGCAGCTCCCTCTCCTTTTTCACAAACAGGGATCCTGGGTTGGTGCCAGCATGATGAACAATCACGTTACAGAGGCAGCCAATTCCACAGTTTATCTGTGTATATATCTCTGACAGAAGTGAGGCCAACTTTCCAAAACTCGGGCAATTTGGCTGCCAAGAGATTCATTTTTTTCCTAATGGCCAGATGTTGAAGAGAAAGGAACTAATGAATAAATATGAGCAGGTATTGTGTTTATAAATGTAAGCAACTCCTCCAACATCGTTCAAGCAGCCTGATTTAACAAAAAGGAGCAAAACTTTCACCTTCAAAGACAGTGTATGTGAATCTTGTGGGAATTCTGGGGCTTGTGTTATGCAAAGGGGTCTGAGCTGAACCATCAAACTTGAACTAATTGGTCCTGAATGGTTCTAAATATTAATGTGTGACCAAGAGCCAAACTCCAGATCAGAAACCTCCTGTATGTGTAACCGTGGCCTTCAACAGATAAAATGAGCAAATGCCATCCATGCTAAAGAGGGGATCCAACACACTGGCCTGTTTACAAAGTTATCGAGATGAACTGGAAAGTCAGCGGGAGTCTGAAGTTTTCTGCCTGGCAAATTGATCCAGGAGCACAAGTTCAAAGAAATTAAAGTGTAATTAGTGTCCGTAATGTTAATTAAAAAGGAATGCCAGAAACACTGTGATAGACAGTAGGGGAGAGTGGGGTAAGATGAGCCATTTTTCATATTTCAGATCACTACATCAAGGCAATCATAGTTTCGTCGCTAACTAGTGTATCTGCATATATTTCAAGATGTTGTTCATCCCTGCAAACAAACAGAATGAGTGTAAACATAACTGTCTTGATAATTTGGCATGCAGAAAAAAAGGTGTTTTTTCTACGGTCAACTTACCCCGTGTATGGGGTTAGTTGACCATAGGAGCGGGGTAAGTTGAGCAGTAACCCTACTATCTTCCTTAACTCTCCACCCCAGCCCTCCCTCACCTTCTCTCTCCTTAAATATCAGTCACTTCTTCACATGTATGTGTATTTTTATCTATCATATGCATATAACTGCTGAAAAGCTGTTTTGTAAAAAGCCATTTTAACATGAGAATGTCTTTAAGTGATTCAGAACATTCACAGCAGTATTTTTGAAAAGAAAAAGTAACACATTTCAACAATCTGAACTGAAACTCTGATCCTCTCATCAGACTTTACTTTCTCAGTGGAGTAACTAGCTCAACTTACCCCTGAACTACTATAATGACTTTATCAGCCCTCTAAGCTAAAATGGTAGACTTTTATGATAGGTTTTTGACCTGATGTTGTAGCTCATAGATACCACAATTGATGAATAAAAGAAATTTAAAATAATCTTTTTTGGTCTGAACACAATTCTAATAAAACTTATGATGGACTAAATTCACTTTCAAGAGTGAAATTTTTTTTGTTTTTTGGGGGTAAATAAATGTCTAACGCCTTCACCCATTCACTTCTAACCATCACAGACTCCATAAATTGATGCCCATCTCCTAAATATTCAATTTACCCCACTCTCCCCTATATGAACTCAGGAACAATATCACAAAAAATAGGTATTTTCTTATAGAAAAACTTGGATATATTTGTGATTCTTAACCATGCTTTCAATCATGTCTCATACATGCCACTGCAAATACTTCAGGAAGGTTAAGCTTTTGCTTAAAAACTAAATTACATATATTAACTGCACAGACATGTTGATTATTTTCAAATAAGTATGGGCTGATTTAGATAAACTCACTTTTACATATGGTATATTACCATTGAAAGAAATCATTATGTACAACAAGTATAAAGAAAAAATCCTAACTGAGGTCAGGACAGGACGCACCTCTGTGTGAACAACATACTTCAGCTGGGAGTAGTAACAACACTGACCAAAGCGGTAGAGTTAATAGGCAAGACTCAGGGGTGAAAGTAAGCCAGTACACAGCGGTACACCGTACCGCGAAGACATAAACAGCAGTTTAAAGCCGGTACGCAGCTGTACGCAAACATTCACCCCTGCAATGTTTGTAGGCTACATTTGCTAACCGCGTTGCCGCATGGCAGTCTGCACTCTGCACTGTATCCGTAGTAATCCAATAGCACCATGCTGCTTGCGAGTGAGTCGTATTTGCTTCTGCAAACAAACAAATTGAAGAAGAGCGCTCAGTGCGCACTTTTGATTGGACGCTGGTTGGCTAGGCACTGGGGACCACCTCCCGCCTTTTGCGGAAGTGGGGAACTTTTAAAGAGACAGCTGCATAAAAGCTTAATGCAGAAATAAAACAAAACAGAGACAATTTGATTTTATGTTGAAAAGAGAAAGAGAGATGCAGCAGATGATGATACTGTGGCATCAGAGTCGGCACCTCGTTAAACTTGGGTGTGCTTCTCTTGTACAAAGCCTACAAGTACAGTACCTCCAAGAACCTTATCCTAATTTCACACCTGCCAAGACTTCAGATATTCCAAGTCAAAAGACTGTTAGCCAACATTATAGTGTATACCCTAACAACCACCAAGACATGAAACAATAAAAACTAACTGATAAATTTACACTGGAGGTCTAAGGTCGTTATCACGTGTTACACTAAAAGAAACTTTTAAATATGACTTTCTGTGTCTTGGTGAGAGTTGTTGAGTGTCTCCATATAGATAAATTACAGCATATCATACATTTCTCACAAATTCACAAGCAAGAGGCCTGAAACAAGTTGTTCAAACATAGTTAATTTTAGGTAAATTTCTTGTAATTCATTTGTTTTCTTCCCTTTTTTTTTTAGTTTCTCTCCAAATAAGAATGATTGTTTTTGTCTGTCTGCTGCATGAGCACTGCGCCGTTTCCTTTATGTGGATGACGTGAGGAGTTGTCCATGAACACTTCTGAAACAATTTAAAAAGTCACTGTTCAAAGACAAATGCATTTTCTACAGTTTGTAAACAACAAATATCATGTCCTTGTTATTTTATCAGCAAAACATGTGAAATTGTGTTTGTTCTGTGGGGGTTAGCATGGCTGTTAACACGCAGGCAAGCAGGTTTTGAAGTATGATTCGAGATAAGAGCTGCAGAGTCCTGGATTCTATCACCGGGGGGATAACTTAAGCATCTGATATCTGATTCACCATAATCTACCAGAGAGCAGATAAGCCTGGATAAGAAAAGATTGCACGGTGGCACCTTGGTGTGGCAGTTGGCACGAAGATGACAATACACAGTTCTCAGGCTTCTCAGGCTTCTTACCTGGGGTCTGGACCATGCTTTTGAGTCAACACAGTGTAAGAAAAAAAAAGGTAAACCTGTACAAGTGAACACCAGGAAGTGCACTGCAGGAAGAAAGAAGATAAAACTAAATCAATGGTTTGAGTTCTGGCCTTTTGGCTTCAAATTTCTGCCAAAGCCTTTCCTTATTTAGCTTATATTTTCTAATCTTCACACACTGAGATCATCCTAAAGTGACCAATGGGACATTTTTCTACGTCTACCTCGTGGAAATAACCCACCTGTTCTATAATGACAGTGAAAGTTAAATGTTTAATCTAAGCTTGTACATTTGTCCATACTTGTTTAATCATTCAGGTTTAATCTTTGTTTTGGCAGACGTGAATAGGAGCTGTATGAATCTGAGCTCGGGCATAGATGACGTAATGACCATGCCACACAGAACTGAAATTGATTTGTAAAACTGAATCTGAATTGTGCGAGCTGAAATTGAATTTTTTACTTTTGAAATTAAGGAAAATAGAAAGTTAAGTTTTCAAATAGGTTAAATACAATTTACTGAATTTGAAAAGGTTAAATGCTTTTCAAATTCAATCTAATTATTCAATTTCAGTTTCTAGTGGCACAAATCTCAGCCCATACTTAAGTTGGATTGGTAAAACTGCATTTCATCTTAGTCTAGACTATAGTTTTTAAATTACCACAATAAACTTAAGAGTATGGTAGTCAGTGGTACGGAAAAGGCAAGCAGTGCAAGGATGGCATTATTTGGTTTGCTCTCCTGTTTTTCTTCCTACGTTCAAGATTGAGATTGATTGACCTGTTATGTGACCCTGGACTGCATGAACTCAGTGTCATGTAAGCTCATGTGGGCTGGCCAGATAAATATATGTATGACACTATAATAAAATCAAACTTCAAACTGTTTCACAGCGAACTGGTTCAGAGTTCAAAACCCAGCCAGTGTCTTCCTACATTCTGTCAGTAAATTGTGGACACCAGTTTCTAACATCAAGAAAAGAAAATAGTGGGGCTTCAGGGCGGAGCTTGAAGTTGTGATATGGGAAATCTCTCTTTGTCTGAGCGTGCAGTTTGGGTCTGCCAGAGGTTCACAAAGATTTAGATGCAGAAATACTCAGAAATGCAATTTTGCACTTATTTTCCTCATAATATGTCCTGTAGCTGTAGAAAAATGCCATATGAACAAACAGACAGTGAGTCAGATATGTGCCTCAGGGTGTGAAAGCAGAAAACAAGGAGAGAGCATTAAAATAAAACAGGCAAAAGCTTATAAAGATCTCGAACTTTAGATGGTTAGAGAGAGTATATACGAAATGCAGTTGATTTTTTCATCCAAACTTTTCAGGAAAATATATTCCATAACCAAAGTTAGTTTTTTTTTTTTTTCAAAGTTAAACTTGTGGTGTGAACTGAAGATGTCACCTTGAATCATTATCTGACATCTCATGGCTCCCATTTAATTTAATCTTTACCAACAAGATTACTTGTTTTTGTTTTTCAGAGAGGGAACAGCAGAGACCAGCGTGGATCTGAAATTAAAAAGATGCTTGCCGTTAGCCTGGTGCAGTGGTCATCCTCATTTAGATGCTTGCTGGTGCTTTGCAAAACTATGAAGCTGAACTTTGCAACCTCCCAACTCAACCTACACATGCACCAATCTACTCAGCCACCTCCAGCTTAAAGCTAACATCTTAGCCATCTGTAAGTTCTTCCTTTAAGGGATTTATGTACTTTGTTGTTCATTCAAAGCAAGTGGCTAACTTCCGCCTTGAGTAATGAACACTGAGTGCAGTTTTGAGCAGAGGTGCTTATAACTACACTTCCTCCTCTTGAGTCCGGGTGAAAAGCACAAGTAGGCCACACACACAAACGAACAAACAGACCATCTCAACAGCATAAATAAGTTCATATCTGATTCTACAACTCCCTTTTTTTCAGATGGGTAATGAGTTTTGTATAATTAAAGGCATGGCTTACTTTACTGACAGGTGGGCAAATCTGTTTTTAAGGAGACAAAAGGCCTGTATCAACTCCACTTTTTGCCTGTTGCTAGGTTGACTGACAGGTAGGTTGAGTCAGCTTTTCCATCTTGGCACCCACTTTCAATAGAGTACTTCAAACCTTTACTTCAAAAACCAGTAGGTAATGTCACCGAGGCTGCATCCATGTTTTGGAAATTTGATGTTCCAAAGCTATTTGCCAACTCTACAAAAGAAGGACCCAGTCTTAATTTGAACCGACAACCCTCTCATTGTGTGCCAACAGTGCTAACCATATAGCATTACACTAATATGCCACAAATGAGTGTTAACTTGTAAGGTATTATGTGTCTCCAGTACATTAGTAGTTCAAAGTTAGAGTCCACTTTGCTGTGGGAGAATTGATCTAACGTGACATTAGGGGAACTCAGTGTGGATGAGAAACTCCCTGCAGGTGTATGTCCCACAACCAAAAGGGTGATCATAGTTCCTCCTTATTTGAGGTTCAACAATAGGGCCAGTGCCTCTTTCTTGGCACCCTAGAAAAAGCACTATAAAGATTGAAATATTGCTTAACACAAGAAAACCCCAGTTTGGCCAAGTCAGAAAATCCTGGCTCCACTCCTTGGCTTCACACTCTGCAACCCCACCGCTTATCCCTTCCCTCCAAATGATTTTCATCCTCCTTCTCTACTCCAGTGTTTGTTTTAAAACATGACTTCCTAAAATTTCTGACCATGAAATATGACGTATGTTTCTTAGATCAGTCTCTTTCTTGCAATCAGCTGATGAATGAGAGAGAAACCTGTTTAAGATACATACACCGATTATATGACATTTGCTGTAAATGAAACTAACAAACGTACAATGTGGAAACTCAAAGCCTTGTGCACATGCTCTGAGAATTTAGTTTTTTTTTCTTTTGATGGAGTAGGACAGCCTTTGTCAAGCAATTTAGCTTTTGAAATGAATAATATTTGCATATTCATGGATTCTGGATTTTTTATCGAGGGAGAAAGAATGGCACGTAATTGGACTTTTTAAAAAGGGCAAATTATTCCATCAGAAGACACAGCTGGTCAAGGGATCTTTCACCAAATGGTAGACTCAGAGCTCGAAAAAAGACAAAAAATTCTTTGACCATAATGGCTTATTTTGTGTTTTACAAGTAGTGACACAGAGTTTACAATTCTATATGTAGTTGTTATGTTATTAGAGGCACGTGTTGATAATTGCTACTCCATCTTTATTGTAGGACATACCACAGCACATTGTAAAAGAACATAAAAATTCTGATTGATTTATTGGTCAGCTGATATTATCAGCTTATGTGGATCCTTTACATTTATATATCTGTACCTGCATAATTATTTTATTAGATGTGCTGATGTTAAACTTTTCTTGAAAGAATATTATTTTAAAAAGTGGCTAAAGTGCACTGGAACGCCATAGTTAATCATCCTCTTTGTGGTGTCTGCAACTCATGTAGCAGAATAGCAAATATTTTGGCACGTTAAAAATAATGTTCCATAAATTTGATCATGTGATTTTGTTATGAAATCGCCCTTTTCTCATAGTTTGACGCAAAATTCACTAAGAATCGGCTAGTTTTCCATTTCGGTCAGCCTGTAACAAGTGTACTTTCTCTTCTAAAGTAAGTGTTGTCCTCAAAAATCCCCCTGACATACAGTCTGACTCTAATCTGATTCAAATTCACAAAGTGAGAGATTCAGATGACGAGCACAGCCCACAGCAGCATTCACCAGTCACCACCTCTTCTAATCGAGTGCAGCTGAAGTTCTCTTGCTCCTCTTAACACCACTACACAACCCATTACAGAAGAAGTGAAGATGATTACATCCCCATCACTGGCTCCCTTACATCCATCTCATTGATGGAGTGGTGTCAGTGAGTAAAGATCAGCTAGGGGACTTTCATGAATTACAACACCCAGCAGTGGTACCTGGTACAACCACAGGAGAACACCAGGGAGGGATCAATAATCTATTATATTCTGCTATGTAAGGGTCCGGGTGGAGCGGTCAAAACATGAAGTTATCTATAGTGTAACTAAAGATTCAATTAACATTTAAATGGTTTAAAAGCTGCTTCATGAATGCCAAACCCTCAAACAAACCCTCTGGGCTGAGAGATGAAGTCTAATCACAGTTCTATATCTATAATAGAAAATGGGACTTCACAGACATTTTGGAAAACATTTGACGGAATAATTATTACCAGAAAGATGTTATCTGTTGAAGTATTAAAATGACAAATGTGGTCAGCACAGAGGGAAGACTGAGTTTGCAGAAAAAGGTAGTTTTACGAGATTGAAAGTTATTTTAACGACCTCTGCTTCAAGTAAATCCTCAGCAGTATGGCACCGTTTATATCCTTGAATAAATTATTTAGAGGAGATTGAAGGTGTAATTTTTAGTAGATGCAGGTAATAATTTTCTCTGTTCTGACACAAACTGAATGGAAGCACAGCCATTACTCTATCATTATTTAAAGGGGAAGACATGGCACGAAATATCTTTCGAGTGCGCCAAAACCTAAAGAAAAGGGGAAAAGTAAAGAACTTGAAGATGATAGTTCAGAAACAAGAGATGTTTTTATCACTATTATTTTTTTAATGGTGCACTTATACCCCTGACAAGACAATGTGCCTGCTCATCTGCAGCTTTTTTGGTAGACTACTGACTCCTCCATCTACCTAAGAAAACGCAAGGAAACACCAACAACACCGTGCGTAAACAGCTGTTGCGCTTACCGATTCTGAGGACTTGTGAAGAGCTCAGGCAGAGCTGTACCAAGATCAGGAGACAGAAGAAAAGTCTCTTCCTTTCATCCATAGTGCTCCAGGCGATCTCACCGCGGATAATGACACCATGACAGAGAGAAACAGCTCCTATCTGAGCGCTGGAGCACCTGATGTGCCATGCCAGCGCGCAACCCAAGTTTTATTCCCACTGCGATCCTTTGGCACTCTGCATCACTCCATCGCTTCAAAGAAAGGAAACATGATGAGCGTCAATCACGTGAATCCAACTTTCCTTTCAAACTCAAATCCAAGTCAACTCTTACACGGAAAAAAACAACTGGTGGCGACAGAAACAGTCAGTCAGCATCAACGCATCTACTTTGACTCAGTGCGTCTCCAGGGCGGCAGCAGCTGGAGGAAAAGGAGAGCGCACGGATAAACGTCAATGTTGCTGAAATAAAAAAGAAGAGTTCCGCCACGCTTTTCAAAATAAGGCACAGAGAAATGAAACGTACCTGGATATTAGAAGCTACCATGGACTGTATGGACGCCGTCTGCCTCATAAATCCTGCCTCCTCCGGTCATCCTTATGCAGCTGTGGACAAACTTTAGAAATGTATTACACAGAATATACATTTTCTCCCCCTTGCTTGCGATGTTCACATGTAGTTACAAGACTGGTTTTTGCTCAAGTCCTCTTTTTTCTGTGCAGCGCCATTTTTAAAAGTTGCTAGGGGGGTTGTTTTCGATGATTGACACTTGATACAGCCTATGGGCGTACGAAGATTGTGTAGCTCGCCCGGGGATACGCTGTTTGAGCCGAGCGTCATCACAGCGACTCTCCGCGACTTGCCCGCCAAATTCGTACAACGCTACTGCGCCGTATTGGTTTCAGGAAGTGGAGAAAAAAAACGGAAATACCAAGTGCTTTTTATACTGGAAGGCGGAGCCAAGCTGTCCATAGTATATACAGTCTATGGAAACTACTTATTTAAAAATTATACATATATTCCTGAAAATATGGTAGGCCCACTTGTTGGGAAATTGTTGTCAAAAAAGTGAAAAGTATTATATGACCAATTATTTTTGAATTCATACAATAAAATTGATTGTCATCATTTTAATCTGCAGGTTTTTTTTAAGGGTTTTCAGAGGGTGGCTTTATGAATCACTGGCGCTTCTTTAGCAAAACCTTTCTCCACACTGTATGATACTCAAATTTGCATTAGCATCGGTGTTACGCCCTTTAATCTCAATTTTAGCAGACTAAACATGCTACAGCAAGAGCAAAGCACATAAAGTTTTCTACTTCAGTAATGGAAAAAAGATCATTGCTGATGTAGTTACTTGAACTATGTCAAAAATATCATGTTCCGTGTTTTACACAGTTAATGGCATTTTGACATAATTGGCATCTTACCAGCTTTAGCCCTTTCAAGGCTGATATCATCATTAGCTTTTCCAAATGGGAACACATTTTTCCTTCACCCTAATGGTAACAACTGTAAACATAGCTTTTCCCATAATTTTTGACCCTATTATGAATCTCGGTTGTTCTTTCCTTTCTGAATAATTTCAGGTTGCTGGACAAAAAAGTCAAGTCCCAGGTGAGATACTTAACTTCTCCTTTTTTGAAATCACATTATCCACCCCAGTAAAGCTATTTTGTCTCAAATTTATAGTATGAATGGTTGTATTTTGTCAGATGCAAACGACATCATGATATTACATATTGGCCCTTGCCCAACCTGCTCTCCCATTATCATTATATCAGCCATTAAAAAAATGATAGGCCTATTGGTCACCCACTAGAATAAACGTATGTTGCTCTGCAAATGGTGCAAGAACAAGGTGGCTTTTCCTCTTGTTCACTTTGCTTTTCATCAAAATGTCAGATCTGACCAGGATACCTTCCAGTGAACAATTTGCAAACTTTTATTTTGAAGGCACATACAGTCCGTGGCTAGTTTGGCTCCATTTGTGCTGGATTAAGGAGCAGATGGACTGGCAGCACTCCTCTCCACCAGTCTTGATGAGAGGAGAATAATCTTCAGGTTACAGCACAGATGTTAGATTATCTCAGCACTGTGAGTCGATGTCTTCATCTTAATGAGCCACTGGATGCCTTCCCATCATGCTTCAGGACCACTGAAACTCAGTTTTAATAGAAACTGGAGACACATCTTAATAGAAAGTCTTCTTTTTTGTTTGTTTTTTTATGATTGCCAACCTCACTCATCTCTCTTACTACCTGACAAAACATTAGTATCTTCAGTTTCAAGCTTTTTGTAAATTGTCCTTACAGAGAATATTGTGTGATTTAAATCTTTGTCTTGTCCACACTTTAGGATTAATATGTTTTCAGCATAATGTCTCTGAATTCCTGAATTGATCCGAACAAATGAGCCAACCTCACAACTGAACCTGGACCTCTGAAGAACAGCCTATAGACAAACTTAATTCGCTGTTAATGAGTATCCAGCCTCCACAGAAGGACACTAAAAAGCAACACTCCCAACTCACATGCTTTGAATACTGAGCAGACTGCGTACGCTACACAAGTTGAATACTTGAGTTAAACAATACATTTAAAAATATATATGCATCAACTTTAAGGACAGGGGAACTAAAATCAAACTACTTTGTCAATTCTAGTCAGGCAAAGCCATTCTGTCTTTTTTGTGGTGAGTGTATTTTTTTTATGACAGTTTTATTAACTTTCTTAAGGTTTATGTATCTCTACTTTATAATGTTTGTTCAGCTATCCATCAAAATGGCTTTTATGTTTTGATTTCATTACACATTAAATTCAGGACCACACATTGTACTCCGAGTCTGCAATTCAATCTGCAAAAGCATCTGGCATAGATCATTTTAATTCAATCAACTGAATTTGATCTTCTAATAATCTCTGGTGCCCTTGTGATGTTTATAGAAATGCTCAGTCTATCCTTGATTCAAGAAAAAAAAAATCAAGGTTTCCAAGTTTTGCGTTAGAGTGCAGCACAAATGTAGAACAGATACACAAATTTAAATTTAGAAAATTTATTTTAACATACAAATGATAATAATACTCCACAGTTTTATTAACGAACACAGTTTTCATAGTACAAAGGAAGGAGTCTGAGGGGGTTCTCACAAAAATTTGCCTCCACAGCTAGGTGATTGTATCTCACAGTCTGAATGTCCTTACTGGGCCGTTATCAGCCACCAGCTAAAATCTAAGAAACCAGCATCAGAAGAAGAAGACAATAGCAAAATTATCCAAGGTATATTATTTTCCTCCATTCTACTCACACTCTGAACAGAGTAGCTTGCAGAATTCCCCCCTCACAGTTGGGTATTAAGTGCATGTCAATACATCCATTAAGGTGCACATCACTGTGTTGATCTCAGCAATCAGCGTGTTGTTGTGATGACATAAAGTGAAACAGCACAGCCTGGTGGAGAGACGGACAAATGCAGAGAAAGTGAAGTAGAAATGCAGTGAGGAACAATGTCATGGAGGAGGAGAAGTCTGTCTTTGTGGTTGTGACGCTGCAAGATGTTAAGAAATGTAGAAAAAAAAGGATCTTGAGAGAGCAGAGGAAATCTAAATGGGGGATGACAGTGCATGATTGCTATTTTTTTTGGAATAACAGTACAGTCACTAACATGGCTCCCCTGAACACTTCCTTTCAAACAAAGAAATTCAAGTAAAACAGGATCGTTGGAGTTTTTACACTATTTATCAAAGAGCTGGAAAATAGAAGACGCATGGCCTGTGGGGAAGAGAGGGTCGAGTAAATAAATGGCATGATGAAATCTATCATGTACCAAAATGTCATTGCGCTAATAGTTAATTGACAATAGCAAATGAGAGGACATTCATGTGAAGGGCACAAGCACAGGCTCTCTCAAGCCTGTTTCTCGTACTGCACACACAAAAGGTGGTTTGTAACACTGGGCCGCTGAATGTTGTGTAAACATTTAAAATACAGTTAAAAAAAAAGGCCAGTAATTAAATAAAGAATAGGTTACCTATCTGTTGTCTAGGTTTTCTTTAACAAGGATATGCAAGGAGACAAAAGTGAGCGTCGAAACATTTTCATACAAGAGGTTAACGGCACTATTGCAACCTGTCTATACACCAATGTGCAGCTCATATGAAATCGGAACAGTTTAAAAGCACGATAAAGCTAGTTGGATCTCACCATCTTTTTTTGTACACAGCAGTCGTTAAGCTAAAAAGCCCCTGAAGAGAAGTTCAGTAACACACAGCCCTTTGAGTGGTAAAATACAAACAAGTTTCAGAGTTGGAAAAAAATATAACAGCCACATTCCTGTGTTGAAAAATAGACTTTTTCTTTTTTTTTTTTTTTGGCCACATGGTTGAAGTTCAGTGATGATGTTGCCTCAGCTCAGCGTGTGCACAGTACAGTAGCTGCCTAGAGTCTCTGTGTCGGTGCTTCTGTGTACTATATGCACTTGCTTGTTTGTTTGTGTGGACATGCAGTGCCGCATTGTTCAGAAAATACAGTTCCACAGGTGTGTGATGCCTGGGTGCTTGTCCATAACAATGAGTACCGTACAAATGCTATTGTTCTGGATGAGAACCTCAAAGTCACAGCTAATGAAGTTGAGCAAAGTTTCCCTTATTTGCTCGGAGCTTAAGTACTTTAGGAGAGTCAGAGGAGAGGGTTGTGCCGGGATAGAAGGAGGGCGGGTTGAGGTTTTAACATCTTTTTGTACACATTTTCTCCTCTGAAATTTTCACATATTTAAAGCTTAGCTCCTCCATGGCTTTGAACAAAACCAGGAACAGTCTACTTCTGTCTCCTCGATCAGAAGACATCACTTTTGGAAAAGTCCTCCCGCCTCACCCAGATCACATCATGGTCCTTGTTTGTGACCCCCTCCACAGCACACTGCTTCAAGGGGGCGAGCTTTGCGGTAGGGGTTGCACAGCGGGAAAGAGAGACGCCACAAGAGTTGAAGGAGTCCACTGAGCTCAAGTCATCGCTGTGCTTTATTTGATTGACTTCACCTTCTTGCAATCTGCTCTGCGTGATGCCGCCATGAGTCTCTACGCCTCCATTCAAGTTGAGTCCTTGCATCTTACCCTGCAGGTTAAGAGCTTCTGCTGACGCGGCTTTCACAGACTTGCAGTACTCGTCATCGTCACTCAAAATGTCCGTCTCCTTCACCTGCCCAATGTCAATGGCTTCTCCCTGGTCTTCGTAGCGAGCTAAGTCGAACTGCTCCTCCACCCAGCGGTCTGTGTCCTCCCCCTGGGGTTTGTTCGGTTGGAGAAGAGCACGCTGGGATAGCGGCGAGTGCGAGGAGGGGTCTGGATCGCTGCTAATGTTGTTGTTGTTGCCATGGAAAACCAGGTCAGTATCGATCGTGAAGCGGTTCCTCACCAGCTTCCTGCGGGCTAGCGTCCGTGATGGAGCCGATGCTACAAAGAGAGAGAGGATGAATGTCATGCATGGACTTCGCTAGATGAATGTAAGGCCCTGTTTCAAAAGCATCCTGCACTAAATCAATATTTGGTATATGACATTCATGTTCATGTCAATCTCCTCTAGTGCACAGAAGAAATTATGCCAAATCCCCTTTGAGACATGACAGAACAGAATTGAATAAGATCTTAAAGCTGTCCTGGATGTAGGCAATAGACCATCCCCCCAATGTGTCCCAGGACAAGTCTGTATACACACTACCAAACCAAGGTGGACAAATGCATTACAGACCACCTCAATACATCGCCCGAGTGATGGATCTCAGTGCGCCCTCAATTTGTCTTGAATGCTTTAGTACCAGTAGCTAAGAGTGCACAATATTACTGCAATAAAAAAAGTATGGTTGGTTTCATTATAGGTCATAAAGCCAACCTCTTCTATGTTAACAGAAGGATCACAGGTCAGATTTGATTATTCTCATTTATGTCAGGCTTTCTAAGAGGTTAACTTTTATTTTGTGTGGTTTTTTTTTCATGCTAATCTTTGACTGAAACACCATGAATGACAGATCTGTTAACAAATGCAGCTCAAAACTAGTGGAGTAGAAGAGGAGCAACAACAGGAGATGTACAGAAACACTTGAACTCTTCTCATAACTGTGATGAAAAGGTTGTTCTACTGTTGAGTAACATGAGGAAACTTGCAATTTCATCATATCATTAAAGCTATCTTTTGATTTTGACATGAATGCTAACAGCCTTCCTCCTACAACCAATACCGTATTTTTCACACTATAAGGCGCACTTAAAATCCGTTTGGCTTGTTGGAGCACTGCAGCTACTGTAGCCTCGCGGAGTTATTGAATGAGTTAAATAAAGTTTGACTTATCTGACTGTTTTGTTTAACATATGTATGAAAATAGACGCGAATAGACACCTTCATCAATGGTGCGCCTTATACTGCGAAAAATACAGTAACTTTGTATTTTGGCCTTACTTTAGTACAACAAGAAGGAGGTGGGGTTGCATTGTCCATCTCTACATACAGTAAATGCTCAGTATGTGTGTTCATACCAAGTGTTTGGAAATTGATCATGTGTGCTGACAGTTACCAAAGGTTTCTGTAAAAAAGAAGTGGTGCTGCACCTGCTCTGTTCATGGAAGGACGCGCCCCTTTCAGAGCACACAGGCGTTTGCCCCCAAAGGGAACATACTGCTGGTTTGGAGGCAGAGACTCTGTTTTGAGAAGCTGGCGCCTCTGTTTTTCCCTCAGGATGGAGTGAACCGCTTTCAGGAAGTCCTTCTTACTCTCTGGAGAACTATAACAGAAAAAGAAATATAGTCAAATACCATTGATAGGTTAAAGTTTCATGTTTTGACGGCATTTATAGAGGTAAAAAGAAAAAAATCCTACCTGCAGCACAGCTGGAAGGATCTCTCTGGTCTTCCTTCTGATTCAGATCTTGTGTGAACTATCTCACATACAGCTGTGCCCTCAGAGTCTGAGAAAAGAGAGATGTGATCCACATTTACAAACGCTTTCAGTTAATACCCGTCATCAATTTCTTTCCCCTTAAGAACAGGCCATTAAGCAGATAAACGATAACACTTGAACTGAATTGCCAGAGGGTGATTTAAGGTTCATCTAAGACACAGACAGGATGTGAGGAAAGTAGCATGCATGCCTACTAATAGGTATTCATCTGTTTTGTTTGTGAAGGTAATTGTTTTTTTCAGGGGGGAAAAAAATCATCAACCTTCAGTGGTCTCCAGAGAATTTAAAGCCATGGCAGAAATTATTGAGTCATACTGAGAAACAACCTCTGAGATTTGGATGACAGACTGTCTCACATGCAAATGATGTTTGCTGTGACCTCGACATTAAAATGCAGAATACATTCATTACTATGAAAATGCTCAAGACTCATATGCACTTTCAAGTGGCGCGCAAACCTACAGGGAAAAGGAGAAAGAATGTAGCTTTGGCACTACTCAAATACTGACTATAAATGAAAGTTGAATATGTTACATGTTCAGATTTATTTAACTTGTTTAGTACAGATTCAAAACATATTCTTGGAAAAATGTATAAAAATTTTGCTTGTTTAGGTTCAGTCTGTGGCTCATGCAAAAATCTAAACTCTCTTTTTTATTTATTTATTTTTTCCCCACTGAACAGACTTTCATTACAGACATCTGGCTGACTGACAATAAATTTTCCGGTCTGTGCTTCCCTGGCAAGACATATTAATGTCTCCACATGGCGCCTCAAAGAGCTTTGTATAAACATTTCAGTTCTTGTCAAACATATTTCAAACTAATTGACGGATAATTAGTATTTTTTCCTGCAGAAATTTGATCATGGATGTCATTTATTTCAATAATGCAGATTTAGAGCGGAAAGTTTTTTTTTTTTTAAAGTGGAAAATTTATTTGATAGTTGGTGCCTGTGTGAAGCTTTCATCTATTTACGTTCATTTTTATGTGGTCAAATTCTAATTCCCGTCAACACATTTGGACAGAAAGATGCAAAGACATTGGTGTGAAATTGACCAAACACAGAGTTATAACCGACTCTTACAGCAATCCTGGAGACCAAAACCTTTCCTTAAAAGTGCTGATGACACCTGAAAGAACCGTGATGCAAGAGTGAAAATGCATGACTCGCTTTGACTAGACCTACTTGCAAGGGCGCGGACTTGGAGGGAGTCTGTTGCAATCATGTGACGGAAACGGAAAGGATCTCTGTCATCAGTCATAGACGTTCGGTGAGACGCACCCTGAAAAGCAGGGAGAGACTTGTTGGATTCCTAATTCATGAATGAGTGCTGCAGTACATCAACAAGACAGCAGGGAGCACAAGAGCACAACGACAGAGGATGATTTAGCAGAGACAACCTCAGTACTACTGCACTATGCAATGGAAGAAAAACAGTATGCACTTTACTCTCTTCATCTCTTACATTGTAAATAACCTTCCTCCGTCACTTTAAATTTACTGATCTACAATGAAGAGCAGTATTAATTTTTGTAGTCTCAATATATCATCCAAAGCTTAAATCTTAGTAAAGCAGAGCAGTTGAAGCCTGATGTCTCATACCATGATTAATAAACAGACAAGAAGAAAAACAGTACTTACAATCTTTTTCCTGTGTTTAGAGCTGTCTTTGTACACAAAGACGACGGCTGTCTTGAACACTAAAAGAAGGAGAAGGAAGAAGAAGAATAAAGAAACTATTAGGAGGGCCCCTTTTCCTTCATTGCGTGCACTAAAACGTGTCAATCCCAAATTTATGCAGACTGCGAATGGAGGCTTTTAGTCACAGCTTTGGAACATTATATATTATCAGCACAAAGGAGAAAATGGACCAAAGTCACCGTATTTCATGAATAAAGCAACCACTCACTGGGAAAGGAAAAAGTCCTCGCACTATTTTAATATTTATTACCAAAAGGTGTCTGGGTGAAGTAATATTTTAAAACAAAGTGAGAGTCCAAGTGTGTGAGAATCTTCATGTATTCATGTGAGATGCACTTCATGTCTAAAATAAAAATAACTCAAAGATCCTTCATGTTATATGCTTGATTCGGCTTTCCTTTTACCGAGTGTGTTTCTGCGCTAAGAGGAATCACACTCGGTGGCACGGCAGCATAATGCACAGTACTGTAAAGTCCCACATGCCTGCAAGTGCTCACATATTCTCACATACAGCACAGTATGCAGCTTTTCTCTCTACGGGAAACTACGGGAAATACCTGTTCACAGCAAAACCACTGCACACACTACTCACTGCATAGAGCTCAGGGATAAATGCTTTAGGAATCATTTGTCAGTCTAAAATCCAAAATCCTGCACATGTGACAGGATTTTCAAAAGTTATATAATGTTACGAACAATCCCGAGCACAGGGATACAAAGAAAAATGACATCAGGTATCTTGTAGATGTTCTAATTGGACAGTTTTTCAGCTGTGTAACCACATGATCCAACAGGAGAACACCTTCATGAAGTAAATTTCAGAGCTCAGGCGAATCGTCAAACAAAGGATTTACTCCATGGCTGTTAAATTTGATTTCCTGGACATATCTTTTTATTTAAGCCCCATAAATCCATCGAAAATACCTCAAGCTTTACTCAGGGTTCTTTCACAGTTGGAATTTCCATACTTTTCCACACCCTACTTTTTAGAATTATTTTTGGAAATACCTACTTTTCTATTTTAGAAAATAGTATTTTAGAACTGTAGTAATAGTCTGGAAACATAAATATTTTTCCATACTTTATTTTTCATTTTCCATACTTCTTACGACTTGGAAATTGATTAAATTTGTTTCTATACTTTCCATACTAGCGTAGGAACCCTGTTTACTGTTATCATGATCCATTGTATTTACACACACACAGCAGAAACCACAGGAAAGTCTAGACGTAAAAAAGGTAACTGTTGAGCTGCAAAAATGTCATAATGTGATAGAAATTCTACATTCATCCTTACCAAAAGCAGCCAGATCAGGGTCCTTTTTGCTCTTGACTAAAGAGGCTGGAGGGTTGAGCCACATCACGGTAGAATGCAGCAAAAGATCCCCCATCGAGAGGTCGGCCACCTTAAAAGTAAATATAAAAAAGAGCAGAGAGTAAAACATCAAAAACAGATATTTTATTGGATGAGATGAGATGAATAAAAAGGACCATCGTCGTACTCACCTCTTTTTTGTCTGCAGTCTGCTCATTAATGAGCTGATCAAAAACTGCTCCGTACTCCTCATGAAGCTTCTGCATCTCATTGATGTGACTCGCAACTTTGTTCATGGCCTTCATTGCAACTGTAGGGGGCAAACACTCATCAAATCTGTGCACTAGTCCCGTTATTTAAGGAACAGTGATCATGTTATATGAATACAGAGAGGCAAGCTTACCATCGAGGTGATAGTGCTCCTCGCTGTCAGGGTCTGTAAGAGAGTAGAGCTCCCTCAGCAGCAGTGGGTACTTCAGGACCCTCTGGATGGGTTTGATTAGGTATGACTCCAGGGTATATGAATGCTGCTGTCGGGGGTTCCTCACAGCCAGGAAAGCCTTGAAATCTGGATCGGTCTTTGCTGCAGGACAAGATGTATATGTGCACTTTCACTGAACTCATTCATCAAACAGCATGTGCTTCCTGCAATCCGCTCAACTCGACTTCACAGTGATGATGGAAAGCAAAAGAGCACTGTAAAACTAAAGGAATATGATGCAGCTTAATCCAAGTCGACAAAGAGAGAGAGAGTCTGTGTGTGTGTGTGTTTTTTTTACCTTTAGCCAGCACCTTTGGGACTTTGGTGTGACTGGCACAGAAGGCGCTGTAGATCTTGAAGCGATCTGCGTAATACAAAAACGATCCACCCAGAGAGAAGAGCACTTTCTGTGGAGAAAATGGGATTTTTTTTAATCAACAAGTGTCATCAAGTTTAAACTTCAGGAGTCAAAGCAATGTCAGAAACTGTGCAATAAAGCCTCTAGGAGCCATAGCCAGCTTATTTGGACTTCTGGTGTAGCCTGAAGTTAACGATAGAGGAATTCTGGTGGACATCTTGACCAGTTTGATCTTTCTACTTTCCACACAGACTGTCTTCCTGCATACAGGAGATGTCTGCTAAACTGTAGGGAAGCAGGTCCTTGGACTAGGGCTGGGCGATGAAACGATAGTGATAGATATCGAAAATTAATTTCCCTCAATATCAATATAAAACATGGTCAATATGCTTTTCGATAGTCGGCATTCTGCCGTGTTTTGGTAGACTATATGTTTAGCCAATTCAAAGGGGAGTTGCTCCGGGTCCGCTGAACCAATCATGTGCTGACTTAGAACCAAGTACCAACAACTGTGTAGTAGCGGGCAGCAGCTACACACAACCATAGCACTTTAACAGGTGAAGCCGACAGCACTGTCAGTGAGAAAAAAAGAAAATCAGTGCTACCTCCGGCAGAAATGCAGATGAAGGCTCAACAGATGATGAAATCATCAACAATACTGGCACGAAAATGCCAGTGGTGTGAAGGTATTTTGTTTTTTTTATGGTCGGACATGAAGCAGAGTAATGTGCACTGCAAATTATGTCAAGTACATGTTCTTTCAAAGTTGGGGAATACCTTAAATTTTTTTCACCACCTGAAGCAGTGCCACGCTGCAGAGCACATGCAATGCAAAAGGTCACAAACCCTGAGTGGAGCAAGGAGATCATAGCACCTGTGCAGCTGAAACAGCTGACTATTCAGTCCCCTTTCTCTAGCCCAACACCTTACGACAAAATTTCGGAGACACAAAGACCTCACAGATGCAGTTGCTTATTGTATTGCAAAAGACATGCTACTGACTGATAAGAAAAAATATATATCATGATAAACTTTTTCCCGTATCGCCCAGCCCTACCTTGGACTAAAGATTACACTGCAAATAATGATGGATTTCCAACGCGCCTCACCTTAAACTGCTCCACCCTTTCCAAACGCTCCAGATCTGGCACCAGTCTGATTCCATCCTCAAGAGTCCGCAGAAACTCCACTTGGAACTCCACCATCTCTCCGAGGTTACCGAACAAAACGTCCAGCTGTAACACAAACCCAGAGCGTCATTGTGACACTGCAACCAAACCCACCCCGTCATGAAGGTCGTGTATGTCAGCCACAGTTTTTATAATGACCAGATAAAAAGTACCTCATCCTGTGTCAGGAAGCTCTCCTTCTGTAAGGGCGTCAGGTAACACTCTATCAGGAGCCTCAAGTCCTAAAGTAGAAAAGAAGAGTGAAAACTTTGCCTCTGATCAAACATTTAAGGAGGAGTGAGCGAGGGCATGTGTGGGCATCTGGCTGTTTAATGGAGTCATTACTGAGGATTTCAAACTACAGAAAGAAACCAGCTCTGTGTGGAGCTCACCTTACACAAAAATGCAGGTTAACACTCTGTGACAAGTTCATTACACCACTAACATCAAGAAGTAAGTGTAGTTTTCAAGTGTAAAGGAGTGAGTGTGAGACTGCGTGTGTCTGTTGAAGTCAAAGTCGAGCTGTCTGAACAACTTGTGCTGACTTTACCTTGACATACGTCTTTTCCGTCTCCACAAGCTCATTAATGACTTTGCGGAGTTTGTCTGCGTGGGAGAGCTGTCTCTGGGTGGCGTTCGCTGCTGCTGCTGCTGCTGCAGGTGGAAAAGCTGACACAGGGCTCGGGGTGAGGGATGACGAAGAAGACGAAGAGGAAGATGACATAGGGCAGTCCAGGGGATTCATGTCATGAAGACTGCGACAGAAAGCAGTGACCTGCTCCGAGCTCTGCGGAGAGGGGGAAACCATAACAAGACAGATTTGTTGCATTATTACGAGGACATTTCTTGTCTTTTGAGATTAAACAAATAAGAAACACAGAAGGGGCATCATGAAAGTGTTTGTTGTCGTATAAATTATGTTTCCATACATTTATACGACAAACAAACACCCCCAACAATATACAGTACATTCTTGAAAAACCTGCCATAACAACACCCACCAACATCACTGCGAATCAAAAATACCGAACATGAGCAGACGTGTCAGCCCTAATGTTTAAACTCTCTCTAATGCAAAACACATCAAGTACAATTGATATAACAGCTCGTCTTTAAATGCACGTCTTCCTTGTAGAAATAATGATAAGAAACTTGGGTTTGCATATGAAGGGTCAGAAATTTCAGAGATGAGCTCGGATGAATCATCGTAAGTGGAAATAATAATTCAGTTTTTGAGAAATAAACCGACACCCACGCAGGTAAACTAAAAAAGTAAGGCTCAAAAGGTTGTCTCCACATCAGACTATCTTTCATGAGTCCCAAGGTTCTTCAGGTGAGCATAACTCTGCGTAGGCTCTGGAAACAGGAGAGAAAAATGAGAGAAGATGACACAGGAGGAGGAGTGTCATCAAAATTGAGAGGTAGGATGTGTTTAGGCAAATCCAAAATGTACTCTGAGTAATACAGCAGTGCCGATTCCAACAATGCCAAAAAACATCAATAATCCTTTCACCGTCTGCGATACAACCTTGTGTTTTATTTGCTGTGATCAGAAATTCCACTATCTCTGGACTCACATCAAACGTTTTTATGTTTTTCTTTGTGAGCCAAGTCCTGGCAGGCTCCTGCCAGGACTGTAAGGTCTGTTGAAAGATGCAAGGAAAGAGAGAGAGATTTTTACATCCTTTCACTGTCTCCACTCTGCCAGAACTGGAAGATTGAACAGACAATTAGAAGACAGAATCTCCTTAAAACACTGGGGGATGAATGAGCTCAGCCCACACACTGAGCGTTAATGCAAGGGATTGATACTCTGTGTGTCAGCTAATGCAACTCCTGTCCAAGACCAACATCACACGCCTACTTCTAAACTCTAAATACCTCAAAACCTGCACATGAACTCTGACTGCCTTCAAAATGAGAATGAAAAAGGACATGTTTAAAAAGCCAGGACATTTACCACGCATTTGGATTCTTTTGGAGAAGAAGCGAGCACAATGAAAAGATCTGACACATCAGGTTAAAGACCCACTCTGATGGAAATAATGTTTTTCTTGTTGTCCACATGTTCATAAGGCACTTTTCTGATACTAGAGGACGTATCATGAGAAAAAGAAGTGCGAAATTGCATTTTTGAGCATTTCTGCATTCCAATCGCTCTATATCTTTGACAGACCCAAAGGCAGGCTTAGACACAGTGAGATTTTCTATGTAACCAATCCAAGCTCTGCCCCCAGAGTCCCACTATGCAGGCCAGGCTCAGAGAAACAGAGAAGACGATCGCATAACAAGCGTCTGCGTTAGTGCATCACAATACCCGTAAGAAAGCTAATTATGATATTAGCTTTCATCATGCCCTTAAAGACATTAGTGGCCAAGAGCTGATTAGCTCCTATGTTACCTGTTTCTTCTACTAAACTGGCAATGTTAGGCTGCAAGCTAACTCGAGGAGAAGAGTGCAGAGCAGAGCTGTCTCCACCCATGACTCAGAGGTGAATTGCTGATGAGCTACTGCAGAAGAAAAGCCCTTGAAAACGACACAGGTTGCGTAATTTTGGCTAAAAACTTCATAGTTGCAATTTAAAGATCACTGATAACACTTGAAGTAGTAAAAAAAAAACACAATCGGAGTGGGACTTAAACTCTCCTGTATCCAAAATGTATCTGCAGAGGAAATGATGCAGGAACAATCAGAGTTTTTGGCTATTGTTCAGAGTGATATGATTAATGCTTCTCATTCAACCCTGTATGCTTTAAAGTTTCCTGCAAAGTCCTCTTGAAAATGTGCATTTCATAAACATCTCTCATCTGTGTGGGGTTGTTGAAGTGTTTCTAACATTTGTCGTCTGTTGAAGCTGATTTGCAGACAGCTGGTCAGACGGGGACATGACTTGTCTCTGTTGATTTTCTGGTTTGTCTCCTGTTGGGCTGCAGCGATGACAAACACAATTTTCCATTGGGGCATTCAAACCAGTTTGGCAACACTGCTGGGAGCGCACACACACACACATGTATACATACACAGAATTTGACAGCCGTGCTGATAATGACATCTGAGTCGAGATAAGCTTCTTTTCTCACTGCAGCAACAACACAATAAACACCAGTATACAATGAGAGTAATAAGAAGCCTATTAGGATTCAATTGGATTATTAAGTCCAAGTCAATTGCATTTACAGTGAGTACATAAAGTTAGAGCAGCTGAAAAAGTACAAGCCTCACAATAAATTAAACAACTGAATCGACAAACACACAATGTTTTATCGCCTTGGAACTGAAATGTGGAGCAGAAATAGAAACTCTGCCATCCAAAAACAAACAAAATCCTGACAAACACGCAGAGATAAATGTGCAAATTCTCAGTACAGTCATGTATGTCAGTGCACAACAACCACAACAGAGCAATAACTTAGTCAGTCTTACAGCTCGGGGAGGAAAGGTCCTGTCCTTGGACAGCCTGAGGGGTTAGTGACAGATGGAGCGGCGACAGAGACAGACGACAGACAGCAGAGGACGGCGATGAGAAGGATGGTGGAATATGATTTTATGGAAACTGCTTATTACCGAGTAAAGAAAAGCACAATTACGTAAAACCTTTATAACTGCAGCTTAATGAAGAGTAGGGATGTAAACATAAAGCTGGATTCATCAGGAACCAATTCTGTTAAGTTAATTAAGAGTAAAAGATAATCAAGGTTGTAATTCTATTTGTTGCATTCTTAATTTAACAACTAAGCCACAACTGATAGAATATGGTACTAGGCAATATTCAGTACTGCAATGAGCATAACATAACATAATGATGTATTCATTGTATTAACATTTTAATAGTCTCCCACAAAACCTGAACACAGAAGTTCATTCAGGCTCAATGTTTGATCGAACATTTCCTACATTAATGTCATGGACCGCATCGCTAATACAGCCCCTCTAACCTTGGCACTGATGGCACCATCACATGATCACTGACCTCTGTAGGATCATTTCCACAATACGATTGATCACACACACACACACACACACACACAGAGACAGATGAGGCTGTATGGCTCACCAGCTGCAACATATCATAGATGGACTCGGCCGAGTGTTTGGAGTTCCTGTTCCTCCTAAAAGCCGACATGCTGGTGGATGTCAAACAGGCTTCAACACAGAAGTGAGGTGTTCGATTTCTGTCCACTTCTTCCACTCTGGGTTGATTCCATTTCAGTGTGCAACTCAGTGCTGGACCCGCTTGTTTCCATCCTCACACAAACACATGACTGGTGCTAGATGCAGGATGCAAAGATCCTCAGACTGGCTTAAGTGAGTAAAAACCACTGTGTTAACACTCTATAAATCTCTACTGTCCCAGCTGCACAAATAGGTCATAACACAGATTGAACAGAACAGACTGCAAAGCTCCCATGAAACTTCAATCTACAGCATCTATCCGATCTGTCTGCCTCTCTAAATCCCGTCAACTTCTCCCCGTGTGCTCCCTGTTTCCACTTTCTTCTTCTTCTTCTTCTCTTCGTGTGTGTCCCTGCCTTACTTTCGTCCAGGTGTTTCAGAGCAGCAGCAACGTAGATCACAATACTCAATAACCAGATCAAACATCACATCTTCATAAGAGAAGGAATTGAAGAGAGGAGAGAGTGGGAGATGCAGAAGCTGTGTGTGGCGTGAGCATAACACTCCAAAAGGAAAAGACAACCGGCATCTGGCTTCTCTCTCTCTCTCTCTCTTTCTCCCCCTCCTCTCTCTCTCTCTCCCTCTCTCCCTCTCTCTCTCTTTCCCAGCCACTCAGAGATTTATGCCACCACACTTAAGAAGGACAGCGGTCTCATTAAGCAATAGATGGGTTTTCTGCAGGTCTCATGTTTAAAAATGAGAGGAAGAATCAAAGTGCATGCTAATCACAGAATCAGTTTGCGAGAGAAAAAGGGGGATCAAACAGAGGACAAACCTGCTCTGATATCAAATAAACCATACCCAGAACAAAACAAATGCTTCAACACACGGCAGCGAGGAGAAAACTCTGTAATTGACGTTTCATACTTAACCAGAGATTCAGAGTTCAAGCATTACAATGGCATCCATCTGAAACCTGAAATTCTCCTTTCTAGTGAAACCTTAATTAATAGGTTGATGGGTGCTACTTGACACTTACTGCACACTTGTCATACCTGAGAGGCAAGAAGTTACACAACTCTTAAACAAACATGACACACCTCAATTTGTGCTGAAATACAAAGCAGAGACGAGAAAAAATCAAAACTACTGTTGAATTTGTTGTGAGTATTGAGTTTTTCCATTTTTTTAGACGGAAAACCAGGAGCTCTCTCTAAATTTTATAGAAGTCTTTTAAAAGTTGCGCAAGTTTTGTCAGAGACAAGTTTGTTTTTGATGATCGGCAAGTCTACATGTGCAGTACAAACACAAGAATAAGACAGGAACTCAGGAGAGAGAGTGTACACATCAAACTATCAAAACATGCAGTCAGTGAATAAAGCGAGTCCCCACAGACATACCTTTTTCTGTGGCCAGTCTGACAAAAGCATTTTTAAATCCCAGAGTCGAACCTTTACCTGTAAACAACATGTACTACATCTCACACCCAAGCCTGCTGAGCAAAGTAATTGAAGTACAGTATGAGGGAGGAGCGTGGAGGCAAGCACAAACCTGCTCTCACAGCCGTCAGTTCAGAGCATGTACACTGAGAGCTAGGATCAGCACAGATTACACACACACACATCCTCATACTTGGCATACAGAGACACATAACACACATTCACACACGCCTGCTGAAATATATCCTGACATGTAGAAATCAGCATACGTGGAGGGAAATGTACACATTTTGTTTGGTGTCTTTTTTTTTGACAATTGTTTGCTCAGAGAGAGGGAGAGAGAGAGAGAGAGAGAGAGAGAGAGAGAGAGAGAGAGAGAGAGAGAGAGAGAGAGAGAGAGAGAGAGCAGGCATGTACTTGTCATTGTCAGTGATTACAGAGAGGAGGAATGAAAGGGAGGGAGAGTCTTAAAGTTCAGTTACGGCTGAAATCAGTGAAACATGCAAATCCATAAATCCCAACAGAGAATGATAGGATATTCTCCATGACAGAGAGAAAGAGAGAGGGAGAGAGAGAGAGAGAGGGAGAGAGAGACTTTAATCACATAATCTGGAGTCAAAAAATGATTTGTTATGACACAACTCTTCACAATTCAAGCATGAAAATTCAGACTTTAAAGCAGTTTATTTGCTCTAAGACTAAAATCTTCCTACAACACTCGAAAGCTGCAAAGCTACAAAGCTACAAAGTTTAAGTGGAGATGCAAATTTTCTTCCTTTTCCCCCAAAAACTCTATTAATAAAAAATGGGGAACAAAATTTGAGAACTTTCTCTACATGAATGAAAATCAATGTAAATGTTTAAATCAAAAGTAGAAGAAAAAACAAACTGATTTCTTTGAGCAAACTCTAATTGTTTGCATCCTTGTGATCAGTGTTGTCTCGCAGGCTTTGTGAAACAACTACTCCCCCTGGTGGGAGACTGTAAAACAACAGCAACATCTGAGACAAAGCTGCACAGCCAGATCAGACAACAAGTGTAAAATGGTTTGAAGAAAGACGAATTATGCTTTTAATTGAATTTACAGAGTCTGTGTTGTTGAATTATATGAATTAATCCAAAGCTAAACCAGTGTAACTCACAGTACCTGCATCCTGCCTTATGGACGCAGCCAAAATTTAAACACATTCAAGCATGTCAGCTTAAGTGACACGATTAGAAGTAATATTTAACACAAGGATTTTCTTCAAATGCACCAAACGCAAGTCGCCATTTAACCACAATTACACCATCAAGATCCAATCAAAACCAACCTTGATGGAAACTCTCTCCCCACCCTTCAAGCGCTAAATTATGAATTTCCATTTCATATACCCTGAAGACAAACTGATAGAGGTTTGTCAATTATAAGCAGCACTTGTCAGTGAGGCTGACTACACCTCAGAGAACACTGGCAGCCGCCGTCATCTCTATTATCGCTATTATCTCAAGAAATCATTGTTTTATTCTCCAGTTATCTTAGTGAAGAGGTGGCTCTGCGCTTTGTCTAAAATAATGAACCTCCCTGTTTCCTGCGGCTAGCCAGACACTCATTTATCTCCACTAAATGATGTGAAACACTGTGGAGAATGAAGTAATTAGAATGTGGGGATAATTAAAATTGTCCCACTTTGCCATTTCTCTCCTCAGTCTTGCCACCATGTGACTGCAGGCACCGAGTGAAATGAGGTAAGACGCCATCCACAGCACTTCAGAGAGGAGCGGCACAAGAGGGGGGGAGCAAAACACTGATCAAAATAAACAAAAAGGGTCACCAGGACATAAAAAGAGAGAGCGAGAGAGATGACAGGGTGCTGAAGGTCCCGCTGATTCTGCTGCAATCTTGAATTGTCTTTTTTGATGGAGGGCAAGAAGTGTACCAGGCTGAGGTCAGGGTCTGCAGAGCCAACAGGAGCCTCATGTTTATGGTAATAAACAACAGGGGGTTGGTAAAGAGGAGACGGAGAAGGAGGAGAAGGAAGGACAGGAAATTAAGAGGAAACTGGAAGGACGGGAGAAAAAGAAAGAGGATGACAGTTAAGGAGAGGGATGAAAAAAAAAGGACAGATGGAGAGAACACTTGAGCTGTAGTGTCTGGGACAGGACAGGGTCACATTGCTGCTCTTAATCATAGAGATAAAATATGACAATGAAGCTGTTGGCTAAAGGAAAACAAGGACAGGAACTAAAGAGGACAAGTATGTGAAGACATGAAAAGACAAATACAAATTTATCGAAAAGTCAGACAGCCCACAACAGACAGGAGAGCAGTACTGGCTTCCTTATTTACTCTCATGACAATAAGATCCAACAGTGACGTCAGTTACTTGTTTCAGTGTTCATCAGACTGGCTAAAACACTTAGCTGTGTCTTTTCTTATCCACCAAAAGTGCACTTACAAGCACATTTCTGAGACATAATGAATGGACAAAGTTCAGAGCAGAGGCCAGCGGTAAAGCAGACTTTTAACCTTCTTGACAAGAGCCCTGGGCTCATCTTTTAGCATGTCAGTCATTTAGAACTGCTTTTGTTTAGTGGAGTAAAACCTTGAACAAACCAGTGTTAGAAGTCATGTATGGAATGGAATGAATGGCTTTATTTTGGTCACAATAACAACAAATGAGAAACAAACAGAATTATAAACTTGACCAAAAAAAGGATTAGGCGGAAGCACAATGCTTATAGTTGCCTATCCTTTACAATGTTAAAACATCATTTTAATATTTAAGACACTTGATAATGTTGATAATGTCTTTGTTAGTTGTAGCTTTATTTTTAAAAGAAAAAGAAAAATCAATAAAAATTGCAAATGTACGACGGAGTATTAGGGCCACATTAAGAAAAACAAAATTTAAGACTTCAAGATTAAAGCCGTTAATTTTTGAGAATTAAGTAATTACTAATGAGAATAAAGTCATAATAAAGTAAGGTCAGTATAGGTTTCTCAAACAAGGAGACACTTAATCTTTTGGCACATCAGCACCACATTATCATTATTAGCCTATCATAATGATTTTATTACGACTTTATTCTCATAAGTAATGATTTTAGTACGACTTAATTCTCCTAAGTAATGATTTTATAACGACTATTCTCCTAAGTAATGATTTTAGTACAACTTTATTCTACTCATTAATTACTTTGTTACAAAATAGTTGAATATTTTATTTTTAGTCCACATCACCCAGCCCTAACTATGTTTTAGTTTCGAGGCCATGTCTCAGAAAATAAGAATTTCAGGGAACCTTGAAAATACATTTTGGGATTTGGCAGCCATCTGTATAACATTGTTATCGAACTTTGCTGAGGTTTATTATGGGAATCCAAAACATTCACATTATGTATGAGTTTAAGAAAGTATCAGCATGATAGGTCTCTTTTAAAGGGGGATCTTAAATGGATCATTATCCCTGCACAGACTCTAACTGTGCAGGGATTCACACGGCTTTGAGAGGTTTTACGAGTTAAAAATCACTGAATGTTTCCCGACATCAAGAGAAGGCCTTTCCCCCTACCCAGTCATCCCTGCAACCCTCTCTGTCACTCTGTCTTTCATCTCCTCACACTTAACTTCCAACTAACAATGGCACATTGGAGCCACAGAGTCACAACTGCCCAACCGGACAACCAGAGTCTAGACTCGAGCCGGCTCTGACCTCACCCATTAGTTCTCCACCGAGACTGAAGCTCACTGACACACATCCAAGAGAGAATACCGCGCCATCGTCCCCGCTCGCTCTCTCTCTCTCTCTCTGCATCTTTTGTTCGTGTCTACGTTATCAACAGAAAGGTACAAAAAAAAATGTTTCCGCTGGTTGCTTGTTATCACATATCGCCATGGAAATGGAAGTGACAACCGTATCCAAGGGAGAGGGGCTGGCACACGGTGTGTCCCAGCAATCACTGCGCTGACCCTGATCAGATCTGACGTAATCTTAATTGGAAAGTGATGCTGTTAGCTCACTCTTTCACTCACCTGTCTGTCGTTACAAAAACACACACACACACACTCACACATTCACACATCTGTTCATGCTCTAACAGCGTCTAAAATCTACCCTGTGGCTTATGTAATAATGTGATTTAGACTGCTATGTGCAGCTTTGTACGTTTCAGGAGAAATTATAAACATGCAGTATGAATTATTTACCAAATTCACTAAAAAGGAATTTCAAAGCTGTAACATGTGTGTGAAATATGGTGAAATGGCTGTGTGTGTGCGTGTCGGGCCATTTACACTCTTTCATGTCTCAGAAGATCTTTCTGTCCCAGAGCAGCCTTTGAGTAAAGGTCACAAATATCACATGAGAAAAGGCCTCTGAACATCTCCCGGCTTTTCACACTATCCCTTTTCACACGCTGACAGAAATGGGAGAGGAAATATTTAGATCCAGACCTGCCAGGTTAATTTTACATAATCAGAAAGACACGGATTGTCCCTAAATTTGTTCTCAAATGAAAATGTTCCACTGTTGATCCATGACGCCTGTGTTTTTCTTTTCTGATACAAGTCAGCTGGGTTAAGATGGCATCACAACAATGCAGCCAGTCAACCTCTTCAAACAGCTTCACTGCTTCGCACACACACTCACAAAAACTGAAACCTAAATCTCCTGGTTTATATCTGCAACAATTCAGCACACGGGGCTGATTACATTACCCCATCCTCTGTAGGAATAGACTGATAATCCCCTGCTCTGTTGCAGGTGTGTGACCGATTATGTTTGGCTTAGTCAGTGCACATATCATAGTTGTGTCTTTGCATGTCATATCCTACCTTCTGTCCGATCCCCAAGTAGGTTTTGTCTTCCTGATGAGCTCCAGGGCTCTGTAGGGTCAGCCTTGGTCCTTCATCTAAACTGTCATCGGGGGTGTTCACTGTTAACCCCGACACCTCATCCAGGATGTCCTCTGCAGACAGAGACAAAGGACAGAGCTCAGCATGAAGTAAAACATATAGCAAAGTGTACACTTTCTCCTCTCTGGGTATTTTTTCTGCTGTCTTCTCCTTTTACAAACAAAAATATTAAATTACAGCATTTATGTGTCTTATTATGAAAGAACTATACAGAAAGCTGGTTATTTCCAAATGGTTTGAGTGAAAAAATTCTCTGTGTTGAAAGTCACTTGTTTGAACACTCATCTCCCCCTTAAGTATGAGATCATTAATAACCTCCATCTGCCTGCTGACGTGTTTTTAGTCCCCTACCTGACCCAACATACCCTACACGATGACAGCTCCACACTCCTGAAGGAGCTGTATTAATATTCATACCGCTCTCACTCCCTGTATAAACAATGCCAGCTTGTCAGCCTGTGCACTGCGTAGCCCAATTTATACGGAATACAAATGGTGCCCTTGCCTGGTTGAAAAAAAAAAAAAAAGAAGAAGAAGAACGGGTCAGTGTAAAGCTGGCGGCTGCCTGCAGGTTGCTTAGCAGACGGCCCCCCTGCATAATTCAGAGATCACTATGTTCGACCTCTGCTTAGAAAGATCCGCAATCTGCACTCTCACGTTTATAGCGGGCGAACTATGGTATTAAAAAACATAAACTAAAGACGAAGTGCAATTTAACATTCAATGATCTTCACAAGGTTTTTCCTCACTAATAAAACTCTAACCAGCATAGCAAAAAGATACAGATTCAATAAGAATTATCACAGATAACCCTGATTTAATTACATTTAAACATCGCACAGGACAGAGCCTGCTTAGGGCCCTGCGGCCAATCGGGGGCCCCCCGAGAGCAATCAAAAAATATATAAATTTTTTTTTTTTAATTCTTTGCATGTATGAGTGATGCTTTCTGTATGATCAAATATATATTATTGTAAAAATAAAATAAAATAAAGTAAAAACATTTTAGTGCTGCTGCTGATGTAGGCCTGTGATTCTTACTGCTGACACGTTAAAGCTCTGCTACCATTATCTGCTGAGCAAAGTGCCCTGAGCATCCAAAGCGCAGGTCACTGTGGGGCAAAACAATGTCACAAAAAAGGACATATCCTTCAGAAGCAGAGAAAAGAAAGAGGAAGTAAGAGGAAAAGGAGGAAAAAACAGCAAGATAAAGGTATGTTTTGCATGTCATGGAATGTTAATCGAAGAGATTTGTGAAGGTGTGTGAATGATCAACAATCAATATTATTGGCAGAAATAGAGGGCCAATAATAGATGTCTAAATGTAGCCTAGATGACTTGTCTAAAATCAGGCTACCACAGGTCTAAAAATAAACGTTTTTTAGACATCTAAATTTAGACCAAGCTTAGACCAAGTCTAAGTTTGGGCTTTTTCTATATACTACACTGTATATTGCTCAACAGCTACCATAATTATTTTGAAGAAGTACTTGGAGATCAGTTATGAATAGTTATAAAATAATGGGTTAAAGTGCAACGTCTTAATTCCGTCTAAAAATATACAAAATCTAGATGGTTAAAAGTAGGTCTACTAGATGTATAATAGCCATCTATTGCTCAGTGGGGAACAAACTCCAGTCTTCCCAAATTAAGTACACAGAGCTGAAAAGTTTACCTTGACTCTGAGAGAAGATATCGGTCGCCTGGTCTTGCTCCCCATCAGACCGTCTGGCTGGAAGCAAACACAGCAACCTGGAGTCCAGCTGGGGCAAGGTGCTGACACTTAAGGTCAATGCATGATTTACAAACGCAGCCCTCATGTCTTCCATTTGGAGGGCGGATGCAGGTTTACCATTCAGCAACAAGATTTCATCCCCTGCTTTCAAACCTGGTGAAGAAACAAAGAGGGGGAAACAGATCAAGATGTGTACGATTCAGCTTGACGAACACCAACTGAGGAGAACATCTAAAGACCGCGAAAGAATCACAGGAATAAAGGTAACGCACAGTAGTCCAAACATAACTACATAACCATCCACTACTTTAGCTTTCCTGTGGGGCACCATCATCTCTAATGTGAACAAATTATCCACACAAACAAAACTTTCCAGCCTCCCTCCTCGTCAGCAGCTCTCTGGCTGAGCGGACATGTTGGGACTCTAATGCGGTCCCAAACATAAAAAATACATAATCTAAGCTTGTTCGCTTGAGGCAGTTACTAATCCAACATGACTGGATTGGCTAAAGGAGGAGGTTGCAACGCCTGTCTTCTCCTGTCCTGTCATCATGTATAGATTTATGTTTTATTATAGAGGGAGAAGTCACTGTGGGCTTCACTGAAACACAGCTTCAGTTTGAGGTTTGCTCTCTAAGCTCCTCCCCTCCACCACCTGTGCTCTGCTCTGCTAATTGTGAATTAGCACTCAATCAGCCGACCGATTAGCAGACAGACTCACCCGATAAACCTGATTGGCTGCGACAACTGTTGAGACAATCTGACAGTAATGTCACCTGCCCCAGAGAGCAAAATTGTCAAAGATAAAGCTTCGTCACACTTGTTTGATTTGTCTCTAGTCGTGTTTTACGTATGTATTTTGTAATACAAGTGGTCGACAATGAAGGTTTTTGCTTTCATAGTGATACAGACAAATGCAGGCGCACAAACAGTGACATATATAGACATACATGGCACAAATCTAGCCTTAAGTTATGACCTACTTGTCTGGGATGTGAAATGTCAGCTGTAGCAGAGTCTTTATTGGACTGAGAGAGATAACCCCTCAGGCCATATAGTGCTGTGTGTGTATAAGAATCTGTGTGTTTCATGTACGTGTCTGTGTGTGCTTCTACCGGGGAAAGGGGGGAAGCAGGATTTCCAGCGAGGGAGAGAAAGCAGATAGAGAAAAAGAGCCTTCAGGGCTTCTTGTCCAGTGTTGGCCTGGTTTCTGTGTGCGCCCCCTGCAGAAATGGAAGCGTGATCTCTTTCAGTCTCATTCATCCTCCTCACGCTCAGGAGAAACGCGCACACACAGGAGCATCCTTGCGTATGAAACGACTGATGAATGTCCTGCTTGACATACTTATTGCTCTGATTCAGCAAAATATAGAGTCACAAAGATGCATTGTGTTGTCTGGGAGCCTTTTCTAGCTCAGCTTGTATGGAGGAGAAATCCAGCTGCATCTTCCGGCTGCTAAGCTAGCAGCTTTATGATTCCTTATGCACTGGAGGACACAATCTCACACTTCAGTAACCTTGGTCCGACCTGGGGGCACAGCGGCGGGGCATGTTATTTTCTGTACATTAGTGCTGTATCTACAGAGCGACCGTGTGTTCCTCAAACCCATTATGTGTCTCTGGCTCCATTTGAAGATAGGGAGCGATGAATGGGGGTTGATCTTTACACCCTGCTTGTCATAAAGGCGGTCAGATGGAGACAAAGAAAGGCTGCTTTTTCTCCTCTGCTCTCAGGAAGAAGGACAGAGTAGAAATTTCACGCACTCTTTATGCATGAGGTCTTGGCACATCATACCAGATTTAGTACTGAAGTTGGTATTCATTAAACTATCACACGCAGTGAATAGGACAGGTTATGAAGTCATTTTGTGTTTTTCTCCTCTATGAATTTTGCTATTTTTTCAGTGTTTTTGGTTATTGGTTCATATTTTGGAGACGGAGAGATTTTTGAGGCCTTTCTTGGTTGTGAATGACCTTTCTGTGGACTCTATTTCTAAGATGATTCCCATTTGAATTTTTATCCACATTTAAAGAGACAGCATCAGCTCCTCACCTCCATATTTTTAGGCATTGTCTTATGAGCTTTAAAGACTAAGTGTGTATTGTGTTCCTTCTCTCTCTCTCTCTCTCTCTCTTTTTCTCTCCGTCAGACAAAGGAATTTATCTCCGTCGTCTTATCAGATGATGAAATGCAGTCACACAGCAGTGCTCGGAGAGAATGCCATGTGGGTTTCAGGTGCTTTTTTAAAAACAGGTGTGTTGAGTGTGAAAAGTCCATTCAAGAAGATGTATTTGCGATCGGCAACATTCATCTTTGAAGGGGGTGTCTAACTTGGTGTTACGGTGTGTTTGACCCTAAATTAATTTTACACTGGAATATCCCTTTAAGTTCTTGTTTAAACATGGATTAAAAGTTAATAAGCCCCTTATAAAACCTCATATAGTAATTTTAAACCTTTATGAATGTTAATAAAAGCATAATTAACATGTTTATTATTGCTTTTTGACACTTAAGGACTCTCATTAGAAACTTGTTATCAGTTTAGATATGAGTAATAAACATAAAAATAGTGTTTAACACATTAATTACACTTAAAAAGGGTTGATTTAAGATCAATATGGTAAAACACCTGCAGGTAACTTATAGTGTGTACAGCTTTAAGAATTGAATAGGATGTTATAAACTTAAATATAACTGTATGGTCCTAAATTATAATTAGAACCAGCATTTATTTTTCCTTGGGGGCTCCACTATAAGCACTTGCTTTATTAACAGTTTAAAGACCACTTAATGACTTTGATTTACTGTAATGTATAAAAGGTCAAGATTAATACTCTGTACGGATTAAAAAATCAGCTAACAATGCTTCTTTGTAGCAGCTAGATAAAAGAAGGAAAGTGTCTCATTAAGTTTTATAAGCAGTCATGTCTTATAAGTGTCTTATTTGCAGTAATAACTGTGTTAATTATGCTTTAATTAACACTTATTGATGCTTATAAATGTTTATAAGCAAGTCAAAGGGTCTTAGAAGTGGCCTATTAATGATTAATTAAAGCTTATTACAATGACTTTAATTTAAAGTGTAACCAAAAAGAAATAAACGCACCTTTAGCTGAGGCCAGTCCCTCTGCTTTCACTTCAGTGATATGGAGCTGCTGCGTCCCGTCCTCATCTATAACCGCCACAGAAAAACCTGTAGACGTGCATATAAGACAAAGGGAAAGATTCAGCCATCAGCTCTCATCGTCTTTTTGCAATATCTTAATTTGACATAGTGCTCTGCCGCTGAATAACTACCGAGCGATTTGATCCACTTAAGACAAAATGGGCTCACACTGTGCGACCCCCCTCTAGTCGTTAACAAAGCATGACTCAATGAGGTCTATTACAAAATCAATTTCATGCAGAATTTATGGGTTTGCAGAAACTAAGTCTATCTACTTCAAAATAGGGTTCGGTCACCAAGCATACCGTATCCGATGGTAGACGACTCGGCTTTGTCAAAGCGGATCACCTTTGTGACTTTGGGGCAAATCTCAATCTCTTTGTAGAGCTGCAAACACAAAAACAGACGAGTTAATTGGCAAAAAAATAGAAGCAAAGTAGTGTTGCTGCATGAGGAAAGTCAAGGTCATGTTATCAGTCTTAATAAAGAATGGATAGATTCATGTTTTATTCAAGCTCCTTAACTGAGCAATCACATGTGAAGGTTACGGGGTCAAAACCCAGGTCTAGTCTGAGAAGCGAGTGGGTGCTCAGATGAGATTTTGACCTCACAGCGGGGCGAGAGCAGGGACACAGCTGTGTGTATGAAGCAACAGACAGGAACAGAAGTCTGCTGTGTGTAGTGGGCTTCACCGCGGAGAAACAATAATGTCATATCATAGACTAAGGATGAAAGAGGGTGAAATGAGTCACTGATCAAAGCAGGAGGATAAAAGGCCTCTTGAGGAAAAAGAGGGAGTTATACTATGACTTTGCTTTGAGGCAGAGTTCAGTGTATCACCTACAAAGAGCCGTCACAGAGAGAATATGTTTTGGGGTTTACTGTGTCTGGATAATGTGAGGGCGGGGTCTTTTTTCAATAAGAGTGATTGTTTTATGAATAATATGAGTACTAACACAATCGAGTGCAGTTCTGAGAGCACATAATACAGTCGGAATATATTATGCATAATTTATAGCATATGTGATGAAGCTTCTTGTGCATCCTGGGAATTCTGTATGCACCGCAAATCAAATCTGCAACCGAGTCATAAAACATGCAACAAGCTTCTATTCCTGCAAGAAATGTAACTAAAATAATTAATGATAAGGTGAAGCTCCCATAATGCCAATGGGACAGCAATCCAGGAAAATAAGTTTTTCACATGCGGTTCATGAACCATCTTCGGTTTCTTGAATGGTTGAGAAAAGTATTTGTATCCAGAGTCTAAAACGGGGACATTCCCTTTTACAATCAGAGACATCATTATAAGTTATTACCAGAGTGCTTAAGTGTGTTTTCTCACCAGATCAGAGATTTCCTCTTCAAGCTTGGGGACATAAAAGAGTGTCTGGTTGTCCATCCACACCTTCAAACGCAAGTAGTGGCCTGAAGCATCTATGTTGTGCGTCTAGAAAGCAGTGAGTAAGAAAACATGAAACACCAAAAATTGGCAGCTGTAAGCATCGTATTTATTCCTCTTTTCAAAGTATGACAGACATAACCACTCTAATTACTCGTGGTTTATTTTCCCTGCGATGGATGCCAAGCTTTTCTTTCAATGGAACATATGAGTACTGCGTTAAATCCACCTGTCAAAACACCATTTTCTTTATTATTACCACACTTATATAGCTCATGAAATCCCCTAACAAAAGGACACAGATGGATATAGAGTATGTATCCAGCCAAGCATGTGATAAATGTATATCTGAATGCATGTAATGCTCAAGGGACTGTGAATTAGACGCTCCAGTTTCTTGTGACATGTTTATGGCATGCATGCAGTAAAGTGCCCATACACTTCATGATCAGATTTAAATATATGTCTTCGTAGGAAATGTGCATCTCATCAGGAATCCTTATTCTAGCATGCCTCTGACGTGGGAATCAATTTATCAAGTGCGAGACAGAGTTAGTATATCTTTATGTCAAAGAAACAAAGTGACAGTCAGTGTATCTGCTGTGCTGTTGTATCTGCTTTCCAGTAAGTGCTACACACAGTGCCACATCTGAGGTATTCCCTCATATATATATATTCAGATTGATGTTGAAGAGGACAGCCTATGATAATCTGCATCTCATTATCTGCCCTGTTTACCCATTATCCTGAAGTGAATCATGAAAACTTGAGTCTTCCATCCTTGCCTGTCTTTAGCCGTCAACAGATGGTAAGAAGTGAGGTTTTTGCTTATGTAAGTACTCACAGTATTCTAAACTAATTTGACAGAGCTGCGTGCAGTTTGATGACGTTTGCTCCTCATGATTGCATGTGTTTGACAAAGCTGTTTCGATGAATTATTTGCATGTTTTCCAGACTGTTATCATTTTTGCTGTACAATTAATTAGTTCTTTATGTTCATATGTGTGAAAGGTAGCACACACTTAAACTAGCTCCCTCTAATTTCATCCTGGGTAAGTAATTTCTATCACTGTGAAGGGTGAAATACTACTTTAAAGGCTCAGCTGACAATTTCTTAGAAATATAGCAGCTTTTGAACTCAGATATGAATGCTTTCTCTCTGTAATGTAACAGATCCTACATGCAGCAACTCACCACTCGTCTCTTTGTGTTATTTAAAGCTCCTGTGAGGTGTTTTTGCTGGTTCTGAAAGGCCCTGATATTTCTACTATTACCTCTTTATGAGCTACAAAAGCAAGTGACACCATATTCAACTAAAAATCTTTTACTCTGTGGTTGTTTTTAATGCCTGAAACTCTGCTGCTGGTGTCACATGAAGGGATAATGACACGCTGCAAAAACTGCTTTTTTAATATTTTACTCGGCAATGAGTGTTTCATTTGACCATGCAAAGACAGCAGGATGAATTTTCACATGAAAACCCAATTAACGAATGTACAAGGCAAGATCAGTATAAAAACAAGATTGCAATTTTATCCACAGGGGGTGCCAAAAACACCAAAATTCAAAAGTCCCCGATAGGTGCTTTAAAGGGATATTCCAGCGTAAAATTCGTTTAGCCACAAATAATGCTCAGAACAGCACCTAACTTCATCAACAGTACATATAGGGTCCCAGCCACAACACTAGCCACCAAACACCTTTTTAACTCTGCCTAATTTCTTTAGCAAAGAGACTAAACACAACTCACCCACTCTCTTCCAGCAGCTGCTTGTTTGTAGCGAGACCACGGGCCAGTCCATTATGGACTGCTGCGGGGTGTCGCAGCTCAAGGAAGAACATTTATGATCATGATCAGGTGCTGTTCTGAGCATTATTTGTGGCTATAGAGTGGCGTTTTGGTTGAGGTTTGTTTATGGCTCCTCAGATTGCTGTGTATTGCTATCCTGCGGTCGTTACTTAAGTTGGTATAACTAGAGAAGCAAGCGGTCGGCAACATTCATCTCTCGAGGGGGTTTCTAACTCAGTGTTGTGGTGTGTTTGACCTTAAATTAATTTTACGCCGGAATATCCCTTTAATTACTCTTTTTCTGGAATTGTTTTCTTTTACACTTTCATGACTTTTTTTTAATCACTTTCATTTTTTTCTGTCTTTTTCTGACATTATAGGATGGTTGACGGTTTAGAGGAAGGTGTTTTTCAATTGTATAGTTCAAACACAAAAAGGAAAGGAGACAACTATTTTGTACTTAGTGCTTGGCATCTCTTAAATGTTGTTTTTAATATTGTTTTCCAATAAAAACAGTGTACCTGCCACTTCATAATTGTCAAACAAACACTTGTTCGCAGTGTAAATAAATCAGTTTGTGTAACCGACAAACACGCTCCTGAAGTGTGTTTTTTGCCAGTGGCTCACCTTGCACACAGCACTCAGAACTTCCAGCGTCGTCTCACCGGGTTGCACGATGGCCAGGACGGGCTGATTGTTTGGCAGACACACCCAGGAGGGAGTCAGGTAATCAGGAACCCAGATGTCGCTCTCTACATTTTGCTGAGAAAGACTTTTCCCTGAGTCCTCTCTCTCTTTCTGAAAACACACAGCACACAAACACACCAGAGCTTTATGCATCTTTGAGCAGCAGCCCTCGTGTTCGGGAAAAAACAGAAGGCACCTCATAATAAATTCAGAGTTATCTTAAAAACCTTTTAGTTCCCGATTCTGGTATCCAAGATGAGAATATCTGAGTTCATGTAATAATCTGCCTAATTTAGGATTATCTCCCATCTTGTTGACCAAAGAAACGCAGATTTGCTTCGACTGATTGGGCTAATATGCTGGAGGCAGGCCCTGAAAGCATCAGGAGATCTGATTATGAGATCTGATTCATTTATGTTGATGAGATCCCACTGAGAGAATTGTCTCTCTGTGTGGGTGGATGTTACATACTGTATGTTGGTGCTTTTGCGGTTTCATGTGTCAGTGCACTCTGTCAGAATCATAATCTGTAACCTTTAAACCCATCAGTCTGACCCTCGACAATCTGGCAGCTATGTCAGCCTCTCTGCTCGGATTCTGTCACGCTCTTCTTTTCTACTCGACCTCACGCTGTCTGTCACTGATACCTTATCTCCTCCTTTCAGGTAACAGCATCCACACACTCATTTATTCTTTCATCCTCCCCCCACTAATAGCTCCCTCTCCTTCTGGTGCCCCTTTTCTCCTATCTGTGCATCGTTCCATCATATCCCTCCTCCCCATCTTTCATTTGTGCCACACAATCTGCTGACTGTTAACAATCTGGCCCGGTGGTCCCTGTTTAGATGACCCTGATGAAGATGTATGAGTGTGTGTTTGAATTTATGCGAAATTTAAACAAAGGGGAAGACAGGGGGAGTCGAATATAAGCAAAAGCACAATTTTGTACAAACATAACACAAGTTCACATGTACAAACAAAACATGGTTAAATAGAAAAACACACATTTTCTCAGACAGACAACAGACTAGGGGGCCCAGAACTAGTACCGCCCCCCATCTCCCTCAACTCCCCAGCCCTGCTCTGCACCATCTGGCTCCCCTCCTGGCCCAACCACGCTGCCTCTGCAGAAGGGGGCGGGGGTCCTCGGCAGAGCACTAAATTTGATTTCTCCCCCATTCCCCCTTGTTTTCCATGCCATCAGTGGGATTCCCCAGAACAAACAGAGTTAAAGCCATCAGATGTGAACACTTGGAATGAATTTGCTGAAGATGCGCGCCGCGGTGCTACTGATGCAGCATTTCCAGATCTGTCTTACAACCGACCGACCGGAGCTTGTTGCATGCAATGCATTTCTTTAATGTCATCCCATACCCTGCCAGCAGAAGCGAGGGCGTGGGTGGAAGGAAATCAATTTCCTATGGTGCCACTGGGGGCCCCTGCAGTCAGAGTAGGTTAGCGCTGCAGAGTTTTCTTCTATTTTCTGAGTTCAGACAGAGGCTTCTCTTCCCCCTCACTTTCTCATCTCTGCAGCCTTTTACCAACTCTTATAAAATATAGAGCCTCTATGCTTGTCCTTGCACAACCCATAGGTAATTGGACATTTCTACTCACAGTTCATATTAATTTATCATTTTCCAGGCTGTGATAAGGACTACTGGAAACCTACGGTCCTATAGCGGCCTCGGTTCATCTATTTTTCTCTTTGAAGTGAGGATTCATCGTCTGAAAATGTCTCTAATGTGTGGTCAGCACAACAGAGACATGCGGAAGCACAGATGGTGTGGAACTCCTATGGAAGCAAATGTGTGTGTAATTTGTCAAAACATCAGAAAACTAATGATCTAAACACGTCAAATCAAATTTGCCTCAGTGGGATTAGCTGGTAGGAATATCCCTCCAGTCCAAACACTAGGATGCTGATAGAGAGGGTAAATAAAAAGAAGAAAATGTTGACAGTGGTTCGAGGGTCGCTTTTGACAAGGCAGAAATGTAGAGAGCGAAAACAAAGAGAGCAGTCTGAAATAAAAGAAAAGAGCCTAAGCTTTTCCTGTACCGTTATGAGGAAGAAGAGCTTTGATGAATAAGAAAAGGTTGTTCAACACAAATAAATTCTGATAACATCAAGAAGCCTTTAAAATTTTCATAGTCTGCCAAATTTCTCCTTTCAATCTGCAGCTAAAAAGGATGCAGATGTCTGGAAACATTTAAGCTTGAGATGACCTCAAAGAAATGCTTAGTGATGCAGAAGGGTTCAGGGGTTTTGTGCCTTCCCAAGATAACCCCCTAAACGAAGAGCTGGAGCACTTAACAGATCACAGCGAAGAAAAGGGAGATGGAAAAAAACAGTCATGTGGCTGGCCTCGGGGTTGAAGGAGACAAAAAGCTATCATACAGGAACAAAAGTTCATCAGATGCTCCAGTGATTTTCATGTAAGCTGTCAGAGAGGAAACAATGACAAGGAATAAGCTGAGCTTCGGTTCTCAGGGGTGAATGTTTGAGCAGAAAAGAGGGAGGGAACTTTGAATTGAGCCTAAATAAGATTATTACTGTATAAACATTAAAGTTTACAGTGCCTTTGTCATCTTGATATGACTAATGTGTGGGTGATTGGGCGCTTTATTAAAAGTGAAAGTTTTTCAAAAGGAAGTGCAGTAAAGACTCTTACAGATTTCTCACTGGCCGAGTCCTCAAACATGCGCTCCAGTGGCTTCCTCGTCTGCTCCATCCTGTCAACAAACACCTAAAACAACACAGGAAACAATTACATTTAAAGAAATCTCATACAGAGGAATAATCATTAAACTTCCACATTCAACATTTTCAAACTTGAATATAAAGTATCTCTTTGGCTGTTAACCTGGTTGATTGAAGGATGTCCTGCTGTCTTCCTCTTTGAAGCGGTATCGAGACCCCAGAGAGAGGAGAACCGGCTCCTGCGTTTACTGAAAGTTCGAGGCACGGCCTGGTTTCGCTTCCTGAGACTGCTTTCTGTACGTGCTGAAACCTATGAGAAAGAACGAAACAGAGCACATGAATCTAATGGAAAAATGTTCATCATGGAGTCCTATAACACCCCTGACAGCAGTGGACGTCTGTTTGCACCCTGTTATGTATTACAAACCATCAGGGTCATTCAATCTTTTCTGTATTGTATCATGATGTTGTTGTTTTTTAAATGGATGAGCAGCACAAGACACATCCTTCACTTATGGGATGATAAAGTTTATCCTTTTCTCACCTTACTATCCTGTTTTTGCATCCCTTCTTGCACTCAATCTGACACATTAAAACACACATTTCCAGCTACACAGTTGACGCTAATGGCTCTTACCGAACACTTTCAACCTCTCATGTCTTTCAGTGACCCACAACATGCTGAATGAGAAACCACTCCCGGCAGTTCTGGGTTAATTCGAACTGAACCACTGAGCTATGAGAGCAGATCTGACTCACTATATGGTCCATAGATATATATACTCTAATGCACAGTGTGTGTTCTAAGTATGTGCATACATAGTGCTGGTGCGTGGGTGTGAGTTTATTGGTGTTCTACCCGTCACTCCCCATGGGACAAACACACGTCAAATATTGTAGGTCAAACTGTCTTCAAGACTCTTCTTACGTAAGCTAGGCGCAAGAGGCAGTTTACAGTCATCTTTGATTAGATCAGACTTTTGGTCATGAACAATGAATGTCATAAAGAATTGATGAAGAGAAGAAATTGAGCTTTCTATCAGATTACAGTCAAAAAAAGCCAAAAATTGATCACCATGTTCTTTTCTTTGCTCATTTTTCAGTTCATCCCAATGAGCAACAGACAGCTATTAAACATCTAGTTTTTTTTTTTTTTTGACCTAATTTCAACCGCTTAGATTCTGTATATTTTTAGACGGAATTTAGACGTTGCACTTTTACCCATTATTCGCTAACTATTTACCGGTATTTCAAAAAGCAACTGTGAGTTGCATAACTGATCTCCAAGTACTTAACCAATATAGCCGATGAGCAATATACAGTGTAGCATAGATATAACCCAGATTTAGACTTGGTCTAAATGTAGACGTCTAAAAAACGTTCATGTTTAGACCTGTGGTAGCCTGATTTTAGACCAGTCATCTGGCTACATTTAGACATCTATTAGACCTCTTTGAGATCAAAAAATGCTCAGTGGGATTATACAGTGATTTGTGGCAAATTCTAAATTGTCCTCAGATATCAATATGCACATTTAGTAGATTTTGACATGTATTCAGTGATGCAAGTTAAAAGGGAGTGAAGAGAAAGTAATATTGGGCCTGGAGAGGAAGAATACGAAGAATAGCAATAGACTAAAATGGAGAGTAGAAGAGTGTAAAGAAAGGAGAGGAGGAGAAGGAGAGACTTCAGGAGATAAAGTAGGAAACACAGGAAGGGAGAGACAAAGGATGGGAGGTTGTAGGCAGTATAAGGAGGGGGGTCAATAGAGCAGAGTGTTAAGCCTGTTTGTGGGAAAGTGCCTCAGGGATGGCAGCTTACTAACAGAGTCCGTATTGATTCACCAATCACAAAAAAAAAAAAACACCAGGAACCTCTGATGTTGTGTGCATGAGTGTGTGTGTGGATATGCGTGTGTTTGTTGTACATTTGATGGACTTCTCTACAGAAATATTGTTTTCACCTTCCTCTCACTGCTCTGTACTTCCTTTCTTGGCCACATCATCATGTCCTAACTTTTCATTCTGTACATTCTTGAAACGCTGAAGGTGACAGTATGAGCACAGTGCAGACACTGAGCTCACGATCTGGCTTTTAGCCACAGGCTAAATCAGTCAACATTCGGTAAGTCTGTGGAGACAATGATCTGAATGTGAGAGGTGATGACAGTGAGCGTGCAGGTATGTTAATGAGGGCAGGTATCTGTCTCTTTAAATTTAGACATCCTGACAAGGAGCAGCAGACGAGCGAAGGGATTTAAAGCATTGCCATTCTCTGGAGTGAGAACATTTGTGTTTGTTTTTGACTTAGAGTTGTCAAAGTGGAGAACAGTAGAGTGGATAAAGCTTAGTTTTAAACTCTTCACCAGAGTCAATCTTAAACTATTAAAAAAGCACAGAGGCAACAGCTCAGTAAAATCCAATGATCTTGCAGCTGCTGTTTGATTTACTGAGGTTTTTTATTGGGCCTCTGATCTGAGAGCTTGGAAATGTTTCCCAAAGTTATTTAAGTAAGGCATTACCCACTGAGCATTTTTACTAAGAGAGGTCTAATAGACGTCTAAATGTAGCCTAGATGACTGGTCTAAAATCAGGCTACCACAGGTCTAAAAATGAACATTTTTTAGATGTATAAATTAAGACCAAGTTTAGACCAAGTCTAAATTTGAGTGATATCTATATCACACTGTATATTGGTCAACAGCTACCATAATTATTTTGGTTAAGTACTTGGAGATCAGTTATGCAACTCACAGTTGCTTTTTGAGTTAAATAGTTATCGAATAATGGGTAAAAGTGAAACCGTCTAGATTCTGTCTAAAAATATACAGAATCTAGACGGTTGAAATTAGGTCTAAAAAAAAACCCAGACGTCTAATAGCCGTCTATTGCTCAGTGGGTACTTAACGCATCAAGTGTGTGAACCTTGAACTATTTAAATCTGAAGCTTTTTATAGTTTTGTCATGTAACTTAATGTTGGTTGTTTGTCTTTTTCAGGCATTAAAATCAAACAATCAAAGTAAACCAATACATCCAAACTTAGCATCTGAGAGTAGCTGCAAAGGATTTCCAAAACAGCCCCAAGTAGCAGCGAGTGTGCTAATCCAGTATACTGTTTATACTTTATTCTACTTTTTTGTTCGCTCCTCTAAAGTTTAGTCTATTTTATCCCCAGGCTACGTTCACTGTCTTTCAGTTTGCACATTTGTCAGACAAGCCAAAATTCTTGCGTTCAGTCGGTGTACAGTATGTGACAAGGTGCGCACACTGTCAAATAAACATGCCTACTTTACAACCTAGGATGGTATGGAGAGTCAGGATTTATGAACCTCATACAAATTGAACAGGAACTTGTAGAGACATGTGGACAGAAACTGAGTTATGGAGTCAGTGGTATGAAATTTCAGCAAGCTTTGGAATGAATAGCTAGAAAGTGTACTGTGAATTTTAAAGAGGGTGGGTGGACTTTTTTTAGATCGTACCAGAGCATGGAAGGAAGAAACTGAGAAGATGCCCAGTCGTCCCATAGCCAGCTTGGTGGGACGGGAAGCGAAGCCCAGCAGGCGTTTGGGGTTTGGAGGTTCGCCGCCCTGCAGACTGGCTAGGTAGCATCGACAGCGGAACAGATCGATATGAAACCTCTCCAAGTTCTGCTCCCACAGGAAGATCTACCAGAGAGAAGACAAGTGTGAATTATTTCTCCAAATGTCATCTGAGGAATTCCTGCACAAAAAAAAAAAAGTACAATATTCTACACAGAAAAAGATGCAATATTCATCGTTAATCTCTCCATCAGATTGTTTTTTGATCAGTTCAGGAGGAGTGAGATGTGGGAGTGCTGAAGTCCCTGTAGAGAGGTATTACTCACCAACACTACCCCCACCAGTCCTCGACCTGCTGTGCTATGTGCTATGTATCACAGGGTTGGCCGTGGGAGGTGGAACACAGTGACACACACACACACAAACACTCGAAATGAAACACAAACTGGACTTAACCAATTTTCTCTGCTTCCTCTTTTTACCTGATTATTCCAGGAGAAATGAAAGCAAACACTCATTTCTTTCAGTCTGAAGCATAACAAAGCTCGCAGGTCTGTTTATTTATGCAGGCGCATTTTGGGATTAAAGTAGTTCAAGATACTGATCTTAAAAGAAGTCAGATAATTATACAATCATCCACTCAGATGAAGCTTTTTCTACCCCGCTTTGATCCCTAAATCTTAGTTCATGTGGCTTTAAAGATGGCAATCACAAACCTGCGTTTAAAAAGAAAGGAAATGTTCTGCATGATTAAATTTAACTACTTCTTGGAGCTTTTATTGTCGTTCCTTTCTGCTCTTGACTGTCAGCCATATACCACACACGCAGGAAAATATGGCAGCTCACTCAAACAAGAGGCCTCTTATTTTTTGTGCGTAACACATTCCTAAATTGTCATGCAATGCTGACATGCAATGCTGCTTTGTCATCCGGCTCCAGACATGCGTGGAGTATTAGAATAAGCTCAAGACTGACTGAAAGTGAACAGACCTTATGTAAGAGGAGTTTTGAAATTCCAGCTGCGACTTGTTTCAAAACATCCATCAAAATGAGGAAGGATTAGCAGGGGAGGGAGGGAGATTTCGGGTTCACCTGCTTGCTAATGTGTGCATCGCATGGGTTTCGACATGTGTTTGAAATATTCGGCATTTCCCCGCTCTTGGATGTGTTTATAATGAGCACCAGTTGGAATATTTGAAACCATCTGTCTTTGCAAGTACATCCTCAGAACATTTGCGAGGATGACGCCATGCAGTGAGGATGATTTAGTGCAGAGATTCAGTGCGTGACAGCGTGACAGCGTACAGCGCGGTTCAAAGGTACAAAGATGAGCATCTGTAGAGACCCCTAGGTGTTTTTTCCACCTCGACTCGGCTGAGGACCGCTGTTGCTCAGCGGGGTGCTCAATATGTGATCACAAACGTGGTTCATATCAGCATCACATGTACGTCAAGTGTGACCCATTTGCAGTTCAATTCTACAACAATACTTCTATCAGCCTTCCTTCATACCTGCTCCAGTATCGTCTTCCTCTTCTTCCCATCGGTGACGGTGGACAGCTGCATGTCTCCCATCTTCTTCATCTTCTCGTCCATGTCGATCTTCTGCTCCAGCTTGCGGATCTCGGTTCGTAGCAGTCGTACGGTATCCTCCCTGTGATGCTGCCTAGCCAGAGCGGCCGCACACGCGGAGTGGATTGCTGTGATCCAGTTCTCCAATTCAGTCTGGCCTGACGTCTAAAAAAAAGAAGAGAAAAAAAATTGGTGACTTTTCGCTGAATCAGTCAAGGAACTTAAAAACAGGTTAGGAGGAAAACAAATCGAGGAATTGGCAGCTAAGGGAATTGAACCAGGATCCCATTATTAGCGTCTGTAACGAGGTGGTCATTATAATCTCATCATCATTTTATAATTTATCTCCCCTTTCATTGATTGAATGCCACTGTGGACAGCTGCCATGAATATAAATAGACACATGTTAACCTTGCACAATGGTCAGTGCGGCGGATCACTGTCACAGAATGACAGTGTGGCCTTTAAACATGTCAGACATATAACAAACACACAGACTGGCCGACTGGCTTATCTCCCACTCATGGCAAAATGTCATGTATTGTGGGCCACACAGACACACACACAAATCTCCTAAGGGACACTGGGTCTATTTCAATCTCCAGCCATTTCAAGGTTTTAAACAAGACAAATAACTGACTCAACAAAGCTATGTTTATGTCTGTAACTTAACGCGTTTACACTGATACATGTCCCGTGGATGTGTCCCTCACCTGAAAAAGAAAAGCATCTCCCACTGAGTTGCTGAGGCAGAAGACAAAGTCTTTCTTGGGGTGTTCAGGTACGGCCTGGACAATACTATTCTCGACCCACAGTGCATGTTTGGGAACACTGTTATGATCGATCCCGTTGCGGCAGTCTGATTCATATAGGAAGAGAGTACAGCCTGGAGGAAGACAGGAGAAAAAAACAAAGAGGTAAAAACTCAGAGAAAGTCTAAGCGGTTCATTTGCAGTTTTATTTCATTATTTCGAAACAACCAACTCAAACAGGGGCTTTTGAGCATGATATTGTGATTATATACGACAGACATAAGGACAGTGGGCAGGCAGAAGGCAGCTGCAGATGCTATATCTTGTGCATTTCACAAGGATGAGATTGGATTAGACACGGTTGCTGCCAGAAAATTAAATTGTGATGAGGCTGAGGAGAGGAGATGTAAGACCACACACAGGAGACTGTGGGAGGGAAGAGTCGAGGTGACAACCAAGGGCACGGACTGTGCAGCGGCTGATATGATTACAGAATAACAGAAGAACCCGAGTAAGAGATTATACAGCATGAGGTCAGAATGAGATGTGTGTCTTAAGTGACACAACATCAGGATGGTTTTGTTGAGATAAACATTTTTGTCCCTAATATTATTATTTATATTATTTGCACTTTTAGTAACCTAAATGTTGCAGGTATAATCTGTCAGGTCCTTTTTGTTGTGCTCTTTTTCTAACTAAAGAATGAGCTTTAAAGGTGTAACATTTCATTTTAGATGAATTTCTAGTCTGAAACAGTTCGCCACAGGGGTTATGTTTTCTGTAGCGTTGGTTTGTTTGTGTTTGTCTGTTAGCAACTTTACGGAGAAAGTAACAGACGGATTGACCTGAAACTTTCACCAGAGGTGCGTCTCAGCCCCAGGAGGATCCATTTAAACTTTGGTGGTGATCAGGACAAAATTCTGGATACTGTGATCCAGAACACACAAAAATAAGGGTGTCATTGGAATTTTCAATGCTGAAAGATAACCAATGGCCGGCACAGTGGTGTAGATAGGTGGTACAGTGGTGTAGTGGTTAGCACTGTCACCTCACAACCAGAAGGTCCTGGGTTTGAAACCTGGTCAGGGCATTTCTTGTTTAAGGAGGGACATGAGCTGCTTGGCGGAGGTCTGTGCTCTCCGAGTGCTTTTCTAGTCTTGTTTTAGGTCCATAATGTACAACGTATTCATTTCAGTTTACCGTACTAGAGAATAGTAGACTCTGAGAAATTTGCCACTTCCAGCCATCTTCAAATATACAATTCCTTCACGTTTTAAAACAATCATTTAGTCCAAGTTTCAAGTATAGAACAAAATCAAAAAAAATTGCAACACCTTTCAGGGAGACCCAGTAGTGTTTCCACTTGCGCTTCGTTGCAGGTTCCACCTTCTTGTTCTTCTTATGAACCAGGAAGTTCTTCACAGCCAGAGCCCCCGCTTTTCTGACCGTCCCCTGAGCGCTGCCGAGCAAATTGTCAGATGGATATGCACTACTCAGTGTGCCGCTGCTTTGCTCGTCACTCACAGCCGAGCCAGCCTCTTCCGTGAAGTCCCGACCCTGCTGTGTCTAACGAGAAAGTGATAGAAAGCCGAGTGATGACAAACATTTGATCCACCAGTTTGTAGATATAATGTATATAAGAACAGAACAATGCGGTTACAAAAGCAGCTAACCCAGGCTAAATTGTCCAGCTCCTTGCGAAAATTCTCATACACTCCTCCCCTGACTCCCTCTCCGCCTCGACCCTCACCACCTCCGGTGCTGCTGCTCCCGCTGTCGCTCCCATTGAAAACGCTGCTCTCGGTGGCTGAGTAAACAGAGAAAGAAGCTGACATGGCCTTGCAGCGCCTTGTCACCAGATCGCCATCTCCATCCGTCTCTGTGGTGACGCCGTCGATGCCACTGTCACCATACTCACTGCCCTCACCCAAAACACCTGAGATGTCCTGAAAGAAGAATAAAAAAGTGTGAAATTGACATATGAATTATAAGAAAACCTGACCTGATTCGGGGTGTTTGTATGTATGTGGTGCACATGTTTTCCAGTGCATTTCTGCTCAAACGAAACTTTTCACTCTGGATTAAATATTCTCAGAGCTTTCACACTTTACTTTCACCAAACCGAGACTCCCTCTGTTCTTTTTCTCTTTGTTTTGCTGTGTTGTGGATCTATTTATATCCACGCTAACAACCCCCTCAGCCTGGCGAGATGAATTTATAATGAACACTTAGGGTGCTCTGCCATCCAAGGGTGCTTGGGGTTGTGGGAAAGAAGTTGAAAGAAAAGCCTGTTTCACATTTTTAGCATTCACTTCCCATTTGGAAACTTTTTTAATCAATGGCAAATGAATATTACAGGAAGCAGATGTACGTGTTTTGATGAAATCTCAAGTCGAATTATTCCCACGTTACTTTTCTTTCTCATTCACTTTAAGTCAATGTGCTTTCGTAAGACTCCACACTATGTTCGTATGTCTTCATGCATGTTGGGACAGTGTGTGTGGTGAGTGAACAGAGCGTGGAGTTATGCTTTAATGCTTTAATTCCTGGAGGGGCGATGCAGAAACCAGGCCAACGTTGAACAAGGAGCCCCACAGCAACTTTCTATCTGACTCCTTGTAATCCCTTTCTCCACAACATAAATAATCGTGCACTCTTGACAGTGCAAAGGCCCGTGCACAACAAGAGAGTCTGCACACAGGAAATGTCTCTGAATCTGAATGGTTTTAAAGAATCTTCCAGGATACTACTGTTGAGAAGTGTTTAAAAAGATCTAAAAGTCATAAAAGTCACATTGTTGGCTTGGTGGTAAATAAGTTAAGACCTCAAACCTGGTCAGTATCTGTAGTCTACATTTATACATTCATTCATTAAGTGTGCCCTAACCTGAGTAGTTTGCGCACGGCGTCCTTGGAAAGTCGGGCATGGCGCAGTTGGGATGCCTAGTCCCGCTAAGCCTTCAGACAGGCAGTGTGAGCGTCGGCAGGGGAGTGTGTACGCCCCGTACCCGCCGCCATCCTCCTCCGTCGGAGACATCAGCCCCTCCTCCCCCTCTCCGTCTCCGTCGCACTCTGCCTCTCTGCGGTTTTTAGCGAAGCGGCTCCTCTGCCCCCTGAGGCCAGGACTCTGCTGGCTGCACAGATGGTCCAGAGAAGATGCCCTTTCTGCGGAGCCTGTAACACACACACACACACACACACACACACACACACACACACACACACACACACACAGGTGGTCATTGCTAAGCAGTGTGTGTGCTTGTGTGAGACTGAGATGAGGGTAGTGTATTCTGATTACTGTCAATTACTGCCAGACTACTTTGGTGAATTTGATGGGTAAATTAACCTCCTCTTCGGTTGTCTGAGTCCTTCTGTGAATCTGTATGATTTTGTGCGTGAACAGTGCATGTGTGTGAAGCAAGTCCATCCATTATTCTAAGCTAGCCAGCCTCCTGGGGCGGCACTTACACCCTCTGCAGTTTTAGTTACCAGCTACCGCCTGCTGTTGCCCTGAAATCCAGCAGCTCCGGCACAGTGCCTGTTAAGCTAACAACCCTGTGATCAACTGAACTGCTGCAGCTGAGGCGGTGGGAAGGTAACCTTCAATCAGCAGGTTTCCTGAAATCCTTTTTCTGAGTCTTTGCAATTTTTTTTTCATCCAACCCCCCCCCATATTACAAGCAGTGGGACTCAAATCAAGCTACAACCCCTGCATACAGGCACAGATACACCATTTGTGCATTTAAGGAAAATTTCTCTTCAACCCAATCAATGTTAAAACTGGGGAAAAAATATGTTAATATCTTGACCGTGATATTTTTTTCAAACATAAAAGCTGTGATTTAAATGACTTCTGAATCTGTCCAGATAAAGACATTAGTATTGTTACTAACTTAAAGGGATATTCCGGCATAAAATAAAGTTAGGGTCAAACACACCGTAACGCTGAGTTAGACACCCCGTCGAGAGATGAATGTTGCCGACCGCTTGCTTCTCTAGTCATACCAACTTTAGGAATGACCGCACGATAGCAATACAGACAGCCACACCCTCAACCAAAACGCCGCTCTATAGCCACAAATAATGCTCAGAACAGCACCTAACTTCATCAACAGTACATATAGGGTCCCAGCCATAGCACTGGCCATCAAACATCTTTTTAACTTTGCCTGATTTCTTTAGCAAAGAGACTAAGCACAAGTCACCTACTCTCTTCCAGCAGCCGCTTGTTTGTATGGAGACCTCCAGGCGAGTCCATCGACTGCAGCGGGGTGACGCAGCTCAAGGAAGAACATTAATGATAATTTCTTTATCATTTCCTTCAAGTAATAATCACCATATTAATCATTTTGCACTGCAGACGCAATAGTCTTCTGCCTTAGCATCTCGGTCTGATTGCATTTCCATTAAGAAATGATCATAAATGTTCTTTCTTGAGCTGCATCACCCCCACAGCAGTCAACAGACTCGCCCGGAAGTCTTCGTCCAAACAAGCGGCTGCTGGAAGAGAGACAGTGAGTTGTGTTCAGTCTCATTCCTAAAGAAATCAAGCAAAGCTAAAAAGATGTTTGGTGGCTAGTGCTGTGGCTAGGACTCTATATGTACTGTTGATGAAGTTAGGTGCTGTTCTGAGCATTATTTGTGGCTATAAAGTGGCGTTTTGGCTGAGCGTGTGGCTCTCTGTATTGCTATCATGCAGTCCTTAATAAAGTTGGTATAACCACAGAAGCTAGCGGTAGGCAACATTCATCTCTCGGGGGGGTGTCGAACTCAGTGTTAAGGTGTGTTTGACCCTAAATCAATTTTACACCAGAATATCCCTTTTAATAAAAAGGATAAAATAAAGGTAATGGAGCATCTCTTGTAACTACGTGAATTAACTGGTCATTTTTTTTGTTGGTTTAAAGTAGGAAGAACTACAAAGATTATGTGTGTTTACCATCCTCACCTGCACTGCCTCGAGGGCGGGTGAACTGTTCATCCTCCTCCTCCTCTCCTCCATCGATCATTTCCTCTGTGCTGGTCAGATGCTCCTGGCTTAGATCAGACAGAGAAAACTCCAGGCTGTCCTCCCTCCACATGTCTGCAGACTTTGACCTCTTCTTTTTAAAACTCCCTCCCTCCCGTGGGCCTTCAGTCATCCGCTGAAGATACCTTTCCTCCCCGATAGTGTCCCCCTCCCCCTCACCCATGGAGTCCTCTCCTCCATCATGAGCAACAGTGTCTGCCTCTGAGGTTTCAGGCGTCGGCGTAGCCAAAGGGTCATCGTCATGTTGATAGGACTCCGGCCTCATTGTCATAGCAACACGTTGGGTCCAGTGCGGGTTGATTCCGAATTCTCCAAACTCATCTGTGGCGTTGAAAGGTTCCAGTCCGCTCTCCGCTAAGGATTGTGGGATGCTCGGGGTGCTGGAGGAGCGAGTCGAGGCTTCTGAGTTTCTGTGTTCCTGTTTCACTGAAGACGAGTGACGGGAGCGCCGGGTGATTTGCTGCTTGGAGAGACGGAGCGATCGGGACGTGTGTTTACGGGAGAGATGTCCTGTCACATCGCCATAGAAACCACTGTCCCCATTCTGACTCTCCACATTTCCCATGATTCAACTGTAGATAGAAGAAGAGAATTCATGTCCATCACCATGATCCTCTTACAGGCTTTCAGTAACACTTCCCTAAAATTGTGATATACTCCATGTTTGATATGAATTCTCAAAGAGTTCAGTTACTACATTTAGTATTGACACTGAGACTGTCTTTCACTGTCACTGTCTTTCCTTATCTCCCTCCATACCCTCTTCAATCCTTAGCAGATGGCTGTTCGACATGAGTCTGGTTCTGCTTAAGGTTTCTGCCTCTTGGAAGGAAGTTTTTCCTTGCCACCATAGCTTCCTAAATGCTGCAAAGTGCTCAGCTCATGGCGGATTAAGACAAGCTAAGAGCGGGTCTTATCTCACTAGATAAGACTCAATCCAATCTTGATACTGGGTCTTTGTAAACAATTTAAGAGTTTGGTCTAGACCTGCTCTTTGGGAAAGCATTTGTTGTGAACCTCTGCTATATAAATAAAGATTTATAGATTGATTGATTGATTGATTGATTGATTGATTGAATGCTACACCATCTTTGCCATGTCTGTGATTTACATCTGCCATTTGCATTCATGCTAATAATAGAGGTGTTTCTGTTTGTTATGGGAAGTATGAAGTCCACCAACGCCCAAAGGTTTCAGTTCATTCTATCAAATTTCAAACACAAAAGAAATCAAGACAGTTATATTTGGACTTAAATTTGGTTGATGAAGGTAAGAAAAACTAAATGTTTGTTGAATAACAGTGACAGGACAGGTGTCTGTGGCAGCTGCTATAAAGACAATTAAACAGATGGCACCAAATGCATGGTTAGCTCTTTACTCTAAGGAGATTTATTCCCTGTAATTGAATATAAATGTAGAAGCCTTTCCTTATAGTTCGTGATTTGTATGTTTTTTTTTTTTATTACAGAGCTTATACAGTAGACATCTATTTCAGTTTTTAGTCCTTTTCATAGATGTGTTCTTTTTTTGTTCATTATAAGGACAGGATATATACACTACCCTTTAATTCATTACCAATTAGCAGCCTTACCTCCCACTGACTCTGGTATGTTTGCCGTGTCAGATTTATGGCTGAAAACCAGGTCAATCTGTGTGCCGGCTGAGTGAGTAGCATTCGGTTGCCAGTTCCATGTTACATGAAAAGGTATTCAGGGTGTCTTTGAATGCTCTTTATAGTTAAGCTGTCAAGCAAATGGGATCAGGCAACCACAGCTGAGGAGGAAACTGCATTGCCAGGTTTTTGGCTGATTTAACAGACTCTAAAGTTTGGTCATTTGTCAGGGACAGCTCACTAAAGTGGGGCAGCACAGGGACAATTAGGCTAATTTAAAATGTATTGAGAGCATAGGAAGCTTACAACGGTTTTGTGAAGGGTTTCTGGTGCTGTTCCATTTAAGTACTCAGTGTGCCTTAAAATCTAGAAACAAAAACAAAGGCATTGTAACTTTTCTGCCTAGGACATTAAAATTTGAGTTTCAATTTGTCAAACTTTGAAACTGCATGCACACAAAAACCCGATTACTAAAGAATAATCTCTGATTGTCTGCGCTGCTTTCTGCTCTCAGAAATGCTAAATCATTCGTTTCGCAACCTCCCAAACTATCAGACATATCGGTTCTTTGATGCCGTCTCCCAATCTCCTTCATCTCCTGCTCTCTGTTATATAAGCAGATGGAGCTGCTGAGTCAGCTGCTGTCAGATCAGTTGATCCTCTGAGTCACACATCATCAAACCCACACCATCAGGTTCTCAGTGTGGGCTAAAACTGCTGAGAGAGAGACGCTGCTCCAACATGCCAAAAAATCTACTAAAGCTATCGGTTTAATCTAATATGAAGAGCTCATTCTTGTTAGCTAAAACAAGCAAAAATGTTCATGTAACCTGGTAGGATTACGGGTAACACTTTATAATAACTATCTGTTAAAACTACTTAATAAACCATTAGGAAACTGTTAACTAATTAGTTATTAATGAGTTGTTTAGTGTTTGTTAACAGTTGGAGGATTTATAATAATGCCTTATAGATGGTTAATATGTCATTGATGAAATGTTAGTTAATGAGTTATAAATGACTTGTTAAATGTTTGTTAATGATTTATAACTATACCTTATAAATGAGTAATAGATCATGAACAAGCTATCAGTAAATAACATACTAATGACTTGTTAAGTATCACTTACAAGTTCATATATGTTATAAGGACATTATTCTAAAGTTGAAACAATTCCTCATTTATTAACTTTGAGGAAATGAGAAATAGTTGCAACTTAAGAATAACAAAGAGATTTAGAATAACAAACAAATAAGAAAGAGAAGAAAATAAGTACAGGAGGGAGATTTTTTTTATTTCCATTTCGGGATTAAAGTCTTAAATTTGGATTAAAGTCAAAATTTTAAAAAAGTCAGAAAAAAATGCCCTATGGCTGAAATTTGTCGTAGCCATCCATGTGCCAAAGCGCATTTGGTCCTCGGCTTCGGTAATACCTGCACCTCAGATGCCGTCAGTCAACAACATGACAATTTGTCGAGTGACGAGCAACAATGCTGTTGATCCATTGCGACTTTATCCATAAAATTTCGTCTTCACTTGTGCAGAATTTAATCTCGAAATTTGGATTAAAGTTACGAAATTTCCACTTCATTCAGGTCGACTTAAATCTCTAAATTTCAATTTTACTCTTATTCTTGTAATTTTTTTTCTTTTCATGTGGCCCTAAGCCTTTTTCGTAATTTTCTGACACTAAACAAGTCATTAGTAAGTAATTTACAAATAGCTTGTTCGTGATCTATCACTAATTTACTCATAGGTATACTTTTAAATCATTAACATACAGTTATCAAGTCATTTATAACTCATTAACTAACAGTTTATTAATGCTATATAATCTATCTATAAGGCATCATTATAAATCCTTAAACTGTTCACAAACATTTAACAAGTCATTAATAACTAGATAGTTAACAGTTTACTAATGATCTAGTTATAACAGATAGTTATTATAAAGTGTTACCGGATTATGTAATTCAACACAAAATCTGGCAGAGACTTGAGTGTACAAACAGTGGTTACCTGAAGTTAAGCAGCAGCATCACCAGCTTCTCATCATCAGGACGGTGTCATCTTTCACAGACTGCACAATCCTCCACATCCTCAAACGACAGCGTCAGTTCGCCCTGAGAGGAACAAGAAGAAAGAAGCGATTCAGGGAAGCTCTCACAACTTCAAAGTGACCTGATGTGTCAAAGGCACACAGAGGAGGAGACAGAAGATGAGAAACTGGAAGGTTGTTCAGAAACTACTGCAGAATAAGGGGGGGGGGGGGGGGATCTGCCAGGTACGTCACATAAAGCGCGTGAAGTTAAGTTGAAAGGAGAGCTATGAGGAGAGGGAGTCCATAGGAAAAGAGACGGAATAAAGGATCAAAAAGAATGAAGGGAGTGGTGGTCAGTGAGCCTGGAGTTAATGCGAGTCAGAGAGAGAAAAAGAAAAAAAAACCTGCATTTGAATTAATCACAAACTCACAGATCATCCGAAAGAAAGCTCAGGGGTATAACCTGAGCCTGAAAAAGGGGAGAAACTCACAAACAACTGATATTTCTTTGAAGAGCACCCTGAAAGTCACACTACCAACTTAAAACCATGCAGGCACGTTTGAGCATGTGCACAAAACATTTGGGGGGAAAACACCCCTTGTTTCCCCGCAGACAAAGAGGCGTGAATACACACTCACTGTTGGTAAAATGAGAGAAGATGAAAGCAGCTATGGAGAAATGATTTACAGCTTAAGAGTCAATTAAATGATCCTTGCCAACACGACCTAATTTTCCTTAATACCAGCCCTGAGCTGCTTAGGGAAGACTTTCATTTCCATAAAGTGCTATGTATAGGTATGCAAGAGTGAGCATGCTGGCTTGTGTGTAGTTTTACACAAATTTTTAGCTCACAGCGGGATAAAAATGTAATTTGTACATGAATCTAAGCAAATATAACAGATGATCTTCCCCAGTAGGATGTAAAAACATTCACATGCCTGAAGCAGGAGGTCTAATAGACAGACTACGCCCTTATTGTTGCAGAAACTATTGTCAGATTTAATTGTTTTCTGATAAACATTCAAGCAGGAAAATAAAAGTACCTCACTGTCATGTCAAAGGCATGAAGGAAGGAAAAGAAAAGAAAACACACCCCGATCAATGGCAGAGCACACGCCAATCAGCACAGGGTATGTCCAGATCGTACGCATCTGCTGAGTTATTATTACTGGCAATGTTTCATAGTACAAAAAAAAAAGCATTTGTTCCATCTGGTCAACAGAGCTGGCATGAGAATATCGTTACTTTCACTCCACTTTGACTACAGCTGCTGCTTTTATTGATGGTAATCAGATAATGCTGTCAGTGTGTTTATTCTCAAGGGCAGAAATGAAGCAGTTCTAGGAATAGAAAGTGAGAGCTCAGAAAAGGAGAAGTACAAAAGACAAAAAGAGAAGTAAAAAAGGGTGGGCAAATGACCGAAAATGAAACGCTTTCACTGTATTCACACACGCACACACAGAACTCCAAGAAAACTGTCTTTTATTTTTCAAGAAAGTCTGCAAATGGAAACAGTCAAAATTCTTGTAAATTTTAGCCAATGTGAGAATGCAGCAGGTTATATTTGGTGAAATTTACTGTGAGGGAGTTTGCAAGGGTGGTAACATTTACATCATGGAGCTCGGTGTAAATCCAAACAAGCAGCACATAACATCCAAACTGAAAGAGGAGAATCCATTTCAAGACAAGAACAGTAAAGTTATCTTGTATTGAAACAAATGCAAAAAAGTGTCATTAAAGCTAGGGATGCACTGATCTGGTATTTGGATCGGGTATCGGCTCCGATAATGACGAATTAACTGGATCTGATATCTGATGAATGACGCTGATCTAGCATGCTGATCCAGTCTTTATTTTTCTTTTAATACATGGAAGTCTAACTTCGTTTTGATGTGTGCTAATGTGCAATTTGTTGTTTGTTAATAAATATATTAAGTAGATTTATATCTGTGTTAATCTGTTACCTTTTTTTAACAAGGCTAATGCCAAGCTTGATGCCTTCACTCACAGGGCAAGGTATACAGTTCATTCATTCAACAGTAGTATTGGATCGGTATTCGGTATCGGCCGATATGCTCAGCCCAGGTATCGTATCGGATTGGATCGGAAAAACAGGATCGGTGCACCTCTAATTAAAGCACAGGTCTCTATTACTTTGTCGACTAGGACTCATCTGGTCTAAAAAGACATGCAAAAACAAGCAATTCTGCAAGTTTAGGGGGTAATAAACAGAAGATTTCTAGAAAATTTCAGGATACATCAGTAAAAAAAAAGGCTTGTGTTTTTCTCTACGGTATACGTTTGTATCCAAACATATACTGTAATTACTGCAGCAAATGCTACCCCCAGTTGTGGGAAGTGGTTACATAAGCCTCTGACCCTGATGCTTCTCCACCTCCTCCTCTTCTTCTCATTATTATATCGCTCCCCTCTTTATTTCTCATCCTTTCTCATTCCCATGGCTTATCCAAACCCACATGCCGGCCACCCACCCTTCCAAAACAAACAGAAACCCACAGAAGATGCACCGAATTAATAATGATGATATTGCTGACAATGTTTCACAGATGCTGGTTGTTTACTCTGGAGCGAGTTCTGCTTTCTTTTCAATCTATCATCAGTTGAATTTGTTACGGATACATAAGTGCAAACACCAGCACCTGAAACGACTGATAGGTAGATATGGTGAACAAAGTTTGTGAATGGAAAGCATTATGAAGACATTTCAAGGACTTTTAGTAACCCGGAATGTGCATTAATGCCGCTGATCCCTCTTTACATCTACGCTGTCTAAATTTAGAGCAGCGGAAGTAAGAAAACACACACAGACCAAACAAACAAAACAACCTCGCCTGACACAACACAAGGGACATCAAAACCGCAGCCTTTCCTCTGGCGATGTACAGTCGAAAATGTTTAGTCTCTTCGTTTTTTCCTCTCCCTGTGCCCTGCAGCAAAGCATAGAGGAAAGGGGGAGGGTATCGAGGGGAGGTGGAGGGGGGGAAACTCTCTGCTAAACCCCCGTAGAGCTGAGAGGTGAGGCAAGGCTGCAGGCAAAAACACATACAGAGGGAGGATAGAGGAGGGGGCACAGACACAGAGGGGAAAGGAGTAAAAAAAACATTGGGGTATGGTGCTATGAATAGAAGTTTTATATAGAAAAGTGGGAAAAAAGTGGGGAGGAAATGAAGAATTAGTGCAGGAGAGAGACAGAGAGGGAGAGATAGACAGAGAGGCGTTGGGGGGTCCTATTGTTGCTGAGCTTTAAGTGGATAAGTAGACATGTGCTCTGGCTGCCTCTCTTTGGGCTTAATTGAGGGAGCCGAGACAAAAGGGGAAACATAATTATTCGCTCTCTTTCCCTCAGTCTCTCTTTCTCGCAGTATATTAACACATTGAGAGAGTGTATTAACACAATGGGCAGCGCAACAGCAGCCAGAGCATCATTACCATGCAGGCATGCCCACTCACAGACGAACACACAGACACACACACAGACACGCAAAGAGGGAACAAAGAACAGTGTTGGTGAAAATGAAACTCCATGCGTCTTACTCAAAACAAAAGTCATGTAAAAAAAAATAATAATAAAAAAAATCAAGCTTCACTTCTTCAGTTTGGATATTTTAGTTACTGATCGTATCAACCTTAAAGGCATGGTTGATAATTGGAGAGATTGGTAATTATTATATATTGTTTATATGGCGATCATGGATCTATAGTGCGATCTCCACAAAGTGAGGAGAAAAAAGAATGGAAAAATTCTGTTCACCCTAGCAGGTGCAGGGCTTCAAAATCATTGACCAATGGGAGCAATCCATCCCGCACAGCTCCTATTGGTCAATCTCCTGCCACGCCTCTCCATCCAATGACCTTGCTATATTCAACGCTCCCCTCTCTCATAGTTACTTGACCCCTCCCACTCTCCCTGCCCTCCTTGGAGCTCTGAGCAGCTAAAAGTAGCGTGGCAGCTTAGCTACAGGAGCTGTGATGGAGAAGGACGCAAAAAAAAAAAAAAAACACTTCTGCTCGTTCCACCACCAAAAGTGCTTAGAAAACGCAAGCCGACAGAAGAAAGGGTGGAGTCAAAGAGGAAATGTGACCAAGCAAGGAATCTAACCCGAATAAACATCAGGTCCTCCTACGAGCGGTGGAGAAAGCGCTGCCAGGATTTGGGCCTGAAAACAGATGCTGTTGAACAGGTCATTTTTGCCTTTTATCGTGGCACATGTTACATAAACAACTCTTATTAGTCTGTGCAATGTCAACATGGTAGCTGTCCAGGCGGTGCTCGCTAGCAGAGCTAGCATTTACTACTGCTAGTCACTAGTAATCCGACAAGGTGAATATTATTTGAAGCTAGCGTAGGATCTTCTGCTGGCCAGCTTCTTGCTTTGCCAGAGGGGGTGTGTCATGGGGAGGGTGATACAGGTTTGGGGGGGATTTATCGTTGAGCACAGAGGGGAGAGGTTTGCGTGTGGGGGGTGGGACGCTTTTTCAAATCTGCCTCAACACCGCGTTTTTTTTTTTCAACTGCTTCTCAGATCCTCTTCTCAGACCAAACCTTTAACTTACGAAATGCTGCAAAATAAATTATTCATCACTGAATGACTTCTGATTATTGCACAGCTGGCTTAAATACTCCATTTCTGACTGGTCAAGTCTCCATAGCAACGATCTTCTATTACACGATAGCAGACCAATCTTTAGTTTAAACACACCATAGGGATACGGCTGTGCACACACACACTCTACGGGAATTACAGGTGGTAGTTAACTTCAGGTTATGGTTATGTTATTAAAGAAATCTTCAAAGTTAAAGATGGTGCCAGGAAATGGAACTGAATACAGGTGCGGCACTGATTCATACCTGACCTGCTCACCTTGTTTGAGTTCCTCGTTGGTATAATTGTTTCGTTTAACGGGAGAAATAACAGCACATATAGCTTTTGTTAAGAAATGTTGAGTTGAATGTGAGTAACAGCAGCTGAGTTAGCTCATTTTAAGAAGGCTAAAGACTCAGCTAAAACTGTAAATTTAACTTTCAATAGAAGAATTAAAAGCCTTTTTAAATAAAAAAAAATTCAAAATCAATATTTGGAGAAAAATCACGATTCCTCAACTAAGTAGTTAGGTATTAAGTGGGATAATGCTTCATACTGGGGTACCATTTACCTAGTTGGAGTTTCTGTCTGCTACTTCTCACATTGCATCATCTCTTACATGAATGCTTGCCAAAACCACTTCCTTTTTACCACAACAAAAAGACTACTGTAAATCATTTCTGAGGAAGGACACAGATTTTTGACATTGCTAGCAATCCACAGATTTTCCTAAACAAAATTTAGCTGAATCCTGTTGGTTTTTGAGGCTAAGTGGTTCTGGTATTGGATCTGTACAAATCTCTGTGTAAAAATCGTTAGGATGAGTGCAATGGACAAGAAATTTGAGGGACAAGTGTCGCACTGGGATTCGATGTGCCTTTTTTACAAGAAAAAAGCAGCTCTGTCAAACTCATAGTGCCACATAAGCACGGCTGCGTCAGAGAGAGAGATGTTCAGCACCTATGGGCTCTCATATCAATCACACTCACGCTCAAGCAGGTAGTTTCTTGTGGCACACATTTGACAACAATAGTACAAAGGCACACATACTTTCAGTCGCACACACCTGCACGATCCCAGGAGGATGTCAAGCAAGCCAGTTTTCCAGCTCACACACACACACATATGCTCTCACACTCTTTGGAAGAATACCAAAGGCCTGTCAGAACAGCCATGGAGCGGGCACACCCAACTTCCCCCCGCCGCCAATCTTTTCATCTCTGCACCTGTCTCACAGCTCCGCCCTACATGACACACACAGCTCAGCTCTCAAGGCTCAAAGCGGCCGTGACGTGGATGCTGATGTGCACCACTGTTGCTACTGTACTGTGAATGAAGTCAAACAAAACCTGTCTCATTGCTTTTCTAAGCCTGTCAAAGTCTAGACCACACGCCGGGGTGGCTGCTGAAATCAGACACCGACTACAAATTATGACATTTTTCAGGCACTTTTAAAACACGCCTTTTATCCCAAAATGACAACAAATCATCCTAATGCTACTGATGTAAAACTTGTTGTCCTGCGCTTTACAAGTAAGCACAATTGTTTCATCCGGTGACAGACTGTTGTTTTTAACTCTTAAAAATTAGCATTGTAAAGGTATTTATGTCTGTCTCTTTGTGAAGTCACAATCAAGTGAACGAGAGAAAAGACTGATAACTTGTGATAAACAAAAACACCCATAATGAGCAATACTCGAGAAGTTCCTGTTTATGACAGGCTATAATAGAGTACAAAAATGTGAAATTTTGTCCTGACTTGTTATTACTTATTACTAATGACTTTCCCCCCATGGCTAAAACAAACCCAACACTAAAACAGACAAAGAAGCAACAATAGTGACCAGTCTAGACTCTGTAACCAGAGACAATCTCAGCCTGACTGATCTCCCTGACCTTCCCCTGCCCCTGTTGAACCCTGACCGACCCCCCATCAAGCCTCAAACACATGACGCCATCGCTGGACTCACCCTCCCCTCAGGCCTTTTCCCGTACCTTTGGCATTCCTCTCATGGTTCCCCTCCTTGAAGAGCAGAGAATGAAGTCGCTGAGGCTAACACTCTGGGGGGTACACAAAGGAATTTCTGGCTTGGGCATTCCAAGGAAGTCAAAATAGACTACCATGGGATTCTGGGAGTCACTTTATCAGCGTTGCCATGGTTTCCATTTGCATACAAACATGCATACGCCCACAGAAAACCTCATAAACTCACCTGCGAGCAAGCATGCATGCATGCATGACTGTACACAGGGGCTTCCCTGTTGTTGTTGACGCAGAGCAAACCTGCCTTGAAAGATAACAAACACAGCGTGAACACCATGTGATCAGGACGAGGTGCAGGGTGGCTCAGTGGTCCAAACAAACAAACAAGGATAAGGGACTTCTTCCTGCATGTGCACACCTAGCTGAGAATGTGTTGTTCACTTTTGAAGAAGAACTCCTCTATATCTATCTAATGTTGAAATAAGGGTCAGATATGATCTGAAAACATCCCATTGTAGAGACAAGATCACACCCCACTGCACTCCCACAGTCCCTCAGAGAGGGGACTGTCTGAAACATCACTGAAAGAATTCCCTGGGTGAGGAAGATTAGCTCCTTATTCATCCTTTCGGGATCTGACAAGACACACGCCGCCTCCCCCCTCTCACAGCTTAAACACACACATGCACATGCACACAAACAGAGCGCCTGTGAGCATGAGTCTCGGCTGCTGCTGAAATCAAACATTAATTTCTTTTTACTGGTGAGAGACAAATCATAATTCCTTCCTGAAGAGCGCTTTGATTCTGAGGTTGCCGAGGAGGGCACAGCATAAAAATGACAGAAGAAAGTGGAGTGGGAGGAAATGAGATGATTGTTATTCATTAGTCCCTACAATTTGTCATCTTCTAACAGAGGAAAGAAGAAGAAAGAGTAAAGATTTAAGAGTGAGCTGAGAGCAAATTTACTGCCAATTCCTGCACAAGTGAGTGACGAAACTAAGCTCAATTAAACACGAAAAATAACAGTTTGAAACAGGAGGAGAGAAAGAGCTCTGTGCACAATATTGGAAAAAAAAATACATGTATAATGAATTTTGATTGTAGGTCAGAGTCTGTGTGGCATTTGAGGATGAAAATGAAGGCTTGTGGAATTGAGTGTCGGCCAAATCACTGCACTTTACTCCTCAAGTGTCACTAACTTTATTAAACACGCTCCTCCGTCTCTCTGGGAGCTTATGCTGTACGCTACTTAACTCAGATTCAGCTGACTGTCTCTGCAGCACGGTGCAGTCAGGGATTACCATATTTTGAAGAAAATCCTCCTACCACAAGTCCTCCTCCATTGAGTGAGAGGCTTGGGAGAGTCAATGAGTGTGTGCAGCTTCGGAGGCTCTGACAGACTCTGTAGCTGCTGCTGCTGCTGCTGAGTGCAAACTCAGCGATCAAGTTTTTAAAGACAGGAAACCCCGTAGATTTAAGCTTTCCATTGTGATCTTTCCAGATGTATATTTTAATGTAAGGCTTTGACACCGAAAGATCAGAGTGCCCTATTCTCCTGCTTGTTCTACGATAAAGAAGCAGATCACGGCGTGTAAGCCCAAATTAATCTCGCACTCCTGTTGCAGGTTTCTCTGCCACTCACAATCCTCTTGTTGTTCAAGTGTTGCCTTCAAGTGCAGCAGGTTGCGGGACAAATGGCAAACACCGAAGTTAATTATGTTAATAAATTTTCTCCATCAGCCCTCATCTTTCTCATTCTTCCTGATGAAATAGTGATTGTGCCGACAATCCTCTCCCTGTGATCGCTACCAATCAACTGAATATTCATGTGGTGATTTGCTGCTCCAAATACGAGAGTTGGAGCAGCCAAAGAAGTGTTGTTTAATTATCCAAGAGGAGCGGGGCGAGACGTTGACTGTGTTCCAGATTTGGCTGGTAACCGTAGAAACCCTGCAGGGCAAAAGCGCAGCCTGGGGGAGGAGCAGCTGGGAGTCACAAAACATACAGAAAAAGATGTTTAAAATGAGGAGTATTTTGCAGGTGTAAAGGTGGATTTTATTTTCTTAATATTGCATGATGGCGATGATATTAAACTTAAGACATGCAGGTGGGAAAAAACACTCAAACATCGTAGCAGGTGCAACTTCAGACCTGCACATCTGGGGTTTAAACAAACAAAAAACTGCAAGGAGTCAGTGTCTGTACTCGATAATATGAGGGATGTCTTTGTCTGTCCGGGGTCGAAATCGCTGATTTAAAATGTATGAATATAAAGTATATGGAGACTGTCATGGTCCTGAATCAGTTAAAAACTCTCAACTAAAGCAACGAAAAAAGCACAAAACATACAAAAACATTTGGTCAACAGTTTTCCAATGGCTGATTTAGGATGCTAATATCACATTTTTGTTCTTGTTGTTTTAAATAAAATAATTTTATGATGAGAAACCAAATTTCTGAACCTAAGATAATGTTTTATTTAATAAATGTAGACAGAAAATATTTGGAATATTGCCACAAGGGACTTTGGATTTCTACCCAGCCAACTAAAATTGATGAGAAAGAAAAAATACACAAGGTAATAATGAACATCATTATCAAACTGCATTATTCTTCAAAACCTTAAAACAGCATTATGTTTCTTATTAGACAAGATAATGGTGATATCAACCTTGTGGGGACTAATGCAGACATGAAATTATGTCAAAATTGGTATAATGCGACTCTGCAGCCTGCATACATCAGTACCCAAACTGCTAGGCCAACCAGCACCCTCAAAACTTAAAAATTGACAATAAATTATCGCGCAATGTTTAAATAGCTTGAATTTTTCCTGTCATTGTGTTTTGATGTGTTCAAATAGCCTTTTTTTGTGTTGTATTCACACCTATTCCTCTAGAATTCGTTGACATGGCAATAAAGCAAATGGGAAGGGCTGGACACCCCAGCAGTGAGGAGCCTTTAAGCCTGAAATAATTGAGCTCTACGATGAGGGGATTCCCTGCCTTTGTTTTCATTTCTTTTTACCTCTACAGAGCTTTTGTGTGAGTTTTCTTTCTTCTCTTTCACATTAGGGGTCTTTTGATTCAAGCTTTGAGCAACAAATTGGATTTAATCCCCATGTTTGAAATTGTTGCTGGTGTAGTGTTGCTCCTCCATGAGGAATATCAACCTAAAGACCTTTATCTTGTGCAAAGTTCAAACACACTTCATCTTGACACTACATGTTGTCGGACACTAACACATATGGACACCTGCAGACAAACACAGTCAGGTGTGAATAGTGCCAAATTGGTGGGTAATACCTGCTATTCCGCTCACTACTGACAGAACAGACATGGAAATAACAGGGTGGATGAGTGAGTGTGTGAGAGAGAGACGGTGGGAGAGAGGGGATAAGAGGGTTTTAGGCATAGGTAGACTGATTGAGGTGGGAGGTTGAGACAGGGGGGGGTGAGACGAGAGGAGCAAGAGGGGCTGGAAAAAGGGGTATAATGGTGTTGAAAGGGGGATGAGAGGCTGTTAGAGCCATAGAGAGCTGCTGAAATCGAGTGTCGGGCCACAGGTAGAAAGATGAATGATGTGTGCTGAGGTGGAAGGAGACACAGGAGGTAGAAGGGTGGAGTGGTGCTGATAGGACCTGAGGGGCTTCTACGGTAGATGTTGTGTCAGTCTGAAATAGGGCGGATGTGAACAGGAAGCGTTTTGTTGTCAGATAGACTATCTGGAGCTTATTGTCCCCGTTAGTGTGATCATATGTCACCAGAGAGAGATCAGAAAATGTTGTTTTCTACTAGTTTTGTGTGGCATGTGTGCACTTGTAAACAAAAACAGCTGATTACTGCCTGTTAAATGGCTGAGTTAACACTGATGTGTATGCATGATTAGCAGCACTAATATAATATGTTAATGATGTGTTAATGGAGATGCAGGCATGATTTAAATTACACATTGCAACAATGCAATATTTAATTTAAATAGGTATTTTCTTGATGGGGTTTGGATCACATTGTTTTAAAAAACTGCCCTATTAAGATTCGGTTCATTAAGGTTTCTGCTGAGACACTGCATATTCATTACCAGAGAGCAAGCGATGGGGCTTGCACAAGGGTGGGTCAGGAGGAAAGAAACAACCCTGAAAGAGAAACAAGGGAACAGTAAAAAAAAAAAAAAGGGAGGGGAGATACAAGATTGAAGGGGTTGAAAGGAGTGGAGGAGACACTGGGGTGAACCCTGACAGTATAAACCTGACAGAGGTGACTCAGGAGGTATAGAGACAAAAGTAAGGTGGCAGAACAGGGAAGCATGAGGTGGAAGGGGAAGTCACTCCATGCACCCCTGCACCTGAGTCAACAGTTGTGCTTGCAAACAAAAGCAGCTCCTTAAAGGAGAGACCGCAGACAATGTAGTGCAGTGAGGGATGAGGGTAAGAAATGTTCAGCAAGAATGTGACAGGCAAACAGCACCTCACTGAGCTTTGTTCACAGAGAGTCAAAACAATACAGAATGGGTCTGGGGTAAGATAAGGCAGGATTAAGGGTAGGCGCTTACATGCTGCTATTTCAAGGTGAAATATTTACGCTCCTGTTACGCCTCACCTGTGATATGTAACACCCACAGGTGAAATGGAGGGGTAAAGGCACTCCACCTTTAAATTTTCCCTCAGAGGGAGTAACAGGGGTGGAATGGGGGGAAGGACGTGGTGATGTGTGTGTGAATGCCTGAGTGTGTGTGTGTGTGGGAAGCTCTTACTCTGTGTTGACAATCCTTGCCTCTTGTGCTTTAGCAAGGACGTGATGTGACGTGTAATGACACACTGGGAGACCAAAATTACGCCTTTTGGGTTGCAGTGTGTAAATAAAAAGGGATAATGATAATGGAAATTCTTCACAGTGTTGTTGTGGAACTGCAGTGTGGGAGAAGCTGATGATATCCTCAACTATTGCTGCGTTCGGAAGTCAGATGTCAGAGCTGAGAATGACGTCACACCCGAGTAACCAAGTTTAGCGCTTGCCTTGCTAGAATATAAGCAAGGACAAGGCAAGCACTAAAATAACTTTCGTAGATGTAGCCGTCTTGTTTGCGCCTCCAATTTTGCTTTTTTTCCAACTTGTTAACTGAAACACTGGTAACTCAGGTGTGATGTCATTCCCAGCTCCAACAGCTGACTTTCAAGGTAACTCAAATGCATCATATGAGTTGCTTTGTCAAAGAGAGGCACTTGAATAAAGTATGTTTAGTTTTTTTTTTGGTAGGTATTTTTGAAGCAACTCACTTCCAAGTTGTTAAACAGAAATTTTACTCCAACTCCAACTAGCCAAAAGATCTAATTTCAGAAAACAATTGCAGAGTTAGCATCACAGCACTCAATCTTCCCCACAGGTTATTTTGACATGTCTACGCCTTACTATGGTAGAGTCAACCATCTCTGCACAGAAGTGTGCACCTGAGTATAATCTTTAATGTTGGTAGTTTCAGTAGATATAAGTAGCAACAATATTTATGCATGTGTGCATACATACGTCATGCTATTCTCTGTAAGTCAATGCTCCAAGTGGGCCACCCCGGTCATAAATGTACAGATGCACCCCTGCTTCTACCTCTAGATCTTTACTTGTTTATAACAAATTTTAAGTAAAGCCAAATCAAACGGTAGGAGGTCAACCGTGTAAAAATATCTTATCCGTTATCTATTTTCTGAGAAATACACCCCTCCCTTTCCTACCACTTCCCCATTTGCGCAAAACACCCTCTCTCAACACACCGTTACCACATTAAGGTGTGAACATTTCAGAGAAGAGATTAGACCCCCACCCATAACATTACATCATTGTTCTGCAAAGTTGAACACTAATCCGCTTCAGTAGTTTCTTGATAAAAACAAGCCTAAAATTAAACTCAGAGGGTTTGATTAATGTGGGGTTTTTTTCAAAGATACCTAAAAAACTACAATTTCCAGACTCCAGTCTTGATTCGTCCAAAACTTTAACACCAGAAACAACAACTACCTATCAGTCCTTCAACGAAATTATATCACATAAGTCAGTCCTCTCTGTGCAAAACATACTGAATGAATAAGCGGCACTATAAGGACTTTAACCTGAGCGCACACACCACAGTTAAGCAATATGTTTACACTCTCCCTTTAAGTCATGCACAATAGTAAACAGATGGATTCTTTGGTTATTTTCAACAAGAGCCCCTTCAGCAGACATTCAAAGACAGCTTGTCTCAAAAAACATCCAGAGCTCTCAGACGAGGATTTGACATCATGTCAGTGATGTGGTGTCTCTTTTTAAATGGGGTTGGATCTAGGTCAATGGGTCCATTTCCTTGAAGTTCAGCTCTTGTGCGGACTTGAGCTGGGGGGTTATTGTTTGGTCTCTGAGTGGCTACGATGAATAGAGCCTCCCTTCTCAGCACATTAGTGACCTGTATAAGCTCCACACGACTCGCTGACATCTGAGTGCAGGTCTGAGGGGAGAGGACAAAGGCAATCTGACCACACACACACACACACACATTCACGTGTCTAAAAGCTAACTGAGGGAACAAAACAAAAACACAGTCTGATAGAAACCTTATACAGCACTCACTGCAGGGTTTTTTATCCTCAAAGAAACTCGATCCAAAGACAGAAAGAAACCCATGCTGCTCTGCCTTTAAGCCTTCATTTCGAGCTCTTGTCAACCCCCCTACACTCACACACACATTAATGCACATTCACATACATGTACGCACGTGCACACACTTACAAATGCACACCCGGGCTTTTGAGACTGCCTTGTACGATCCCACTGTATCACTTCCAGGTCAACGGGCAGGAACATGAAGTGTGACTATGTGATGAGCACCGAGTTGCCGGTCAGCTTTCTCTTTATGTAACTAATGTATTGTGGAGTGGAGGCTGAAGCGAAGAAGAGAGGAGAGACGTTGGTTTTGCAGCTTGTTTCCTCTGCTTTTATCTCACAGCCATGTGGATGTTAACTTGTACAGAGCAGCACTTAAAAACGGAGTTGGAAGAGATTTCTCAGCAGAGATAAAAAAAGAAAAAAGGATGTATCCCAGGAAGGCCCAATCTCCCCAGTGCAAACAAAGCGTTAAAGACAATCTTTGAAGACACTCTTTGCACACCCTCAGTAATTCCTCTCTGAAATCCCTACTCAGCACTTCACACACACACATGTATTTCCACTATCTCACTCTGAAGTCTTCACAGCAGCTCCCTAACATCTCCTGCTCCATTTTCTTGCTAAACCATGCTTCCAAATTTACACCTTTTTAAACTCTTCAAACGGCTAGTGTTTTTGCTAGTTTGCACTGAACAATATTTTTCCTCTTCTCTTTTTCTACCTCTGCTATTCTTTTGAACTGAGGCAACTGTTGAAAGCCATTAAGATCTGAACATGTGTACATCAAGTAAGATGTAGACACATACATGCTGACACACATGCACTTATACATCATCAGTTGGCAGCCGGAGCCCATGTGTGGGCTGGGACGCAACACTGATCAGAGATAATGGGCAGACATGACAGGGATGGGGGTACTGTCACACTAAGAGAGAAGGAAGGGGGGATGATGGAGCAAGGGGCAGAGAAAGAAGAAAAAAAGACAGAAATGGAGACAAAAAGGAAGAGAGCGAAGGAAACAAGGAAAGGAGAGACTTGCAATTCATCAGCAGACACAGAAGAGACAAAAGATAGGAAGTGAACAGGGGCACATGCCTGCTCATGTCAGCTCGGAGACACCCCTCCCCCCATCTGGACCCCTTTACAAATTAGAGGCATCCCCTTCTGCTGCTTCTCGCACTCCTTCTTCTCTACAGGGGGGGTTGATGTTGATGGGTCTGACAGGAATTGAAACGCTCTTCACCTGATGTGACACACACACACACACACTCCCTACGTAACAACCGTTGTAGTCCTGCTCAACCGGGCAGGTGACATTACAAACAGACGTATAGTGTAAAGAAAACACGTCAGAGTGACACGCTGTTCTCACTCACTCGTTTCGCCTCTGTCTCTTGCACAACTGCTCATATTTTTAAAGGGCTTGTACAAACGGTCAAAAACAAAAACATATGGATGCTCATGTGAGCGGGTCTGTTAATCCCACTGAAATCCAAAGTATTTGAGCTATGTGTCTGAAAAATGAAACAATATCTACTGATGATGACCACTCATCACTTGTTGTGGCAGGACTTCCATCCAACACAGAGGATTCTTTCTCCTGTTATATTTAAAGAGGTTTAATTATCCAACAACTGATAAACCAAATTTGAGTATTTAATTTTCGTGGCATGACTCTGTGCTTTCCTGATCTCAAATCATGACCTGAAACAGAATCTAAAAGGTAACATTAGGTTGTAACTGGTGGCAGTGAAGAAATGGGAGAGTGTCAGAGAGAGGGAGAGACACACTCACAGAGGGGATCCACATCCACACAGTCAAACACAAACATTTAAACAGCTTGATTGCACGGGGCAGCGTAAGCCTCATATTTGCTTAACAGCAGAAATAAATGGACCACTGAGGAAGAAGGATGAAGCTTCTTCTGAGACCGGGGGAGAATGAAATTTAGAGAGAGAGAGAGAGAGAGAGAAGGGGATCATCTCCCTTTCATGTTAATTGCATCACCCCTTTATCATTCCTGCCACATGCTCATCAAACTGCAAGTTGTGTGCGCTATATCTGTAATCACGAGGAGACGGCGTCAGTCTGCTTCGCCACAAGGTCAGAAGAGTCAAGGGTGACGAGCTTTGGTTGTGTTGTTGTTGCTGATGTTGATCATTATCACGACTACACTTAAGTATAGTAACAATAATAATTACATTAATGGCGAACTATTGTGTAGCGTTGATGTAACGTGTTATTCGATGTAGCCTCAAAAGAGAAGGTCAAAAGATCAAAACTCAAACACTTATACCACAGGTTACACTCGGGCTGCACGAAATATAAAGTGTGTACTCCAGGGCAAGTGTTTGCGTGGTGAAAAGGTAAAGGTGAAGGTTGTAGTGTTTGTGTTTTCAGTCAGACGCATGAATGTGGGTGCTAAAAGGCAACACAAGAGCACCAGAGTGGGTGTTTAAAGTGAAGCTGGAAGTGTGTACGAGAGGATACGCCTACCTGTATGCACACTGGAGGTGAGCTGACTTCACATCAGAGCAGTGCATCAATCTGGGTCAGTATGTACACACATACATACACACACACACAATGCAAACCCACTCACACACTGACAGAGGCTCACTTAACAGAGCCCCATCCCCCCCTTCACGCTCACATACTATATTAGCTTACTGTACACAGATGGAGCACATGGCTGTGCCGATACACACACACACAAAAACACACACACGTATTTATCCTGAACACACACTCTCGCACATGTAGTAAATGGACACACACATAAAGCAGGGTGAGCCGTGTGGAAGAGAGTAAGAGTTAATGGCTTTCCCCTTTTGTCACAGCCTCAGGCTTTCGCAAAGTCTTTGTCAATTTATAAAAAAAAAAAAAGGGGGTGTATACACACACACAATCACGATCACACACGCACACACACACACGCACTATTTTTTATCTGCCACCATAAATCCCTTCACGGATCACTTCCTCAAAATACGCTGCCAATATTCAACTTCCTCATGGTGGCAACTGAAGCAGTGAATTGTGGCGAGAGAGATAAAGTGAAGAAAAGATAACAAGAGAGAAAAAGAGAGAGAGAGATAGTGAGAGAGAAAAAAGAGAGAAAGACTTGTTTACAATATGTGTTCTTCTAAAAATGTAAATAAACTCACAGTCAGAGCTGTGTGTTATTTTAAAGTTGATGATAAGGTCAATTATCTTTGATTTTTTTCCACATAGTGCTCACACAGCGTCACTGTTACAGTAAAAAAATGTGTTTGGCTTTTATTTTCTTAGTTCACAACCTTATCAGGGTTCAGTGAGAGATCTAAGCTTCAATATTTTGAGGGAAATCCATTATTCAGTGTTCAATTGAGGTGGAAAAAGGCAGCTGAATTACTAAGTTACAGCAGCTGGGGCTCCAGAGATTGAGAGTCGTTCCCTATCTCAGGGGTTTGATCCCTGTTTTCCTTTCTCGCCCTTGATCAAGATAGTAAACTCCTACTTATTTATGACTGCTCAACTATAGGCAAACGATAAACACCTTGAGTAAAAGTTCCATTTAAATGTAACTTGGAGCCTTTAAACTCTTGATAACGCCTGATTGTTTAACCACAGCAATAAAACTGGGTTCACTTTGATAAGCGTTAATGATCGTGTTATGTCACGCTTTTAAAGATCTTCATCCATCCAGGAGGAACTGACCCACAGATCTAAATTTCACAAAGAAAACTCTAGTTTATTATCTCTAGTAAGGAGGCATGAACGTGTATGGAGGAGTAGAAAGGACAGCAGAGACTTTATGCCCTCTGAACCCTCTGAATTCCTCGTCTGTCTGGATGCCTGGAGATGACCCTCCGCACAGCTGGGACCAGACACATTCACTAACAGGCACACATGTGAGTGGCAGATGGTGAAAACGTCTGAATTAACCAGCAGAAGGTGGAAATGCACACGTCCAGATCCCCCTCTTTTGTTTTGGAGTCTATTTTAGCCCACAACTCGTCCTCTATTCCTCTTTCTGTGTCACTCTGTCCCTCTCTCTCTCTCTTTTGCTGGCTACTGTTGCTCCCAGAGTCATAACTGCTGTCCCCCTAAGACTTCCAGTACATGTCTCATTTTGTCTGTCTAATCCATCTTCCCCTGACTCTCTCCTGTCATGTATCAATATTTCCACTCACTACAGTACGCCCACACACTCAGACACAGAAAAAGTATCATAATGTCTTTATCAGATCAAAATTCATAAGAGCATGGTCTCAGACATTTTCAGCATTATGTTTGTTAAAGTTTTCAAGTTTCGATCCCACCTCTGCTGTGCTTCTTATGTAAAATCTCCCAATCACAGACTCACCCTGCTGCAGCATGCTTTTCTGTTTCTGCCCTTTGAGCTGTGCAGTTTGAACAATGGCGGGAAATCCCAGGTGCTGACTGTAAAGGTATTTCATTATCTCTAAATTACTCTGAGTATAGGAAACTAGGCAAAGTCCCAGTGAGGACATTAATGATTGATAAACTCCTTTCATCACTCATGCACACACACACACATTCACTCACACACAAACACACACACTGGCTCATGTAAGAGTATTCCAGCAAATTCTCTTAGAGGGCTGCAGTCTTCTTCTAAAGACTGAATGTGTGCGTGTGTAAAAGAGACCCATCATGAAAATAGAAGCCATCTCCTAACAGTAGTACACTGTACCAGCAAAGAAGTGAAGTTGCACACACTCACACACACACACACAGGGACACATTGTGTAAGAATGCATGCTATCGTATAAATAGGTTGGTATTCAGACAGAAACACACAAGAATAGAACATGTGCAACAAAAAAAGCCACAACTCCAAGAGGACAATGTACAAATTTGAGCAGAAAAATGATCATCAAGTCTAAACAAACACAACAAATCTGATTATCTTCACACACAAGTTAGTCTAGCTTTACCTTAATGTCACTGTTACAGCCAAAAAAGACATCCTTAAGTCAAATGATGCAGCTCTTACCTCTTCTTGAGCTCCCAGTGTCTCCTCTGTGTGTTAAAGTTAATTCCCTGTGAGGGTTAAAACACCGTCAGCATGTGTCCACTCCGGTAGCTCACAGGGGGAATCCTTGAATCAGTGAGATGTCTCCCAGAGTCCAGCGCAGCGTTCAGCACTACAAACACACACATTACAGTACAGACTCGCACATGCTGCCTCTTGCACGCCTAGACCAGACTGAAGGCTGAGAAGAGGGTGTGTGTGCATTGCCTGAGTCTGAGCCCGCCCTCTTTTTTTTTTCTTCTCTGGTTCTCCCCTTCTCTCCCACATGCTCTCACCCTGCCCTCCTCCCTCTCCACCTCCTTCTCCTTCCCTCTCTCATCTCTGCTCCGTCTCTCTCTTTCTCTCGCTCCAATTTCACCTCCCCCGGCTTGCCAATTGACTGCCAGCGTGTGTGCTGGGTCTGTGCCTCTAAGCCTTTAGATGTCCCAGTCCTCTTTTTAATTGCTGGCTCTCTGGCCCCAAGTTCTAAACATAAAAAAAAAAAAACAAAGACACATGGACACAGTGGACAAGCACAGGCATGCAGAATCTGAAAAGGATACAAGTGCAGATACACAGAGACATTCTCCTGCAAGAAAAAAAAATAAAGTGATGCACTGAATGAGTATTTTTCAAAAAAGATGGAAGTAATATAAACTTTAATGCAAAAAACTGAGAAGGAATGCAGTCTCATAAGAAGTCGATTTTAAATGGGATTTGACACACTGGAATAGAGATGTGCTTTGAAAAGAAAGGTGACAGAGGTGGGCAGAAGGGCGTACGATAGCGAAAGAAAAAATCCATCTCATTCGTTGGAAAGCTTCCATGAGAGCAGCTGTAGCTCAAGTTAAGCTGCTGCTTCATTCTTGTCTTCTATCTACTTATTTTTCCTGTATCCTTTTCTCCAACCAACCGGGATTTTTTTTTTTTTACAGAAGCTTCGAAACAAAAAAGTGAATCCTCAGGCTACAGTTGGCCATTTTCTCTAGGTATGAAGAAATCACCACCTGTATGTAAGAAACATGGGTTTAAGAAGTTTCTAACCTGCTCCTTTACTGCCTGTAGTTGCCACAGTTATAACAGATGCTTACAGTGACCCGGTATATTTTTAAATATTCATATCCTCACTACTAAGATGGTGTGTTTGCTTTTGTATGTAAAACAGGCAAACATAGGTGTGTAAAACGTAAAGGGTTAATTCTGTACAAATAGTGTGAAGTTTGTACACGTTCTGTGAGTTTGTTTGTACCAAGATTACACCTGAGGATGCGTGCACTTCATGACCTGAAGGTCTGTCAATTAACTTAGTTTTTGGCACAACCAGCCCTTAGTCTACATGAAAAGAAAACAATGTAGTTCTGCGCTCAGTGTCCTTGGAGAAAAATCACCTTCAATACCAGATTTCTCTCTGTTAAAAATACTTAAACATGCTTCTTTGACCAATTAAAATGAAGAAAGGAACGGGACTTCTGAAATCAACTATGTGAGGGGCCGAGTGGATTTGGCTGCTCAATCGTGTTAACAGTCTGCCCTCTGCCATATGTCATACCCCACTCTCTCTCTCCTCCGCTTCAGATGCTATCAACCTTTTCAAGAGCTTTTTTAATTTCTTTGTAAAATTCCCAGTAGATAAAAGTAAATGTAAGCATTCAAAACATATCAAAATAAGACGTATTGGTCATTACCAAGGGAACTATTTTTGCAACCTGGAAATAGAAAGTGACAGTGGGAAGCAGTCCAAAACTAAGGCTGTAGGTGCTGCTAGTGTAAAAAAAAAAAAACTAATTTAATAAACACAGGACCTAAATGATAAATGTTGACACCTTAGCTAGTGTCAGTAGCATCGAAAAGACCAATACGCGAGTTAGGGTGACCATATTCTAAATCCCCAAAAAGAGGACATGACTACACGGGGCAGAGTCATGGAAGTTGCACAAAGTTAAATTTGAGAGTTTTTCGGGTTGGATCGGGTGTCTTTTACGTGCTTCAAACTCAGTACAAAGTCCACGTGACACAAACTTTAAACTTCCATACAAAACCACAGACATTTGAAGGATTTTATAAACTTCCCTGGACAAAGCCAGACAAGGCCGGACAGCCCCCCAAAAAGAGGACATGTGCGGGTAAAAGAGGACGTATGGTCACCCTTATGTAAGTGAGTGAGTGTTTATGATGTGTACTGCAGTTCAAATTTAACATATCTCAGAGCTGATTTGAGGAGACACACACGTGAGTCTGGGACATGGAAGGTTTAGCAACACAAGAGTCAAAGAAGGAGTCCATGAGATTCCCAGCTGGGCACACATGCATTTCTCTGTTAAATTCAGTTTTATCTAACGTCACTTTGGCTTTAGTGACCTCACCGCTGGCATGCAGCACTGTGGTGGCAGACATCCACGCTAAGATGAAAAGCCTAGTGATGTGTCAGTCATGACCAACTTGACTCTTATAGCTGCTCTTGATCAAGAGAGGATGCTACATCAAGAGCACATCGGTGGCACAAAGTTTATTTATTTATTTATTTTGCTTAGCAAAATAATTTGGATCAGTATAATGGGCCTGAATTCACATCTTTTAGTGCGTACTCTGAGGTTGTTAACCTGAGAAAGAAGCTCTGTACTCACATGGTGAGATGGATCACAGACAACTTGAGCAAGAGCATACAGCCTTTGGAGATTTGGAGTATCCCCAGGACCCTGATATGTATATTGTGTTTGGATTGAATCCTTTACTGGACTTGGACTGTAGTGATCCTCTCCATTGTAACAGGAGGAGGGCAGACCATTGAACTTTCAACAAGTTTTAACATTAACGTCAATGTAATATGAACTCTGAGCGAATCATCAAACAGCTCCTATTGATTTTTTTTAAAACTGTCTATGTTAGCTTCATCTCTGGTTATGTTACCCTGGCTAATACTAAGCCGGTAGTTCTACCATGTAAAAACACCCAATGCTCTGAAAATACACACTGTGGAGAGACAGTCAGCCTGACTACTTTCAGTTCTCGCTAACATAGCGCACATAGATCCTGGGAACAGATAAATCATGATGTGAATCACTATCTGACGAGAAAGACTGATGTGTAACTTAATTGTCGGACACCACCAGAGCCGGTCCGCCTGGTGATTAACAATTAACTCATGTCAAGGTGATGATCTGTTTTTTTACAGGCAGTGTGTGTTAAAATCCTTTCAAATAGCCATCTATCTCATGATTCAAAAAATTAAAACTCCTTTCAATAGGGACGCACAATATTGGATTTTTGCTGATATACAATATGTACTAAAGCCAGCAGTAATACCAGTAACAAGGTAGTCCTTTGTTTCGCTTAGTTGTTTATTCTTATATTTATACTTTCATAGTTTTATTCTTATAGTTTATTCTTATTCACCATGGGTCTGAGAGGACTGAAATTTCATCTGTGCTGTATGTTTAACATGTGTAGCATATTTGACAATAAAGTTGACTTTGACTTTTGACTTTCATTTGAGTAACAATGCTGGTACTAATCCCCACACATATTTGGCTGCGGACAAAAACGATGAATTTAAGTATTTTCTTGTCTTCACTTTGGGTGGTCCCCACTATTCTACCGAGCTTTGCTGAACAACCAAAGCAGAGACTGACATTGCTTAAAACAGACCATGTTCAGCCGTGCGAAATTTTCGAATGTGTCTCATCTCTGGTTAGTGGATAGGTCTGAATTGAGCTTTCAATTCAGTCTACAGGGAACATGCTTAACTTCAGCCAAATGTTTTTAAAAGCTGTGTTTAACTCTGGCGGAAATACAATAGTTGCATAATAAAAAAGCACATTAAGCTACAAAGATTTCACTTTTTAGACATTTCTCACCGCACTTTGGTCATCGAGAGGGCTTTCAGGTATTTCAGGTATCTGTAGTTGCTGTTAGGGTTGGAACCTACAAACATTACACACCTACAAATACACCAAACGTAAAAGATGTGATCCCAGATAATAGTTTAACACAAGAGTGTGTGGGACTCTAAAACAGCCCCTTTAAGTTCTTAACTCAGCCGAGAAACAGCCCTGGCACAGCAGTAAGGTGGTATGGAAATGATCAAGTGTAATTCAGACACATTTTTCTTGTAAGAAAGCTTCATAAGTCATCCACCAAATAGTCTGGCTCAAAGAGAAGGGATCTTATGAGAAAAACAGGGCCGATTACATAATAAGCAGATGAGTTCCCATTGTCTACTCAAATAACTGGTTGGGAGCTTTTAACATTTATAGAGGCAAACATGTCAGGACAAAAAAAAAGGGAGGGTAACTGATCCACCTCACAAGAGGACCTGATTCAGCCTCCTTGAGGGAGAAAGAGGAAAGACTCACAAAGACAGAGTCACGGGGGAAAGAGTACAGGTGTGAACAACACAACACACACACTCATGACTTTTTAGCCAAAGGCGCATAATGACATTTTAACACCTAACGCAGACAATACTACCGCAAGGTTTCCTGTTTATTCCAGTCTGTCGGCACCTGTCTACCCATCATCCTCTGCTCTCTTCCCAGTCCCTTTTTCCTTCCTTTCTCTCTCCCCCTGTTTGTTTCTCTTTGTGTTATCTAACAAATTAACAGTAGACAGTCGTGTCCTGCGAGGAGCCAACAGAAACAGGAAATAGCCAATCCAAAATGATGACTTGGACAACCAGTTCCCACACTCCTACCCAAACACAGTGTTATTGGGCTGTAATGCAATTATTCAAGAAGCGGGGAGGAACTGGTTAGCAGTTTGAGGGAGGCCATTGCTGTGATTACTTGTTGGCACATGCCGCACACAGAGGAGGTAAAGATAACAACAGCAGGTGGAGGATGTTATATAAGCTGAGAGGAGGGTTGGAGAAACATCAGGATGGTGTGTTTTCTTTTTGTTTACTTGTTTCGTTAGCTTGCACTCATCTTCTGCCATGCTGCTTTTGTGATGTGAACACGCTCATTGTTTGTTTTCGGCCATGCAGTCAGCACTCAAGACTGTGAGGGGTAAAAGGACAGTGAATGTGATTCATGTCAGTGTTTTTAAATTAGATAAACAGATTTTTTTTTCTTTTAAGCAACAGCACAGTGAGTGATTTTAGTCTATTCTGTTCCCTTGTCTTCTTGCACACCTGAGCTGGCTTTCAGCACAAAAGACTCCACCTTTCAGTAGATATCAGATGCTTCATGGCGTGTATGTA